CAGCCCTATCTGGAGATTCCAGGGATTGAACATGGGATCTCCCACATGCATAGCAGATGCTCTATGGCTCTTCCCCTCCAAAAAAGGCCAGGATGGCTCCTGTACCTTTGAGTAAAAGAGGAATTTTCAGCATGAGTTGTTACACAGGGATTAAAAAAGCCCCATCCTCCCTTGCCCTCAAACACCTTCAAATGCCCTGATGATCAAATACTGTCACCTTTCTAAAATAAGCACAGCCATGCAGACGGGCCTCTCTAGGGAAAAGACTCCAAAGCTGAGACGCTACTAAATGGCTTACCGTAAAGTGACTGTTGCCATGACAATGCAGAGCAAAGCAACGCCAGGCTTTTCCCGCTTCCAGTAGGACTCTCCAACAGGCAGTGCTGCTTGGAGTTGAGCCCCTTCACAATCTGTGAGTAAATAAATATAATAAGCACAGGGGGACTGTAAACCATCTTGAGTGAATGATATTTGTGCAGTAACATTTTTTTAAAAATAATATCATCTGAAATATCCAGCTCATCCTAAGAAAATATTTGCTTGTCCTGAAGGAAACTATTAGGTTGCAGAGGGGTATGTTTTGTAGATTCTGATAGTTGCTTCAATAAACCATACTAACTGCAGTTCCCAGTACTGATGTTAACAACAAACTGTGGTCAGTTTGCTAGGACACTGGAGCAGAGAGGAGTGGGGAACCAAAAACTCCAGCAGCTTTTTCACACCCTGTTTCAGAGTAGGATTGGAGAACCTGTAGCCTGCAGGTCAAATCAGAACCAGCAGATATCTCAATTCGCCCACTTTCCCCAACCCTGCTCACCTGTCCCTCACCTGACCTCATACGTGTGGGACAAATGAAGACATGGCTGCAAAGAAACAATCAGGAGCCTTATAGATGAGCAAGGCTTGCTGTAAGTGCCGATCAGTGCTTTTTCCTTTCTCCTCCTGTGATGAGGCCGCATTTTAATGTTTTAATGTTGTATTTTAATCTTGTTTTTTAAGTTGTGTTTCAATCAACTTGTTTTTATTATTGGTTGTTAGCCGCACTGAGCCCGGTCTCGGCTGGTGAAGGCGGGGTATAAATAAAATTTATTATTATTATTATTATAACACATCCCACAGGGAAACACTTTCTTTGCCTGCAGTATGATTTTAAACTATGTGGGGACAAAGAAACAGGGTTTGCAGCAGGTGCAAATTCTGTTTCTTTCACCAGTGCAATTTGATTTCATAGGGTAAAGGCTTCACCTTGATGTCAGGTGATGGAAAGGTGGGCAGTCCCACACACCTGTCAAAGTGGCCCAGAGGAATTAGGAGAAGTCTGGATTCGGTCTGCCCCAGTTTAGAGCTATGTCCAAACCAGACCAAGATATGAGCATTATTGCAAATTTCATTCTCAGTTCTGTAAGCGTTTCTAATTGTTTTGGGTTTGAGGTTTGCATTTGAAAAGCAAGCAAGCAAACAAACCCAAAAACAAAACTCAACCATAAAACAGAAATTTTAGAAAACATTTTAAAAGGAAGACTACTAGAAAAGGTTGAGAAATCTGATTTACTTGACTGTAACTACAAATCTCATTGCAATGAATAAACTTACTGCATTCATCATAGCAAGCTGTGAAGGGTATGCCTTGCAAGGGAAGAGAATTTTCACACCTCCAATGGTGTATTCTGACGCTGATGAAGCCATAACCACATTGAGTTTTCAGAATTCTTGATTAAAATCTGCAAGATTTAAAAAAAAGCACAGTTGTTCTAAATGATGCACAGGATGCTGTAGGAACATGGCAAAAGCCACAAAGAATGAGAGAAAAATAAATGCAAACTGCTTGCGACTAGTAAGACATTTCATTCAGTCTTACATGAAGTTAGACCATTGGTCCATCTAGCTCAGAACTGTCTAAAATGACTGGCAGTAGCTCTCTAGGATTTCAAACCCGGGCTCTCTCCAAGGCTGACCTGGAGACTCCAGTGACTGAACTTGGACCTTTCTTTTCCTGTGAAGCATGTGCTCGAACACTGAGCTTTTGTCCCCCACCTAAAAATAAAGTTTGTGTCCTCATGCCTCTGGATAAAGGGCTGAATTACATAGGAAGCTGCTTTACACCAAGTAAGACCATCAGTCCATGTAGCTCTGTATTATCTACACTGACAGCTGCAGTTCTCCAAGATTTCAGTTAAATATCTTTCACAATCTTACCTTCTTTGTAAACCACTTTAAAGCTTTATTTACAATTAAATGGTATACAAATTATGTTAAAATATAATGGATGGTAATCAAATTTATGTATCAACCTTCCTCTCAGGATGGTACACAAGAAGCTAAAATGCAAAACAGCAATAATAATGGAAAATAATCAATTATTTCAACAAAACCACTGTATGAAAGAGTAACTACACAAAAAACCAAGAACATTTTTAAAAAACCTGCTAGTTCCTAGTGTGTTCAATTGTAGCTATGAGTTTCTGGCTTTTGTGTGTCTTCAAAACTAAAGGAAACTTTGTGCCAGAGGAGATTAAATTTCTATTCCACCCTTCCTCTCAAAGGAGTCTAGACCAACCAGCAACACAATAGTAAAATAAATGTTCATGTCGCATCAGGACTGCATACCCCAAAGTGCCCATAAAATATTTCAGGCCACCTTTGTGCATAAGGGTAATAACAAGAGGTTGGTGGTTTTTTAAAAAATCTGTCTTACAGAAATCTTTGGTTATTTTTTTTAAATCAAGAATCAAAACACTCACGTGTCTGGTTTTTATTTTTAATGGCTTGTGAAATGCTTAGTATCGGCGTTGCGGCCAAAGTTAGTCCTACGCCTAAGTAAGCCATGAAAAGTAATATGCCTGACTAACTTAGGTCCATTGATTTCAATAGGCCCACACTCAAAACTAGAACTTAGTTGGATTCACACCTATAGATTTGAAGCACCACCATTTAATAAGTAACAGCAACCAACTTGTGTATGGAAAGAAAAGCAGGGGAAGAAAGCAAATTTTGTCCCACTCAGCCATAGCTGGAGGAGACCCATTGAAATGAATGGTCCTCAGTCCTATCCACGCATTTCAATGGGGCTACGCGGAGCAGGGCTGACACGGATACAACCTAGTGTGAACTGTTTTTAGGACAACTATTATGTGGGCTTTGAAACACCACCTCATAATTCATGTTATTTTGAATTCTGATTTATAAATAACGGGGGAGGGGCGAGAGAGAAACGCCGCTTTTCTTTCCTCCTAAGCTTACGAGGCTTTATATACATAAATATACACACAGAGAGAGATTTATGTATTATATATATATTATATATGTAGCTGCTCCATCGGGCAGAATTAACGGTCAACATACGCTCCCCCCCCCTTCAAAAAAAGGATGGAATAGCTAAGGGATCCTCCCCCCCCTCTCCGCTTGCGAGTTGGACTCGCCCAGCACGCGCGTATCAAGCCCAGGCCCGCGCGCGCAGAAGAGCCACACTTTTTACCTCAGGAAACGGGTTCTCTTCGGTTTAGATGAGCCCTCCTTCCCGCCTGTTTTTCCTCGTCCCACGGCGCCCGTCTCCATCCGGCACCTCAGCCAATCACTGGCGAGACACGGGCTGCCACCGGCCAATCGAGAGCCGCGAGCGTGTCCAATCCAAAAGTCCTGGGATTATTCTAATCGGAACTCAACGCTTGGCGTGCCTTCCGGGTTCCTGCTGTTGCCTAGGTAGCCGCTCGGTTAGTGCGGCCTACCTGAATTTCAGACGTCTCTGCCTCCTCCCCTAAATTTCCCAAGGTGGAGATTCTCTGGCCATCGCTTACCACATTTTTGAAGGATGTCTGTGCCACGTTTCGTGACAAAAACCCCATAAATCATCATAATCGAATCGTAGAGTTGGCAGGGATCCCAGGGTCATCTAGTCCAGGATTTAGGTGGGGGCAGTACATCAGCTAGTTATTTTTATTGATTTACTTGATGGGGGCACTCTACCCATTACACCAGGGGTCAGCAAACTTTTTCAGCTGGGAGCCGGTCCACTGTCCCTCAGACCTTGTGGTGGGCCAGACTAGATTTCGGGGCAAAAAATGAATTCCTATGCCCACAAATCACCCAGAGATGCATTTTAAATAAATGGACACATTCTACTCATGTAAAAACACGCTGATTCCCGGACTGTCCGCAGGCCGGATTTAGAAGGCGATTGGGCCGGATCCAATCCCTGGGCCTTAGTTTGCCTGCCCTTGCATTACACTATACTGACTCTTAAAATCAATTAACTTGCACTTAATACTCATAAAATCAATGGGAAGAAAGGTAGTTTCTCAAGTGCCACGCATCTCAATGATCAGAAAAAATGCACTGTAGCTTATTAAGTTTGGTTAGGAAGGTCGCAAGAGAGAGGCGGTGGTCACTCCTATATTAAAATCACAGCTACATGCTTAAAATTGTCACTTTCTATCATAAGGTTACCAGACGTCCCCATTTCCCGGGGACAGTCCCCAGATTTACAAATCAGTCCCCTGACAAAATCCATCTATTTAGTAGGAAGTTGAAAAGTGTCCCCGGACTCATTGAAAAAAAAATTTCAATGGTAAATTTTTTCTATCACAATGTGCAATATAGGTTCCTCCACTTTCCTCTTGGGAGAGGACTTTTGATGGATATTTTTGGCAGAGGTTGTCATCAATTAGCTGACAGCGACATCTTGTGTTTTTTAAAACACTGCATTGCTTCTGCCGATTTTTTGCTTTGTTTCTAGTACAGCCAAAACAATGTTGCCCTAGTGCTGGTAATGGATTGTGTGCTTTATGTACTACTGTTTTTTACTAGCCTCTTATCCTTCTTAACAGAGTATGCCAGGGGTTAAACCTGGGACCTTCTGCATGCAGACAGTTCTCAACCCACTGATGTCTGCTCCCAGCTACCACTCCTCTCTGAAGTTGTAGCTCCTTGGGAAGATCACCATTTGAACCTGTAGCTGGTTGTAATGTTCCAGAGTTTTATTAAGCAAAAATCTCAGTTCACAACTCTTGTTACACAGGTAACCCGTCGTCTTCTGCATCTAGGAGATGCCATTTTCTTCATTTTTATTGCAGAAGTTTGCATCTGAGAAAGGTACAGAAAGTATTGATTCCATATGTGAAACACCACTCTGCATAACTTTCATACCCACATTCACATAAGGTTACCACTCTCCTAAAGAATTATCCACCTACTCTGACTTGAACTGTGAGCAACCCTTTCAGAACCCAGAATATGCATGAAGATTCAATAGGCAAGACACAGCTGATAATGCCACAAGTTGCATACATGTACAAGTTATCGTTACAGAAAACAAGTGTGATGTGCAACAGAATGTTGCAGCATGATGTACTACTATACCGAGTTCGAGCCAACCGACCAAGCCAATAATTTTCTTTCAATTTCCCACCCCCATTTTCCCACCCTTTCTAACAGTCAGTCCCCCATTTGTTGTACTTTTGCAAACCTTTGTGTCCTCACAAGTCTCTTGATTCTTCCCCCTTTTTGTGTATGGGTGGCTCCGTTTGGACTCCTTACGGATGCATGCTCAGAGAATAAGCTTGCTATTATTATATAAGACATATACATGATGATATACAGTATATATATAAAGACAGACAACGCGCTGGAACAGTACAAATGTTTATAAGAAACGCACAATGTCCACTGGGTCTTCATTGAAATAAATGCTCCCAATGGTATATAAAAATATTACAAGCCTAAGAAAACCAGAAGGCATGAAAACATATGTACACATTTTACAAGAGTCTAAGAAATCACTCTCTTCCAGTCGGCTAAAATATTTAAAAACTGTATTTTAAGAAGGTAATACTGGCATATAGAATTGGGTTTTATCCAATGCAGAGTAGACCCACTTAATAGACATGACTTAGGTTCATTAATTTCAGTGGGTCTACTCTGAGTAGGATTTAGCTGGATACAATATAACCTCAGCCGAAAATGTAGCCAAAGGAGGTTTCACAACAGCACCGTCAGGATCAACCTGGTGGTTTCACTGAAGAATTAAACAACAGTGATGAAGAATTTTAAAATCAAACAGGAGGCAACTGACCATCTTTGAAGAGGACAGAGGCAGTTTTGATTCTTGGCCCTACACTGACTGATCCCTATACCATAAAATTGCAACATCCAACCCCTTTTGTGTACATGAACCATGAAGGCTCTTCTGCATTCAATGACTGCTTTGGATGTCCCACTAAGCCATGGTTAAAAATAAACTATTTCACATGCACAATGAGTGTGGTGGTATGTGCCCTGCTCAAAAGTCTCCATTCTGTTCCTCCATCGGGGAGGAAACCAGCGCTCGCAGCCTTGTTTCCCTCAAACAAACCACAAACAGTATGCCAAGAACAAAACTTAAGCTTGGAGAGGAAAAACCATAAGCGCTGGTTAGCACATGATGTGAAGCCAGTCTCTGGTTTCTTTCTTTCCTGGTGCAAAGGAGCAGGATGGAGCAAAGGCAGTGACTTTTAACAAGAGTTTAAATGTGACGGCCAAACCAAGCTATTGCGCAAAAACACATACAGAAAATGGTAGAGATCTGCATATGTACTTGGAAGATTGCACCTGATTATTAGGGAGAGGCGTTCCGCTACTAAAATGGTAACTTCTATGCAATAATAATAATAAACAGGATATGTGAAGGACTTCCTAACTGGACCACTGAAACAGCCATATGAGATGCAATTCTTTTTACCTAAATCAACTAGGACTAAAAACTTTAGGGTTCTTGACTTACAAAAGGATCACTTCAGAAATATTTGCTCCCCGTTGTTGGCGAGGAAAAACATGAACATTGCTTCAGGCTTCGTATGTCAATTTTTTACACTCCGAGAATTAGCACACCATAAGAGAGTCAAGACACCCCACATCTTTCCTTAAAAGCCGTACTGAGATTAAAAAAACCCCAAAACAAACTGAGCTTAGCTCTGTGCTACCTGAACACATATCAGAACTTATTTTTGACACAGCAACATCACAACAATAAAAATGCATTTCAATAAAACTGCTTTTGGTACTTTCCACCACGCAGGCATCTCTAAACATATTGAACAGCCAAGTTTACACAGTGCTTTTAAAAACATGATTTTAGGGTTTATTCCCCCCTCCCCCAGAAAAATCTGCAGCAAAATTCACATTTGCCAAAGATACTATAAAATGTTGGTACTTAAAACTGGAAATTTGACTAGGAAAGAAAGCATTAGTTGTGAGGGAGTCATAGACAGCTGGGGACCTGGGTGCAAAATCTGAGAAATGGAAAATTGCCAGCTGACCCATCAACTCACCTGCTGCCACTCCTAATGGCTAAGAAGAACTTCGCAGTCCCAGCCAACCACCACATAGCCACTTCGGGTGAGGCCAAAATTCTGTTGCATTGATCAAGAGTTTCCTACTGCCCCCTTTCCTAAAAAATATACCCCTGCTGACCACTCTGGGACTTTCAAACCTCAGCTGGTTCTGAGCAAGCAAATAGGGGCAACAAGAAAGAAACCCCCACCAAAATTGACCCAGTGGGGCCTACCACTACATGCAGACTTTTACTTTAAACAATCAAAAAAGTTGCATCTCTCTCTCTCTCCCCAGTTCCTTTCAAACTGTCCTTGTTCATTTCACAAGCCACCCTTCACCTCTGGAGCATCTGCTTGAATGGAAGTTGTCCCACAGATTTCAGACTGTGGTTCGGCTTTAACTCAGGACACAGGGCGGAAGAGAACCATCTGAGACACTGAAGAAGTAGAAAATGGCAGGGTAGCAATTTCTCTGTTTCACAAACACACACTAGGTCAGCTTTTGCAAGCCTCTCACCTCGAAAAACCACCAAATATGGATTCCGGAAGGAGTTGACACGGAGACCACTGCAAAAACCTTAAGATGCTTTCACTGAAAGCGGCGTTTGTCTGCTGCATCCACAACTTTGCATTAATGCTAATAAAAAATATACAGTTTCCTTCCAAGCCAATTCGTAGCTTCACTTTGGCCTGGAAAGCTTCAGTTTGGAATTTACCAACTAGAAGTCAGCATCCGCTACCAAGTACCCAGCAACGGCCCTTTCCATTTTGGGCACACCTTAAACTCCGCCGACACTCATGTTAATTATTTCGATGAAAGTATTTTCGATACACTGGCATAGCTGGACGTTGGGGTCCAAGCTGCTGGTGTCTCCCGGTCCAGTTTTATGAGCCGGCTCTTTGTGAAGTCTTGTTCGCTCGTACGGTTTCTCCTTCAGTTGCTGGAGACCTGGGGGACAAGTCAAGGCATTGCAAAGTGAAGTGGCACTTAAGGTAAAAAAATAATAATCAAAATCAAATATTTATGTACTTTGAGGCAGCAAAGGAAAGGGTAGAAACTTGGTGGCAGTGCCAATTATCATTCTTATTTTACAAAAAACAAGTCTCCAAGTGACTCATGCTGAGTAAACAAAAGGCTCCAGGTTTTACTTCTGGAATCTCCAGTTTAAAAGGCACCAGGAAGCAGGAGATGAGGAAGACCTGTATTCTGCCTTGGACCCGGCAGAGCTGCTACCAGCCAGAGTAGACGGGCAAATAGACTTACAAAGCAGTTTACAAAGCAGATCTGCATGACTTCTCTCCTTGTGGGCAGGTACAAGGAGATGTTCAGAACAGGCCATGAAACCTCATCCCAGACCATGCAAACCTTAATCAATGGCACTCCTCTGATGGCCAAGATTTTAGCCACACGATGTTTGTGTGTTTCTAAGTGTACCTTATTCACCGCAAATGGACAATGTGGTGCTGAATTTTCAGCATTCAGAGGAGCTGTTCTTAAGGAGCAATCAGCACACCAATCACGTCTGTCCAGCACGAATACTTACGCGTAATGATTGGGTCAAAATCCCTCGTCTCTGTGGCGACGTCTGAAGCACAAACCTGCCCGATCTGGATGAGCAGGGACATGATATCCTCATAGAGGGGAGGGAAGGCTTGGCAGAACGAGACCAGGCAGGGCAGGGTGGGGACGAAAAAGGTGTAGCGCTTTGCCTCGGTTAAAACTGGAGAGACAAAAGGATGCACTTTTAAAAACAGGACAGATCCAAACAATGAGAGCCACCGTTTAAAGAGGCACACAATTTAAACACATACACACAGACGGCATTTCATACACAGAACTTCAAAGCAACCCTGCCAACATTTTGGGGAATCCACAAATTCTGTGCCCTCTTCTATATAATTGCAAAGTGGCGACTCGCATACGTGGGCAAGCAACCACTGGCTTAATGCACATAAGGTGAATATCTAGGCTTCCCATACATTCAACAATTACCTGTTAGCAGCGTCCCCATGACATTGATAGCCAAACGGGCCACACTGAGGGATTTTGGCAGAGCGTACTGAATACATAAGTAAGAAAGTAACTGGATGGCAAAAATCTGGAAGACAAGGAAGCGGGGAAAGGATATAAAAGAAGCAGTAGGGTTTTGTTTTGTTTTGTTTTGTTTTGTTTTGTTTTGTTTTGTTTTGTTTTGTTTCTAAAGTAAGACTATCCTGTGTGAAGTTTTATTGTGCGTTAAAATCAAAATTACCCTACGTTCCTCTAACACAGACATTAACACATGTAAATATTTGTTTATATCTATAACCCCATAGGAGAAACCCATGTGGGGTACAATCAGCAGCTGCACACAGAAGACCCAAGAGGTGCTCACAATATTCGTTTGTTTGTTTGTTTGTCTACTTACTTGCTGCTTCTATGCTATGTATTTCTGCAGCATATGTGCCAAAACAGCTTCTAAGTGATTTACAACTATTAAATCAGTATGCTATTAAAATGAACAGCAACAAATCCACTGGGGCATTAAAACATCCTAAATTAAAACAAACAGTAAAACAAACTATTAAGTAAGTTTTTAAAAAACCAGATAAACAATAAAATTAGAAGTTTGGTGCAAGGGAAGGGTTGCCTAAAAAGGTGTCTTCAGGGGCCAGCGGAATGCCAATACTGATGGAACCTCTCCTATTTCAGCAGGGCGGGCATTCCACCAACACAGGTGCCACGGGTGAAAAAGCTTGCCTCCATGTTACCACAATATACAAAACCCATCTGGCATTTCCCTAGCAAATGAAAATAACTACCACCGCTAGACCTAAAGGAAGCACTCATCAGGGGCAGTGCTTGGATGCTTTGAACCAGGGCTGAATACGGGATCTGTCCTTCCAATTATAGGGAGCAGGACGGGGTGGGGAGGGAGCAGCTCTCTCTCTCTCTCTCTCTCACACACACACACACACACACACACACACACACTACCTGTTTCTCCAGTTCAGGCTGAGCAATCAGTTCAGGTATGAAGTCCAAGCAGATGTGCATGGATGGGATGCCCGCCACTGTCAGGCCAAGCAGCTCGTACGGGTACCCCTGTTTGAACAAAAGAGGGAGAAGGTATCAGAGAGAGACCGCGATATCAGGGTTGCACCATGAGAAGATTAATCAAGGAATTGGAAAGAAGCCACCTGGTTCCAACTACAGTGGACATTCGGGTTGCGAACGTGATCCGTGCGGGAGGCGAGTTTGCAACCCGCAACATCCACAACCCGCAGCGCCACATCTGTGCATGCGTGGGTTGCGATTTGGCACTTCTACACATGCGCAAAGCGTAATTTAGCGCTTCTACGCAACCGCGAAACCCGGAAGTAACCCGTTCTGGTACTTCCAGGTTTCGGCGAGTCCGTAACCCAAAAAAACGCAACCTGAAGCGCCTGTAACCCGAGGTATGACTGTACGGTGTGTAATCTTGCCCCACATTTTAGTATGAGCAAGAAGAGCTTACTGTATCAGGCTAGTGGCCCTTCTGTGCCAGCATCCTCACAGTGGCCCACCGGATGCCTTGTGGGAAATCCGCAAGCACAACGCAAGCACAAGAGCACCTTCCCCTTCTGAGATCTCCAGCAACTGGTATTCTGAAGCATGACTGGAGGCAGAAGACGCCTCGGTCTGCTCCCGACCTTTGCACACTCAGAGCTGCCTGTGGTCCGCTGATCTTGCCACTGGTTCCAGCACTGGACCAGAACACAACAGACGACACACCCTGTAAATGAGGCAGGAAGCACAGCCACACACCTGGAAGTGAACTAGCTTGGCGATGTTGGGGTCGGCAATGAACATCTGGTGCAGGAGGCAGCAGATGAGGCACTGGACCTCCCGCAGGTTGCAGAGGAGACTCTTCTCTTCCTTCTCCCCATTTCCCTCCACCTCCATCTCCTCCTCCTCCTCCTCCTCTTCTTTCAGTTTCTTCTTCCGAGGGCTGGAGTTGGCAGCTCCTGGGATGCCCTTCTGCTGCCGGCCACAGCTGTTGTTGATCAGGGGCTTCTCTTCTTCCATAGGCAAGCAGATCTCCAGAAGAATCTGGACCGCGGCGCTATCCTGGACAGCAAGCGAAAGGAGGCAAAGGACAAGTGGCAACCCACAAGGACCCACAGGAAGATGTAGTATACAGGTCTTGAAAGACCTACACTGGCTCCCAGTACGTTTCTGAACACAATTCAAAGTGTTGGTGCTGACCTTTAAAGCCCTAAACGGCCTCAGTCCAGTATACCTGAAGGAGCGTCTCTACCTCCATAGTTCTGCCCGGACACTGAGGTCCAGCGCCGAGGGCCTTCTGGCAGTTCCCTCGCTGCAAGAAGCCAAGTTACAGGGAACCAGGCAGAGGGCCTTCTCGGTAGTGGCACCCGCCCTGTGGAACGCCTCCCACAAGATGTCAAAGAGAAAAATAACTACCAAACATTTAGAAGACATCTGAAGGCAGCCCTGTTTAAGGAAGCTTTTAATGTTTAATAGGTTATTGTATTCTAGTGTTTTGTTGGAAGCCGCCCAGAGTGGCTGGGGAAACCCAGCCAGATGGGCAGAGTATAAATAATAATTTATTATTATTACAGAACCAGACCGTTGGTCCATCTAGCTCAGTATTGTGCCTACACTGACTGGCAGCAGCTCTTTGGAATTTCAGATGGGGGACTCTCCTAGTCCTACCTGGAAATTGAACCTAGGATCATCTACATGTGAAGCAGAAGTTCTATTCTGAGGTGTGGCCCTTCCTCTCCACATTAAACCACGGTTTAGTATTGCAAACAGGCCCCAGGCTCGTGCAGTCTCCCCTACCCGCAAACTTGTTGCTCTTTTGTGAGTGGGTGATGGAGATTTCCATTCCCAGTTTAGCAGCAAACCATCGTTATGCCATTTTGCGAGTCCGTTCAGGTCAGCACTGTGCCTACACTGACTGGCAGTGGCTCTTTCAGACAAGGGTCCCATCCTGAGATCGCGGGGATTGAGCCTGGGACTTCTGAATGCAGAGCAGATGCTCTAAGACAGAGCCATGGCCCCATCTCTCAAAGACTTGGGGGGATGGAATGGTCTTTTCTGAAAAAGGACAGGGTTCAAGCCAGCCAGCCATGACCAGATGTACTCCACACTCTGCCACATTTTGCTGCAGACCCTAACCGGTTTGCTTGAATTGGCCGTTGTGCAAATTCAGGGCAGGGAGCAGCCTGCTGCAGGATGCTGCAATAACCAGAGTTCTTAACAAACAGAAGAGGGGAAGGGGAAATTAGGCGACCCAAATTCTGCTGCAAGAAAAGGCTGGATTCCGCAATCTGAATCAATTATGCAAAACTCCGCATCATTCCCCTAGTCCCTCCCACCCCATTTTTATTCCGCATCAAAGCAAATGGAGATCACCGAAGTCCCACTCACAGCCGCTGGAAATCCCAAAAACAATAAACAAGGGGTGGGAAACCTCTGACCCTTCAGAAGCTGTTGGACTTCAACTCCCATCGGCCCCAGCCAGTGTACTCGATGGACAGAGGGGACAGGAGTTGTAGTCCAGCAATATCTGGAGGGCCATAAGTTCACTGGTCTAGGCAGACAGGCAGACATTTGCAACACTTTTGAACTGAGCACTGTGGGATAGAAATGTAACCATCTTCAAAATCACTTGTTCCGGATACTGCTGCTGCTGCTGCTGCTGCTGCTGCTGCTATCTATTCAGCATCCTTTGCTCAACTGAACAAGTGAGGGTCGTGGGGGGCTCTGATGCAGTTTACACCCAGCTTTGCAAGCAGGCAGAACTCAGAAGAGACTGAGACCGACTGGCGAAGCCCCCTGCCAGCTTCCTTTTGTTGGCTCATCAAAAGGCTGTGGTTTGCAAAGCTGATTGCTCAGTCCTCTTGCCGCAGCTGGAGGCAAGTTGGAAGCAGCTAAGAGTGGGGGGGGGGAGAGAGAAAGTAAGAAAACTGGAGGGGAACTAGTCAAAAGAAAGGCAGGAGGGACAAGAAGGACTCTGCTGAGCCAGTGAAGTGGCAAAATTGACCATTCTTCCTCTCTTCTGGAGGGAGAGAGAGATACCTGCTGCTTTTGGTGAGAGGCATTCCAAGGAAAGGTCCAGCAAGGAGACCTCCCTTTGCATTCCTTCATGCTCTCTTGCCCCGGGTGTCACAGAGGGTAAAACAACACTCAGAAGGGGCGGCAAGAAGGAGGTGGAGTGAGAACAAAAGGGAGGTCAGCGGAGAGAAAAGGGCTACTCTGGGAGGAGAGGCCTGCCCTTCCCCAGCTGCACAATGGGCAGAAGATTTGACTCAGCTGGCAGCTCACAAGAAGGTGACCTTCCGCAGAATACAAAAAAAATGAAGTTTTCAAGTTTGTGGGCTGATTATCTTGTGAACTGCCCAGAGACCTGTGAGTATACAGCGGTAGACAAATTTATTTATTTATTTAATAATAATAATAATAATAATCCTGATTTCCTTGCGTGGATGTCTGAGAACTGGGTTGGATTGACAGAGGCAGAAGGGACTGTGAGCCTCATCTAGTCCAACCCCCTGCAATGCAGGAATATGCAGCTGTCCCATATGGAGATCAAACCTGCAACCTTGGCGTTATCAGCACCACGCTCTAAGTCTAACCGATGCAGCTATCCAGGTTGGACCACCAGCCCTTGCTTGAGCCCCTGGCAAAGCGCTGTCTGGCAAAAATGCTTGGAAAAGGGGGGATCTTCAAGTGCAAGGCATAAAAACCACCTGACTTGGTGGTGGTGGTGGTTTTTCCTCTCTCTCTTTTTTTCTCAGGCAAGATTACAGATCACAGGTGAGGAGCAGTTGCAGAATTACCTGGGCAGCCAGCAGGGCATTTTTCAGTTCTTCCCGGGTGACTTCTGGGGCCTCCAAGCCCATCAAGTTGTTTTGGGACGGCCTGATGTCCTGATCCGCCGTTTCCTTGAGATGGGCACTCAGGAAGGCTTTCGACGCAAGAAGGTAGCCGTTCAGCATGTGGAGAGTGATATCCATCAGAGGGGGGCACCTAAGGGCATGAAGCCAGGGAAAGAGATAAAGAGAGAGAGAGAGAGAGAGAGAGAGAGAGAGAAGATTGGAACTCTAGGATCCCAGGACCTAGTGGCCAACACTCTTAACTTTTACACCACCATTGGCTGTAAGGTAGCTTTGTACAGAAGGCTAGTTCTCCTCCCCGCCCCCCCCAATCTCTCAATTTAGGAAAAAAAGATCAGAGTTCAAGGACCCGTTTCCAGTCACTCAGAAAAGGATATGTAGCAAGGTCAGACAGAATCTCAAGGGTCAGATAGAGAGGGCTAGGGGGCCTGAGATTCCCCATCCCTGCTGTAGGTTATTAGCTAGGGATCTGAAGTGAAGCAAACCATGAGCTCAGGGTCAGATGACACACCGAGCCAACCTATGGCTTAGCTCACAGCTGCACCAGGACCAGAAAAGGGTGAAAGTGGGTGCAACCGCCTCTCCAGGGATTTTCACATTTGAGTGAAGTCATTGATAGTGACAGCAGTCACGAAATTAAAAGACGCCTGCTTCTTGGGAGGAACGCAATGACAAACCTAGACAGCATCTTAAAAAGCAGAGACATCACCTTGCCAAGAAAGGCCCATATAGTTAAAGCTATGGTTGTCCCAGTAGTGATGTATGGAAGTGAGAGCTGGACCATAAAGAAGGCTGATCGCCGAAGAATTGGTGCTTTTGAATTATGGTGCTGGAGGAGACTCTTGAGAGTCCCATGGACTGCAAGAAGAGCAAACCTCTCCATTCTGAAGGAAATCAGTCTGAGTGCTCACTGGAAGGACAGATCCTGAAGCTGAGACTCCAATACTTTGGCCACCTCATGAGAAGAGAAGACTCCCTGGAAAAGACCCTGATGTTGGGAAAGATGGAGGGCACAAGGAGAAGGGGACGACAGAGGACGAGATGGTTGGACAGTGTTCTCAAAGCTACGAACATGAGTTTGACCAAACTGCGGGAGGCAGTGGAAGACAGGAGTGCCTGGTGTGCTCTGGTCCAGGGGGTCACGAAGAGTCGGACACGACTAAACGACTAAACAACAACAGTGTTCCATGCAAACCAGCCCTCAGTGACAGAAGCCAGGAATGGGGCTGGAGAGGGCTGCTTACCTGTGGACTCTCTGGTCACATCTTAACACAATCAACGGGTCAATCATCAGGTCCTTCTGAGTGTATTTCTGCTGTCTGACCACGTTGTTGGATGGCTGCAAGGCGTTCGCCGTCATCACCCACAACCTACGGGGAAATAAAGGCCGTGAAGTCTGAGCGGAGCTGGAAGCAAAAGCCGTGTGAGGCAAGCTGGGAGAGTCAGATTTTACCCCCACCGAAGCCCAACATTAAAGTGGTATGGTGATGCTTCTGAACAGCCGTGGCTTTCCCCCAAAGAATCTTGGGAAGTGTAGTACAGAGATACCACCAATCCCTCTGTGAATTGGAGCTCTATGGCAAACTACATTTCCCAGGATTCTCTGGGGGAAGCCAGGACTGCTTATAAAGTGGTGTGATACTGCTTTAAATGTATAGTGCAGATGGAGTCTGAGGAGCAAGTCCGAAGTTAAGATCAGAGCATAATCAAGAATAGAGAAACACACCGGAGATCAGGAAGGCCTTGTGGGCCAAGCAAGGCTCATCTGGAACAGGAAGCCCTTAATGCTTCCTTTCCAGAAGGACCCAATGGACTGGGTGGGCTGAGTCAGCCAAGGGCTAGAAGGCATTTCACTGAGGTCACCACTACTTGCAGTTCTGGTGGCTCACCACATGAGGGAGCTGCACACGGAGACATGCAACATGAGACTAGAGTGGCCCCCAAGAGCAGGATCAGGGCCTCCTCCTACCTCCGAGGCATGACAGTGTTCAAGGCCATCCAAAGCCTGTTGACAGTCTGAAGGATTCGACGAGGGATTCCCGGGTAGAGCAGTTGGTTCATGTTGGATGTCAGTGCCTCCGCGTAAGGGATCAGCTCTCCGGCCGAGAGGAGCGTCAAATGCTCCAGAATCTGCAGCACCTGAGTGTGATTTCCTTGCAGTGCTGAAAATGCTGAACAAAATTAAGTTTCACCTATCATCACCAGCATCATCATCAAATTTATTACCTGCCCTTCATCAGCAAGTCTCAGTGGATTGCAACAATTTAAAATTCAGAATTTAAAACACAGAATCGCAGAGTCCCCAAAAATAGGGGGCGTCTCTTACATGAGGGCGTAAATTGCCGTGATGGCACTTTGCGACAAATAGGCGGGTTTTGGGTTGCAGTTTGGGCACTCGGTCTCTAAAAGGTTCGCCACCACTGCCTTAGACCAGTTTGCTTGAAGAATAGCCTTATCCCACTTCAGTCTGCTGAACTGGCATTTCTTCAAGCACTGTATAATGTTCTGCGTTTGTGAGGAATCAACCTCTTAGTGTGGCAACCCGTTAGTGTAGAACTCCCTGCCTATTGATATTAGGCCGGTACCACCATTGCACTGTTTCTCAAGTTTAGAGAAGGGGTAGGCAACCTAAGGCCCGTGGGCCAGATCTGGCCCAATCACCTTCTCAATCTGGCCCATGGACGGTCCGGGAATCAGTGTGTTTTTACATGAGTAGAATGTGTCCTTCTATTTAAAATACATCTCTGGGTTATTTGTGGGGCATAGGAATTTGTTCATTTTCTTTTCCAAAATACAGTCCGGCCCCCCACATGGTCTGAGGGATGGTGGACCGGCCCACGGCTGAAAAAGGTTGCTGACCCCTGATGTAGTCCAACCCCTGCAATGATCCTTTTGCCCAACGTGGGATTTGACCCACAACCCTGAGAGTCTCATACTCTACCGACTCAGCTAGATAAAATTTATTGAGCTGCATGAACCATTTCCAATCTAGCTGGTTCCAATAAGAACTGTAATGTTTAATAAATGGTGCCTAAACTTGCATTTTTTCCCTTTTCCCTCCTCCCCCCTTTTTCCTTTCGGGTCATGTCTTTTTGGGACTAGCTGGCTGCTGATCTTTGTCAGCCGCTCCGGGCTTCGATGGTGTACCAAGTAAAAAGTTTGTGCAAACAAACAGCTTAACGTTTGAATCCTTTGCAGTTCTGAAAAAGGTACATGTTTTTGACTTACTCTTGGGGTGGTCCTGTTTGGTTTTAGTGATTTCGTATTTTAATGGCCACTGGCTCCAAAATATATAAAATCTGACTGTCAAACAACAGGGCTGTGCCAAGTAGAGAGGATTGTGGGGGTCCAGAAAACCCCACAGAACACTGGCCAAATGCACTTTCAAAGGGTGAGGAACCTTACCCTCCTGGAGCTGCTTGGGGGAGTGTTTCTTGGCTGCATCCGTCAGCAGCATCCTGCGCAACAAAGCATCTGTCCCTGTGATGTGCTCCTCACAAATCCAGTCATCTACGATGGAAAGGTGGGGATAGTTGGTCGCCAGGAGGCGGAGGAGGGCCGAATGCAAGCCTTCGAGAGAGGTGAGAGACAGAGTGTTTTAAGGTTGAGGGGGGGAAAGAAAAATGACAAGTGTGACAACTTATTTAAACATTTCATTGGTTATTTATTAATGGCAGTGAGAATATCAATAGCCAAAAATGGGAAAGAAGCAAAGGGTTTAAATCAGGCATAAATTTAATGATTATCTAGTTAAATTTGTTAAGTTAAATTAATTGAAAATAGCTTGCAGATACTTAATTGGCTTAGGATTTTATTTATGTTAAGTGATGAATTAATATGTTTAATGCCATAAGGTGAAGATTTAAGGATGTTAATGTTTAAGTTAAATTTCATAAGAATTGGGATTTGGAAAATCGTTAAAAGGACATGCAATGAAATTCAACCAAGAGGAAGCGAGGAAGTCACTTAACAAAGTTAATAAGTGTAATTTTCAATAAGGCTATGATGTTTGTTTGTTTGTTTGTTTGTTTGTTTATAATATTGTGAAAACCAATAAATTTTTTGGAAAAAAATAAATAAAACAGGCATAGGCAAACTCAACCCTCCAGATGTTTTGAGACTACAGTTCCCATCATCCCTGACCACAGGTCCTGTTTGCTAGGGATGATGGGAGTTGTAGTCCCAAAACATCTGGAGGGCCAAGTTTGCCTATGCCTGGTTTAAATGTACAAAAATGGGGAATGGCAAACCCAGCTGATGGACTATGCTGACTGGAAAACTCAGGAACCAAGAGGATAAAGGCTTTATGAAAGAATGGGGAAAATTTATAACGTATCTAAGAGACCACTGTAAGCAGATGGAAATATTGGCAGGATTCTGATTTCACTTGTAGTGTAACAATTACCATGAAAGATAGGGATTAATATAAAACTTGAGAGTTTGGAAGAAGATGCAGTTTTAAATGTTGAAAATGGGACTCCATGGGGGGGAAGAGTCCTGAGATTCAGAGAAATCTCTGTATATGGTTATATATTTGGATTTTTATAACTTTGTATTGGAAAAATCAAAGAAAATTTATTTCAATAAAATATAATAAAATAACATTAAATTAAATTAAATTAAATTAAATTATAAAAGTACAAAAATGGTAAAATGTAATCTGGGAGATGGCACTTCAAAAAAACTTTGCGCGGCTAGAGGGCAAAAGAAACCCTGAGAGACTTCTGTGATGGACTGCTGTCCATTTATCCAGCATACAAACATGGATTCAACAGGACCAATAGTACCTGTTGCATTCCGCAGTAAGTAGTTTCGTTGGTGTCATATTTTATTGCTAATGACATTAGCCATTTTCAGACTCTCTCTGTTTCAGCGTCTTTATGAGCTTTATCATGATTATTTAGATCCCAAACAGAGGCTTGTTTCTCCTCCACAACCTCCACAAACCCTCAAGACAGACAAACCTCCCAACTCTTGCTGCAGCCCTTGGGCTTGACGGATGAGATACTTGATGGGGATCTGGTCCATCAACGCCGGGGAGTAAGACTTGGGCTTCCTCTGCATGGCAGCTGTGAAAGAGACGAGGAAAGTCGCCTGCTGGTCAGTCAAGAGCTACTGCTGATCAAATGGCAATCATTCAAGGCAAAATGTTGCAGCCATTCAGGATTCTAGCCGCTTTATCTGCCCTGATACTTTACTTTACTTCATTTATGAAAGTATTTATATACTGTTAAATCGCAAAAAAATATCAAAGCGGTTTGCAACATTAAAAAGACAAAAACCATACCAATAAAAGCATTAAAAGGGTTACAAACAAAAGCAAAAAAAAGTTAAAAGCAAGCTTCAGATTTAAAATGGTGTCATACCACATGAAACAGATAAAAAATCCTGGGAACTGTACCTTGAGTTCTTTGGAGGAAAGATGGGGGGGGGGGGGAGTATTAAGTAAATAAATGACTTTTAAGGATTCTGGGAATTGCTAGGAGAACTCTCTACTCCCCACTGAGAGCGACAATTCCCGGAGTGCTTTAAGAAGCCATCTCTTCCTAGGGAATTCTGAGAATTGGACATGGGATGGAGCAGAGCGACCCCTCTCTTACGCTTTGGAAGGGGAAGCAGGAAGCCAGACTGGGGAAGGCTGAACAGGACACAAAGTGACCCAAGAAGGGTGAAAGCCTGCCGCCTAGAACCAGGTGCCACGTTTGCAGATGGGAGCCGGCCCACAAGCCCGGACACAGTATGTGCTTATAATCCTGACATCCCCCAAAGGCGAGAGAGTCTTGAAATTGAATGCCCAACGCCTTGTCTCGGTGGTGGGTGCAGTGCAGCAGCTGATTGGGGCATCTTTGTTGCTTCTGTCCGGCTCAGAACTTCTTGCCTTGCTCCCAAACTCCTGAGCCCTGCGTGTCTGCTGCTTGGCCTGTACCATTACCTGCCTGAATGAAGATCTCTTTCCTACTTCAAATCTTCCTGTGAGTGTTGGGAGGGAGCCAGGACAGCAACATCTAGAGGGCCATAGGTTCTCTGCCCCGCATGAAGGAGCTGACCGAACCAGAGGGCTATGTATGGTTAGGTTAGGAAATGAATGAATGAATGAATCTTTATTTGCGTCAGCCATCGGCCATAGCAATAAAACAACAATAGGATATACAAAGAATAGAAATAAAAAGACAATTATATAAAATACATTTTAGGGTTTTGAAACAACCCAAGTTATATGGAGGTGCAATTGTTTGCATATATAGTGATATACCTTCCCCTCTTCCCCTCTTTATTCTCTTTTTACTTTTATTCTATTCTATTTCATTTCATTTTATTATTACTATTCTTGCTATTATTAGAATTTATATGCCACCTATACCTGCAGGTCTCAGGACAGTTCACAGGATAAAATCAGAATATAAAAACACAAAGTACATAATCAAAATAAAAACAACTGAACTATTCTAAAATAAAAAAGGAAACAACCTATGTTATGAAATGATCCGACTGGAGACATTTGCTGATATATTCTCAGCTACTTAGAGCCTGCTGAAAACTCACGCTGTCTGGCAAACATTACATCCCAACACGTACCCAGGGTCTTGGAGCTAGCTAGGATTGCCTCTTCGTAAGACAGAATGTAATATAGGACGAGAAGTTGGGCTGTGATTTCGTAACGCTGATTCAGGCGAGCGTTCTCTCCCTGCGTATGAAAAAGGCACAGAAGACACAAGGCGCATTCATATAGGAGAGCACAGGGTGATGTCTTGCTGGCTCCTCCAGATGTTGCAGGACTACAACTCCCATCATCCCAGGCCACCACTGACCATGCTGGTCGGACAGGAATGGGAGCTGGGAGACCCAGCAACATCTGAAGGGCCAAAGGTCCCATCCCAGCCTTGCTTTAAACTTAAAGCTAGACCCCTGAGTTTGCTCAGTACTGTGGCTTGGGCCTACAACTGAGGAGTGAGTATTAGCCTGCTAGGAATTCAGCACCATAAATAATCCTAGATACAGGAGGGCACGTTCTGCGCTTTGCCATCAGCTGCTACGGAAGGTGGATTCACCAGGCTGCCCTGGCAAGTGCCAAAAACGGCTCAGTCGGCACAAAAACCCATTCTCTTCGACACGGCACACTTATAGGGATGGAGGATCTCAGATTTTTTTTTCTGCACTTGGGGAATGCAAATGAATTCAGCATCTCAGTTTTCATGGCAGACTCCAGACTTAAGGTCACAGAAAAATATAAGCCATCGGAATTGTTACTAAACGGGGGTCAAAAGTGTTAAAAGAGAAGAATATTGTTGTTATCATTATTTTATTTGTTGCCTTTTTTGACCCACCTTTCTCTCCAAGGAGCTCACGGTGGTGTAGGTGCTTCTCTGCCTCCTCATTGAATAATTTAAGATGAATTCTAAGTCAAAATTATCATTTTAAAAACTATTTCCAATTTGCTACACTATTTTTAAAAGGAACTGTGTTCCCCCACCCCACCTGCTCCTCCATGGTTATTTGTGAGAACCCTAAACTGTATTTGATGTTTACAGTCCGTAGACCAAATAAAGTGAAATTATAAAGCCAGATACAACATCACACACACACACACACACACACACAGAGAGAGAGAGAGAGAGAGAGAGAGAGAGAGAGAGAGATTAGATATACCCCCATTAGTCCTTCAAAAACATTCAAGATCTCCTGCTCTGTGATTGGCTGATTTGTGGCTTCCGGGTTGGATTTTGATGCCGGTGTGAGGACAGAGTTGATGTAGACATCGATCAGGGGGAGTAACTGAGGATGGAGCGGAGTGGTGGTTTCACACAGCTGCCTATAAATCCAGTCCTTCAAAAAACCAAAAGAAGTAGAGTAAACTTCGTATTTCAAGTCTTGGCTGAGTAAAGAGGAAAATGAAGCCAACTCCTTTCATACTTCATGAAGAGCTAGTTTGCCCTGCAACCCCCAAGGTCTCTGAACTGGAGATTCTGGTGTTCGAACCCACAACTTTTGGCATACAAATGGTATGCTCAACCATTCAGCTCTGTTTCATCTCACCTGAGGTCATTTGTCCCCCACAGTTCCCTCTAACTGCCAGCAGAACTCCGGGAGTCTGCTCAACAGCCTTCCCCAGCCATGTCTGGTGAAGCCAGGAATTTGAACCCAGGACCTTCTGCATGCAAGAGGAAGGCAGGTGAAGACCACCTCAGGGCCTGCTCCAGTTGGACTACCTCCTCACCACTGGGTGATCTACCATCAATGGTCACGTGGGATGCATTATAATGTGTTTGTGCTAGGTTAAAAATTGTGTTGTGTTTTTAAAATATGCCATTCAATGTGGCACCTTGATAGGATTTATATCCTGAAAGGCGAGGTATAAAAATAATTGCAGTAAGTAATAAAAAGGAATGCTCTACATTTTGAGCTACAGGCCACTGAGACCATATAACACCGGTCCTGAAAGACCTACATTGACTCCCAAAACGTTTCCGAGCACAATTCAAAGTGTTGGTGCTGACCTTTAAAGCCCTAAATGGCCTCAGCCCAGTATATCTGAAGGAGCATCTCCACCCCCATCGTTCAGCCCGGACACTGAGATCCAGCGCCGAGGGCCTTCTGGTGGTTCCCTCACGGCGAGAAGCCAAGTTACAGGGAACCAGGCAGAGGGCCTTCTCGGTGGTGGCACCAGCCCTGTGGAACACCCTCCCATCAGATGTCAAGGAAATAAACAACTATCTGACTTTTAGAAGACATCTGAAGGCAGCCCTGTTTAGGGAAGTTTTTAATGTTTGATTGTGTTTTTATTATTCTCTTGAAAGCCGCCCAGAGTGGCAGGGGAAACCCAGCCAGATAGGTGGAGTATAAATGATAAATTATTATTATTATTAAACCGTGTCAGGTTATTAGGTCCATCACAGCTCAGCACTGTTTGCTCTTAACAAGCGGCTCTCTGGGGTTTTCAGAAAGGGCTCTTTCTGAGTCCTACTTCCTTGAAAAATAAAGCAATATCCCAGTCCTCAGGGTTCTGAATTGAGGGCTGGTTTAAACAGGAACATAGGAAGCTGCCTTATAGCAAGTCAGACACCTTGGTCCCTCTAACTCAGTACTGTCTACACTGACTGGCAGCAGCTCTCCAGGGTTCCGGACAGGGGGCATTTTTTCCGGGGACTGAACCTGGGACCTTCTGCAGGGGGAAAGCGAGGGCTCTGCAAGCCCCTTTGTCCCTTTGGGATGCAAGAGTTTGGTCCCGCAGACGCAGCCACCCACCTTGATGGAGACTTTGTGCTTGGTGAAAGAGCGGCTCCGGAGAAGCTGGTAGATGCAGTGGATGGGCAGGAATCCGGTGATGTTGGCGCTGAGGTTTCCCGTGACGGCCACACGGACTGCGTGAGCTGTGACTACCTGGGATGGAGAGAGGCCTCAACTCTGTTAACCTTTCAGAAACGGAACAGCAGAAGCGCCAACAGGGAAGGAAGAACACGTGGAACAGAGCGCCATTCAGCTGCGTCCAGGAGCACCAGGAAATCAATTTAGGTTCATGGTTTTCAGTGGGCCTACTGGGAGCAGAACTCAGCAAGTTGGGACTAGTTTACCTGCGAGATCCCCTCCCCCCTCAGCCGCTTCAATCTGAAGAACTGGCCCTGTTACAGCTGCCCCATAATACTCATGGAAGCACCTGCACTTTGGAACTCCCTGCCTATTGACGTCAGGAAAGCCCAATGTCGACATGAGTTTTAATCAGTTTTTTAGCTTATTGTTGATTTTACTTGTTTTTTTGAATGTTTAAAAGTGTTTCTACTGATCATTTCACCGTTTTATTCTTCTATAAACCACTTCGATGGGGCTGGTGTTTTTTTTTGTTTTTACAATCAAGCATTCATTTCATAAATGTTATGAAATAGAATAAATTCAGTCAGATACAACCCTTCAGTTTCATTACTGACCCAGTGAGATTTTGCTCACCTGCCCACACCACGTTCCCGAACTGGATTTATCATCCTGGACTGCTCAAAAGATGTTGCAACGGCCTCGGCCCAGTATACCTGAAGGAGCGTCTCTACCCCCATCGTTCTGCCCGGACACTGAGGTCCAGCTCCGAGGGCCTTCTGGCGGTTCCCTCCCTGCGAGAAGTGAGGTTACAGGGAACCAGGCAGAGGGCCTTCTCGGTAGTGGCACCTGCCCTGTGGAACACCCTCCCATCAGATGTCAAGGAAATAAACAACTCTCTGACTTTTAGAAGACATCTGAAGGCAGCCCTGTTTAGGGAAGTTTAATGTCTAATGTCTTAAAAAAAATTATGAGCTGTAAGCTGCCCAGAGCGGCTGGGGAAACCCAGCCAGATGGGCGGGGGATATGTAATACAATTGTTGTTGTTGTTGCTGCTGCTGCTGCTGCAATGGAGCCCTGTCATTTACTTCCCCAGAAGTAAAGAGGAAGAAACAAGAGAGGAGGGAGGGGTAGGGTGAGAAGGGAAAGCAGCTGGAAGAGCCGGGGTAGGGTGGGAGTAAAGGAAAGGAAGGAGAGGTCTGACTAGACAGAAAAACAGCAGGGCAGCTTTTCAAAGGCGTTTTGCAACACAGCCACACAGGCTGAGCGTGGAATGGGCCGGGTCACCTGTTCCGTGAAAATCTCCTGCGTGAAGATGGTCTTCATGCGGCTCAGAGAACTCGGCTTAATAACAATCTGAAACAAAAGGGTTACATGCGTAAGAGCCGGCTGGATCAGGCCAACGGCCCATTACGTCCAGCCTTCTGCAGGAGGAGAAAGCAAAGAAGGACGCCTCTGCACGAGGCAGGAGTGCTTACCTTCATCCCCAGAGTAGAGCAGACCAAGTCGATGATAGCGCTGAGTTGGTTGCTATGGAAATACATGGCAACCAAGAGCAGCATCTCGCCAAAGGATGCTGATACCCCAGAAGTGCTGTTGGAACAGGAGACGGGAGGAGGAGGAGAGTTGACAACGAGGACATCATCATCATTATTATTATTATTATTATTAATTATTATTATTATTAAAAACAGCTCAGGGGCTGCATAATTTTTCCCAGGGAAAGCAGAAAAAGGCCCACTCTCTCCTCACCTTTCAAAATAAGCTTCTTCTTTGATCATCCAGCTCAACCACATCACCATCAGCTGCTCCTGTTCAGGAGTGCTACATAAAAAAAGATGCTCCCGTTATAGATGCAGATGAAAGAGTCAACTAGTCCCCATTGTTTTATGTTATTATACCGAGCCAGGCCATCCCATCAGATGTCCAGGAGATAAAGAACTACACAACTTTCAGAAGACATCTGAAGCCGGTCCTGTACTGGGAAGTTTTTAATGTCTGACATTTGATTATGTTTTAATATGTCTTAGAAGCCACCCAGAGCAGCTGGGGAAACCCAGTCAGATGGGGTTAATAATAATACTACAATAAAAACCTAACTAAGAAACTAGAAGGGCAGTGACTTCCCCTCCCCCACTTGATCCTAAATATTAAAAAGGGTAGGTGATGGTTGGCTGACTGATGCAGGGAAGGCGTTTCATAGCGAGGCACTACAACCAATCACTCTTGCTTACCCCAAAAGCACTATCATCTGCCTCTTCTGCCTCCCTAGCCTCAGATGGCAGAGGAATCTAGAACAGACTAGGCCCTGCCTATCTGACACCAGGGCAGCTCAGCCAATAGCAAGCAGGGACTCTTCTCCTTGCCTCCTTTATTATTAATATTCTTTTGGGAGCCACCCAGAGTGGCTGGGGAAACCCAGTCAGATGGGCAGGGTATAAATAATAATTCATTATTAATTATTATTATTATTACTACTACTGCTACCTTGCCCCTCTGTGACATAAGGGAATACCTGCAGCTTCACCCCATCACCCACAATCCTGCACGCGGCGATAACTCTGCAATAAAACCAACTGCCTTCTTCCAGCCAAACTTCCACCCCTGGGAAAATGCTGGACGTTATTAATGGGTCAACAAGTCCTAAAGGCTTCTGCAAGGCAGGACGACTAACAGGGGTCAGCAGACTTTTTCAGCAGGGGGCCGGTCTACTGTCCCTCAGACCTTGGGGAGGGGGCAGACTATATTTTGAAAAAATAATAATGAATGAATTCCTGTGCCCCACAAATAACCCAGAGATGTGTTTTAAATAAAAGCACACATTCTACTCATGTAAAAATACCAGTCAGGTCCCACAAAAAACCAGAAATGCATTTTAAATAAAAAGGACACATTCTATTCATGTAAAAACACGCTGATTCCCAGACCGTCTGCCGGATTTAGAAGGCGATTGGGCCAGATCCAGCCCCCGGGCCTTAGTTTGCCTACCCATGGTCTAAAGTCTTCTGCAGGTGGGAATGGGAGAGCTTCAAAACAATGCTTGGCCAATGTTGTCCCCCCACATTTTCTCTCCCCCCCCCCACCCTGTGACAAAAGGGTTCCTCCGCCTGCCGCCGAACGGGTACCTGACAAGCGTGGAGAAGGCCAGCAGCATGCAGAAGGAGAGCGAGACAAAGCGGACGCCGGCTGGAGTGGCCGGTGGGCGGCTGGTCATGAGCTGGAGCAGCTGCTCAGCCTCCTCGTCCGTCGGCCTGGACACCACCAAGACAAAAGAGAGAGCCCCGCCGTCTCATCAGGACAAGAAAGCATTTTCTTCACAGATGCAGGGGGTTGTGGGGCAGGCACAAATATTTACGTGAGTCACAAGCCCTCAATAAAAGTTATCAGCCTGCCGAAGGTTCTTTTCTTGGAAGATTCAGGAGGAACAAAACAAATTTCTGTCACTCAGCGATTCGTTGCAACTGTGGAACTCCCTCCCACAAGAGGAAGAGCGACGGCCACCAACTTGGATGGCTTTTAGAGAGGAATTGGGCATATCCGCAGAGGAAAAGGCTACTGATGGCTACTAGCTACGATGGCTATGCTCTGCCTCCTTGATCAGAGGCAGGTGAGAGAGACCCCAATTTCCCCTTCAGAGAGCTATAATTCCCAGAGAGGTTTAACAATCAATCCCTCATCCCAGGGAACTCTGGGACTTGTAGGCCAGTGAGGGGAACAGGGGTCTCCTAACAACTCTCAGGAACTTTAACAGACTACAGGTCCCAGAATTCCTTGGGGGAAGCCTTTTGTGTTTAAAATGGTATGATAAAGAGTTTTAAATGTGTATTGTGGATGGGTCAGCCCCAAACTGTAAGGCAAACGGGGCCCAAATCTGCAAGTAACAAGGCTGATTTGGGAGGAACTGCATTACCCTCATTCCGGGTACTTTAGTAATGATTGCAACTGTTATGTACTGTTTTTGGGGGGACAGGGGGCGGGTGGGTGTGGAGGACTCCCTGGTCCTGAATGGGGTAACTGTGCCCCTGAAGGACCAGGTGCGCAGTCCGGGAGTCATTTTGGACTCACAGCTGTCCATGGAGGCGCAGGTCAAATCTGTGTCCAAGGCAGCTGTTTACCAGCTCCACCTGGTACGCTGGCTGAGACCCCATCTGCCTGCGGACTGTCTCACCAGAGTGGTGCATGCTCTGGTTATCTCCTGCTTGGACTACTGCAATGTGCTCTACGTGGGGCTACCTTTGAAGGTGACCTGGAAACTACAACTAATCCAGAATGCGGCAGCTAGACTGGTGACTGGGAGCAGCCGCCGAGACCACATAACATCGGTCTTGAAAGACATTGGCTCCCAGTACGTTTCCGAGCACAATTCAAAGTGTTGGTGCTGACCTTTAAAGCCCTAAATGGCCTCAGTCCAGTATACCTGAAGGAACGTCTCCACCCACGTAATTCAGCCCGGACACTGAGATCCAGCTCTGAGGGCCTTCTGGGGGTTCCCTCACTGCGAGAAGCCAAGTTACAGGGAACCAGGCAGAGGGCCTTCTTGGTAGTGGCACATGCCCTGTGGAACGCCCTCCCACCAGATGTCAAAGAGAACAACTACCAAACTTTTAGAAGACATCTGAAGGCAGCCCTGTTTAGGGAAGCTTTTAATGTTTGATGTATTATTGTATTTTAATATTTGGTTGGAAGTCGCCCAGAGTGGCTGGGGAAGCCCAGCCAGATGCGCAGGGTATAAATAATAAATTATTATTATATTATTATTATTATCATGCCACCTGAATGTCTTGGTGAATTATCATCCTTGATGAGTACTATTTTCTTGTGTGTGCTTCTGTACATACAAGCCGACAAAAGAACGCTCCAAAGTGCTTACTTCAGCCCCGCGATGCCCATCAGAGCGCAGTAGAGACGCAGGAGGGCGCTGGCTTTGACCACGTGCTCCTCCTTCAGCCCCGAGTACACAGAGACATTGGGCTCCATGTCCGCCTCCGCCTCCTCTGGCACATGCATGCTGCGGACAGTGGGCAGGATCCCCATCAGCTCCAGGAGCAGCTGACGACGCATCTGCCAGAGCACCGAGCTGACCGTCTCCCTCTTCCTCTGCGCAGGAGAAAGGAGGAAACGTCACGAGGTGGCAATCCCAGCAAAAACAGCACAATCCTTGGAAAGGGCCTTAACAGCTTCCTATTCGCACTCATTCCCCACCCCCCTTTAGCTTCCCTTAAAAGCTCAAAAAGCGTCACACAGGTGGCGCTGTGGTCTAAACCACAGAGCCTAGGGCTTGCCGATCAGAAGGTCGCGGTTCGAATCCCCACGACGGGGTGAGCTCCCGTTGCTCGGTCCCTGCTCCTGCCAACCTAGCAGTTCGAAAGCACATCAAAGTGCAAGTAGATAAATAGGTACCGCTCCGGCGGGAAGGTAAATGGCATTTCCATGCGCTGCTCTGGTTCGCCAGAAGCAGCTTAGTCATGCTGGCCACATGACTCTGAAAAACTGTCTGGGGAAGCGGACAAACGCTGGCTCCCTCGGCCTTTAAAGAGAGATGAGCGCTGCAACCCCAGAATCGTTCGCAACTGAACTGTCAGGGGTCCTTTTAAAAAGCTCAAATGTGCTGTAAAGCTCTGTTTTCAAAACAGATATTATTGCTATTGCTAGACTTGCTAGCTATTTGTTACCATTCAAGGGACTTGCATTTAAAAACATAAATACATTATACCATTAACAAATTTCAATGAAACATTGTCAAATTCATACACACACACATACTGTACAGTTCTTTTTAATTCTTAGATTTATATACTACCTATAAAATATTGACAAATTCATATAAAACACAACAATTCTCTCTCTCTCTCTCACACACACACAAACGTTTACATATATAAAAGTTATATATAACTTTTTATTTCTTACTTTGATTTACTACTTTTTCCTTCAAAGAGCTCAAGGTAGTGCATATTATCCTCCCTTCCGCATTTTATCCTCACAACTACCCTGTGAGGCAGCTTAGGCCGAGAGACAAGGACTGACTCCAAGGTGACCCAGTGAGCTTCATGCTGGGTGGGGATTCGAACCCTGGTCTCCCAGGTCCAACACTCTACCTATTACACCATTCAGTGCTCTCTCTTTGGGAGAACAGCAAGACTTTAGGTTCCCATGTGAGCCAGAGTCAGGGATGGAGCAGAAATTCCGATTCGGTTTGCATTTCGAGCCAAATCCATAAAATTCCACTTTTCCAAAGCAGCATGAGAACCTTCGGAATTCACGGACGTTCTCATGGACGTAGCTAATTAAAGCAGCAGGACCCCAAGAAAAGGAAATATCAGCGACACTCACCTGCTGCCCATTCCGGATAAAAGTCCCAAACCAAGTCCGGACTTTAGCGTTGGTCCCCAGCAGCAAGCCGCTGACAAAGCAGACGAGATCACTGACACTGTCCTCCGAAGACTCGTTTTTGGTGTGGTCCAGAGTTAAACCAACACCAAGTCCAGGTAAGTGGCACTCTTCCACCTGACCCAAAAGGAAACAGAAAGTGGAAAAAGCCACACATGCTCAGGTGTTTATTCGGGTGGTATTGTCTTTCTCGTGATCTATGTGTCTTTTGTGTTTTTATACTTGCAAACCTATGTGTCTTTTGTGTTTTTATACTTGCTATGTGTCTTTTGTGTTTTTATACTTGATGTCTCTTGATGCTATGTGTCTTTTGTGTTTTTATACTTGCAAACCTCCTTGTGATCCTCAGACAAAGGGCAGTAAATGAATGTAATACATAAATAAAAAATATTTAATTTGGAAGGAGATTCCCCCAACCAGACGTGTAGACACAAAAGGGACAGGAACCAATGACATCCTTTATCTACAGCATTTATACCCTGTCCCAGTTTAAGCCAAAAAGGCTCTCATAGCAACTTATAAAAATTGGTTCTCTGGCAATCCCTGCCTAAAGGCACATAATAAAAAAGACACGACATGCAAGGAAACGGAAAGGAGACGAAGTATGGGGAAAACAAAGCTCAAGCACAAATTCTTCAAGTTGCAGCGGATGTCTGTGGCAATTCTGGCTGCCTTGCCCTGGATGAGGAGCTGTCCTGGAAGCCCTCTTAAGACCCCTTCACCCACCCAAATATCATATCTAGGAATCAGCAGGTGGCAATGTGCCGGCCCTGCCATGCAGTCCTTTGCTTAGACAGCTGACGATAGTAGTTGTAGCACGGCGTTGATGTCGTTTTGCCTGTTAAAAATACAGCACTGAGCCACTACTTGCATCCAAGAAAGCCACTGGATCTCCCTCCCTCCAAGCCCTGCTCCTTCCTGAACAGCCTGCAGGTCTCCCAGCCATTACGAACACCCCACCAGCAACCCAAAGCTCACTTTCTGTCGACCCACCCAACTCTTCTGCAAAGACTTACCACCATGCCTCGGACTCTCAGCGCCTGGGCAGGGTTCATCTTGCAGAGCTGGCGGAGAGCCTCTGTCCTGCGACGGCCTCCAAAGCTTTCCTCGTCCTGCCGCTCGCCGTTCTTGATCAAGCCCCTGCACACTGCAACCAGCCAAAGGGAGAGGGGGTTATTGTGTGTTATTGGTTATGACCCCTCAACATTGGACATAAATTGCTTCTCCTTTGCAAAACCCTGTCTACCGTATTTTTCGCCCTATAGGACGCACTTTTTCCCCTCCAAAAATGAAGGGGAAATGTGTGTGCGTCCTATGGGGCGAATGCAGGCTCTTGCTGAAGCCTGGAGAGAGGGGGGGTGGGGGCGCACCGACCCCACTCGCGCGCCCGGCGTCAGGAAGCTATCTGCTAGCCGTGGGAGACGCAGCTCTCCCACGGCTAGCGGAGACCTTGCCGGCACCCAGAAGCTTGGGGCGCGCTGAGCTCAGCACGCCCCAAGCTTCGGGCTTCGCGCAGTGCTCCGCTAGCTGTGGCTCCCACGGCTTGCGGATAGCAGCCTGTTCTGGGGGCTGGGGTCGGGGGAAGCTCGGGCTTCCCCCGCCCCGCACCGGGGGGGGGGGGAATAAAAAAAATTTTCTTTATTTCCCCCCCAAAAAACTAGGTGCGTCCTATGGGCCGGTGCATCCTATGGGGCGAAAAATACGGTATTTTAAAATGTTATGACACCACGTCAGAATTTCCTAGTGGCTATTGGTTATTTCAAGACTCTGCAAATCACTCTTCTTGGGGGGGGGGAATCTCACATAAGCTAAATGTGTTCAAATGCAAACGTGCTTCTTTGCCATTTGATCTAATTTTATTTTATGCACAAACCCGGCACTCAGGAGTGTCGGGTACCAAAGGCCTATGCGAGTGCCTGGATTTAGTACAGTTGTGCTGGCTGGGGCTGATCTGAGCTGTAGTCCGGAAAACCTCCGGAAGACACACAGTGGAGAAAGTCAATAACAGAAATATGGCTTGTGGACATGGCAAAGTAAAGGAAGAGGAAGCTGCAAATTGCTAATGGCAATTTATGTGCCCCACTGCCATCTATAAAACGGCAGCTGCCAGCAACTGGCCCCAACTTCTACCCTAGGTAGCTGGCACTGGTAATAGATAGTGTTTGTGTCTTTGTGTGATTTGAAGTAAAAGAAAGCTGTAAATTACAGTATACAAGTGAGATCTGTTGCAGTGCACAGTGTTCCCCCTACTCAGGGCTCCAGCCAACCATACCGTTTTGCAAAACACTCCGTTTCGACCCACTCCCCTCACCCTGAGTCTATCAGCATTTCCACGCCCACTGAGCATAATCAGTCTGTGTTGGGCGGTTTTTGAGCTTCCCGTATGCCCTGGGGTCTCCCCCCCCCCGAAATCTGCCGAGTCCTCCCCACCTGTGCTTAGATTGTGCTGTTTTGGCTACACAAAAGGAACCACATTCAGATAATGAGTTTGCTATGAATTGCGTAGGTTACCTTCGTTAAAGCTGTCGGGAACATTGGCCACTAAGAGACAGAGGAACCAAGCGCCGTTCTTCACGTGCAGCAAAGCTTCAGCCACGTCCACAATAGGCAAGAGCGATGGGAGTTCTGAATTGAAATAGTTTTAAAATATTAGCCACGCCCACCGACAACTTTCAGTCCTGAGAGTCAAATCGGGAGAGCGTTTGTGAATACTTCGGGAGAGAAGGAACCTCTCACTGGCAGCAACTGTGGAATTCCTCCCAGTGGAGAGGAAATTCTGTGCCACAATATCTATTATTATTATTATTATTATTATTATTATTAGCATTACATTTATATCCCACCTTTGCTCCAAGGAGCACAAGGTGGCCTCCTCACACAGCCTGGGAACAACAGTCATTTATTTGGACTCAATCGATTTTTAAGAAGCAGTTATGACTTCAAAGGGCACACACCGGCTTGAAGGATGCAGAGGACATCGGCAGCTTCCTCCAAATAAACAGGGCTCTCAAACAGCTCCGACGACTTGAAAAAAAACTCACAGTTGGCCTCAGCCACCTGCAAAGAAAAGTTGTATTTAGAGAGGCTCTTTAAAACAGAACACACACCAGTTGTGAGGCCTGAGAACCAAACACCCAGGGAGGACAGATGTTCAGGCTTGTGGGATCTTCTTTCTTCATTTTACTGGTGGCCCAAAATCCACCAACCAACTGAAGGCTGGTGCAAAAGATATAGGCTGAATATTAAATAATTCTGAGTCCAGGAAATTTATTCTAACTACCATTTTAAAAAATCCTCATACCAAACTGTATTATAAATGTAAATAACCCCCACTTCAGAATTCAGATTACATTTATTTACAGCACAATGAATTATACAAATAGAAATAAAGAATCTTCTGTTTGACCTGCTATAATACATATAGTTCTATTTTTTTCTTTTACTGTTTTCCTTATTTTAAAAAACCTATAACCCCCCAAAAATAACTCCAGTAATGAGATCCATGTTTCAATTTATCTAATGCTTCTTCAGTTGATCCTGCTTACCCGTAAAAGGACCACACCGTTTTATATGCAGCTGGAACCGTTCTACCAGATTCCCTCCTATTTATAAAATCAATAAACAAATCCCAGTTTGCCAAAAAAATTCTTGGACCTCTCATTTTGTTTGTTGTTGTTTAGTCATTTAGTCGTGTCCGACTCTTCGTGACCCCATGGACCAGAGCACGCCAGGCACTCCTGTCTTCCACTGCCTCCCGCAGTTTGGTCAAACTATTACTTGGACCTCTGTCATTCTTGGACCTCTCATTACTTGAAATTTGTGAGACCACCAAACCTGAACTGAGCTCACAACCCTTTCATGCAAAAGTCCACGGATGGTTATTTTACCCACCCCAACTTTATTCATTTCAGCGGTACGCTGAAATTTTGTATTTTTGTGCTAGCAGGGGAAGGATCTTGTCATCACCACTGTAAAAAATACAACAGCTGAAAACCCCTGCCAAAGTACTTCAAATCAGTCTGGACATCTGCCAATCAATTCTTTAAAAAGGAAAGAAAAAGAAGAAGAATCTTGTACAAATTAATAAGTTCCTTAAGGCAGGGGGAGGGAAGAAACTCACCTTGTTCATAATTGCCAGCAGTTCACTAAGCACAAGACGGAGGCGCCGTGGAGAATCACTGTGTTCAAACTCCAGGGTGAGGCCATGTTGCAGCTGAGACACCAAGATGCTCTCGCCACTACCCCCTCCAAGCTTATGCCTAGCAAGAGGACAGAACACACAGCTGCTCAAACAGACTGAAGGAGCACATCCCCCTCCAGAAATGCCTCACCCAGGGCTAGAAACTTGTGGCCCTCCAAACACTGCTGGGCTACAACTCCCATTATCTCTGATTATTGGGCTGTGCTGGCTGGGGCTGATGGGAGACAGAGTGCACACAATATCTGGAAGCCCCCTCAGGTTCCCAATCCCGGGCTTGCTCCGTTTAGTTACCTAAGCTGTTGTTCCTTGTTGGCATCCTGTTCCAAAGCGTGGAAATCCACAGACAGCAAGGCTACGATGGAGTTGACAGCTTCCACTCCAGAAAGCAAGCGAAGGATCAGCTTTTTGTCCTGGGCCCAGCCCTGACTCTGATCTGCCGGGGCACACAAGGCCATCCGCACCAAGCAAGGCAGCAACAACCGGAGCTCTGGATCACTCAGGGCCGCTAAGCGCACGACGTCTACTTTCTGCATGGCTTCAAAAGCATAAGGGCTGACAAACTGCAGTGCCGAGCAGTCCGCCATTTCCCCAGGTGACTTGAAACCACAATACCCCAGGGAGCTAAGCGGGCAGTGCTGGGTCAGGTGGCAGTCGGATGAAGATCCAAAATTCCAGGAAATTAACTGTTAGTCAGCAGGTGCTAGTATACGGTTAAATCTTAGGGACCAGCCGCTTTAGGGCAGGAGGAGTTTTCAGAGGCAGCAGCCTACCTCAACAGATGCACGTAGACAAAGAAACGGCTAGTTTCATCTCTAAACACAGGCTGCAATTCCCTGTAGGATAAAGCAAATCAGGACAATAAGAATACAATGTGCAAAAGTAATACAGGAATGCAGAACGCTCTCTCATGAGTTTATGTCATGAGTAAATAGCAACCACCTGAGGAACAAAATATACTTTGTCCAATTATCCTAATTTTTTAAGGCCCTAGAATAATCTTTCTCTAATTGTTGTGGTAAAGATGGTTTGTTTAGGGTGATTTACTGGATTCCCCTGAAACCGAGATGCTGATGCAAGGCGGTGGGGGACAAAGCAAGTTTTCAAGCTACACTAAATGCTTCCTCCCTGAAGCATTCTGCAGAACTCCAAAGCCTTCTACATTACCCTGACAAAGCTAATAACAGCATCATTTATGCTAAAAGGTTCCCTTGGAAGGTCAGGGCTACATTCTCTCTAGCCCAAGTCTTATTGTAACTAATAATAATGCAATCCTAACCATGTTGATTCAAAAGATGCACTGAGTTTCACGGGGCACATACTCCCACTGCAGCCAAAGTCTGGACTAATTACAAAAACCTCATATCCTTCCCCTATTTATCCCAGTCACTGTTTCCCTCCCATTTGTCTATCATGTGCCCATCTGTAGATTGTTAATGCTCCTCTCTTTATTGATAAAGCTCCATCCAGGTGCTTTGCAAAGTATAAGTTATTTTACAACATCATTTTAAATGAGCATGCAAAGGGCAATCCCCTCCCTCCTTCAGTTAGGGGTGCAAAAAAAGGAGGTGGGGAAATTAGGCAAAGGCTGAGAGGTAGTGTCGCATAGTGGTTAGAAGGTGCCTTCCCCAACCTGGTGCTCCTCCAGACGTTGCTGAACTACAACTCCCATAATCCCTGACCACTGGCCATGCAGTGGCTGATGGGAGCTGGAGTCCAACAACACCTGAAAGGCACCAGGATGGGGCAGGCAGAGTTAAAAGTGTCGGACTGGGAAGAGCCACGTTTAAGATCCTCACCCTGCCATGGATCCCGTTGGCTGGTCATAGCCAAGCCAGCCATTGTGCCAACCTGACCTACCTCACAGGGCTGTTAGGAAGATAAAACGGGGAGGGAAAGAGCCATGTAGGCTACCAGAGGAAATGCGAGGTATCAATAGAATTTAATAAACTGGGGGGAAAATGGCACTGAAGGAGCAAAAGCAGGAGAGCGATAGAGGAAACGGGCTGTGCCTAAGGAAAGGAGCCAGGCGTCTCAGGTAAATGGGAAAAAGGGGGAAATGGGAACCCAGGTGTCCAAGCCCTACCTAAGAAAGAGAAGCAGACCCACCTGCCCACCCCGACCCAGAAACAAGCACACACCTTCGTACACAACCTTATGAGACACTACTTCCGGCAGCGTAGCGTCATTTCTTCCCAACAGCAGCCGGCGCCAGGCAACGCCCAACTTCCGGCGCGGAGCAGAATGACGACAGAAAGACCCTCCTTCGTAAGGGCGGAAGTGACTTCAATCACGCTCTCCTCTATTTCCGCCCGGAGTTCAGTGCTTTGCCCACCTGTAAGACAGCAGCAAGGGGCTAGCCATTTTAGTCATTTTAAAGCGTTTATGCAAAAACGAGAACTCTCCCAAGGTGACTTAGAAGGGAGAAATGATTCTGGGCTACAGCCAACATCTAGCATACTCAAGAGTAGACCCATTTAAATTAATAGGACCGGACTTACGTTGCTTCCTTCATTTCAGTGGGTATGACTTATTAACAAAGCTAATAAAAAAGAAGCAAATAAAAAATCAGAAGTAGATGCGGATAACAGCTTGTCATCATTTAAAATTGAGTCATTTTATGTTATTAATACAATTTATTTTACACGTTTATTCTATGCCTTATAATCTGTATAAATATAATGATAATGAGAAGGGCAGCAGTCCAGGGTGAGGTGTGGTGTAGAGAGTGGTAGTTGTGAAGATGAGATATCACTCCATTTCCGGTTTATTCCAGAGAGAAAAAAATGTTCCTAAGGATAAAGGAGCCACACAGGTTCTTTCCATGTGATGGCTAAATTTCAAGTAGCAAGACACCGCAGGAACGAGAAAGGAACATCTCAAGGGATCGTGGGTGCCTAAGCCTAAAAGTAGCTGATATTTTTGTCCTCCATTCAGGCCATCAGGAACTTAAAAGTACTTTATATATGGTGATACGGAAGGGGGGGGCATGTCTTCTTCACCTCCTTCTTCGCTACAATATATCCATTTATTTCCAATTGTCAATGTCAAAAGGGACTAAAATCTATAAAATTCATAGAAAATCAACGTGCCAATTTGCTCAATTTCTCTAGGACTCCATGACACCTCCCCTGTCCTCCATAATCCCTCAAGCAAGGTGTCAAGACCCTAATCCTGTCAAATCGCTCTGCCAAGCCTTTCTTCCGGGCAAGGCCAGGTGGCAGACTATGCATACATGGACCATTGTCTTCTCAGGATGTGCTTATCTTGCGCATATCTCCAGCTCTGCATATTCCCCCCTCCCTCCTCCATATGTTAATCCGGTGTAACCTCTTCCTAATGTATTTGTGATGTAATCTGTGTAACCCAACCTCTTCTTAATGTATTCATGATGTAACTGGGATGTATTTTGCACTGTATTCTGGGACATGGAGGGAAATTTCAAAAGTTCATGTCACCCTTTTCTCGCTGTTCAATCTCGCCTTGAACCTGTTGCGCAATAAACTTGGATCTTCTGCAGTTTGCTCCTGTCTCCGGCTGAGCTCATTTTCTTCCGCAGGGACCTGCGGACTTAGTCCGACGAGCTGGGTGGCAGAGTAGCCTCGCACTCAGATTTTACCGTAACAATGGACATAATTAAAGGCATATTTTAGCTCAGTTATGGTGGAACTATTGCCCTCCAGCTCCTATCCATCCCAAGCAGCATGGCCACTGAGCAGGGATAATGGAAACTGAAGGTCAACAACATCTGGACAGCCAAAGGTTTCCTAACCCTGTTTTACTCATTGCTGCTAAAATGCTGTTTTTAACATTAAAAATATGATCTACTTTGCCACACTAATATTTTGAGTAGCCCTTTATGTTTAGGGTGGTGGTTGCCTTCTGTCCACCTTGCGTGAGAGGATGCAGAAGTCACAATGTGGTCCAACAAGCTATGTTAGTTTATAGGATCCTCTTTCTAACTTTCTGTCACCATACATCTTTCACGTCTGAGCAATGACAGGAGAGAAAGATACATGAACAGCTTTGCATAAATAAGTGTGTTTTATTCTGCTTTTGCTAGTTACAATTGGGGAAAAGAGACCTGAATCTCTGACTTTTGGGAAATTTTATTCACCTACAATTCTGAGGCTCCACCAAGCATTTCAGGAACATCTCTGTAACGTAACCGGAAAGGGCTCTGGGCTTTTAAAAAGAACTAAGCTGGATTCTGTGCCATCTGATCTCACATGTGTGGCTGGCTACTTCTTAAAAGGGTAAAGGTAAAGGGGACCCCTGACCATTAGGTCCAGTCGTGGCCGACTCTGGGGTTGCGGTGCTCATCTCGCTTTATTGGCCCAGGGAGCCGTCGTACAGCTTCCGGGTCATGTGGCCAGCATGACTAAGCCGCTTCTGGCGATACCAGAGCAACGCACGGAAACGCCGTTTACCTTCCCGCCGGAGCGGGACTTATTTATCTACTTGGCACTTTGATGTGCTTTCAAACTGCTAGGTTGGCAGGAGCAGGGACCGAGCAACGGGAGCTCACCCTGTCATGGGGATTCGAACCCCCAACCTTCTGATCGGCAAGTCCTAGGCTCTGCGGTGGCTTTTAAGAAGTGCAGGGCTGACCATGTTCTAGCTCCACTGAGGATAAAGCTGTCTATATCTACTAGCTATGAAGGCTATGCCTTACACCCCATCATCAGAGGCAGTGTACTTCTGAAAACAAGTTTCTGTTCCGCTTGTGGGATTCCTATAGGTATGTTAACCACTGTGAGAACAGAATGCTGGGTGAGGTGGACCTTTGTTCTTACCCAGCAGGGCTTCTCTCAGAGTCACTAGGCCCCAGTGGCGAGTATTATGGTGTCAGTGTGGTGTGCTGCTTAAGAGCATGGCCTGGGGGGCAGATCTGGCCCAATCACCTTCTCATCGGGAATCAGCGTGTTTTTACATGAGTAGAATGTGTCCTTTTATTTAAAATGCATCTCTGGGTTATTTGTGGGGCATAGGAATTCATTCATTTTTATTTTTCAAAATATAGTCCAGCCCCACACAAGGTCTGAGGGACAGTGGACTGCCTCCCTGCTGAAAAAGTTTGCTGAGCCCTGCTTAAGATTGTCCAAGTAAGACTAGGGAGATTCCAACTCTCAGGCTGCAAAGGCCACTGAGTGGCTTTGGGCCAGCCGCTAGCTCTCTCAGCCTAACCTACCTCATAGGGAAGTTGTGAGGATAAGGTGAGCGAGGGATCAAGTATGCCTAGACTGAGCCTAGTGGAACGAAGATTGGATAAAAATGCAAAGAAAAGGGGGCGGGGAGAAGAAGTTCTGATTCAGGAACCAACCCATACAGACAACCGTCACTTTTAAGGTCATAATAATAATAATTGTGATGGCCTGGGATTCCGATTCGGAGGATGAAACAGAGGAATCCCGGCCTGCACAGGAGTCCCCGCCTCCAGGGCCGGCTGAACTGGGGCAAGGCCTTGATGCTGAAGAGCCTGCACCTGTGGCAGTGCATCAGGAGCTGGCCCCAGGTGAAGCCCTTCGGGCCCCAGAGGGGCTTGATGACTCAGTGGCCACAGGTGAGCCTCCTCCAGGGCCCAGTAACCCTTCGGCCTCTCCTGATCTGCAGAGGCTTAGGGCAGAGAGGCGAAGGGAACTGGTTGCCCCCAGGAGGAGTGCTCGCCTTAAGGCCAGAGGAGGCGGGGCTCCTGGGGACCGGGACCGCCCCTGGCCTTAGAAGAGGATAAAAGCCCAGTCAGCCCGGCCCCAGGTTGCGGGAGCAACGTCGTTGTTGGCTTCGGACCTTCCTGTGTTCCTGATCCCTGCTCGGCTTCCTGTTCCTGACTATCCGGTACTCCTGTTCCCTGCTCGGCCTCCTGTTCCCGACCATCCGGTGTTCCTGTTCCCTGCACAGCCTCCTGTTCCAGCATTCCTGTTCCCCGCCCGGCTCTCTGCCTCGGACCTTGCCCCTCTTCGTGTGGACTCTGCTACACCCAAGGTACCTTACCCCCGGGACCAGCACAATAATAATTTATTATTTATACCCCGCCCATCTGGCGGGGCCTCCCCAGCCACTCTGGGCGGCTTCCAAAAGAATATTAAAATACTGTGATACATCAAACATTAAAAGCATCCCTTAACAGGGCTACCTTCAGATGTCTTCTAAAAGTCTGGTAGTTGGGCGTTCCACAGGGAGGGCGCCACTACCGAGAAGGCCCTCTGCCTGGTTCCCTGTAACTTGGCTTCTCGCAGTGAGGGAACCGCCAGAAGGCCCTTGGTGCTGGACCTCAGTGTCCGGGTAGAACGATGGGGGTGGAGACGCTCCTTCAGGTATACTGGACTGAGGCCGTTTAGGGCATTAAAGGTCAGCACCAACACTTTGAATTGTGCTCGGAAACGTACTGGGAGCCAATGTAGGTCTTTCAAGACCGGTGTTATATGGTCTCGGCGGCCGCTCCCAGTCACCAGTCTGGCTGCTGCGTTCTGGATTAGTTGTAGTTTCCGGGTCACCTTCAAAGGTAGCCCCACGTAGAGCGCATTGCAGTAATCCAAGCGGGAGATAACCAGAGCATGCACCACTCTGGTGAGGCAGTCCACAGGCAGATAGGGTCTCAGCCTGCGTACCAGATGGAGCTGGTAAACAGCTGCCCTGGACACGGATTTAACCTGTGCCTCCATGGACAGCTGTGAGTCCAAAATGACTCCCAGGCTGCGCACCTGGTCCTTCAGGGGCACAGTTACCCCATTCAGGACCAGGAAATCCTCCACACCTGCCCGCCTCCTGCCCCTAAAAACAGTACTTCTGTCTTGTCAGGATTCAATCTCAATCTGTTAGCCGCCATCCACCCTCCAACCGCCTCCAGACACTCACACAGGACCGTCACCGCCTTCACTGGTTCTGATTTGAAAGAGAGGTAGAGCTGGGTATCATCCGCATACTGATGAACACCCAGCCCAAACCCCCTGATGATCTCTCCCAGCGGCTGCATGTAGATGTTGAAAAGCATGGGGGAGAGGACAGAACCGTGAGGCACCCCACAAGTGAGAGCCCAGGGGTCTGAACACTCATCCCCCACCACCACTTTCTGAACACGGCCCAGGAGGAAGGAGCAGAACCACTGTATGACAGTGCCCCCAGCTCCCAGCCCCTCAAGACGGTCCAGAAGGATGTTATGGTCGATGGTATCAAACGCCGCTGAGAGATCCAGCAGAACTAGGAAACAACTCTCACCTTTGTCCCTAGCCCGCCGGAGATCATCAACCAGTGCGACCAAGGCAGTTTCAGTCCCATGATGAGGCCTGAATCCCGACTGGAAGGAATCCAAATGGTCCGCTTCTTCCAGGTGTGCCTGGAGTTGTTCAGCAACCACTTGCTCAATCACCTTGCCCAAGAATGGAAGATTTGAGACTGGGCGATAGTTGGCCATCGTGGCCGCATCTAAAGATGGTTTTTTAAGAAGCGGTTTAATAACCGCCTCTTTCAGCGGGTCTGGGAAGGCTCCCTCACGGAGGGAAGCATTCACCACCCCACAAAGCCCATCGCCCAGCCCTTCCCGGCTAGCTTTTATAAGCCAGTCATGTGGAGTTGTTGTTTAAAAAAACAAAGAGACGTCACAATGAAGGAAGGCTTCATGAATAATTTATTCCATTTGATTTTTTTTTAAAAAGTATAAACCTTTTTCCATTTCCTCAATCACAATTTGTACAACTCAGTGTTCATGGCATTCTGCAACAATAGTGTTTGTTCCTTATTTTTATTGTATTTTTTGTTATCATAATGTTAAATAAAGAGAGAGAGAGAGCGAGAGAGAGAGACTTGGACCATTAAATGTCACTGCTGAATACGAACTTAAGAAATCTCCTCTTCCTCCCCCTGTTAAAGTGACCCAGCTTTTTAAAAGAACATTTATGAAACCAACATGTCCAGTAACGATGCCACAACTTTAAAAACGCAAGTAAGTGTTTCCAAGGTTCTCAAATCCAGTTTATTTGGAAAACCTACTAATTATACATTAAAACTTTCCTGAAAAGTTTGACCCTGAGGATTAACTTTTTCAAAGTGAAATTTTACTCCTTTAGAAACAGATGCAAAGAAAAGGGTATTTTCTATATGTGATTTGGGATCCTTAGACTGAAATTATTTTCAAAGGTGATAACATTTTGTCATCTTGAGAAATTTATTATTATATATCTATTTAGTGTCAGGACAGCTAATAGCAGAATTGGCCTAATTGACAAAGCAAGCTGACAAGAAGGAAAACCCAGCCCAAAGCATACATGGCTAAGAATTAACAAAATAATAGTCTGTGCCAAAGCTAGCTTGTAGGGCACAAGGGCAGTTTGAATAGGATCAAAATCCAAGTGTTTTCCAGTAACACATTTTGATATTGCAGAAAAGACAAAATATGCTTCATTAAACACACCTTTGAGCTTTCTGTAATAATGCAGGGCTTTGAAAAATAAGTTACCAAGAGCAGGCAAATACAAAAAAAAGGAGTAAGTTAACTGTGCCATACAGATGGATGTGTAAGATGAGAGGTTTAAGAAACACTTGCAGAAAAGGGTGTGCATCTAAGGCCACTACTGTGGAAACCAAGCAGTTTGAACATAAGTTATAGCTCACGCTGGCTAGGTATTTGCAGAAATGCTACCACCTCAGCTGCCTTCTGACCATCCCTGTGAAGTATGCACATGCCCTGTGAACTGATAAATCAGCACTACTAATGAATTAAGAAGTTAATGAGGCCTGCAAGGCTTTCCCAACCTTGGCCATTTCGTTAGTTTAAAGCTGTCCACAAATCGAAAGATAGATGCCCATGTTTCAACTTCCTAGCCTTTTTTAAAAACATTCCAATCCTTTCTATGTTTTAGCTCAAAATGAATTTTCTCTTTTCTGTCTAGGGAGGGGGAGAGACAGAGACACAGAAAGAGATAGAAACTGTGAGTTTTAGATCTTGGCTAGCTCTGGCAGGTGGCACTCTGACCCAAGCATTACTTTCATTTGCAAGATAAGACAAGACATCCTACTCTGAGCAGCATCCAAAATCGGGGTAGTCCTACACCAAGGTGATTTGGCAATTCTGCTATTTAGTGTTTTGCAAGCCGGAACACCAGTTGTGAGCCTTAGCAAAATGACACAGAAATCTCAGCATTTCAAATGGATTCACACAGAAATCCTCAAAGCATTGTGTAGTCTGTATGGGACAAACAGAAAATGGAGGCAGAAGCCTTTGGATGGCTTATAAGGAAGAACTATTTATTACGAAGCAATACTATAGCTCAATGAGAATAAAGTTAAATAACCTTTCCATAGGTACAAGATAATGCCACGTGGGGCTGTGCTTTGATAGTTTTAACCTGAAATGTGCTGGGGATTTCTTCACGATAAACTGTTTCCAGCTGTTCAAACTTCTTTCCTCTGCCATTTACCTGAGTCCAGACAGGTCCATCAACAGCTAACCCTAACCCAAACATCCCTTGTATGCTTCCATGGCAATTAATTTAAATCTGATTTCTACTGGCATCTTATTCCCTAAGGCCAATTGTCCCACCACCATGCGATGATCATTTAAACAGATAAATGGCAGAATCTCTGGGCAACCTGATCTTCCTGAAATGGACCTACCATGAACTTGGCTCCCTAGTCAACAACACACCGTCCATTCTGGAGTTTTGAGGACTTCTGTGCAATCTCAGTGCTACACCCAAAGTCATGGTCCAGCCAAAGTGCATTTAAGTTCCACTGGTTTAAGTGGGGAAGTTTAAGTACACATTTAAAGCTCTCCGACTGAACTCCCACGAGGCTTGGAAAGTACTTAATGCTGGCTGACTCATATTCTGCTCTAGGCAAATAATTTTAGCACCACTCTTTAGGGAGGTGGAAACATCTGGAGAGTATCTGCCGTTAACAGATACTTGAATATCAAATACAGGTGTACACAGAGAGAAAATGCAATGCAATAAACAGCAGAAATGTAAAATGCAACCCCAAATATTTAAAATTTGTATGTGACTATGTTGCACTTACTTTAAACATCAATCCCTAATTTAGGAGGCCAAGTTTTACTTCAAAAAGCTCACCCCAGGGATAAAAGAGATGCAGATCATTTTAATACCTGCACTTACATCATCATATAGTATTATGAGCACATCGAAATGTTAATCACTCTCATCTTGCAACGAAACAGGTGGTTTTTCAGTCAGCACTCTGTAAAATTTTAAGAGGAACAAGAAATCTTCATCAATTCTACTTAAGTTGCACACCAATAAAAGTTGCTACTAGTGCTTGCTGCGGTCACCACTGATATACTCTAATAAGAAATTCAAAATTTTGTTTTTTCAGAGAAAAAGAAATGCTTTCAGGTCTAAATAGGTTGTACATACTTCACATGATTTCAAAAATATCCTGAATACTGGCAATTGCAGTACTTTGGAAAGAAAGAAACTGGGTATTACGAGGGGGGTTGAAGACTTGGGATACTAGGGCTGCAATCCTAACCCCCTTACCTGGGAGTAAGCCTCACTGAATTCAATAGGACTTACTTCTGAGTAGACATGGTTAGGCCTGCACTATAAAACAGGGTCCGTGAGCCATTTTGCCTGACAAGTTGGTGACCTTTGCTATTAACAAGGCTTCCTCAACAAGTCTGCACCACTGCTCACCAAACCTCAAAAAGCGAAGCTGAGCAGCAGCAGGTGGCTGGTGGTGGGAACAACTTTCCTAAGGGTCCCACTTACCCGCCGACATGGCTGCCACTGCTGTTTCCAGGAGTGCTTCCACTCGGGTGGAATATGGTGCCCTACCACAACCTGCAAAATAATGTCCAGATTCAATATTTGTGGATGGAAACACAGCCTCAGGGCCAACCTTGCATGGCGGAAGACCTTCAATTGGATGGGCACAGTAATTCTGAAAGCGGCAGCGTGCAGATATGAAAAGGGGAGGGATCAAAGTGTTGCCTCCAGGAAGGCAAGGAAGCAACTCAAGACTGGATACATGGGTGGAGGAGGAAGACGAAGCCATCGGGTTCACAGGCAGAAGGGAGGAAGAGGTGGGAGTGGCGCAGTTCATGCCCGTTCCCTTGGCGTTTTACCATGCTGGAACCTGGATGTTTATTTCAAAAGGGGAGCCTGAAACTTCCATTACAGAGTGTCAAAACCAATAAGAAGATTAGATCAAGAGGCCTGAGAAAGGGGGAGTGGGAAAGAGGAGCGAGAGCAAAAGAAAGGAGGTTGTTCTCTCATTAGTGGAATCAAGTTCAAACGCCAGAATTCACTGAGAACCTATTTACACCATATTCCAATTCATATGCATATCAAAGCTTAGAATCAAAACTGATTGGGTTTTCCTTATTGTGTTGGGTTTTTTTTAAAGTAGTGTGTATAAAGTAGCTAAAGTTGGGCTAAAATTCCAAACCATAAAAGGAGGACAGCAAGGGTAGCAGTGGCTGCAGTTTCATGGTAATTTAATCCAAACACGGAGAAGGTTGAATGGGATCCTAGTGATGAACCCCAAAATACTTGGAAGATGAAAGTGACACAGCTTCACTGAAGGGAAGGGCATTTTTAAAAGGAAGAAGAAGAAGAAGAAAGTGTCGCGATTTCATCGGGTGACACAGATTCTCTCTTGGCTAAAACGCACAGGTGGAAGAGCAGGAGGTCCTTGCAGCAAGCACACCCTCCTTGCTTGAAAAATGGGAAGAGGCCTGAAAAAACTAGTCTCGGCCCTCAACAAAAATACAAAAAAAATTTAAAACAATTTATTATTATTATTATTAATATTATTATTCTTCTTTTTTTAAATTCTCACTACAAGTTAAACCACCTAACAATATCACTTCTTTTAATATATTGCCATTATGTTAACTCTGCAAAGGTGTGATATAAAATTGCTGTAAGACCCGGTACCTTTTTTTTTCTCTTCGATTTTATATAAACACAGTGAACTTCATTACTGTACACGTATAATCTGCAACTACAGCTTAGCTGTAAATCTCCCACACACAATGGCATGGACATTTATATCCCTCCCGCCCCAACTCCTATATTCCCCCATTAAACTGTACATCAAGACCAAATACAAATTTTACTGTCCCCATACCCTCAAACCCCCCCTTACAAAAAAATAATACTCTAAAAGCAAACCTACCGCAACTTTCAATTAAGACGATTACATATATATTTTTAGACCAATTGCTTTAAAGCAAGAAGGCGGTATAAACCTTCTAGGAAAATTTTTTTTTATAAAAGAGGTTAAGAAATATAAGACAATTTATACATTTAAAAACTTACAATAAATAAGAGATGCAGGCATTTTTTTTTTTGAATACTAGGTACTATAATCCGATACAAGAACATTGCAGTGTTCCAAAAGCATTTGACAAATTCTGGTTTTTTTCCTTCCTCATTTGTCTTCTTATTGTCTCCATGCTCATACTTTTTAAAATATTCATTAAACATGGCTGGGGCCTATGGCTCATATACTCTTCACAAATACTGTGACGGGATGGGGTTGGGGGAGAGAGAGAATGGTTACTTTGCTACTAAAAAGATGTGTTATAATACATTTCGACTGATCAATTCATCACTCCAATCAGTCTGGTATAGGCAAAACACCAACAAAAGCAGGGGGCAGATGGAGAATTAAACACCTGGGTTATGCAGTCCCCACCGCAAGTCAAAACCAAATAGTTGCTGGAAGTGACCAAAAATGACATTCCTCTCCCTCAAATCACAAAAAAATGACTTGCACAGAGAATAATTAACTTAGTCCTGCAGCGAAATAATCCTTTCCCTTTTTGTTGTTGCTCTGGTTGTTGTGTTTTTCTTCTCCTTGCCCAGTTCAGATAAAGATCACAGCATATTCATGATAAAGTTATACAACTGATTCAGCACCACAAAGTGAACTGGGAGACACGACCGCCGGTCCTGGGTCGCAGGATCACAGGTTAGCCAGGAAAGTGCGTTGTACTGTTCCAACACAAACCTGGGAGAAGGAAAGAAGGGAACAAGGACCAGCCAGGAAGTCATTATTGGGAAGGCTTTGCCGTTTTTCAGCACAGGTCACAAGGATATAATTTATTAACCCGCATTTCTGTTAGCAAAGGAGCTTATAGTAAGAGGCAGGATCAAAATGCTTCACTTCCAGCTACCAGGTGTATATAGCAGGGAGGAGCTGCATGTATGGGAAGGTTGGAAGTCGGCCAGGGGATAGAGTAGACACAACCTCACTCAACCCTTGGTGCAAGGAAGCCTTCTTGAGCTAAAGGGGCCTACTCACAAGAAGTGTGCACAGCTGTAGGTTTTATTCAACTAAATCCTATTCAGAAATAGACCCAGTGAAATGAATGAATGTGGGGGTCTTTAATGTTTTGAGATATAAAGATATATGTGTCTGCACAATACACACACACACACATTACCTGCCCTATTGGTCTTAGTCCATTAGTAAGATAAATTATGAGAACAGCTTCATAAGACAACCTGAGAATTTCTCAGTGCTGAAGGATATATTAAAATAAATTCAACGTACTGTGCCGTGTAAATGAGCGTATAAGCAAGAGAAAAGCATCGGCAGATTGTAGCAAACTGAATGGCTACAATAGCAGAACCGCACCTTTAAAACAACAAATCCTGTATTTTGCATGCTCTCACACACAACTGATGATCATACCTGAGGACATCGGAAGTTTGATTCGAGTCAAGAGGGTGGGAGTGTTTACTGTGAAGTAGCTCGTCCGATTGCACTGAAGGCACATGGAGGTGCAGAGAAGCCTTTAAAAGAAGTCAGAACATACAGTAAGTGTTTATTACAATGCTTTAAAAGAGAGGGAGAGAGAGCTAATAATCAAACAATAATTCCTCTATAGGGACAAAGTTTAGAGCATAGCTCTGTGGGAGACCCTCCCACCAGCGAGTGTCCCCACAGTAAAAGTCCCCCAATCTCTATAAACCCTGAACACACACACAAACACGCATGTGCGCACATGTGCACGCACACACACACACACACACACACAGCCTTTTCTGGGTTTTGTTTCAATCTCATCCTCTTCAACCAAATGCAGAGGAATCCAAACAACCCCCCCTCCCCAAATTCTCAAAAAAACAAGGTATAAAACAAGGAATGCAATTGTAACCAAGTTTATACTATCACTCACTACATTCACAAAATGGGATGGATGGCCACAAACAATTAGCCAGGGAAGGCAGAGTACAAAGAAATGAGCCAATGAATAACTTGTGGGAAAGTAACTCCTCCACATTCTTGAACACAACAACTTCCCCCTGCTCCCAGGCAATCCTCCCCCCCAGCAGAGGGCAACGTGCAGTTGCTCATCCTTGTCTCCTGGGCAGAAGTTGGGTGCTCTCTCTAGTTTTAGCAAAGCCACCCACTACTCAGTTTGGAGCCGGGGAACAGCCTTTGACTAGAGAAGCACCTGCTCATTGCTGCGTTCAGAGCCAGGGATCAGAAGAAGTCTCGAGCAAATCGTGAATCTGGGTTCGAAAGCGCAGTGCTGGAATGCTTGGCTGAAAGGAGAAAGAGCATCTTTCCCTCTCTACAGCTCAGCAGTGTAGCTAGCTGCTCGGGCGCCCGGGGCAGCGCAAATGACCTGCACCCAGGGGCGGGGCAAGCCAGGGCAGAGCACCTTGCGCAGAACCTCCACTGAGTCCGCAAGCCCTACGTTGTCATTTGGGCAGCGCAGAGCCTACAGGTGCCCAAGTCACCGCGTCACTCCCCAGGAGAGCCATGTGGCTTGGGCACACTGCAGGCCAGGCCCTGCAGTCACACACCCCCCTCAGTGATGACACCCGGAGCAGCCCGCACCCACCGCATCCCCCTTCCTATGCCACCGCTGCAGCTCACACCTTAGTGGGACGCATCTCTGAAAGTTTTTGTCCACCAGTGACTCCTCGATGCTGTACCTGCCACTTCCTTGATCAGGCAGGCAGGAGACCCTGCTGCTTTGAACGAAGTAGTTGGCTGTTAAGTGCAGACATAAGTCTTTCCAGCTGACTTGGTATATACCGAATGCCCGCCTACAAGCCCACGTTGCCGCTACTGCCCCCCTCACCCCGAAAAGCTCTCCTGAAACTTACATAATGATACGCAGCGTATGTCTTTTGAAGCACTCTCTCAACAACACCAATCCCCACACCTCCCAGACTTTGCTGAAGGTTTGTTACCTTAAGAAACAGGGGACACTGATTTTGTGCTTGAGGACACGCCGACCAAAACCAGTCAGGCAACGGACCTGCTTTGGCAGTTGAGACAAAGTAACCAAGGGCCAGAGGTTGCTGTAGGATGTTGGTGACTTCGTCGTGAGACTCCGTTGAGAGCAAGCGATCTGTACCTTGACCCTGGTGCGACAAAACAGAAGGTGGGGAATTGGCAAAGAGTTCACAAGGAAAGCCTTGCTGGATCAGACCAAAGGCCCATCTAGCCCAGAATCCTGTTTCCTGCCACAGCCAACCGCATGCCTACACAAGCAGGGCTGGAGTAGAGTAGGCCACAGCTGCTCATGGTCCTCAACAACTGGCAATCAGAGGGTGGCTGCCTCTGGTCCTGGAGGAAGGAGCCTTAATCCCTCAGACATTTGCCAAATCCCTTTTTAAAGCCATCTGCTGGTGACCACCACCACATCTTCAAACAGTGAATTGAACAGATTAGCTATGCCCCTAAATACCCCACCATTCAGCTACACTGGTTAACACATTCTAATGTTAAAAGAGAGAGAAAATCTTCTCTCTCTTCTCACCATACTTAATGCTGTAAACCTCTATATCTCCCCCCCCCACTGAAAACAAAAAAGCCCAAAACATTGCAACTCTTCCTCATAAGGGAGTTGCTTCATTCTAATCATTTTGGTTGTCCTTTTCTAGCCCTTTTCCAACTCTACAATATCCTTTTTGCTATGAGGAATGCAGAAGGCAGCACCGTATCCCAAGGATGGATTCCTTTTATATTTGGTTGCCACAATATTGAAATGGGGGTACTTGACAACCCCTGGCCATCCAGATCAGCACTGAGGCAAACACATGGTTGATTTCTTAAATACGGTTTCTTGCCATAAAACCTTACCTTGCCCATGTCACCTCCATGGGTGAAGTGGGAACTTGGTGAGTGCACAGGGGACCCGGTAGGGGATGCAGGGAGGATGTTTATAATATCAGGATCAATATCAGGATCTCCAGTGTCTAACAAATCAAAGAGCCCCATTCCATCTGCTCCATCTTGAGAAAAGCAACAAATACAACAACAAAGAGTCTGTTAACAGAGAGTTGCTATCGTTATGATTTATATAAAAAAAGGAGAGTACACAATGTATGAAGAAATTCTTTACCCACAGCTAGCATGACATTGTGGTTGGAATACTGGGCTTGAAACAGAGGGCTGCATTCAAATCCCTGGGCACCCATGAAATACACTCAGTGACATTGTAAATTTGGCTGGTCCCAGACAGCTCTTGCTTCAATCTATTTTATACACAGTTATGTTGCTTTGCTTTGACCGATACTGCATATGCATGCCAAGACACACATGCACACAAACAATTGGCTGCTGCCAATATCATGGGTTTGAGATCTAATAGGCTGCTCATGAGCACTCTAACAGAGGACGGTGAAGGCCCAAGTTGAGGGGGGGGGGGACCAGCATTGCAGATACTGGAAAGGAAGCAAAAGACTGGTGTGGCTGCAGTGAAAAACCTTATGCCTAGGAAAAGACAGACTTGTGTGTTCTGGGGGGAGGGTGCTTAAGAAATTGGGATCAGTGTGCTTAAGAAATTGGGGTCAGCTAAGGAAGCCACAGGTGCCAAGAAGGATGGGGAAAGCCCCACTTGGGGTCTAGAGACAGAGAAATCTGTGTTTTGTTGGGAGGGCTGAATTTCTATCATCTACAGCCCTCATTTTTCATATCTATCAAGGAAACATTTTTATATGAAAGTATTTGAAGACACACAAACACATACACACAAACAAACACACACCATTGTTTGTATTAAAGGCCAGATCCAAACCAGTTTCAGTGGTATAAGTTGATGATGCTACTTGCACAGATGCAGACGTGGGAAACACAAGTATATGAGTGCACGACGTATCCTGTGGGGTGTTTAGTTGGGACGTCTGCATATTTAGGGTGGTGCTGCGCCCAAACACTGAGCCAGTTGATACAGAATCTTAAAGAAAGAGAGAGAGAGATTTTGCTAAATAGTACAGCCAATATGTTTGCTTTCATAGAAGCAACAAGTGAGAAGCATTTCACAAATACCTGGCATGATGACAAAGGATCCCTGCGGTTCTACTGCCACTAAGCAGGCACTGAGAATGCTGGGAGAATCGGCAGTGGAGATGCCACACATCCTGCACATGTCTTTCAGTCTCTTGCTAAGTGACTGCAGATTTCGGCGACTCAGCAAACAACTCCAATCTAAAGATGAAACCAGAGAGATTGGCTACCAAGGAAATGATTTTAAATGTAAATGGTGGCTAGCTGCTGTCATGTCTAGACCACAAAATGGGTACATTAAAAACTGGATGGACCGCTGTATGCAAGCTTCTTTCTTAAGCTATTCCGACCTCTTTTCCAAGTGGAACAGAAAGGAAAAGAAAGCTAAACTACCTAGCAAGCAAACTGCTTTGGAAATTATTTTCTTCCATCAGTTAGTGACTGTTCACAAGTATTTCAGGTGTTAAAATTGCCAGCAGGGGCTAAATCCAAATTCTCTGCTGAAACTGAATAGGTTGCAGCTTAGGTGACAGAAAGCCCCTTTTCCCCATAGCATAAACACCCCACCCCAAAAGGAGATTGCTTCCATATGTATATAATTCTTTGATCTCAGGGGCCACTCTGTTCTCCAGACCAATAATCCTGGAGTAAGGAGCAGTCTCCCCAAAAATTCATTTTGTGACCCCTGCATTGCTTGCAATAATTTTTTGTGGCATTAAGGGCTTCACAGTTCTAGAGCATGCATGCCTATTCACATTTATATATTCTATCCAAAATGAGTGTGTGCATTATGTACATTATTAAATGTACCATTTTTGTCCCATATCAAGCATTTTGGCAAGAGAGGGGACAAACTTGCACAGAACGCTGCATCTCCATGGGTGACAAATATCTTTAGAGATGTTTCCATATTACCTTTTAGCTCCCCGTGGCCTATTCTTCCAAGACGTCCTATTACAACTCTCCAAGGCAACGAACTCATCTGCACAAGCCCCAGGCACCATTCCCAGAGTTTCTGAAGACCAAGTCTGCGAGCAGACCCCTTTTTCCTACGAGCCCTGGTGCGAAATAAAGATTCACTAGTAAACAAATCCGTGAACATACCTTCCAGCTGCTTTGACTGCTCCCAAAGAACATTTAGACACTGTTACACTTCAATATTTGGGCAGCCAGGGTCAAGACAGGGGAAAGATTCTGTACATGTTAAATCTTTATTTAATTACTTATATCCTGTTTTTGAAAATGAGATGCTTCTAAAAAAGCTTTAAAAAGTAAGATTAGGCACAAGTGTGTGTGTGTGTAAAATCAAACACCCTTCAAACATGCAGTAAAAACATTATCAGCATAAAAATCCATGAACCATTAAGTGAATCATAAAAAGGTTTCCAGGAAAGAAAGTTTCTATAAACTTATCTAAATACAGGAAATGACTTTATGAATTCCACAGCCCTTACCTGTTAGGTACATCAATGTTGATAATGCAGGTTTCCAATAGTTCTCCATATAAATCTGTGCACGATGCAAGAAGCCACCTTTGATCATGAGAGAGACAGTAGCCCACGAAAAGCACATTGTATTTCTGCCCAGCCTCTCCAAAGGTTTCTCCCAGCTCTGTCTGTTTATCTTTGACAGGAGCCAATATGAAGGGAGGGGCATACAGCTTAATACACTCTGGTCTCTGCAAAACACACACAAAACAGAACACTTAAAACCACAGGATTACTTGTCCCACAGAGTAGCAGATCCCCATATAAACAAATGAAACAGAATTGTGCGCATGCGCACAGCATCAGTTTTGCCTGAGGGATAGGCACTCACTCACACTATTGATATGTATCTCATTCTGCCAGGGTTTCTCAGAGGTTTACCAGATTTCATGCCAACCAACTCATGGTTCTCACTTACCTCTGGACTCCTGAGCGCCATCTCCATTGCCAAACCTGGGCCAAACCCAGTTAATGTTTTCACATTGGTCGACGTTGGGAGTGGCCTCCGGCATTGCGTGAAGGCGGAGAATGCCAGCGATTTTAGATGCTGAGTGTAGATCTGCCTGTCTTCATTCTTGACTGGTTGTAACAGATATTGACAAGGAACAAGCTAAGAAGGTCAGAGAGGGAGGAAAAGGTAAGTATACACTGCCCAATCTGATACTAGTATAGAGAAGCATTAAGACAGGAACAGCCTTCATGCCAAAAAAAAGTAGCATTTGCACCAGTTTTGACTCTGGGCAACATCCTATCACAATATCCTGTGCAACCAATAATAAATCAATATAATAAACCAGGACACAGCCATGTGCGTGGAATCATAGTATCATAGAGTATAGCTCACAAGATGAGGTCAACATCAATGACATGTTGGTACTTTCAAAAAGAACTAAGCAGCCAAAGCAATTTATTTAATTCTCTTGTTCTGACCTGAACAGCATTTGAGTTAGGAACATTAAAGCATCACACAAACCACACAAAGCCACTGTAGAGCTAGGGCAGGTTGTAAGTCCAGCCATCGGAAGGGAACAAGGCTTCTTCCAAGGACTACTGTGGGCAAACACCTTAAGCAACAGGCTGCCTTTGGCTTCCCACATCACAGCATCAGCTTACCTGAACAGAAACAATGTTTCTGATGTTAGTAGGGAGATTTTGGATCATTTCAAGAAAGCAACGGAGAAGACCCAGAGTCCACACGCTGGAGGAGTTGCCCTCCTCTTTCTTCTCATACGAGAAAGGGTCAACAATGTAAACTACGATGGCAGGTGGGTAGGTGACTGCGTGGGAATCGCCGTCAGTGGGGACTCCCACTTTGTCGCGGTCCATAGTGCTGGAAGCAGAAAGCAAGCAGACATAAGAAACAGAAAGCTTCTTCCTTGTATGGGCCGTTAAGTGTTAAGACTGTGTTATGTGTTCACAAATTATCTGACTTCTTTTCACCCAGCAGAGAAAGACTCCCATCTCCCCTATGCAGTATTTTAAGGGGAAGCAGTCTTTGCGGCTTTCGGGAGCCATCAGTACCTTTGCGGCATCTGCAGCTAATATACCTTCCCCATCAATTATCTCAGGCTTATCAGAGCACAGCAAACACATTACTCACTAACAAAAGGGGCACAAAGGTATTAGGCACTCCTGGCACCAAAGGGTAAAAAATTAATGCAGGCATCCTTCAGAGATGAGTAACCATTGGTACAATTACTCACACTGTGGTTCCTCAATTTTGATCAGAAGTTTGCTGGATTTAACAAGAGTTGGAACACTTGACGTGGAAGTAGAAGGAAGCCTAGGGAATTCAATCTTTGCAAATTCCACAAAAATTTGTATATGTGGTACTTTGCAAAGCAGAAGAGCACAGGCCTTGTCCCAAGGGGCTTACAATCTAAGGCACTGGAATACTTTCAAAATTTAGCAGCTCACGTACAGTCCTTGGTTGATATCGGAGACTGTCATAGCACAGAAGGAAGGATACACTTTGATCTGTTTGGGCCAAAATACTGCTAGCTACAAGTTGGAGCTCAGACAACTGCCTTACTTCTATAGTGTGGTTTTAATGACAGCAAGGACACCTGTTCAAGAAATCAGATTCCTGCAAAAGGGATGCCAAACTGGTGGCATATTTTCTCTCATCTTACTTGGAAGGGAAGTTCCAGCAAAGTCCCCAATCACCCCATTTTGCTTTAAGGATAAGAACCCAGCACGGTGCAGAGGTCAAGAGTCTCCGAATGAGACTTCAGAGACCCAAGTTCAAATATCTATCCAACTATGAAGCTCACTCGGGTTACTTTGGGCCAGTCACCATTTCCCAGCCTAAACCTACCTCACAGGATAGTTGTGGGGGGAGAACCATGTGTGCCACCTTGAGCAACTTGGAAGAAAGGCAGGATACAAATGGAAGTGAGTACATTAACTGATAAATCATTCTTTGCCGTGTTACCTCTCTGAAACTTCTGAGTGCGGCTGCGGCGGGACTGATGGGGCTTCCCCCGGTATCGCTGCGGATGGCGGCTGTTGCTGCTGCGTCCCCGCCTGCCCATTCTGGACTGTTGCAGACTGCGTGGAGAGGGAGGAAGGAGTAGTAGTGTTGTTCATGCTGCCAAAAGGTGGAAAGGATGAAGGTTTGTTCGCTGAAATCCCACCGCCTGAACTGGAAGAGGAGGATGAAGTGGCAGTCGTGGTCATGGTGGAACTGGCCGTGGTAGTGGCAGAGGTGATGGCACTGTTTGAGTTCATTGGGACAGCATTACTGGGAGCAGACGAAGGGGTGGATGATGGAGTAGAGCTGCCTCCAACCTGAGGCGGGACAGATGTAGGATGGCTGGTGGGAGGAACTAGGCTGGACTGAGAAAGCAAGGAATTGTCCAATGGCTGTGTAGCAAGGTAAGGACCTTAAAACAGAAAAGGAAAAGAAATTAACCAAACCTTCTGCTTCTGCATTAATGAAACTTGACAGAGCATCATATTCATTTAGATAGAGAACCCGCCAAACTCTAGGTCCTTCACAGTTTACTACACAGGTGAAAGAGAAGAGATACCTATTTCCTGGGGGATGATAACCTTCCCTGAAATTATTATTATTATTATTTATTTAATTTGTTGAGTCGCTTTATCTTGTCCAGGATAAGCCGAAATGATTTACAACCAAACCAAAGGCAGTCTACCAATCTTCCTTTAAAACACGAAAGTGCACCAGAGCGTCAAAGGTTTTCTAGGTTGAATTCTCAGTTCACACAGAACACCTGTCAAACTCAGCAGTGCCCACAAACTGACTTTGCATCCATAAACATGACCAGGGCTTTTTTTCAGCCAGAACTCAGTTCCAGCACCTCTCAGGTGGGCGCCATTGCCATTATGTGAGAACAAGATTCATGGTGAGTTCTGGCACCTCTTTTTCTAGAAAAATAGCACTGAACATGACCACAAATGGTTGGCATAGGTCTGGGTGCTGGAGGGTTTGGGGGTGGAGTAAGTAAAGAAATAGATGTGGAAAGAGTTCCCCAAGAGTAGAAAGTTAGAGTCAGAGGCCAAGGCGACTGCTTCATGTTTTTGGCTCCTGAAATATGATTGACTGAAACCCCCAACAACTACTTATGGTTCACTTAATGTAACTTTGCACTAACAAGATCAAATTAGATTTCCAATCCCTGTAGCTGGACAGAACATTCTGAACCCTAGAAGAAAACATAGCTTCCTCTGTCTGATTTAGCAACCCACCGCTAATATGCAAATTATATGGGTCAAGGAACATGGACAACTTGCACTGTACCAGATCGGAATTACAGTATGGGTAACTTCAAGTATGGGAGCTGCATTTTTTGCATGCCAGCATCTCATCAGCAACTCTGTTCCAACCACTTATGTATTGTATAACCACAGTGAAATATTTTTACAAGTGACGGCTTTAGGGCAGGGATAGCCAACCTAGGGCTCTCCAGATGTCGCTGGACTATAACTTCCAATATCCTGGACCAGGGGCTATGTGGACTACAATTGATGGGGGGTGAGTCCAACAACACCTGGATGGCACGATGTTGGCTATCCTTGCATTAAGGGAAGGAAGTGGGGGGAACGTACCCAAATCATATCTGCAGACTTGAGCATACAGTTTGAGTCTAGAAAATGATTCGCTGTTGGCATGAGCTGCCTGGGAGAACCACTCAGCAACAGACTTCTCAGAAAGTTTGGTTGAAGCAGCAGATCCGACTCTCATGATCCCGTCAGGCAACAGTTTACAGATGGGTCGATGCTGGCCAAGCCTGCAGGACTGCAAAAGAAGAAGCAGGAACCAAACATGGTGAGTGGACAAATATTTTGACAAGTGGACCGCAAGTCTAACATATGGGACAGTGTCGCTTTAATGCACTGGGCAGAACACCACGAAGCCCACAGCACCTCAATGCATTTTTTTGGTTTTGGTTTTTAAATGCTCTTTATTAATTTTGCACATAGTTTAGAAGACAAGAAATCTCAATGTAGTTTTGCCTCCAGAAAGCAGGCAAGAGTACCCAGATCGGTATGCCTTTTCCAGATCCATGGCATTCACTGCTCCTGTCCCAAAAGTGCCCAAATCTGGAATCTTTGTTGACAAATAGCAGCAAAGAGCTTCAACTAAACATTGCAGCTTTTTGCTTTGATGCAGCTGTCGAATCTCCCCCAGAACTTTCAAGCTGTTCAACAGTGGAGCAGTCTCCCTCCGGAGGTTGTGGACTCTCCTTCCTTGGAGGTTTTTAAGCAGAGGCTGGATGGTCATATGTCATGGATGCTTTAGTTGAGATAATGGGCGCAGCCAGGATTTGGGGGGGGGCAAAACAGCTGTTTGTGACATGACTGGTCAGTTAGTTAAGTATTTCTATTTACTTACTTGATTTAGGGGGGTCTCCCTGCCCCCCCGCTACACCTATAGTTGCGATTCCTGCATTGCAGGGGGTTGGACTAAATGGCCTTTGGGGTTCCCTCCAACTCTACAATTCTATGATCCTCAAGCAAGAGACTGCAGAGTTGACCCCCTGAGGTCAGTCATCGTTTTCTGTTATGATCGTAACAGAGAAAATTGTTTCCCAGTTTCTTGTGTGAATCTGCAATCTGTACACATTGAGGTTATTTTAATGTCTTTTTATCATCTTGAGTTTTGTTCTGGCTCGCAGCCAAGGCAAATAAACTTGGACCTGAGGAGTAAGTACCACAGCTCCCTGCTGCTGCCTGTGCTGCAGATTAGCAACCCATGGTATAAATTAAGCTACAAGGCATAACGTCATGAAGCTTGCCACAAAAAGATGCCTATACTGTTCTTCCAGGGAGGCTGCCATGTTAGAAGGCTGCAGCAAAATCAAAAGACTGTTGTTTTGGACATTTTTCTTATAAAAGACATGATTCAGTACCCTTATATGTTTGCCCTACAGTTTATTCAACAGTATCCATAAAGTTTAATAATCTCAAGCATTTTGGTTGCAGGTTAACCCACAAAAACAGTGGATTACGGGTTTTTTTAAACTAGCCCCATGGCACCCAAACAACAGCAAATTAGTGGGCCAAAGCACACTTTGCCTGATGGATACCAAGTTTCCCCCAACTATAGATAGAAGGAGGGGAGACAAAATTAAGTCAGAAGACCTAGTATTAAAAAAAAAAAGCATGATCCTTTCAGGAACGGCATGTCAATATAAAACAAGACTAAATCAAAAGAATGAAAGATCCAATCAGTGCAGGTGTGACTAAGTCCCAACCGATAAGGAGTTGGCAATCGAAGATGAAAACACACACCGAAAGAAGTGATTGAGCTACTCCTACCCTCTACTGAGCCCGAGTTGGATGGTGTGAAATCTGCCAATGTATTTCAACTCAGCAGGCTTGACCCTGGAGTCTCCTTTTGAAAGTGGCCATACTTTCAGCAAATGTTTCAAATCTGCTACTGAACCGCCAGTGAAAGAGAGAACTACTCACACTGACTCTGACTGGATCTTTTTTGCTTTTATAATGGAATTTTATTTCTTTTCTTTTCTGCTCTGCAAAGTAATGGCCTGGTCTTTGCAAAACGCCTTAATAATACTCTGGGATGAGGAGAGACAGACTAGTACTATTCTTCTTTCCTGAAAGCATCAATGTGGCAACACATACTAATTTTAACAATTATTATTGCTATTATTACATTTATTGCCTGCCCTTCACCAGCAGGCCTCAGGGTGGGTTACAACAACTTAAAATTAAAAACAGCTAAAAAGTATTAGAATCGCCGGAATAGGGTTGGCTCTGGAAACACACATTTTGGGTGTCAAAAGGCCACCCTCTTACCTTAACAAGATTTAGTCCAGAAGTACAGCGTGGCTACCCTGTTACATTAAGTAAGCTCTTTTTAAAAACATTATAAATCCTTGAGCTGGGCTGGGGGGGGGGTGCATGTGCGTGCGCTCAAATAAAGTAATTGTGGCTTGCCAGAGTATTCAGAGCAGCCTTGCCATAAAGCTACTTGCTAATCAGAGATTCAACAGATTCAAATATACCGACATTCTCTTTTCTTTGGCTTCTGTTAAATGCAGGGTAAGACTGGCAATGCCTTGGAATAATAGCCAGACAGCACCTTGCAGGAGCACAGGGAAGATTCAGTAACCCGGAGTTAACAATGTTTGTAGCCTTAAATGCAGGAGGGCAGTACATAATTTAACCACTTGATGGCATCTGCATGATAAGGAAACTGCTACTTAAATGAAGCCCTGCTAAAAGGAGATGAGCCTTTTATCTCTTTCTACCATCCATTTTAGCTGATTTGTTGAGATGAGGTCTGCAGGAGGTTTTAAGTGTCAGCTGGAATGCAAAGTTGATAAATGGCACCATTAAGGGGGGGGGGGGTTAGGATTCCTTCTGGAGCACTTCTCCAGAAGGGCCTCCTTCTCATATTCCCTTACCTCATATATTGCAGTGAGATCCCGAAAGAAGGTCTTTGCTCCGTTCAGCAGCGCTTCATTCTCTGGACACACCACAACGTAAGCAATGTCTCTCTGAGATCCATAGGGTTCCAACATCAGCCTCTCCCAGTACGGTAAGGCAAATGGGGACAGCACCAGGAAGTCGTAATCGTATCCCAACAAAAAAGTTGGAATGGGCAGTGGTTCTGGAGACTCATCAGTTCCTGGACAAGGAAAGGGACATTTTTTCCCATATATTAGAATGGAACTGGAGTGCAACAGTGTACCCCCTTCCAGATTCAAGGGAAGCAACTGCCGAGAGAAAAATGAGATGCCAGATGTCTTCTGGAGCAAGTTAATTCTCAAGCCACTACTAGTACTGCCATCAAAACAGAATTGGTCCATTCTGTCCCATCTGATCTACCTTTTTTACTACTCTGTTCCCTGAAAACAAAAGCTGGAAGTCCACAGAGTTAAACAAAGATACCAATATGCAAAATCCTGCAAATTAGTCTAAAGCCGGAGGTCTTAAGTAGTGATCTGTAAAATACTCTCCAAACATTTCTAGTGCAAAATTGGGGGCTGGCATGTAAACAAATCAAGCAGCAAGTGTGGCTTCCCTCATACAAACAAATCCAAAGTACTGGGCTGAAGGACGAAAGTTTGCTTCCTACATCTTGGGAGAACTCATGAAGGCCTCGGTAGGAACAAAAGGATCTAATGAGGGACTCACAAACGAAGATTCACAGTAGGACTCCATAGCTCAATTCAGACATCACTGCCATATCACCATCAGAAATACACTATGGGCTCACACACCCCACATCCTTCCCTTCTATACACCAATTCCCTCCTTTACTTAGAAGTTTTCCTTAATCATAGTTGCCCATTTTGCCCTACCTGGGCAAACTGCGTGTAACCATACTTTTCTTCCAAATCTGAAATGAAAATCCACTTCTACCTAGGAGTTTCTTCTTATTTGGAAACACTGAAGGGGGGACAGAATACAGCGGTACCTCGAGTTACGAACGCCTCAGGTTACAAACGCTTCAGGTTACAAACTCCACTAACCTGGAAGAGTTACCTCGAGTTGAGAACTTTGCCCCAGGATGAGAACGGAAATTGTGTGCCGGTGGTGCAGCGGCAGCAAGAGGCCCCATTGGCAAAAGCACGCCTCTAGTTAAGAACAGTTTCAGGTTAAGAACGGACCTCCGGAACGAAGTAAGTTCGTAACTAGAGGTACCACTGTACAACATCTGGATTGTGGCTGTATGGTTGATTATATTGTACTGAAAGGATAGGATACAATTTTAAAGTTCTCTGGTCTTGATGTCTAGCATCTCTATAAATGTTCCTTCATACTCTCCTATCCTTCCAGCCTATCATGAGTTCCAAAATAAACCACCCATGACCAAAATTCAACCCAAAGAGGAGTGCATCATAACCTCCCAAAACCACAGAGCATAAACTGAGATTTCAACATACTACTACTTCCTGAATTCCCTCCACCCATGCACTAGGAAAGGGTAGGAAAGTTTAAAAATGATCCCCTCTCCACACAGAAATAAATGAAAGAAACTGATCTGTGGACAACATTTACCGTAAGTGCCTCGGCCAGCCATTTTGTGAAACTGCTGCCACGTGAGAGGACCCTGCACTCCCCAAGAGCGAACGGTTCGTTTTTTCTGAATTGCATCCTGGAGGACAGGCTGAAGTGAGAGCAGCATGCGAAGGATGTCCTGAGAACACTGCATGCTCACGTCTCCAACTGAAACAACCAAAGTTAGTTCAAAGAGGTTGCAAAGTAGTGTCCTAGTCACAATCTATACATATCAACAACGCATTTCTAAGCTCCAGGTGTTGTACATTAAATGCATGAAGTTATCTGTGCTCAGAGAACACAACCCACATCGCTGCTATGAAATTTTCTATTTTATTGTACACTGCTTTGGTTAGTTTAGTTTAAAATGAGGGATGCAAACTTTAAGCAGTTTTGGTTGATGAACACTGGGAAACTACAAGTTAAGGGCACAATTTATTTATTTTTTAGGTGCATTCACTTATCCACCTCTAAAGGCATCTTAGTAAAAACACCATTTGCATTTAATTTTTAAATCAATCAAAGAAAATGATTAACAGATTAAAAATTCTTCAACTGGTTGACAACTCTACTTAAAAGCAGCATATGGCTTGTCACTGAAATATTCAATTTCAGTCTTCCAAAAGACAAGTAAAGCACATGGGGTGCTTAACTTTCAAAATATTTGGAATTTCCCCTAAAGCTAAGGAGTATATGCTTGCTTCAGAGTGTTTGTTACCCAACATCCTGAACAGAAACCTGCACAGAAAGATTCCTTAAAATATGCTATATAGCAAAGTAAATACATCCTATGCACACTAAACTTGCAAAGTAGGCAGGTAATATAGCACAGCCATAGCTAGGTCAACTTGAAATGTCCCACCTAATTCATATTTTTATTTTGCACCTTTATATACCTCTTTTTCTAATTACAAATCAATATGCTTCACATGAGTATAACTTAAAAGATATGGATGGTTCAATTAGGTCTGGTATGGGCCTTTTATGCTTTTATGTGATATGTTTGGACAGACACATAAATAGGTTCTGAAGGCATGTTCTGACGGATGGTTGATCTCTGAATGATAATCTTTTCTACCATCCTGGAAAAGTTATTCCTGCAGCCCAGGGGCAGATCTCTCCCTGCTCTAATTTAGAAAGTATTTCTCTGTTTCCTTAAAAATCTGAGTATCCAGAATTTCCTCACATTCACCATGAAGAGGCCCTAATTGATCGCAACTGCAATACAACATACTGCCAAGCAATCATGTGTATGTTTAGCGGCCTACATCAAAGAGATAGACAGACATTTCTCAAACAGCCAAAACTTTGAATCTTCCAGGGTAGGCATGGGGAACTGTGGCTTCCAGATGCTGCCGGACTACACCTCCCATCAGTTCCAGCCAGCATGGTCAGGTGGTCAGCTACAATGGGAACTGTAGTCCAGCAACTTCTGGAGAGCCACAGGTTTTCCACCCCTGTTCCAGAGAATAATAAATAATTGACATTTTAGGTATATTTTAGGTATAATTCGTGCACGCAAGCAAGCTATCCATTCTTTGCAATTTATGGTAAATCAACTAAGTGATCCCTTTTAAGTCCGCTTTTTATATAGGGTGAGAAATTTAAAACATTATGGGCAGGGGGACAACTGCAAACACTTACCATTTTGTTTTGACCAATGGTGCAAGCAAGTACTCTTCACAAGTGCTTCATCAACTTTCCCTCCCGACATGTTGTCCATAAACTGGCGCCCGTGTTCCAACGCAAGGTAGCAGTCATTGCAACAATCCCTTTCCTCAGCGCGTACCCGGTTGCCGATGGCTCCAGCTTTTGGCAAGGGGTCGTAGTCAGCCGCTCCAAATGGCGAGAACAGGTTGGTGCACTGGTCTTGCAGCAAGAGTATCAGCTCATCAGGCAGCCTGTCAGCCTCCTTCGATCCCCCGCCATGCTCGGTGGAGCCCGTGCGGAGGGCCTCAAAGCGCTTCTCCACATCTTTGCCACATTCCGAGCTGCGGCCTAGGATGTCCAACTCATCCTCTAGGAATAATCCAGAGTTGTTGCCAAACTTCCTGTTCATCACTGCGCTGAAGCCACAGGTACACCTGTACTGGGCTTCTTGTGTTGGATCTGGAATGTAAACTCCAACATCGGCACCTTTGATGTTTGTGTTGCAGACGCAGATGCAACAGCTGTCAAAGTTACAGTCTTTGAAGAGGTTCATCACCGATTCAGAGAGGATGAGGTTGACGTAGAGACTGTGGGCCTCAGGGATAGAAGGGACAGTGGGAGGCTCAACAGAATTTAGCGGTCTGCAGGTTGATGGCGTTGAGGCTGGTGAATACAAGTCCGAATTCTCATATTTGACTGAGCCTTGAGCACTGGCTGGCCCACCAGCCCCACGGGGAGTCCTTGGAGTCCTTGGTGTCCGAGGAGTTGGGAAACGGGGGGTGGAAGGCGAAGGGAGAATGCCAGGCCCACTGTTACTGGGTGGGGCACTGCTGGGTGGCATTCCAAAGGGCGTATGTGTTTGTGGAGTGTAGGCGGGGCCGTATTCTTGATCAATAGTGCTCCCATCACTAGGGGAAAAAGAGAAATATCTTTACCCAAGCATTTAAGTAGTACGTTCTCTAGAATATCTTTTTTTTTTTTAAAGGATCTGAGCAGACAAACAGCGGGAATCACTGCCAGTAACAGGACAAAACAATCAAGATACAGCGGCACATGGCAACAAGTTTAGAGAGGTAACATAGGACAACAGATGCTGCTGGACTCCAACTCCCATCAGTCCCTTCCAAAGCCACCAGCTGCCAGGGATGATGGGAGTTGCAGTACAAAACATCGCACACAAGCACATACCCTTCTTTGATGAATGGCATTGCAGGCCCCGGAGGAAGCAATTCCAGCTTGCCAACTGTCCAGCTCTGCCGGTAAACACACTCCTCCGGCAGCTTGATGGGCTGGAGACACTGGCTTGGTAGAGTCTTCAGTGGTGCAAACATGGAACACCCCACAAAAGCTTGGCTGTTCTCAGGCTTATAAACGTAGGAATAATCCTAGAAGCAAAAAGAAAAGGCATAAATGAAGAGCTAACATGCATAGTCGGAAAAAGAAAAGCCAGTTGTCCCTTTGGTTTGCTGCCTCTGGGCTATGAATCAGGGGAGATGGCTTGAGTTCAAGTAGAATACTACATGGGCCAAATCTGGGCTTAGAAGCTCATTTTGAGTCTATACTGGGTGTGTTTGCACATCACAATATGGAACAGTTAATGGTTTAGCTGTGAACGTGCAGATTGTTCCCACTTTGTTCCTCTCCCTTGCTAGCAGGAAAAACAAACTACGATCCTTGGCTTAGCATTATATCCAGAATGTGGATTGGTTTTTCCTTTGCTCCAAACAAACCATGATCTGAAAGGTTTGATACAGGTATTGCAGCTTCTTATCAGCTGGGGTTCAGGACAGAATTATCCTGGTTAGCTATTTAAAATTTACAGTACAGCACTCTGTGAAGCAGGCATAAGGTACTGGTGGGGTTACCCATTCAAACATCTAATAACTTATGAAGGTGTAACTAAAGTTACCTTCACACAACTGCAAGCTAAAAAAGTATTAAATCAACCAGGACTGCAACTAAATGAAGACAAACAACTGAGAAAAGTAGGCAGTGGAGAGGAAGACACAGAACTCAAAGGAGGAGGCTGGCAGCAGATTAAAAAAAAAAAGGGGGGGGAGAAACAAGTTTTAAAAAAAGAACCCCGCAAAAAAAGCAAAAACAATATACTGAGGGCTTCTTCTATGCCTGGGGTCCCACTGAAACAATCAACTTTGTTTCACCTAAGTTTGACCAAGAGTCATGAGCTCTATTACCAAAATGGGCACGAATTGGGCTATTATTCTTTTATTTTTGTCTGTAATATAACCATGTAAAACATGTTCTGTTTCTGGGGGGAGGGGGCTAATGTTTACGTTTCCCCAATTTCACCTAAGCATTTGGCTCATGAACGAAAGAGGGACTATTCTGTTCCCAACCACAGATGTAGGGATTATTATGTTGGGAAGGTTGGAGGGATTGGGGGGGGGGGGGAGGCGGGAGTCTGAATGTTGAAGTTAATTCCTTTTGAAATTCAGAGCATCTGTATTTTTTGCTGATGGAATATGGTAATAACACTGAAATTACTATGATGCATAATACATCTATTGCCTGGTTGGTTGGTTTTTTAACTAGCCTTTAGTTTAGGGGCTGTCAACCTGGTCCCTACTGCCCACTAGTGGGCGTTTCAGGATTGTAGGTGGGTGGTAGGGGGTTCTACGGCACAAGTTGAATCCTCCTTCGATCAAGCACTGGTGGGCAGTAAGGAAATTTTACCATCAAGAAAGATGCATTAGTGGGCAGTAGGTATAAAAAGGTTGACTACCCCTGCTTTAGTGGCATTAAGTTAAAACAGTAAAACCATAAAATCATACAAAGCCATCCAAATACATTGATAATCCAAACACATACAATATATAAAATAGATAGCCACCATTGAATAAATCAGGCAACTTTAGATTTAGCTTTAAAGATCTTGGCTAAGTACCCTGAAACAATCTTGGCAGTTTCAGTAGTATCATCCCTGGTATATGCTGCATAATTTTAAATTAACCTTATAATGCCACACTTAACTGCAATAACTTTGAATGTAAATGACCTGGTACACCAATTAAATGAAGAAGGGTAAAGTCTGCTTTAAAGTGAGATAACCCAGACCTTAATTTTTTTACAATAGGCGTCCTATTGGAAAGACCCAGTTCTCTGAGTGCATGTTCTGTTAGTTGGGCAATAGGGGCAGTACAGGATTCCTATTGGTGTACCGACCTCCCCGCTGCACCAAGGATTCCCTGCCCGAGCTGCTTCAGGTCGTGTCGGATGTCCTCCTGGAGACACCTAGTTTGGTTGTCCTAGGGGATTTTAACATCCATGCCGACACGACCTTACAAGGGGCCGCTCAGGACTTCGTGGAAAGCATGGCCTCCATGGGGCTGTCCCTGAATAAGTCTGGCCCAACTCATAGCCATGGGCATGCCTTAGACCTGGTGTTCACCTCTATGGATGTTGGTGATCTGACACTAAGTAAAAGCGAAACCAAAGAAGTGCCATGGTCAGATTACTTCCTGGTGCAACTGGACATCTCCGCGACCCTTCCCCTCTGCAGGGAGGTGGGACAGATTCAGATGGTCCGCCCCCGCCACTTAATGGATCCAAATGGTTTCCAGAGAGTGGTAGGGGATGTTTTATCCCATGTTGCTGGCCTTTCAGCTGATTCCCTGGTGGCCCGCTGGAATGTGGAGTTAACCAGGGCTATTGACTGTTTGGCTCCAAAGCGCCCTCTCCGATTGCATGGAGCCCGGAGAGCCCGGTGGTTTTCCACGGATCTGAGGGCAATGAAACAATCGTTGAGACGGCTAGAGCGCCGGTGGCAGATAACCCTTTCTGAATCTGACCGGACATGGGTTAGAGCTCAATATCGAGCCTACCAAGTGGCGATAGCGACGGCGAAGAAGACTTTCTTCACCGCCTCTTATTGCATCTGCGGAAAACAGCAGCAGGAGACTCTTTCAGGTGGTTCGCAATTTAGCGGAACCACCTGCTCCACCAGGGCCCAGTACGGGCCACATGATCTCCTGCAATGACTTTGCAAAGTTTTTTGCAGATAAAGTCGCTCAGATTCAAGAAGAGGTAGACTCCACCGTGGGAGCAGGGCCGGGGCGGGAGAGCTAGAGTCCTGTCTAGTCAAGTTGTGTGGGATCAATTCCAATCTGTTACCCCCGAGGATGTAGACAGGCTGCTTGGACGAGTGAAACCAACTACTTGTCTCCTTGATCCTTGCCCATCCTGGCTTATAAAAGGTAGCCGGGAAGGACTGGGCGATGGGCTTTGTGGGGTGGTGAATGCTTCCCTCCGTGAGGGAGCCTTCCCAGACCCGCTGAAAGAGACGGTTATTAAACCGCTTCTTAAAAAACCATCTTTAGATGTGACCACGATGGCCAACTATCGCCCAGTCTCAAATCTTCCATTCTTGGGCAAGGTGATTGAGCAAGTGGTTGCTGAACAACTCCAGGCATGCCTGGAAGAAGCGGACCATTTGGATCCCTTCCAGTCGGGATTCAGGCCTCAACATGGGACTGAAACTGCCTTGGTCACACTGGTTGATGATCTCCGGCGGGATAGTGACAAAGGTGAGAGCTGTTTCCTAGTTCTGCTGGATCTCTCAGCGGCGTTTGATACTATTGACCATAACATCCTTCTGGACCGTCTTGAGGGGCTGGGAGCTGGGGGCACTGTCATACAGTGGTTCCGCTCCTTCCTCCTGGGCTGTGTTCAGAAAGTGGTGGTGGGGGATGTGTGTTCAGACCCCTGGGCTCTCACTTGTGGGGTGCCTCACGGTTCTGTCCTCTCCCCCATGCTTTTCAACATCTACATGAAGCCGCTGGGAGAGATCATCAGGGGATTTGGGCTGGGTGTTCATCAGTATGCGGATGATACCCAGCTCTACCTCTCTTTCAAATCAGAACCAGTGAAGGCAGTGAAGGTCCTGTATGAGTGCCTGGAGGCGGTTGGAGGTTGGATGGCGGCTAACAGATTGAGGTTGAATCCTGACAAGACAGAAGTACTGTTTCTGGGGGACAGGAGGCGGGCAGGTGTGGAGGATTTCCTGGTCCTGAATGGGGTAACTGTGCCCCTGAAGGACCAGGTGCGCAGCCTGGGAGTCATTTTGGACTCACAGCTGTCCGTGGAGGCACAGGTCAAATCTGTGTCCAGGGCAGCTGTTTACCAGCTCCATCTGGTACGCAGGCTGAGACCCTATCTGCCTGTGGACTGCCTCACCAGAGTGGTGCATGCTCTGGTTATCTCCTGCTTGGATTACTGCAATGCGCTCTACGTGGGGCTACCTTTGAAGGTGACCCGGAAACTACAACTAATCCAGAACGCGGCAGCTAGACTGGTGACTGGGAGTGGCCGCAGAGACCACATAACACCGGTCTTGAAAGACCTACATTGGCTCCCAGTACGTTTCCGAGCACAATTCAAAGTGTTGGTGCTGACCTTTAAAGCCCTAAACGGCCTTGGTCCAGTATATCTGAAGGAGCGTCTCCACCCCCATCGTTCTACCCGGACACTGAGGTCCAGCACCGAGGGCCTTCTGGCGGTTCCCTCACTGCAAGAAGCAAAGCTACAGGGAACCAGGCAGAGGGCCTTCTCGGTAGTGGCGCCTTCCCTGTGGAACACCCTCCCACCAGATGTCAAAGAGAACAACAACTACCAGGCTTTTAGAAGACATCTCAAGGCAGCCCTGTTTAGGGAAGCTTTTAATGTTTGATGTATTTTAATATTCTTTTGGAAGCCGCCCAGAGTGGCTGGGGAAGTCCAGCCAGATGGGTGGGGTATAAATAATAAATTATTATTATTATTATTATTATTATTACAAGAGACACATAAAAAAATAAACACAATACTGGTATAAAATCCTTCCTCCCAAGTGGAGGTGGAAATTGGTACCCCTCAAAAGGTTCTTCCAAAAGTAGGGGGTCAGCAATCTGGATTTCTCCCAAACTTGATTTTCATTCAAAAGATATACTAAGTGATCCCACTGGAAGATTTATTTTCCTCAAAGGTCTGTTAGAGAACTCCTGGCTGACATTATGCTCTATTTATGTACCTGATACCCAACAATAACAATTTCTGGATGTAACTTTTCCAATACTGACTCATTTATACAAGATGAAGTGGTAATAGGTGGTGACTTAAATCTTGTACTTAATGATTATTTTGATAATAGCAGAACTTTTCACCTATCACAAAACCCATGGAAACTGCCTTCGTTTAAAACATCCCTCTACAACATTTTACATAAACACAGCTACTTTGATGCTTGGTGCATAGCCAATGCAGAACTAAGAAACTATACACATGTCAGCAAGGTGCAAAAATTGTGCCAGATTGGATTATTTATTAATCACAGAAGGCCTTATCTCTCAGCTTCTTAATATCTTAGACCATGCCCCTGTTATCACCAGAATACAAGGAGGAATACTCAAACCTAAACCTTTCTAATGGAAATTAGACCCCTGGATATAAACTTTTTTATTATTATTGAGAAACTCCTTAAAGCGATTCCTGATTTTTAAAAAAAGATTAATTATATAGGAGAACAGACAACATGGAACCCCTTAGCTTTGGCATTGAAAGCAGATGATGTTGTAAAGGTTTTGAATTATTTTGGGGGAAAGGATCTTATCTGTCAGGACTGGTCGTTGTCCTCTTCAGATCACCACGCAAACGCTTCCTTTTCTTTTATAACTTTTTATTGTGTATTAACAAAACAATCTTATAAACGGTTCTTATCTTTAACTATTATTCCTCAGAGTCACTTATTTCAGACACCTTCTGAGCTCTCCTCACTAGAGCTGGCTTGTATCTCCCCTCCTCCAAATCTGAGCTATAACATAACCCTTGCCTTTCCTGTGAACAGCCGATCCCTCCCTGTTGTTCCTGTTGCTCTCTTCTATTAGATTCACTGCTCTCCTCCCCCCCTTGGGGAAAGCTTTCTCCCTCTGAGAAACTGGAAACTTCTAACTCTAACTCTTCCCTGACATTATCAATATGCTCACAGATGATGAACATATTCCTTTCTGATCCTGAAATCTAATTACCTCCTGTTATGCACCAACTTGCTACAAATGGCAAAATATCTGGGTTCACTGTTAATTTCACCAAATCTGAGCTGATGTGTATACACACCCTGCCAAACCTACAACTTCATTGGCACAAAACAAGTGGACTGAAACTCTGTACACACATAAGAATCTATCTAAACTAGAAAAAAAAACTTTCCTGATAGATTTAACAACTAAGCTCAAAAAATGGTCAAAGTTAACATTCTCACTGGGCGTTCTATAAGACATGGTATCCCTTTATCAACTTTAGGAGACACTTTCTTTGGTTCCCTTTCTTAGAATGTCTAAAACTACAGACATCAGCTGCTATTTTTCTGTACAACTGTACAACTACTAAGCCCTGTTTTCTTTGTATGGGTATGTTTTGTTACCTGAAATTAAGAATCTATTAAATAATAGCAATAACAGTAATAAAGACAACTTAATGTACCTTTATTTCTGAGGGTTTGGGGCTACAGAATCCCTCATCTACTTCAATCCTGAACTGAACACCAGCAGTAGCGCCATTTCCTTCTAAGACAGTCCCTCCAGGCGTGGTGTCCATGCTGCCATATTCCTTGTTGTTCATATTCATGGGAGAAAACCCCATAATGTGTTGCTCCAAGGATGGTGGTGTTGGGTACATTTTATGAAGATCTGCAGTGCCTGGTTTAGATTTAAAAGGATTTTGAGAGAGAGAAAGAGAGAGATGTTGGGATGCTCACACATCACAGCTACTCTCATTTATCGCAAGTTTATCATGTCTTCAAATGCTTGCCTGCAGCACATTCCCAAACTACACCATTAGCATAAAAATGTACACTCCATTAATTTTTCCCTCGCTAGTGTTCTCTTTCCCTGTGCCCCAATCCCCAAACTGGGACTGTGAACTCTAGTGTGGGAAGTTCCCATGTGATTCATCCTACCTGTTTGATGTAAGCTTGGCCCTTCTAAATATATTGCATGAAGTGGTCTCCCAAGTAGGTAGTTTACATACAAGGGTACAGAATTGCGGGGAGGGGGGGATATCTGTGCAGCAGGAACAGAAGACCAAGAGATGCGAAAGATAGCTGTAGGTGCATCATAGGTAAAGATACAACCCAACTTGTGTGTGACTCACTATCAACAAGCAGCCAGTGGGGCTAAATGAGCATAGGAAGATGGACAGTTATCAACCAACACCTGAAATGTGATACTTGTTTTCTGGAGTGAGCTAGGCACACCCAGCTTCTACCAAGTTTGAATTCCACAACAGTAAATTTTCTAGAGATTTTCAACAACCCAAGACAGCCAAACTGCTTCCCCATGGCTTACGAATGTTACTATTTTACAATTTTGTCACAGAATGCAAATAAAGCATTCCAATGTCTTGAACTGGTTGTTGACCGTAATAATAATATTTTTTAAAAAGCACATTTCTATGTTACTGGTGCTTGCTAACTGTAGCAGCAGCAGAGCAGCCACACAATAAAAAAAAGCTAATTTGTGAAGTAGTACACTCAGACATGTCAATTTGAACTAGCTGGGGCTAAGAGTAGGGGCAGGGAGTAGGGAACCTTTTTTGGTCCAGCAGGCCAGATCTTTCTCTCTCCCTACCATGTGGACAGGCTTGGATGCACCTGCCTGTCAATCATCTGATATCATAATGTCATAAGGTAATTTGACTGGTGCGTGGTCCTGCCCAACTATCAAAGTTGGCCAGGGAGGCAGTGAGAGATGGTGACCTTTCTGCAGGGATCGAGTAAATGAGAGCAGATTCTCTGCAGGGAAATCTCCTGTGCACCTGAACCAAGCAGGATTAAACTCCCTGGGCATTTGCCAACATGTCAGGAGTTCAATCCTGTTTTCTGAAGGGATCAACTGCACAAGCAACCAATCCAGCCACATCCCAAATATGACAACAGGCGTGGGCGGCTAGCCGGAAGTTCCCCCAAAAGTATGTGTGTTTCGCGGGCCATGGAAGGAGAGGAAAAAGAAAGCAGCTTACTTATGCATGACAAAGGGTCCAAGTTTCCTGCTTTTGACTCTTTGCAGTTGGATTTGTCATCTGCTCCATTCAGCATTCTTTTAGATCCAGGCTAGGGAGGGAAGAGGAATAAAAGAAACTGACTCCACAGGTATCGCTGGATAAAAATAAGGTCTTGCACAGCTTCATCAATAGCAATGACTTTGCAGCTTTAAAAACCATGCTATGTCATAGGTAAATTCAGAAACAGGCAGGAGTTTCAAAAGCAGTTTATATTGGATGTGCCCTGTGATTCAAAGCAGGCAGAAAGCTCACAATGCCTGCTCAAGCCCTTGGGTGTGCCTAAATTACCTCTTAGGATGCCAGCCATTTTACTTCACTTTTCCAGAAAATGTATATGTGAAGCAACTTTAAAGATCCAACTCACATCACCAGACAATAACAACTTTGGCAAATTTTACAACCAAACAGCCAAGTAAATAAACAGAATCTGCTCCAAATCATGCTGCAGGATAAACATTATTTGCAGAGTTAAAAAGAGGGGGATCTAAGTTAAAATTTCAACATAGCCACTGAAATTTGAGGAAATGTTGCACACAGAAACAAACACTGCACTTATTTAGAAGACTTTCCTACGCAACTCTGGGCCCCATATCATCCAGGCAATGGATCATCTAAGCAAGCTGTTTCCGTCAGCAGCCTCACTGACCTCACTTAGGAGGCTGATAAAGATGAAGTGTGAAGCAAGAGCCCATTTGCACAATGCATGTCTGTCATTCAGCAACTCTCGGCTAAGACTTATTATGCAAACTGCCTCCTTCAATCTATACTATTTGAGCAGTTCCCTTACTAAGGTACTGACTCTGCTTCAGCTGCTTTGCACATTCAAGTCAACAAATAACCCAAAAACGCATAACTCACTTTACAGACAACAGTTATAGGGAAGGCTTAAGATTATACAAACAGATCCAGCTCAACTGGAGACTTATCAGAATGGCTCAGAAACTGCAAATAGGAAAACTCGTTCAATTTTTTCTTGTTTTTAGTTCTACACTGCCTTCGCTGTCACGTGGTGTATCTTGACCCCCACTACAATATGAAGCTATGAAACATATCTTATCAAGCCACTTACTGTTAGCTCATCTTCATCAGAGTTGAAGAGATTGTCAAGGTCAGTGTAAGAGACAACCAGGTCATTTTCATGAAACAAACTAGTTGACGCCGTGCGATTGTGAGGGGGAATACGCTGGGCATCTATTGCTGAAAGGAGAGAGATCAAAGGCTCACCAATGGACTCTGTTCTAGCAGTTTAGACGATAATAGTTTAATTACAGAACCTACTATCAAATAGAGGGACGCGGGTGGCGCTGTGGGTTAAACCACAGAGCCTAGGGCTTGCCGATCAGAAGGTCAGCGGTTCAAATCCCCGCAACGGGGTGAGCTTCTGTTGCTCAGTCCCTGCTCCTGCCCACCTAGCAGTTCGAAAGCATGTCAAAGTGCAAGTAGATAAATAGGTACCACTCCGGTGGGAAGGTAAACGGCGTTTCCATGCGCTGCTCTGGTTCGCCAGAAGCGGCTTAGTCATGCTGGCCACAGGACCCGGAAGCTGTACGCCGGCTTCCTCGGCCAATAAAGCGAGATGAGCGCCGCAACCCCAGTCGTTTACGACTGGAGCTAAGGTCAAGGGTCCCTTTACCTTTACCTTTACTATCAAATAAACCAATGCATACTTCTTGTTCTATCCAGTTTTTAAAATGAACAGCATGTGTTTCAAAACAGCAGTGTTACCTTGTTTGACAGAGGGGCTAAAAAGTGACATCGCATCCTCTCCAACATTAGGTGTCCCATCTTCAGCCTGCAAACAACAAAAGGGGGCAGCAGGCCGCATGAGTATGTGACTGCACCACATGAGTTATTTAACATATAAGCTGCCTTATACAGAGTCAGGCAGTTTTCACCAACCAGGCACCTTTCAGATGTGCCAGTCGGGGGCCAATGAGAATTGTTGTCCAAAACAGTTCAAAGGCACCAGGTTAGTGAAAATTGGTCAATTTCAACTGGCAGTAGCTCTTCAAGTGGAAATCTAAGAGCCTTTCAGATACAAGAGTATTAGTTGTCCCTTCTGCCTGGCACTTGCTCTTGGGCAAAGTTCCTCCCCATCGCTTGCTACCAGAGCCAGTGTGGTGTAGTGGTTAAGAGCGGTAGACTCGCAATCTGGTGAACTGGGTTCGCATCTCCGCTCCTCCACATGCAGCTGCTGGGTGACCTTGGACTAGTCACACTTCTCTGAAGTCTCTCAGCCCCACTCACCTCACAGAGTGTTTGTTGTGGGGGAGGAAGGGAAAGGAGAATGTTAGCCGCTTTGAGACTCCTTCGGGTAGTGATAAAGCGGGATATCAAATCCAAACTCCTCCTCTTCTTCCCTATGCCCTATCATTTATCATAAACAGGTGACCATGTGACATGGGGCAAGGCACTGAGACTGCTTTTTGAGAAACACAAGGACACACATGGATGCTTTAGCTGAGATTTCTGCAGTGCAGGGGTTGGACTATATGACCCTCGGGGTACCTTCCAACTCTACAATTCTATTACTCTGCAATCCCTTTGGGGCCACAGAACTAGTTGCAAGGCTCTACATCCTCTTGGCTCATGTGTGCTCCTCACTTACTGTTTCTGCATATGCTCCTGGTCCCTCATTCCCTGTGCTGGGCTTCACCCAGACCTTTTCACTCACCTTGTGCTTTTTCCCAGCTTCTCGCTCGCTGTTCTGCCTGTCCTTTTTATCAGGAAAAGGGAATTCTTCATCTCCATCAACAAATGCATACGGATCCATTTCAGGTTCCTGGTCAGCTACTATTGCTGCTAGATACTGGTTCTTGCTCTGGTACTGCTGCACCAATTCATCAGAGACTTTTAAAGGTTTTCTACATTGCACCATTAACCTGTACACAGGAAAAAGACGAGGTTACAATGAATAGAAACCATATGCCAAAACCCTTCCAGTGATTAAAACCTTTAATTGCTTCTCAAATTGTAACCCATCTTTCCTCCAATGTGCTCAGGACAGCATTTATTACCCCGGGAGAGGTGGGCTGGTCAGCAGAGTTCAACCAAAGCAAAGATCACCCAGTGAGTTTCATGGCTGTGCAGGGAGCTCAGCTGTCTGCTGTCCAAATCTTAACACATTTAAGCACCATACCTTACAAGTTTTCCCCCAACACCACACACATAGTGGAATCCAACCCCCGCCCCGCGCACACAAAATTATAAATTTCACTAGAGTCCCGCAACTACTCTAGACAACAGTGGATTTCTTCTTCCTTAGTTTTTCATATGAGTTATTATCAATTTGGTATTTTAAAAGTCTTTATGTCCATTCCTAATTAGTACATGGCTTATGTCTGCTCTTCTTTCCCAGCACCTTACAATGAGGTCTTTAAAAAGGACAGCACTATTCACATCTCAGCTTTTGCTTATGTTTATCAGTATCAAACCAATTAGCACTTCAGTAACTGCCATACTGGTACAATACAGTTTATTATTACTATTATTTTCTTACATGCCTTTCACCACAAGGTCCCTGGGTGAGTTTGAACAACACAAAAATACAGTATTAAAATCAGTTAAAATAATATACAATCAGATACATGATGAAGAGCCTTTAGCTCACAAAAGCTTATGCCATAATTTTATTCTGGACATTATTCCAGGAGGGATTTCTTCTCTTAAAATTCATATTTTGCTAATGAATGAAGCAAAAACCACTTCTCTCATTGCCCAGAGTTTACATTATTCTCTGCAATGAAGGCCTTTTGTGCACCAAGACTGGAGAAATATGCTTCATAGGAACATACAGCAGTACAGTTGTAGATAATGGCTGGTTTAGACTAGAGCAGGAGAGAGAGACTGTGGTATCCTGGGGGACCACTGACCAGCCTCTACTAAATCAGCTGGGACTCTCTGCAAAGTTTGTAGGAGTTAGGGAAACTTGATCTGATCTAGCAAGGCAGTTTTGAAGATCAGACCTAGATTTATTAGCTTCAGTTAGCTAGCTGCATCAGGTGTCTTCAGATCATGCACTGGGACCATGCCTTAACTGTGATCGTCTCCATTCAATCTATTCAATCCCCTTAGGGTTGAAAATGCAGGCCTCCATGTGCAGAAGAGACTCTCTGCTTCAGACTGTCATCCTCAAACTCATGGAGGGTTTCATTCTGTAGAGCTGAGGTTCCCAAACTGAGCTCAGTGGACCACCAAAGCTTCATTCAGGTGGTTCGAGGCAAGCCCACATTAAATATTCATTTTATTTTTTAACTGTGTTTTTACTGCTGCTTTTATTTCTTACGCTTTATGTTTCTGTGTTGCAATTTGAATTATATGGAGTACAAATTGGAACGCAATAAAATACAATGTAACAAACAAAGGAAACAGTAAAAAATACAATTTAAAATATAGAGCATCTATCACAGCACATTGCAATTGTTATAACCGATGGAAAAACAGTTAAGTGGCCTGCCAAGACAACCAGCAAATTTCAAGTGGTCAGAGGGAGGACGGAGTTCAGGAAGCACTTGTGTAGTGATTCCACAGCAATGGGGCAGGTCTTGGCAGCACATCTTCACTTCCTCTTGAGTGTTTTTTACATGTGAGGAGCTTGAGCAGCTGAATGGGGTTTCATAAAATTTAAACACAGCAAGTGAAGTCAACCCATCCTTGGGTTAAACATTTGCAATCTGAATAATAACCAGTGGTATCCATTTAGAAACACATTAGCAAACCTTTTTTTTTTTTTTTTTTAAAGGCTCAAAGTTTTGCAGTCGCTTATAGCCAGTAAGACCACTGGAAGGCTATTCAGACAAAGAAACTTTACATTAGGTAGTTCAGTTAAGCCATAACTGGCTAATGCAGGCATCTAGCAGGCTAATAATAATTTTAAAAAGCACTGTTGCTTCATGAAAGTACTTGCAAGACTCTTATAAGAAGTAGTCTCTGAATTGAAAGGCTGTCAGCAGGTTGAACTGGAACCCAAGGTCTAATATATGGGTCAGCACCCAGGGGGCCCTGGCCAAATCTTCTCCCAAGAGCTGCAAACCAGGCCCTCCCATTGCAGAGTGAGAGGCAAAGGAGGTGTGGAGGGAAAGGCACTGGGTCAGCTGACCCAACCTGCACACCAGAACAGGAGGAGGATGGTTGAAGTGCTAGCCCATCACCTCCCCTGCCACCTCAAAGTGGCCCTCCAGAAAAGCAAGCTTCTGAGCAAGAGCTTAAAAAGAACCAGAGGCTTCTCTGCAAACTAAGCCTGTTTCTCATGGTGGTGGTAACCCTCTGTCTGGGGTGGGGGCCTCCATGAGTGAATGCTCCTCTTAACTCAGTCATGCAAGCCCCCACCTGCAGACTTGCAATGCTACAGCAGACAAAGGTTTACCACTACTGTGAGAACTAGGCCACAGGCACGTTAAAAGAGATAAACAACCTCAAGGCCAGGAAGTGAAAATAAGAACACACTTTTCGGTGCTTTACACATCCTCAAACTACTGTAGTAGATGAAAATATAATCAATCTGTTTCAAGCATGACCATTTGGAGCATACTCTTCCCAGGCCTCAAGTAACTTGAGAATAACTTTGCACAGTGGATTTTCCAACTAACAGGAGCTTCAGCCTGCTCTCCCTGGCCACAGAGACACATTTGATCAAGTCCTGTAGCAGGTCTTTTCCTAAACCGCCTCTCAGGTGGGCAACAAACTGGCTGCAACTGAGCATTAAAGACAGCTGGCATTTCTATCTGGAAGCAGCTGGGATGCTCTCATGACCCTTGGCAACACCACACACCAGCGATTTCAATACTTTTTACCTTCCCATGTCAAGTTGTTTGCTGTTGCAGGGATGCTGGCCTTCACTGTTATTCTAGATATTTATATCCTGCATCTCTGCCCCAAATAGAGACAGCCAAGGTGGCTTACATATTTAAAAAAAAAAAAAAAGCCGTCTATGAACACTGGAATTTGCAACAGTAAAAAAATACTTAACGGGCTGCAGATAACACGGCTTCACAGTGGAGAGGAGAAAAACCAGTATCTAATTCAAATAAGCAGTGCGTCAAAGGCCTCCTGGCTCAGAACCATCAGCTTCAAGCAAACTGCTACCAGGAGGGAACAAAATGGATTTCCCAAGGCAGGATGTTCTACAACCTAGGTTAGGCAACAGACAAGGTCCTGTCATGTGTATTCCCACCAACTGCACTTCAGGGAGCAGTGAGACATGAAACATCTTCTGCCCAGACAGGAATATAGGATATACCAAAAACAGACCATTGGCCCATCTCTAGCTCAGCACTGCCTATATATATATTGTTAGGCAGTGACTCTTCTAGGTCTCCAGCAGGAGCTTTTCCCAGTCCTACTTGGACACCAGGGATCAAACATGGAACTTTCTGCATGCAAGGCAGATGGCCTACCACTGAGCTATGGCTCTTCCCCTGATCTGAGCTGTGTGGAAGGCTCATAAGGTAGGACGCAATTCTTTCGATATCCTGATCCTAAGCCATTTCTTGTGCAGAGATCAGGCCACAGAATATACTCAAGAGGGAAAGAACGGTAACAGACAATTTTACTGATCTTCTCATTCATGAACAACAAAGTTCCTCGGAACACCATTTGTAAGGCACTATTCAGATTTATTTCTATTTTTAAAAACTATCTTGTCCAGAAGCAAAACAACTTTTTGGAAAGACGACAGCACAGAAACCTGCTGACAGCATTGTTTTGTTAAATTGGCACCTGCCTTCAGAATAAGCTCACAAACTAAACCAAAACGAGATCGAAAAGGAAATGCATGTTTCCTTACCCTTGAACAAGAGCAAAAGAACAGCTGAATATTATTCAGAGTTTGAAAATGTTACCAAGCAGCTAACAGCTGATGCACAAAGGATGAGCGACAGTTGCAAGCAGCACACTCAGCTTTTACAAAACTGTAGAGCTTATTGGTTTGTGTGGGATTTTTTGTTTTTATTACATATTTAGTGTTTTTTATCTTGTATTTTTATGTTGAAAATCCTTGAGATTTATGGATTAAGGGAGGTATACAAATTTAATAAATAAAAAATAAATAAATGAGAAGCTTACTAATTTTTCCTCTACCAATATGGAGGGAAAAGGAACTATTAAGTGTTGGTGGGCTGCTTCCAGTCTCAGGATAAAATCAATGAATGTATTTTCAAACTTCTAGTTCTAGATTTAAATGCCCACTTAAATCCAACAATTACAGGTGGGCTCTGCCTTTATTTTCATTAGCTCATTCAGAGGCAATCCAGCTTTGTGCCCCTTTCATCTCCCTCTATTTTCATGTCTCAACAGCAGCTGTACACATCTCCTATGATTGTCTTAGAATACTTCAGACACACGAGTTGCAAGTTCCTTATGCCAGGATTATTTCAGGAACATAACAGCTCTTTTGAGATTCAGCAGTAATCAAGGACAATTAAGTTCACTGTTGGTTAGAAAGGAGGATGAATTACAAAAAAGGTTGCTATGAAGCCTTTGCACAATGGAAAAACAAGAAAGAAAGAAAGAAAGAAATGATCCCCTTCTAGACATACAGGAACCAGAATACGACCCCTCAAAAAACTCTCCCTGCTGCCACGTAACTAGCACTCATAGGACGTTGGGCACTGATGTTTACAACTATACAACTAAGATGTTTTAAGCACATACTTGAAAACTTCAAAAGTGTGGACAAACATGAGTTGATAAGCACGTGTCTCATGCAGATAAACTCATTACTGTGCCAAGTTTCAGTAGGTAGCTATAGCCAATGTACTTTTAGGGATAAACCCAAGGTTTGCTGCCAGGTTATATGTGACAAAGCCTAGAACAGGGGTAGGCAACCTAAGGCCAGTGGGCCGCATGCGGCCCAATCGCCTTCTCAATCCTGCCTGCGGGCGGTCCAGGGATCAGCATGCTTTTACATGAGTAGAATGTGTCCTTTTATTTAAAATGTATCTCTGGGTTATTTATGGGGCCTGCCTGGTGTTTTTACATGAGTAGAATGTGTGCTTTTATTTAAAATGATGCATGTCTGGGTTATTTGTGGGGTATAGGAATTTGTTCATATTTTTTTCAAAATATAGTCTGGCCCCCCACAAGGTCTGAGGGACGGTGGGACCACGGCTGAAAAAGGTTGCTGACCGCTGGCCTAGCATTAAGCAAACATGAGATGAGAAGGGAGTCAAAAAGTGACAAGAGATAAGGGCAAGTGAAAGGTATCATCTTTGCACAGGCCACAGACCTCTGGTTCCAACTGTGAAAGGTAAGAAGTGGTGATGTTGAGCAACTGCCCTGAGAACAGGGGCTAGAGGAGAGCCAAACAAAGACACCAGAACAGCACAGAACCATCCCTCCTGCAACCCAACCCCATTCAAAAATGATTCCTCACACAGACACTTTTTAAAAGCAGCTTTGAAAGCTAGTCTTTCAAAGCCAAGTCTTAAGACTGCACCCCCACCCCATCCCCTTCTTTTCCCACTCCCCTTTCCAGGTTCCATTTCTGTGATTAGTTTCTATTGCAAGTCAATTAAGGAGCCATTTCTATAATTTCAAACTCAAGTTAGCTGCTCTGAGCACACAGGATAGGAACAAGATATAAATCTTGCTGATACTCTGATATCAAAGAAAACACTCTCCAACAGATCCAACAGACATGGGGCAAGAGATAAGTGAGAAAGCTCAAAAAGAAGTTAACTTCAGTCATGTTCCCTTTAAAAAACAGAGGACATGATTTCCCTTTTCATTCCACAGATTCCAATGTATTGCAGAGTTAGTTACAAGCTTAGAAGCTGGGAAACCCACAAAGGGATTTTGCTTTTGACTGAAGTGAAAACAAAAATCTAGAATGGAAACTGATAAATCATCTAGCTGAAACAGAGCTTTTTATTCATAACACATAAAGGAGATTCATCAGCCACAGAGAAAGAGGGAAACAAAGGCAGACCAATTCAAATATTTTGTGGTTTTAAGTCCACAGCATAAGCTGCATTTTAAAACTGGTATTTCATTTATAAATAATAGCTCTTTTAGCAGCGAACACCAAGAGGTATTCAATTAAATGGTAGGTCCACTTTCAAGAATCTGACACACTCCTAGTTACACAGTCCTCTCTGAAGGAAATACAAAAGCTCCCAAATCTTAATAGCATCAGTGGAGTTCTTGGACCAGGTTGGCTCTATAGCAGACCTGGGCTATCACTCAAGTGGCTTTTTATAAAGAGAATAAAAATCTCCAAGCAGGGGAAAACTGCAAAAATTAGTTGAACATATAATTTAAGCCATCTAGCCCAGTATTATCTTTTGACAAGCAGTAACTTCCAAGGTCTCAGATTTCTTTCCCAGCACTTGTTACTTGAGATCTTTTGAACTTGGAAATGCCAGGGAATAAAACCTATGGACTTCTGCATGCAAACCACATACTCCAGCCCCATGCTGTGCCCCTCCCACCAAATTCAAATGGTACAATCATCCAATCCCTCTAGGATTTGAATACAGGACCTCTCACACTCTGAATGAGAATTTGAATTTTCTAGTACTCATACATATACACAATTGAGTGAATACTTCTGCATTTTTATCCTGGACATTCACAATTAAAATGCCCACAGCAGAACCACAAGTTCCGCTCTTTCTGAACCATGATAATACAAAGGAAAACAAAATTACCTTCTCATAAGAACTAAAAGGTTTTTGGATTAGATGCAAATTCTGCTTTTAGAAGTTAAAACATAAGGTATGCTTACTCTGTAGCTGAAGGTAAGTTGTCTGACCCAGCAAATCCCATAGGGTCATCCTTGAACTTTTCACTTGGGAGCTGTGGTGGCAAGAAATTCACGTCCTTTTTCTTTGGAACCTTGTAATACTTCCATGTGGAATCTGCATCTTCTTCTTCCAAGTTCACCGCTGCACCAACATACATTGTGGGCTCTATAACTTCTGGGAATTGAGCTGGGAAAGTCTGAGACAAGCCCTCTATCCTGTCTTCCATTGTTTTTGAAGGAACTAAAGGATCTGGAGTTGGCATCTGATAGAAATGCTGGCTCTGGGGAGTGGAAGGAGTTTTAGTTGCCCCTTCATCAGCAACATCACACGGGTGAGGACTAAGGGGAGGTGGCTGGGGAGAATTTGCCATTTCAGTGCCATGCATCTGAGGAGTCTTTGCTACATCATTAGTTCTGAGATTTGAAAACCTCACTTGGTTATCGGACGTGGTAATCACAAGCCTCTGATTGGCCGAGTCCGCCTCCATGGCAATGTCATCAGTGATGGAAACACGATGGTGAAATGGGGTCAAAGGACGTTTCTGGGGCTTATCTCCTTTCTCTTGCTTCTCATTTGCCTTGTGCTTTGGAGCTGCTTGCTGTTGCTGGCCCACAGGCGGCACTGGCCCCTGCTGAATTGCAAGTCTTGGCTTGAGACTTTTGTACCTAAAGAGGGACAGGAGAGAGAATTGGGGTGGGAATCATCTGTACTGTTAACTGCCAGTAGCATTTCACATTTCGGCAACCATTACACAAAAGTGAATTCAGCTAAATATGTTGATATGCAGACGTAACACTTGTCCATGATTACTATACTGCTTTGTGGTTTAGCTCAGTGAGTTAAGCCTTACCTTTGCAGCTTATGAACACGGAGACACCAACTAGTCACCTTAGTAGCAGAGGGCATGAAGAGGCGGCAAAACTGCCTTAACCACAGTTTTCTCAGTGCACACACGATGCTTACCCACAGTTAGCGGAAGTCATTGTTTGCAAACCCACTTCCAACTGTGGCTTCCCATCCTGATTTCCATCAGTCCTTAACTGTGGTTTAGGCATTCAGATGCAATGCTTAATAATGGTTAAGCATTATGTTGCCACAGGGGAACACATTCCTCCTACAGCTATTGGCAAATGTATATGCCTTAATGAAGCATTTACAACCAAGTAAAAAGAGAGGACAGAGAAGGAGGCAGGATAACATATCAAGATGCTGCTGCTGTTCCACCTAGACCAGGCATAGGCAAACTTGGCACTCCAGATGTTTTGGGACTACAATACCCATCATCCCTGACCACTGGTCCTGTTAGCTAGGGATGATGGGAGTTGTAGTCCCAAAACATCTGGAGGGCCGAGTTTGCCTATGCCTGACCTAGACTGTCCTCTGGCCCACCTACTACCAACTGCCCTCAGGGAAAGTCCCAAAAGAAGGAAAGACAAGCAGTCAGAGAAAACACCAGCTACCTATGCTTGCTCTAGCTGGGCTAGATTTCCTTTGTCTTAAGCATATGGTTTTTAATGTACCCATTGCCCATTTAATATACCCATTACACATTTGACTTGCAGTCAAAAAGCAGGCTACAAATCCACTAAATCAGTCATCTTCAACTCTTTTAGACCCAAGACCCATCTTTAATCCAGTGCATTTAATCCATCTTTAATGCATTTGGAGAACAATTTCTTTCTATCTTTTTACCATATATTTGTATGGTGGTAGTGCTGTTGTGCTTCATCTTAGTTCAAAACCCTGTTAGTGGATCCCAGCTCACCGGTTAAAGACCAATGCACTAAATAAAATAAAGTTCCAAAGAGCCTATACACCCAGTCTGTTAGCTTACCGTATTGACCAACATGTTACCTTCTTACTGTTTTATAATTTTTATAAAATGGATCCTGAAAGATTCCTACATAGTTTTACACACTACAACTGAATGTTCTGCAAACTTTACCTTGAGCAAGTGCAATTTGTCCTCTGCGTGGCTTCAACAAACTCCCAAAATGACATTTTGTCAACTGTCTCATCTTCACATACGCCATTTGATGTAGCAGAATACTTCCTCCTGCATTGCATTTGGGAGAGAAATTCTTCTTTTAAGTAAACTGATGAAAATTGTGGAGAAAACATGAATCTGTGGTGGATCATATAATTACTGAATCTATATACTTTCCTGGTTCACCTGTGTCTAGAAAGAATCATATTTGGACAAGCTGGATTTTTCTCTCTTTGAAGCTGATGTTGTACCACAAATGACTAACAGGTATGTGTTTTGCTTTCCCAGTAGTGATGTATAGAAGTGAGAGCTGGACCATAAAGAAGGCTGATCGCCGAAGAATTGATGCTTTTGAATTATGGTGCTGGAGGAGACTCTTGAGAGTCCCATGGACTGCAAGAAGATCAAACGCATCCATTCTTAAGGTAATTAGCCCTGAGTGCTCACTGGAAGGACAGATCGTGAAGCTGAGGCTCCAATACTTTGGCCACCTCATGAGAAGAGAAAACTCCCTGGAAAAGACCCTGATGTTGGGAAAGATTGAGGGCACAAGGAGAAGGGGACGACAGAGGACGAGATGGTTGGACAGTGTTCTTGAAGCTACAAACATGAGTCTGACCAAACTGCAGGAGACAGTGGAAGACAGAAGTGCCTGGCGTGCTCTGGTCCATGGGGTCACGAAGAGTCGGAAATGACTAAACGACTAAACAACAACATGTGTTTTGCCAGGCAGCAAAATACCTTTCAAGTTAGTACCTTTTGTGGACTTACAACATGTGTGTGTACACACACAGATGAAAACTTTCAGGGAAACGCAGACAACATTTACCGTTATCAATCCAATGTAGTAGAGTCATACCTTGGGTTACAGACACTTCAGTTTGCGCGATTTTGGGTTGCACACCACGCCGAACCCGGAAGTACCGGAACAGATTACTTCCGGGTTTCGGCGCTTGCGCATGCACAGAAGGGCTAAATCACGCTTTGCGCATGCGCAAAAGTGCTAAATCACGCTTTGTGCATGCGCAGAAGTGCTGAATCACGACCCACACGTGCGCAGATGCGGCGCTGCAGGTTGCAAACGCTGCGGGCTGCAAAATGGCCTCCTGCACGGATCACGTTCGCAACCCGAGCGTCCACTGTACTGTATTTAAACTGCTACAATTGAGAGGGCCATTTCTATATATTGTTTCAGTTTTTAATGTTGACACTAACTAATTAGGAAAAAGTGTGACTATGAGGGGGACTTCATAGCTATCTATAAAATTATGATTCACGTGAAGTTTCCCTCCCTCTCATATAAGTCTCACACAAATGAGGTTGACTGGCAGCTGCTTCAGGATTTACAAAAAAGAAAGAAAAAAGAAGGAGCTTTTAACACTATGCATAACGAACTTAAGAAATTCAGTGCCACAAGATGTGTGGCAATACCCACAACTTTGTGCAATATTAGATTAGCACAAAGGGGGTAGGCCTATCAGCAACCGTTAGCCCACGGCAGTCTCCCACATTGAAAGGCAATCTGCTTTTGACTTCTAGATAAGGAGGGGCAACCACTACCATAAGACCTTCCTTGTGCGTACCCCAAAGCATCTGGGTGGCCAATGCTGGAAACCAAAATGCTGGTCCAAATTCCAGCAAGGGAATGGCTTAACTGCACAGCTTAACTGCACCACCTAGAACTAGGAATCTCAACAGAGAAATGGCTCCTTCCACAGGTCCCCACACCATGTGTGCAGGTTTGCTGCTGCTCCAGATACAAAGAAAACAGCCTTCATTACAGGCCATTATCTTCCTCCCTCCCTTTCCCAAGAGCCTGCCAGTTCTCATTAAAGAGTGATTTATCTGCCCACTAAATACACCCTGTTATCTGCTTGGCATTTGATGTTGACTTTTGTATATTGTTTTGTCTTTGTTTGCTGCTCAAGCTTTAATAAAAATAGCTTTAAAAAATAAAATAAAAACCTAAATACACCACCTGTTCTGGCTTTCCTATTGCTCCCACTTGCTGCCTAGTCTTCCCAATCTAACTCCTAAGCCAGGACACAAAGTCCAAATCCAATAGACTAACCTGGCAGCATGGAGGGGGGGAAAGCAAGGAAGTATTCTTTCTTAGTGCCTTGATCAAATATTATTCCTAAAAATGCTGGAATAAATTAATTTATCTAGAGTATGCCTGCTATTTGGAGAAGGAAATTGAGGAGATAGGCTGGGCAAAGATAGATTCAGGGTAAAACTCTCTGGACAGAGAGTTTCCAAACATGTTGCTGCCCAGGGCCTAAGTAGTTTCTTACTAGTGAGTAGCAAGTTGACACACTTTCTTCTAGGATAGAAGGGTAAAGGAAGTATAGGTTAGGGAACATACATTAGTTTCTCTAGGATGGGAGGTGGCACTTTCTTGGGTCATAGCCAAGGGAGAGATGGGAAGGGAGAGAAAGCTGGCCAATACAGCAATCGATAAAAGTGTTTTACACATCCCCATCCATCTCCTTTACATCCCTCTGATGTCTTCAGACTTGGGTGAGCAACAAATTAAAAACACTAAAATGTACCAAGCAATTAAGGAACATGTGCAGCTTTGGTTGAACTCATTTGAAAGCAACTGTGTTCCACTTTTAAGTACAGATTTTACAATGTCTCCATATGCACACAAAAACCTCATACATACTTGGTCAGCGCTCTGTTCATATTGCATTCTTGCCAGACTCTGTCAACCACTTGATTGGCCAGCTTCCGAGGGATTTTGCCCCCATGGTGACTAATGCTTTCGGAGCTGAATATGTCAGAAATAGAAGGGAGCTTCACCCACTTCTGGGCTGAACGAGTATCAACTGAAGAGAAAGAGGGAAGGCAACACAAGAGTTAACTAGACTGTTAGACTTTATCCATCCTATCTGCTTAAAAAAAAAATCAGAGCGCAAAAGCAGAGGCAGCAACAGCATTTTGTAGGCACCAAATAGTTGTTTTTTTAAACAACAACAACATTGTCTTCCTTTGAATTACTTACTCTAGGACATAGCAGATAAAAAGGCACTAAAAGTGTCACATTAAATTAGGCTTTGTCTATTTCTCATATACAAATTACAGAGCATTACACAAATTATGCTCAAGTTATTTGTTTGTTTGTATACCACTATTTCATTCATCCCCTTCATGGATCACTGCCTTGTCATGGCGAAGGGGCTTGAATAACTCCAAAAAGCTCTGAGCTATGCCATGCAGGGCCACCCAAGACAGACAGGTCATAGCCGAGAGTTTAGACTAAATGTGATCCACCTGGAGAAGGAACTGGCAAACCACTCCAGTATTTTGCCAAGAAAACTCCATGGGCATAAAAAAGGAGAAGCTTTGAGAAGAAAGTGAGAGTTTCCAAGGCATGCTCTGGTTCGTGGGGTCACGGAGAGTCGAACACGACTAAGACGACTAAACAACAACAGTTTCATTCATCTCTCTCTCAAAGAATTTTATGGCAATAAAAACACAAGATCATGCAATATAGTTAAAAATAGAAAAAAATTGAAGTAATACTTCAAATACTGAAGTATTTTGAAGTACACTGAACAAACACAAGTTTCAAAGTATGGAACAAAAGTAAGAGACGGTAACTAGGTTCTATCCAGTTTTGAAGCGTGCACACCCACCGTGAATGGTCAAACCTACAGACACTTGTGCTCAGAAGTCTGTAGTTTTTATCATGACAGATTGCATGGAGTGCAATCTCATCTGTCTCTCCCGCACATTCCTGCTTTCTACTCTCCAATTTACCATGGAAAACCTCATCAAAGCACCAGGGACTGAGAATGGACAGCAGCATGCACTCAGAAGGTATCCTTTGGATTTCATTGTCTAAGGGTAGGGGTTTGAAAGCACACCTTGCTCAAGATGAGCAGACCTGGGTTTAGTCAGTGCCTTGGGAATCACATCAGCTGCCCCTTTGGTTCCATGATGGAAGAAAGGCAGGATATAAACGTCAAAAAATAATCATGGTATTAACCATTACTTTATGTCAGGGGTCAGCAAACTTTTTCAGCAGGGGGCCGGTCCACTGTCCCTCAGACCTTGTGGGGGGCCAGACTATATTTTGAAAAATAAAAATAAAAATGAACGAATTCCTATGCCCCACAAATAACCCAGAGATGCATTTTAAATAAAAGGACACATTCTACTCATGTAAAAACACGATGATTCCCAGACTGTCCGCAGGATAGATTTAGAAGGCAATTGGGCCAGATCCGACCCCCGGGCCTTAGTTTGCCTGCTCATGCTTTACGTCATGCTGATGAGAGGCCAGTTGGGCAGGGAGAACATGTCAAAACAGTACCTCCGCTTTGTAGATTTTAAGTATGACAAAGCTGGTGGATGGGGAAGGAGTTTTACTATACCTGTTTGAACCTCTTCTGGGGACGTAGGTGGAGTCAGAGTGACCGAGGACATGGCAGGATCTCTTGTGGAAGCAGGCACTTGATGGACACCCAAGCAGTTGCTTGACCCAGCAGTGCTAGGAACAGGAATGTCTGTCTGAGGAACTAAAACAAAGCATGCCGGGTAGACCATCCGTACACCAGCTAAAAATAAATAAACAAAAAAAGTTTATTACACAGTCCAACCCAGGCACAAAGTACATCACTACCCACTGTAACACAAACTGCTTTTTAAGCCTTGCTTGAAACAAACAAACAAACAAAAAATCTGACAGGCAGACAATTTGAATTCTCCACCCTCATTTTATCCTCATATGCGAGAGAGGTTGGGTTGAACGGCCACAAATTGGATCAGCATCACCCAATGAGTTTCCTGGCAGAGAAAAGGTCTTCCCACTACACAAGTGGTTTACATCATGACTGATCCTCTCATCAAGGAAACCCAGAAGTACCTTCTCTGAAAGGCAGCTGTAGGAGAGAGTTTGGAGTATATTCAAGCAGAGCGAAAGAAGGGCCAAACAAACCTGGAGAGTGAACTAAATGCACTTGGGACTTGACCCAGAATTTTTGAAAATGTGCAGGTTTTTTTTACATCACATATGGGGGCTCCTTAGCAAAGTTTGAAAGCCACCACACTCCACTACACTAAGCAGTATCAATTTCAGCAACTGCTTATTAATAATAACATATGATGCAGTAAGTAACTGTTTACAAGAGGGTCAACATTCCTTAAGGGGCAAATCTGTCAGGGAGTGTTATCAGTGGATGTGGCCAGAGCCAAGAATGGGAAGGAACATCCCATTTTCTATCCCCCCCCCACCTCCGCAACTGCCTTCATTTTCTGCCACCTCCTTGTCTCCCTCCTCACCCCAAAGGCTTCAACGGGCAGACTTGGGAGTAGGGGTGGGAGGAGAGGAGCGAACAGATTGCTCTTGGCCAATATCTGAACCAAGAGCCTGCAGAAGGCTTTTGAAATTAGGTTGGGGTGCAAGTGGCCCACCCCTGGTTTATGACAAGCTGCAGGAAAACTGTTTAATATAACCTGAAAATTGCCAACATCTCCCCTTTCACAGACATCCCAATGAATGACTCAGAAAATTACTAGCATCTCCACTAAGCCCTGTAACACATGGCTTACGGTTCTCTTCAACTATGAAATCTGAAACTATTTCCGCTGTTGCATATAAATCCTTGATGGCCCCAATCATTTTGCCCATGCCTCAATTATTCTTCTGCCCAGTGCTGGGCTAAAAGCATGTTACTTGTCAGTGATGCAATATAATTTATCTACCTTTTCTTTTTCTCCACTAAAAGCAGTAAGACTCCTTGTCATCTTCCTCATAAATCCTACTCTACTTTGTCTTATAATAGTGCCACTCTTCTCAGTGAAAATGCTTTAAATTTCAATCCAGTCTACCGCCATTCTTCTTTTTTTTAAAGTTAAATAACGACATACGCTTCATTGTGACTTATAATTCCTCTGACACTCTTAAAGTAAATCGAATTCTCAATTGTTTTCACTCTAGGAGGTCAGTTTTGTAAATTTTGGCAACTAACCTTAGTGCTAAAAGAAGCACAATTTCTTCTGACTGCTTACAATATTTCCCTTTCCTTCATCTAAGAATCTCAAGATAGTATACATGGTTCTCATCCATCATTTTATCCTTGTAATGACATTGTGAAGTTTATCAGGCCAAGAGATATAGTGACCAGCACAATAGGTGACTGCTATGCAAGAGGACTTGGGTAGCCAATGTATTACAGCCTTGTAGGACTCCCAACTCCCACCAGCCCCATAGCCAATGGTCAGAGATTATAGAAACTTTGGCGGGCACGAAATATATAGGGATGTGGGTGTATAAATGATGCACCTACCTTCCTCTAAGCCTTCCTTTCCCTTTGCATTACCAACCATAAACTGTTTCCTTTGTTTTAAAAATGTTCCATGATCAGATCTGTCTGACATGTTGTGCCCCCACTACAATCCACGCTCCTGGTGTTTCTTGTTTTTACACTTTCTTCCCTCCATTTGCTCTAGTTTACCTTGACATTCTATGTAATAACTTGCTCATAGTTTTAGTGTTCAGTTTTTCAGCAAAGCTTTTGAATCCTTTTAACCTCAAGATTATCTCAAACAAACTATACTAGTTCCCATTTAGACAAAAACTAGTGGGATATCATAACTATGACAATTATTTATTAGACATTACCGTTGTGCCTAGCTCTTGCTTAGAAGGAAGAAACAGGAGTCACCAATTTTAACTTTAGCAGCAAGGCCTTTTTTAAAACAGGCAATTAACAGCTCCTAAATTGGTGCTCTCCTGTCCCATTCCTGATAAAGATAGCTCATCAGCAATATTTTTAATAACACTGCAACACTTATAGAATCATTTAGTTGATTTAAAGACATAGTCTGATTAAAAGAATGTTTTTTTTAAACAAGGCAACAGCACAATTTTTTTACATTTGCAATTTACACAAAGGTGACCAATAAGATTTTTTTTGGGGGGGGGGGGGGGATTGTTACTACTAAATCCACACTACATATGAACTAAGTAAGTTTTCACAAGTGAAGACCATCTTGACTGTCTCGTGACAATGCATTTCATCAGAGACCAGAGAGCTGCATTAGGCACTTCAGAAATAGTAATTAAATAAAGCAATTTCATTTGCTGGAGGCAGGTGGGACCCTCCAGGTGTTGCTGGACTAGACTACTCATCACCAATGGCCATGTTGGCTGAGGCTTATTGGAGCTGGGAATCCAACAGTATCTGGAGGGCTACGGTCCCTCCCACCACTGGTTTAGGGATTTAAAAAGCTTTCGTACCAACAAGGACTTCCACAGCAGCGAGAGAGTCATCCTCCCAATCCATTTCTTCTTGCTTTTCCTCCAATCCCTCCTTCAGGCTGGATGTGATAGGATAGAACTGTTTCCATTCCCCAATCAGTTTTTTCGTAGCTGAATCAGACAACTTGAACGACTGTCCAGTGAGTGTACCATTTAATCCAAAGGGACTTAGAATAACTGCAAATACAAAGAACAAGGACATTTGTCATTCACCAGCACCACCCCAAAAAGATCTGCAATGTATACCCAAGGGCGGTTGGTGTGTCAAGGGGCTAAGCTTCCATGTGCAGTAAATTTGCAAGGGAAGTTAAATCTTTTCAAGGATTCCAGTACAAAATCTGTTTTGCTGGATGGCTTGCCAAAGCCTGGCTACCATCACTGCCCCCGTGAAGGGCTGCAAAGACTCTTATTTGAGATCAGTTTCAGTGGCTAAAGTTAAGCAGCTATTAGAAGCTTTAGGGTGAACATTCCAGTTCAGAATATTTACAAGAATCATTACCAAAGCCTGCAAGGCAGGGCAGAATAAAAAATAGCCAATGTAATTAGTCAATAGCATGGGATGCCATGGGTAGCTCCAACCCTCTCGCTGATTTAATCCAAGGGCAATTCAAGGACACATTCCAGTCAGGCAAAAACATTCAAGAAGGCTATGAAGAAGGACTAGACTAGTAGGGGTGTGGCCTTGAGCAAATTCCAGGGGCCAGATTCACCCACACACCTGGGTCTGAGGTTCCCCAGCACTGTTCTATGCTCATTTTTCTTTGGAAATTTCCAACTAAGGCTAAAAGCTGAATATTGCTTCGTATTAAGGGAAGTTCCACTATCCTTCCTTTTTATTTTTTATAAAAATGTTTATATAACACTATTAATAAGAGAATATCAGAATGGTTTACAAAAATTATATACAATGCAATGCAAATATATATATATTTATAAAGTTAAAACCAAAAATCAGCTAAGTTTTATGGAAAGGTATAGTCTTATTTGCCTGGATAGGACAGAAAGAATGTAAGTTTTCAGCAGGTGTTTAAAAGTTCGAACAGAAGGTTCCTGCTCAATCCCTATTGGCAGAGTATTCCATAATACTGGACTGATACTAAAGCAGGGGTAGGCAACCTAAAGTCCTTGGGCCACAAGTGTGCTTTTTTGCTCCTTTCCCCCTTCTCCTGCACACAGGAGGCTTTCCATCTTGGTTTGTAGTAAGTGTAAACCATAGTTTCCTGGGAAACAAGGAATGTCAATCATCTTCAGACTACAGCTTGAAATCACAATTTGTGAACAAACCAGTTTGCACAAATCATTTTTCAGGGTTCAGAAAGAATGACAACGGAGCAGGAGGCTTCTAATCTCAACACATAGTTCAGCATTATGAATAGCCTCTTAACTCTGACGAAGTTTGAAATCTCCACTTAAAAGCACCGTTTTAAATCTCAGAAACAATTCTGTGCTTTAATTAGCAGGGTAGACTGTGCTCTACTGTGCTGCATGGCAGCAAGGAGCCATCCTCACCTGACGATCTCAGGACAAGGACTTATTGTCCCTCATTAAAATGTATGTGTACTGAAACAGGGTGAGTTATGTAAGAATCAGTGTACCATAACAGCAGACAGAAATTCATCCAAACGTCTGATATAGAAACGCATTGTAAGAGATCAGCAGTAGGGAACAATTTTCTCTAATACAGGAGAGGTGAATGGATTTTTTTTTTTTTAAAGAAACACCAGTAACATCCACTGAAACACAGATTGCAAGCTACTACATACAGGTTAGGCTCAAATTATTTTCTTTTCTTTTTTTAATAATAGGGAAAACCTGGTAACAAGAGGATGATGATCTCTAAAAGCGTCATAAACTGGTCTATGTTAGGAAAGTTACCCTTCAACAGTTGGCAGCAGCTGACAGACAGCTGAAAAACTGCTGAACATGAGTGTGTTTTTAAACTTGCATGTAGAGGAACCAGTCAAAAAATAAGTTCAGGGTCATTCCAGGAATAAAACATATGAGATCCATTTACTGCCATCGAGAAGTTTTGGGTTTTAGTGCAACATATAGGCATCAACACTCAAGAATCTCGACGCATCCTCAACAAGAATAGCTTATTAGGGTGCATTACAGGAAGCTCCAGTGCCATTTCACACATTGATAAGAGGCAACCACAGGCAAGGCCATCAGGTGTACATCCCAAAAGCTATAGCCAATCAGTGTTTTTTGGCAAGAGTACCCGTACAATACATATTTGCTGCAGCTGACATTAATGTACTATGTGAAATGACACGTAGATTAAAAACCACATTTTGCCTATTGTTTACAGCAGCCTCCCCCAACCTCATGCCTTCCTGATGTTCTGGACTACAACTCCCATCCTCTCAGATATGTGGCCATGCTGGTTGGAACTGATGAGAGTTGGAATCTAAAACATCGAGAGGGGACCAGGTTAGGGAATACTGAATTGAAGATTCTCATGTTTTGATGGAAGTTCAAAATGGATCTTTCAAGACAGCTATTCCTGACAAAGCTGAGTGTTTAGAATAACTAATAAAAAAGAAAACTGAAATCCAGGAGAGAATCTGCAAACTTATTAAGACATTTTAATCAGTCTTGTGATTAACCTCTACTCCAGGGGTCAGCAACCTTTTTCAGCGGCGGGCCGGTCCACCATCCCTCAGACCTTGTTGGGGGCCGGACTATTTTTTTTTGGGGGGGGGATGAACGAATTCCTATTCCTCACAAATAACCCAGAGATGCATTTTAAATAAAAGTACACGTTCTACTCATGTAAAAACACGCTGATTCCCAGACCGTCCGTGGGCCGGATAGAAAAGGCAATTGGGCCGCATCCGGCCCCCGGGCCTTAGGTTGCCTACCCTTGCTCAACTCCCTCTTGCTACAAAGCCTTCATTTAGATAACAGAAAACAGTCTGTCCAAAAAGGACACAATTAATCTCTGGAGTCAATCAAAGAAACCTACCTTGAAAAGGGCTGTTAGACTGCTGGGCCAGGGTGAGATGTTCTTCACTAACAAAGTACACAGGTTGGTGCTGGTTGATTTCCACACTGGTACAAACATTGCTGTCCCCGTGCAAGAAGAAGGTAAAGGAGCAGGACAAATGTTCGCTGAGAAAGCAAGCAGAAGGAAATCAAGGTGATTAGGCCAAGCAGGCATACCAAGAAAATAAAAAGCACAATATTTCTTTATGAACTGCCTAAGTAAGTTCTCTGTGCAGCTTACAGTAAGTAAGAAAAAGACATAAACCTTAACACATAAATACAGTATAAAAAGAATCCCTCATTCACATCACTGAAGTTAAAATACAGATATAAAAACTGAGAGGCCCTTCAAAAGATTGTTTGAATGTAGAAAAGAAAGGAATTGGGGGGGTACATTCCCAACTCAAAATGGGGGACTATCTTTATTTTTGTCCTGCCCCAAGCAGGTAGTCAGGAATCCCTTAGTCAAACCAGTATCATCGGCATTCCACACCATGCACATCAAGTGATGAGCAAGATCACACCTTTTGATGCAGACCAGAGATAAAGAACCTATTGTTCTCCAGCTGTTGTTGGCCTACAATTCCCATCATCCCTAGCCACTGGTCACACCAGCTGGGATTGCTGGTTGCTGGAATCCAACAACATCTGGAGGATCACAGGTCCCCCATCCCTGATGTAGACATTCCCATCCTCTACTGCACAGAGCAGAAACTGGAAGCCCTAGGACCAAATCAAGCCCTCTTAATACCAGTCCCCACTTCCCAGTTTAAAAAATCACAGACCAGAGGAATGTGTGGAGAAGCCATTTACCAGTGGCTACAGCAACCAGACTTTGCTGGGTCCATTTTATAGGCACCAGCTGAGCACAGTTAGTTAGTTAGTTAGTTAGTTAGTTAGTTAGTTAGTTAGTTACTGACTGAGGCTATGCAACACACTTGTTCATGCAGCGTGATACATTATCACCACAAGCTAGCACAGAAAGGACTAAGTGCAGCTGGTACCTTGTGTCCTTAGCCAATAGACTTTGCCGAAACATTTGAGATAAATTTCTTTCAAGATTTAAAAAGGGATTAAGTTGTTTAAGACCACCAATTGTGTCTTTAGTCTTAAAAATTTCAGAGCTAACAAGAAAATTAGTGCAACAGCACCTCAGAAAGTGGAAGAATATAAACTACAACACTTTGGGGAAAGGTATATTTAACCAGGCTGTTTAAAATTAATCTATTTGTTTACACTCCATTATCTTCAATGACTAATGAGCATTTCAGAAAACAAAAGGTCTTGACTAAGGATTCAGACACTCTTCTCTTCAATTAAGTTGTAAGAGACTTAATGCATATGCTCCAAGGCATCCTTGGCAATCTTCAAACAAAAACCTGCAAAGTAACTCATTCTTAGCTGTCCTTAAGTAAACAAAAGCCTGGAAAATTCAGCACATGCATCAGGAACTTTAAATGCACTTGTACAGCTGCCACCACCTCCACATACACACTTGTATTGTTGACTGAAAGGAACAATTTAAGAAAGAAAGATCATGTTGGTACTGCCTACATGATAAATAGACTTAACATGGGAAACCTAGATATATCAGAGACAAAGGTTTAACTATCTTCTCAAGACCATTTCACATATTACAAAGATGTTGGTTACCAAAGATACTCTCTGCCAAGGGGCAGCAGACATTCACAACTACAGAGCAAGTACACAGTTCATTTTAGATGCTTCACACTTTATATGGCTGGGGGAAGCTTTACACATTATGTTTTTGAAGTAAATTAAAATAGTCATCAATAATAACAAATCACATTCAGTAGGCACCTAAAAACATAACCAAACTGGAGCAAGCCCCTATCTGTGGACATATATAGAGTAGAAACTTAATTGATGCTCTGTTAATATGGCTAACATGGCTTCCCACAAAGAATCCTGTGGATTGCAATTAACAGAGGATGCTGAGACTTATTCATTAGACCTCCTCACCCTACTTCTGGCCTTGTACAAGTAACATTCCCAAGGGAGCAGGAATGATTATCGTATTAATATAATGATTATTATATCACTTTAATGGTGCAATTCTATATATGCTTACCTAGAAAACAGCTACATTGAATTCAATGGGGAGGGACTACAGCACAATGACTGAGCACATGCTTTGGATATAGAAGGTCCCAGGTTCAAGCCAGTTAAAAAGGAACAAATAGCATATGAGGGGAAAGACTCATCTTTGGCTAAGACCCTGGAGAGCTGCTCCCAAACAGAGTATACATTACTTGGCTAAATAGGCAAATGGTCTGATCTCATACAAAACAACTCCCTGTGCTTCTATGTAACAGAACATTTATTCTCAAGTATGCATGCATAGGGACGCGGGTGGCGCTGTGGGTTAAACCTCAGCGCCTAGGACTTGCCGATCGCATGGTCGGCGGTTCAAATCCCCGCGGCGGGGTGCGCTCGCGTTGCTCGGTCCCAGCGCCTGCCAACCTAGCAGTTTGAAAGCACCCCCGGGTGCAAGTAGATAAACAGGGACCGCTTACTAGCGGGAAGGTAAACGGCGTTTCCATGTACGGCTCTGGCTTGCCAGAGTAGCTTCGTCACGCTGGCCACGTGACCCAGAAGTGTCTGCGGACAGCGCTGGCTCCCGGCCTCTAGAGTGAGATGAGTGCACAACCCTAGAGTCTGTTATGCATGCATAGGACTGCCGCTTGTTACATACATGTGCTCTTGGTATCAGTTCCCAATCTATAAAATGGCAATAGGGACTTCTCTACAGAGGTAAATGAGAAGCATCAGAAAGTGAGGATCATAAATCACTGTGTACACCAAGTGTGTTGATCAGAAAGTCAAAACAAAAGAGCTTTGTTCTCAAATCTGAAATGTAATGCCCTGGAAATGGAAATGTGCATACAAGAACTAGGGGAAATGTTTTGTTTTTGAAAGTGGAATTAAAAACATCCTGAATGGAGGGGAGGAGGAATTACCAGCCAGTGTGTCTTAAAGACTTACAACTTTAAAAAAGTAACACTATTTTTGTTCCAGATCTTTACTTGTTTTCACAGAAAAAAAATTTTGTGTGAGTGCTATGACCAGAACTCACTCTCCTTCTTTACCTATGTCAAGGGTTCTCCTAACAAGTGATGAAACTACACATTTATACATAGAGAGACAGAGAAAACATTAATTTCTTTCTCTCACACACATCCTTCTTGCTTGGTGGCAGGGCAGAGGGACCACAAGTACTACAAAGGAAGGATTTTGGTGATTTACAATTAGCATTCAGAGATCTAAAAACAGAGAGATAAAAAAATGGCATTTCCATACCCTCTCAATAAAGCATCTCAGTAAATGGTACAAATCCTATATTTATAGAACTACCACACTGAAAATAGAAGAAAAATCAAAGCTATATGGGAGAGCTGAATTTTAGTCAGTCCCAAATCACTTTCACCCACACAGCTCAGACCCTGGAGCTATTGCTCCATCCAATGACAGCTTGAAACTGAAACTTTGATTTCTCCTCTCTCTCACCTAGCAAAGGCAGGAGAAGATGGTATATTTAATTAGGAAATTAAGCTCAGTAGGAAAGTGCTAAGATTCAACAGCACCCATTTCCTTGCAATTGCAGCAGGTAATGTACCTAATTTGTGTTTGGGTGGCAATGATGCCTATTTGACCAAAATTCTAAAAGCCATGCTAGTTCCTCAAGCGCGCACACACACACACACACACACACACACACACTGGGGAAGTGGTTTCACATCTGTCATAGAAAGAGATATCACATGAAACCCCACCTCTAAATCAAAGACATCAGAAAATAGGAGTGTGTTCAAATCACCACTCAAACATAAAATCTACTGTTTTATGTTTTGTGTTGGGTACTTCCCTTCTGTGCCATTCACAAGCTACAGCTCTCAACTGTCATGTCAATAATGATTTATCATTATCCCTTATAGTATTAAACTCCCGGGGGGGGGGGGCAGGGATACCCCAAACACTGACAAAAGCAGAGAAATCACTGCATAGTCAAGATGTTGTCCTTAAGTCAGGGGCAGTCTGTGCTGGATCTTCCAGCACTAGCTCAGAACACTTCCAGCACTCATTTTCAGCTGGGCGTGTGCCAGTTCTTATGCAGCTGCATCAAACAACTTTCACAGTTTAGCTCAGACAACTGAAAATAAAAACTGAGCAGATTTATCACCACTAAAAAACAAAAAAAAAACAAAAAAAAACAAGCAAAAACCCCAGCAAACCTGGCAAGACCCAAAGTCACAATTCAAATTATGAGCAATGAAGCTGCTGCATTCGAATAATTGGGGAGGTTACCTAGCTCTTTTGAGAAAGCTGCAAATCTAAGAGGCAGGTGCTACCTCGGTAAGGCATGATAGAACTGTTTTTGAAGAGAAACAGCCTAAAAAATAATTAAAAGTGGGAAGCATAACCCCAAAGGAATGCACTCTGTGCTACCAGACAGGCATTCACAGGAGATCATCAGAATGAAAACAAGATCATAAGAATATACGAGCCCTGCTGGATCAGAAGGAAAAAATGCCTATCAAGTTCAGCATACTGTTCTCACTGTGGCCAAGCAGAGCACAGCAGTATTCTTCTGCTTGTAATCTCAGTAGCAGGTATTCAGTTATTAGTGTGCCAGCAACTCCCATCAAGTGTACTATATTTACCGATATTTTCTACATCTAAGCGAGGGCAGAATCACACACACAAGACGAGGTTCACAGTTTAGCAGGCTTAGCTTATTCACCATGGGTGGCACTCAATGTTAGTCATACTCATTGAAATCAATGGTCTGCTCTCTGTATTACATAGCTGGATATCACCTAATGGGTATAATCCAAATTAAAGTACTTTGAAGTCCCAATAATTTCAATGGGAGAGATTAAAGCAGCTGCTAAATACTTCTACTGACGGCAATGGAGCACAGAAGTACTTTTGAGCAGGTGTGTGCAGCAAGTGAACTTCCAACGTTCACTGTCTTATTAGCATTGCAGCAAATTCTTTAATTGGGTCTTCAATATCTTTAATTTTTTTATTAAAAAAAATCCAAGCAGTGTGTCATGTTAAGAGAAGAAATATCACTCAGTAGCTATCACATATTTCTGCAATCAAGAAGCTGAATTTTGGTGACCTGTTTCAGATTGCCTGTTTCAATTCTGAAACCGGTTTGCTTAACAAAATAAAGAACAATGAGAAACACACAGTTGCCACCAAGGAAAAAAAAGCATAAAAGTTCTTATATTTTCTTAAATTAAAAAAGAGAGGTGACTGTAGATTTATTGAAGAAGTTCCAGAAATGAGCTCCTGCCTTGCATGCGGGAGGTTCCGATGTTCAATCCCTAGCACCTCCACTAGCTTTACTGGTGCCAGTCAGTACAAACCTAGCAATCCACAGGCAGCCGACAGACCAGCTGCAGAGCAGTCAATAACATATGTGCTTGGACTGCACTTGATTCATTTCCCCCCCTGCAAAAATCAAGGGCATTTTAACCAGGGCTGGATTTAGCAAACAGGCTAACACTAGCCTAAGACTGCAATTTTCGTAATACAGACCAGTGCAGTCTGCTCATTTCCCCCTCAAAAATTGCCAGTTAAAGGAGCCCTTCTCCATGACCTCACCTGGCCTGAGGCTCATGACTTTCATAATACAGTACTGGTTGTGATTATGATGCCAGTACTGGAGGAAAAAATGGTTTATCAAGTGGTTTGCTGAGACCCGCGGTAATTTTTACGTGCACTGAGCAAGACATACCAGTAGTCTGATTTGGTATACACAACATATCCAAACTGCAACATGGAAACAAAGCTTAAGGAGAAGCATGTCCTTCTACACAAAATATTAAAATGTTACCTAGGAAATAGTTAACAGAGACAAGTGTGCATGATTTTTTTTCATAACGTATAGTTTTTATGTTTGACAGGAATTATTTTAAGGAATGTAGCGAAAGACGAAAAGCAAACAAACTAGTACTAGAAATGGTCACTAAAGTTGCTGTCCTATACAAGTCCTATGGAACATAAAGTGGCTTATGGCTGAGCAGACCTGTATAGGATTACAGTATTATTGTATAGGCGTTTACAGGACTTGTATAGGACTGCACTGTTATTGTAGCAGTATTAAGATCTGCACAGGACAATCTGTAGGGGTTCACAGATATAAAACAGAGGAATTTTCTCTAACTTGTAGTAATTAAGCAAATCTTAAAGGATACACATGCTTTGATGATTGTGGAGAACTCCTTGTTGACAGACAAGAAAAAATACAACATTGTATTAAAAGTTTGTTTTCACAAGACCACTTGCTAGCTTTATCTGATATACTAATGCACATCTTCCTTAACCCACTGGTACCAGCAGACCATAGACTGGAACTTTCCATTCTCAGAATTTTTCCAGAAAACAGCATGGAGTTCTACTGCTGGATCTTTTTAAACACACTCAATAAAGCCATTCTAGAAACCTAAATTATTTCTTTGACCTGTGATCCTATTAATTTCACAATAGACTCTGTTATCTCCTTGCAATCTCAAAGGCCAACCACATAGAATATGACAAACTAAAAGGAGCCATATGTTGTTCTTTGCATTTGTCTGTCTTGAGAGGCAATGGAGCACACCTCTGGGGGTGAAGTCAAACCACTGCATTAGCAGCACCTAAGTGACTTTCCCAGTGCACAAGTCATACACAGTATGTATGGCGGTCCAGGGCTGCCCGGACAACCAGACCTCCCTCTTGGCCTCACTGGTCCAAAGGAAAGCAGAGCACCTGCTTGGCTGCAGTAGTTGTGGGAGGAAGGAGGTGTACAAGGCATCATTCAACCATCTTAGGGACTCCACTCCGGATTTGTGCAGGGTTTACTCCTTAGCATTTGCTTCTCCTGAAGATATCCAAAAGACAGAGGAGGTTTAGGATGAGTTTTCCTTCTCCTAGATGGGCTACCTTCCTAGGTTGATAAGCCCCATCTGCCCCTGACTTCCCTCTACAGCACATACAGAAACAGCCTTCTTGACCGTTGGACCCATGATTGACCTCAATCTGCCAGAGCCTGCCTTCACATGCAGTAGATGTTCCTAAATTGTTTAGTTAGGGCTGTCCTGAAATTCCTGGACATAGGCAGGATTTGCCCTCCAACAATGGCGTCTGGGCAGTGGTGTAGCGTGGGGGGTGCAGGGGGGGCCGGCCGCACCAGGCGCAACATCTGGGGGGGGCGCTCGCACTCGCAGCTCTCTGCCCCTACCTGGCTCACTCACTCTCTCTCTCTCACTGCAGTGCTGGCTGTGCGAATCCGATCCGAGCCGCTGGGTCGCCGCCCACTGTGGAGGGGGTGGGTGCCAGGCGTGCGGTGCGGAGAGAGAGCGAGGGACTATCTGGGGGAGGGACAGTGCAGCGGCCGCCCAGCGCAGCGCTGAGCGCGGGAGAGAACCACACCAGACCAGACCAGGCAGCAGCAAGAAGAAGCTGGCAGCGGCGGCAGGTTAGGGGTTAGGGGGCGCAAATTACTTGCCTTGCCCCGGGTTAGGGGGCGCAAATTACTTGCCTTGCCCCGGGTTAGGGGGCACAAATTACTTGCCTTGCCCCGGGTGCTGACAACCCACGCTACGCCGCTGCGTCTGGGTGGAATTTTCTAGCACCCCAGGGGGAAAAAGCTACACAACTTTATCACTTTTAAAAATATGGAAACCCTAGTTTAGTCAGCTAGTCAAAGTCATTTACCATGGTGTGGCACAGTCACATGGTGACAGCTTCCAGGAGTCACAAGTGAGAGCAGGGTGCAGGGCTGGGGACCACAGCTTATTCAACAATAGGGTAATAATGTTAAGATATAATGGAAGCTGGGAGAAGTATGGAATCTGGCGTGCCTTAGTTAACCCCACTACCACAATATTATATATGCTTCCTTCAATTTATAATTTGCAGCTTCATTTCATAAGATAAATAGACATTACATGAATGTGCAGAAGTATTGTCCTATCTGCATAAAACGTATACTCTAGGTATGCATAGGCAAGTTGTGCAAACAAGCTTCATTTACAAAACAAGCAAGCAAAAGTCTTGTGCTAAATGTACTCACATAGCTCACCTCTAATTCCATCACAACCAAATGCTCCCAACAGAGCTCAATTTCTAAAATGCATTGTTGCATAACTCAAGTGACATAATGGGTATCATAAGAGCTAAATAAAACAGTTTCAATGTTGTAATTCACTTCTTTCAAATGACTATACCTAGGAAGTATGACAAGATATATATCATGCATACCTCTTTGAGCATGTTAAACATTTAGTAGATTCTCAGTGCCTAAAACTATGAAATGGAAATGCATGCTTTTCAACTGCCATGCCTTAAAATATTCAAAATAATTTCAATAAAAATCATTTCAAAGTAAAAATTGGAATTTTATAACATTTAAGCCACATTAAATGTGTTCCATCCACCCTACTAAATAGTTAACTACTTTTAGTAAGCAATCAATATTATCCAGTTGGCAGAAAACCGATAATAAATTTCATGGTGCTTGGGGAAGTAATTAAGAATTTCACAAAATCTTACAGAAACAATAGGGATGCAAGTTTTATTACAAGGCAATAACATTAGTTGAGTTATTGGGAATTTATGGGGAACACTCAAGAGCAATTATAGATCATTACAAAGGAATCTGCATCCTAACCTATTTCATATTTTATGTCTGAGTTATCACAATATAACCATTACAGATATTTGGAGGGGGGTATTCATACTATTTTAGAATGCTTTTATTATTGGAATAAGCAAGATATAATATGTAATCTTCTAGACAATTGAAATACAGTAGTAGTAGTAATAGTAGTAGTAGTAGTAGTAGTAGAAGAAGAAGAAGAAGAAGAAGAAAAAATAATTAGCTAATATTTAGGGGCTAGAAAAGGTGCCCTAAACAGAGTCAAGAAAAATGAGGGGGCAAACTAATGCCAGTGTACTAGAAGAAGCAAAGGACATCAGTGTTGAAGCAATGATTCTTCAACATCAACTTCATTGGACTGGTCATGTTGTTCGGATGCCTGATTATTGTCTTCCAAAGCAACTACTCTATTCCAAACTTAAAAATGGAAAGTGTAATGCTGGTGGTCAACAAAAGAGGTTTAAAGAATCTGTCAAGGCAAATCTAAAAAAAATGTAGGATAAATACCACCAATTGGGAAACACCGGCCTGCAAGTACTCCAATTAGAGAACAGCCTTTACCATAGTGTCATGAACTTTGAAAACACTCAGGATGAAAGGGAGAAACGAGCTAAAAGGAAGACACATTTGGCAAACCCTCACCATGATCAACTCCTGCCCAGAAACCTATGTCCCCACTGTGGAAGGATGTGTGGATCCAGAATTGGCCTCCACAGTCACCTACGGACATGCCACTAAGACCGTGTTAATGGTAGACAATCTTGCCCAGCTACGGGTGATCGCCAAAGAAAAAGATTTTAACTAATCTTACCATGATAAAAAAGTTCCAAAACATATGTAACGGCCTTTAACAAATTGTTCTTTTGTTTACTTTTTAAAAAGATGGAAACAAAATTATACTCTGGGCGTTACACACCAGCCAGATAACTGATCATGTGGAGAAGCCCGTCATGTCTCCTAGTCATGACTGATACCACTTCACAGCATGGTCTTTCAAAGTATTTTACATAAGGTACTTTACACCCTCAAGGCTGAACAATATTAATAATTTTAATCTGGTTTGCTGGAAATGTGGTACTGTAAATGCTGTATTTATGTGTTGCTGGCAGATATGTTCCAAGGTTAAATTGATTTGGACAAATAAAATAAGCAAGTTAGAAGATTCAATACTTCTAAATGCTTTTGATTTTTTGGTGGGCTACAAATTGAAACTTCAAAAGATGTCAGACCTAAGAAAATTAATTTGGCTTTAATATATACTGGGGAAAATCTGGATAATAAATTTAAATGTTTTATAGCCAACACTGAGGGATGATGAAAGTTACAGTTAAGTGTATCTGGAGGACTACAGAATCCCCATCCCTGTTTCAAAAGTGAGGGAGAACACTTTCAGAACCATTGCTGACTCCATGGTGTTTTGAAAGCAATTCCTGGGCAGTTTTCTTTAAAACACACACAGTAATTTGCAATTTACAATGGCATTTTGTTTCTATAATGGAGAAAATATCAGTTTAAAAAACAAACAAACTGCAAAGTGTTACAGAACACTTATCATCTCTACTCTTATGGATCAGATAGCCTTCGTGTAACCTTGCTACTTTAAACAGATTTATATTCCATAGGCTAAATGCACATTTTCTTTTTTTAAAAAATCCATTCTGCTGATATCCAAACATAGTTTTCCACTTGTGATTGGGTATTTATTCAAATACTTGTTAAACAGTTTGAGTGGCTTTAACTAGCTTAGCTTAATTTGACAGTCTGCAGTCAACAGCTCTATTCTCAGATTAAATGCCGTAATTTTAAGGATTACCCAATGCTCTTGAACAGCACACTTAGAAGCCTCATGAATTATCAATTTGTCAACTGCAGGATATAAAAAGGGGTGTATTTCAACACGGAGAGACGAGCTACTTGCTGTATTTCTAATAAAACTCTAGGTGTAGCCCTTCTTCTTTCCACTGGAATGTATTTATGTCAAAATATGCATCTCTCAGAGGTTGCCTGCTGAAGGATTCCTCCCACCCCTGCCCCTAATAACAGTGACATCATCAGTATGGTAGATTCTCATAATAGCCTTTCCAGTCACATGACTCCTGCAGTAATCATGTGGCAGAGACAGGCATGATAAAAGAAATCCTTTATTCTTCCACTACTCTCCCTTCACCTTCTTGCAGGAAGGGTATGATCTCCAACTTTATAGGGGCATGGGGGTAACACAGTGCACTGGCCAAGCCCAGCACATGGCTCTCTACAACAGGGGTCAGCAAACTTTTTCAGCAGGGGGCCAGTCCACTGTCCCTCAGACCCCGGGGGGGCAGACTATATTTTTTTTTGGGGGGGGGGAAATGAACTAATTCCTATGGCCCACAAATAACCCAGGGATGCATTTTAAATAAAAAGACACATTCTACTCATGTAAAAATACACTGATTCCCAGACCGTCTGCGGGCCGGATTTAGAAGGCGATTGGGCCGGATTCGGCCCCCGGGCCTTAGTTTGCCTACCCATGCTCTACGACATGGTGGTGGTGGTGAGACTTCATAGTTCTAAACAGTTATAGTGTCAGATGCAGGGGTTTATCATTTCAGGTAGGGAGAGAGAGAGAGAAACAGCAGACAATGTACTGATCTCACAAGGCCATGCTTTCACGGGGGGGGGGGATTCACTAGGAAATCATGATAAGAAAACTGAACTTTGCACAGGTGTTTCACCTCTGTAATCATGCCATGCTGGATAACACAGTTACCCTTCAAAATAACTGAGCATCACCAGCTACAATTATGTGTCACAGCACAATACTCATTTCATCACCATGCATTTGCCCTTGCTGAGGTATCTGCCTCCCATGACAAAGTCCTCACTTACTAAAGAAGAGAATTTAGAGCTTCTGATGATAAAGCTACAAATAATAAAATATTTCCCTTGTAGAAATATAGAGAGAGCACTGATTTATTCATGTCCACCCAAATGAGCCCATGGCAGAGGTGCTGTTTGAACCAGGGACTTCCAATCCACTTTACACTTAGCAACTGCACAAAGGCTGCATTATTTTAATATTAAAAGTATAAAAGTATCATTCACAAGCTTCCACCTTCTCTTATCCTCTAGCATAGCCAGGAGATTGGAAGCTTCCACTTCCACTTTAACTTAACTTTACTTAATCTTATATATGGTTGTTGAAACAAGGCTGTTTCATAAATTACAGTTTGAGGTTCATGAAACTATAGTTTGGCCAGGTTCAGACATCACAACAAGCTGTGGTTCATCTAAAATGGATGGGAAAGCTTTCAAGCTCCTTCTCACTGCTGTACTGTAGTGGGAAGAGTTCATCCTCATAGCACCAGTCTGTGGTTTAGCAGTAAGTGCAAACACAGACAACTCACCATAAGCAGAGAATTCTCATATTCAGTAACGTAAAACATTCACAATGCCATCCAAAGTGTCCATCTCAATGTGGTGGGTTGGGGGGGGAGAGAGAGAGAAAGAGAGACTGAAAGCAAAGCTTCTGCCCTCTGTCCTCTAATACAAGACTTAAAATTGTAGCAGCTGCAAGCTGTAGCACAAAGAAAGCATGCTTTTGTCTGTGAAAGTACTTTTAAAAAACAATGAAGTGTCATTAGTAATCTTGATGGACCGTTTTTCATATATAACATAGATGAAATATTTAAAAATGGTATCTTGGGCTAACTTTTGCTTCTGCTATGGCTTCCTATCCTGTTTCTGCAAGTGATAGTCACTGATTATTATTCAACTACAGAATGACAAACACACAATTGTTTAGTCTCCAACCTCACTCTGAAATCATTTGGGAAAGGGCCATAGCTCAGCAGTAGAACATCTGCTTGCACGCAGAAGGTCCAGATTCAATTCCCAGCATCTCCAGGTGGGGCTGAGAGACACGCCTGCAAGAAACCCTGGAGAGCCACTGCTAGTCAGTGTAGAAAATACTGAGCTAGATAGACTAATGGTCTGACCCAGTATAAGCCAGCTTCCTATCCTACATTACCAGATTGTTAATTTTTATGTGGAAAAATTCTAAATAAAATTAAATGCTAAACAGTAAGAGCCACTGTATTGTAAGTGAAAGAGAAAGTGTTGGTCTTGGACCAGGGAGACCCAATCCTTGCTCAGTCAAGGAACTCATAAGGAGGCCTTTGGCAAATTACCTTTAGTCTACCAAACAGGACTGCTGGGGATAAAATGGGATAACTGCAAATGCCACCATGAGCTCCTTGCAGAATATAAAATGAGATGCATACATACAAATGATCTAAGTAACAGTCTTCCACTCAAATCTTTCCTCGAGTAAAATCTTCCCAGTCAGTCTATAGTGATTTCATTTGAAGCTAGAAATGAGCACACTTTTCTTTGAAAGTATACACCAAAGCCTGGTGGGAGGGACCCAGATCACTAAAGCTCTCTCTCATTCTCAAGCTTTCCAGGCAAATCCACAATCACTGCACATTCTAATCAGACAGACAAGGGAAAACGTCATCCTGATGTAAAGTGCTAAATTTGTCTCTTAGTGGTCTCTGTAGCAACCCAATATTCCAAAGAGACAATCATGTGATCAATGCTCTTAGCTCCTGCTGTTTATCCTGCACTGTCCTACTTACAGCAGCTTTCAATTCCAGCTGTCTACAGCAGAAAAGAAAAATCATCACCTGGCCTCCTGCAGTACATGGTCCCACTTCAGGCTCATCTGAATTGGTATTTTTTTTAAAAAAATATATTGACATTACTGAAGCAGGGAGAAAAAAAGGAAAACTGCAAGTTTAAAAATGAGAGAGAGAAAGCACCATTTGAATTAACTAGAAACACAGGCTCAACCAACTAGTGAAACTATAGGGTGAACTATCTTAGCATTAAGTGATCAACACTCAGTCCTGATGGAGCTATTTACAAGTTAGCAACACAGGAATCAAACAGGTTAGCATAAAGTCCACAGAATTAAATCAATGAACTCACACGAACATGAACTTAAATTCAAACACTCTGGCTTAACTGTCGACTTTTCCTTCAAGTCACATTTCTGTGAGGCTGGAAGCAATTAACCTAAGCCCTAACTAACCTAACCTCCCCTATATAAGGTTGACAAAGGCTTTTTCTGCACATAATGCTAAACTATGGCCTCCATGTAAACCATATTGTATAGTACCCAGAGACAGAAAAATATTAGGTAACAAGTAAGCCACACTCCTAAAACTGAGCCTTTTGCATAGAAATCAAACTCAATTTTTAGCTTTGAGCATGACTGCTTCCTAAATATTTGATGCTGGTTCTTTGGAATTTTAAATACATATTTTTTTTCTAACTCAGACCCAGCTCTGGAGGGTCCTGTCATACAATATGTAAGTAAACTAGGATTTATTTATTTTTATCATTGTGTGTAAGCGAGACACATTATATTTAAAGGCAAATTTTGACATGTAGGAAAAGAAACGAAACTGACAAACATTAAATTACTACTATGCTCAGAGAGTCACGGTTAACTATATTTTATGAACTACAGAAGGTACAGAATGGACTTTATATACCCTCCTCAATTTAGCAGGCCTTCATTCAGGCTTTCACCCCTCTAGACGTATGTTCCAGAGGTGTGAAAGTCTGGAGGAGGGAAGAAATGGGCAATGCTTGCTGCCTCCCTCTATCAAAGCCTTAAAACATCCAGGTCAGGTGGAATGGGGAAGGTGGGAAATGTGCAGTATACCGAGATAAAAACTTAGGTTATCATTCTGAAAGAAAATAAATTTCGTTTCAAGACAACATTAAAATCATAATTACAGAGCCGATACACATTACGGTTAACTTTAGAACTAAGATTTAAAAGGTGATTACAGTACCGCTGCTGTGTTTGACATTTTTGTATCCTCAGATATTTGGCGTAGGAGAGCAATCTGGGAGATGGCCAGAAGTATTGCTCCTGCAACATGGCAGTAATAAGGCTTTTACGCAGCCTTGCTTCAGATAAGGGCCTTGACACTGTGTTGCAAGAGCAAATGCCTGGCAAACTCCCAGAATTCTCTCCCACACCAAATACCTGAAGATACTCACTCTGGGAGTTTGCCAAACACACTGCTCCTGTAACACAGTGTCAAGCCCTTTTTCTGAAGAAGGCGAGAAGAAATGTGGCAGGATCAATATTCTGAGCCATTTGCTCTCTCTCTCTATCTTTTGCGTCAAGAGAGAGAAACTGATGACAGTTGAACACAAGTGAGTATAAATGAAGTAACGAACTGGCACATGAAAGAGTTGAGTAGCTTTTTCAATTTGCACAAAAATTCCCATTTCTGGAGTCCATGAAGCTCAGTTAAAGATCTTCGGGTGCCTCCCCCATGAGAGGTCTAGAGGGTGTCAACACGGGAACAGGCCTTTTCTGTGGTGGCTCCCCATTTGTGGAATTGCTCAAGCAAAGAAGTCTTGCCTGGCTTACTATCTTTAGGCACCAGATGAAAATTTTCCCCTTCAACCAGGCATTGATTAACATTTAAATGTGTCTGTGGGAGACAGGTTTATTGGTTAGTTTTGCTTTTGTTTTATTATGTATTCTGTGTTTTCATTTTACATTTGTATGTTTTGAACTGTGAACTTTGGATGAAGGGTGATATACACATTTAAATCATCATCATCATCATCATCATCATCATCATCATTGAAACCATAAATATCAACATGTTCCCTGCATTCTTTTGTTCTTCATCCTACAACCAATTCCAGAGATTACCAACAGCAGAGATTACCAAGCGAGATTTTTTCTCCATTACAGTTTGCCTCATATAGGATTAGATAGATCAATATTCTGGTGTAGTATTTTATTTTCCCTTTGATTGCACCTGCATCATTTTTCACACTTTCCTCTTTTCTTTAATATCAAATAAACTGCTTAATTGGATTTCTGGTGTGTATTGGTTTTTGGACACACTCAAAGGCTGTTTGTCCACAATGCTTAGACAGCCTGGGCTATGCTGCCTATTTAACATGCCTGGGAGTTATCAGGGGGGTGATGGCTGAAGTTGTCAGGAAGCAGCCTTTGAATTTAGGGGGCAATCCCCTTGCTACAGAATAGATCACCTTAAAACAGTGGGAATGCCACATCCCTAGCCCTGGAAGGTGACAAATAAGTGGGGGAGGCTAGACAAGAGAAGTGTAGGAGGTCATCCATTGCAAGTGAGTTACTTTACCAGGTAGGCACTGGTGCAGGGGACTGCTGTTCTTAACAACCCCTGTTAGAGAAAATGGAACTTGCAGGTTTTATATTATTAACTAGAATGAAGAAGAGAAATCTAATAAATATGCATGTCTAGTTTCATATATCTGCAGTTACTATGACATGTTGATGATGGTGGGGTGTTTAGTTTCCATTTCTGGATCATAACGCCAAGGCCTATATGTTGTTTCCAAGCCCAGGTAATAAACTTTCCTTTTGTTTACTACAAATGTTGATTTCTACTTTCAACTTTTGCTCCCATTTCCCTCAAATTGACAAAGCTTCGCTCTCCCCCAATGCTTTCTGATTCTCCCAGGCATTTAAAAATCTATGATCTTAACAGTTCTGAATGGCAACCCACTGTTTACGCAACATATTTTTAGCCATGCTGCAAAACTGTTTTTATCTTTCTCCCCAGGTTGTATGCTACAATTGTTATATGATATGCTATATTAATATAGTATTTTATTATTTCATGTTCTCTGGAGAACAATGTAATTGGGTGACTCAGATAAACATTGACTCAGATAAACACTGTAAGTAAGCAAACAAAACCTAACTTGGGTGCCCTAGGGTGCAGCAACCTGCAACTTCATCTACAGCAGAGGGTGTGTTTGGGACCACAGTTTCAATAAGAAAGATATGCAAAAAGTTTTGGGGAGGACCTTCAATATCTTTTCCTCCATAAAGTCACAAGCTTAGCCCCTGGCATCTCAATTTTCTACCATGCAATTATGAAACAATCCTAGATTTAGGATCCCTTTGTGGGGGGTTGGGGTGACAACAATAAGTTTCAAATAAAATTGACTTTTGAACTCCCTGTTGAATGATTCTTTGCAACTAAAAATAATAATATTTTGAAGTCATGAAGGGAAAATGTGTTTGGGGTCCCGTACTGGGGTCAAAAGAATTTTAAACAAAGAGATGAGCAATGTGCAGACCTCAAGGCTATAGCTTGCGGTTGTTGTTGTTGTTTCTAAATCTCCTGACTGCAGAAAACCTCAAGAATTTGGTGCTAAAATGATTGTGATTCATACAAATTCACTACTTTCAACTACTGTATGGACTTTAAAGTCACATCAAAAAAAATTTCAAGGGACCAACCACAGAATGTCATGTTGTAAGGCATCAATTTGAGAATCATACAGAATAAAAGCAAAATGTCAATGTACCATATTGTCAATTTGACATTTCCCAGGCGGATTCAGCATGCTTAAACATGTCTTTTCCCCCCTTTTGTTGACTAACTGCATGTTAATTTTATTTAGTGTGCAAATAGCTGAAAAGGTTTTTCCTATAGCCAAAAGAAGCTGAAATTATGGTGGGGGAGGCATAATGAAATCCACTCAGGTGCAATCCTACACACACTCACCTAGAGTAGGATTGTTCTGTCATTGTGGCTTAAAAGGTTACGTTCAAACAAACACAAAGCTTTACTTGCTGCTTGAAAGGCATGACAACTCAATAGCACACTTTTTCCTTACATTAGATCATTTTTGGGAGGCAGTATTAAGACACTGGGAAGGAGGAATTGTTTTATAATTTTATAGTGCCCAAAATGATCTACCCATAAACACAGCGCTGATTAGGGAGAGTTAGCAGAAAAAAAGTTTTTAACGTTTGACTAGGCTAGTATTGTATCAATTATAAATGCATAACACATGCTGTGTTCATTCATTATGTTACTATTTAATTTTATGCAACAAGACATTTCTAAAAGAAAATAATTTGCAGAAAAAATATAGTAATTTATATACATATATATATATCTCCTATTACTGTTGCAGTTCCATGGAAATATGCATTTTACGAAGCAGGGAGGGAAGAGCTAGGGTGATCTGCAGATGACCCATTCTTGACACCTACTCCATTGGCCATGATAAACATCTGATTTAACTTTCATTTTCTAATCAAAGAGACTCTCCTTCTGTAATCTACAAACAAATCACAAACTATCCCTAAATATTCCAGGGTACACTAGATACTATTCTTTTGCTATGGAAAACCTGCACAAGAAATTTTTTTTTTGCCAGAGATCACTTAACCTGTAAGAACTAAGGAGCCCCACCCTCAAACTAAAGCCAGAACAAAGAATAAGCAAGAACATTATTCCTCCGTATCCATACAAAATAGCTACTAAATTCTCTCCAAGTATAGCACATGCAATACAATTGGACTTGAGTTTTCTAATCTAATATTTAACTTCAGGATCAAAAAGAAGCAACCTCCATTACTTTCAATGGGGCAGTGTGTAGGGTGCCCCGAAAACTTCGCTGAGATACAACATCTTGTGTTCTCTACATTTTATTTGTATTTATCCCTACCACATGAATGTTTATTCTAACAAACTCTTTCACATTAATAAGAGAGCCATGAAGTTGCAACTCTCATTTACAGCAAAAACAACAAGTATTGTGGCAGACTGAGAAATTTATCAGGGCATAAGCTTTTGTGCACTACAGTCTACAATGTATGAAGCATTAATCTGAGTTACAGATATATGTACATAGTTGAGAGAGTGAATGTGAACAGTGTGAACAGCATTTCATTTCCCTCTAATCTCTTTACTAACCCCCCCCCCAATATATGTGCTGGAGCTTGATATATTGGGGGGGGGGTGACTCTGTGTGTGCACTCCACACACAGACACACAAACACAAACACTTGTGAATCAGGATAACGCTTCAAGCATATGATGAAGTGGACTGTAGCCCACAAAGCTTATGCCTTAATAAATTTCTTAGTCTCTAAGGTACCACAAGACTCTTTGCTTTTCCTTCCATACAAAGTGATTGTTCTGTACACAGTAAACTGCACTAAAATAAATTAACAGCTTCACATTAATGGAACAAAATAGTACTGAAATAATTTCCTTATGGGGAAAGCCCATAAGGTGGCGCACAGCAGCTCAGTCCGGAAAGGCAGCTGTAGTTTCCCCCCAGGGTGGGGTGGATTTAATATCTAATTAAGTACTAAATAAATAGACATGTCTTGATCTCTCCCCTCTGCGAAGTATTTTTTTCATAAAACGAGTCTGCACACATTTTACATTTTTCCCCTTTTAAAAAAAAAAAGCCTTCATATGGCTGTTTTTTCCTGGGAAACAACACACACACACACACACACACACACATAGAGAGGCCTGCCTGCAAGCAGCAGAAGTACAGTATTCCTCAGCTGGAGCTGTTGCAAGAAAGAAGTGGCTGAAATTAAACCACAAGCGAAACACTTAAGAAAAGCTGTCTGACTCCCACTATGGAATTTCCTTCAAGAATGTCCTCAGGCCATGTCAATGGGAAAATGTGAAGGGTGCAGACTAAGTGCAGAGATACTTAAAAGGCTAATTATTTCTGCCCTTTCAGTGATAAGTGAATTATTCATTAAAAGTTTTACCTAATAAAAAAAGAAAGAAAGCAGTCTTTGCAGCCTTCAATACATTTATTCATTTTAGAGGTCAGGTCATCATATTCTATCATTTCACACAGGGAGCGTAGGTGCTGGCAATTGTTATTTCCTTTATCAGGTGCTCATCGGAATTGGTGAAATTATAACCATTTGACCTTAAGGGGCTGACACATATAAAGCTGATTCTGCCTTTTAAGAAAGGCCTTAATTTAAAAAAAAGTGACAGCTAACGGTATTAAACCACAGAGTGAGAGCAAAATGCACACACAAAACCCTCATGTACTCTAAAAACATATATTCATACAAGAACAGCTATAGAGGTCTGTGGGTTGTTGTTGTGTGTGTGTGTTTTAGTGTTCTATGTACTTGCAAGTACCTGAAGCTTTCGGGTCTCCAAACTCCTGCACCAAGTGTAGAAGGAGGAAGAGACAGTTGCGTGTTCATATCCTCAAGAGGTGTAAATCTAGCTGAAAGCCAAAGGCCACCACTTGAAGCAAAGACAACTCAATGGAAAGCAATTTCATGTTAAACACACACTCATACTTCTAGAGCAGGGGAGGCCAACTTTTCATACCAAGTGGGCTGCAAGAGTACTTCAACACAGAACCTGCAGCCCGCACGCTGCTTGTTGCAGGGGGTAGGGAGTGAGGCCAAAATTTGACACACACACACAGAGAGAGAGAGAGAGAGAGAGAGAGAGAGAGAGAGAGAGCCCTCATGCTGCCTTCCAAAAGTTAGCTAAGCGAGGCACTGGGTTTTGGGAAGGAGGCAGAGATGGATTTAGGGGAGCATGACCAGTTCAGTCGCACTGAGTGCGGAGCCTAAGGGGCACTGCAGAGGGATCTGAAACCATTATGTAGAATGAGAGAAGAAAGATGGGGGGCGCCAAATTTGGGTGTCACACAGGGCACTGCTGAAATTTGAGACCCCAAGGTCTGCCACTGCTGGAAGGGTCCTGAAGCCCTCTCACCTCCTTCCTGAAGCTAGCAAAGCGCTAATAATGGTTTGAGAAGGGGATAGATGGGCTCTAGGATAAGGTTACCAGATTTTTTTCAATGAATTCGGGGACACTTTTCAACTTCAATGGACTTTGTATGGGGACTACCTTGTAAATCTGGGGACTGTCCCCGGGAAACGGGGACGTCTGGTAACCTTACTCTAGGACCCTGTCAGAGCCATCACTTCCCCTTCCCAAAGCCCAGTCTCACTTACCCCACTTTGGGAAGGCAGTGTGATGGCTGCCAAAAAAGGCATTGAGGGCCGCATATGGCCCTCAGGCTGCATGTTGGACCACCCAGTTCTAGAGAAAACTAAGAGCAGTAACTACAAAAACAACTCAGTGGTTAAGCACCTGCTTTGCATGCTGAGGGTCCCTAGTTAAATCCCTAGCACCCTCAGTTCAAAAAGATTCAGGCAGCAGATGGTTGTAAAAAGCCTTTCCCAGAGACCCTGGAGTGTCACTGCATGTCTAGGTATACAACAATTGGCTTGATGGGCAGAGAGTCTCACTTAAGGCAGCTTCTTACACCCCCCTGCCCCAGTTTTTTCAAAGGAAGCTTACAGTGTGGGGACTATTAACTTACAAAATCCTAAACAGTCTGGAACCAGAGTATCCAAAGAATCTCTTGCCCAACCAGTGACCATAGCCTTTTCCTTAGATGCTCCCACCTTCAAAGTTTAGATGGGCGGCTACTAGAAATAGGGCTCTCCAGTTATAGCGTCCCAGATATAGAAACCCCTTCCCAAACACATTTGGCTGATGCTATCATTATCTTTTAGGCACCATGCTATGTGTGTCCTATTCACTCAAGCCTGTAATAGCAATCAATATGCCCTTCACTGCTGTTGGATGTTAAACTACGATTTATTTTTTTTAATGGTTGTAAGCCACCTTGAAGGTCTATATGGTGAAAAGGCAGGATATAAATGTTTTAAAAATAAATAGCCTATACTAGTTAACTATAATTATGACAGAGGAATCCAGAATAAAAAGGTGCGTGTTCAGATAAGTACTTGCATACACATTTGAAGTATTTGGTTTCATAACAAATGGCCTCAGTCCAGGAGAGAAAGGCTGACTGGCAAAAGGAGCAGAATAATCAAAATAGCTTTTCTTCTGTTCTCAGCGTTGGAAGTATCCCTATGCTGTGAGGGGAGCTGCTGGAGTTGCTATTTTTAAAAAATTACTTCGGTAGCACCAGTGCACATTTGATGAGGATCTGGTGGATAAAAGGGAAAGTGAGGTCCATAAAATCAATAACAGAAGGTCCACATTGGGGAAGTCTTCCTGTGCCTTGTTTGACCTTGTTGCCACTGTTACATCTTCCATTTGAGAGATGAGAGATGGAACTGAGCTTACTGCTAGCACTGATGAGAAGTGGAATCTGCACTGTGGTTTAAGGCAGTTCCTCCTCTTGTACTGTTCCAATTAAACATGCTTCACTTTCAGAGAACATTATGGGGATATCTCTCCTGTGCGGTCTGGTGTTCTGGAGTGGGGGATTGGTCCCAGATCTGAACTGATTTTTTCCCTTTCCTATGTCAGCCTTTGAGAATTCTAGTCAATATGTTTGGCAAGAGCGTGCCTTGGTCTTGCACATCTCACTATGATGGTGCTAGTTATGCCCAATAAGCTTATTAGAAAATTATATCCCATCCAAGCACCAATGCTCCAGATACTACAGCTACTTGAGGGGAAAATTAAAATCACAGAATTGTAGAGTCAGAAGGGACCCAAAGTGTCATATAGTCCAAACCCCTGCAATGCAGGAATTATGAACCCCAAACTCAAAAGCAACTGGTGTCCTATGTTAAGATATCTGAATCTAACACAAGTTGCTTAGGTGTCTTTGAAAAGTGAAAATTCCAGACATTTATTAATCATTAGCTGAATATCTGGGGCAAAGAGTAGTTATAACGGTATTCATAAGAATTAGCACTTATTTTGAAATAAATATTACTCAGTATTTTCCAACAGAGCTGTACATTTATAATTTGTACCGTATCTGGCTGGTTGTGACAAAACGAATTTGCTTTTCACAAACTTCTAAGACACAAATTTGACAAAGCATTTCTGAAGAGCTGCTAACAGGTGCCATCCTTCAAGCACTAGCAATTCTAAAGATGTCTATCAAAATTTAGATGGCAATGTCATTTTTAAAGATAATTTGAATAGTTCAAAATGCTGGGACTATAACATATTATAGCAGCTGTAAGAACCACATTTGATTTCAGCATTAAAACTCTATTTGCTTCTTAAATGCATAGATTCTGCTTCATCAACTAAAAAAGCCACACATATTTGAAACGAATCGCACAGTTAACAACCAGACAAAATCATAACCAAGAGTTCTGGCTGCAAGCAGCACACCACACTGCCAACTTAAACCAAACTGAGAATACTTGTCCAGCAGTCATTTCTCACAGTGGGCTTTGTAAGTCCACAAGTGGACATAAACACAATAGCTCGCTCCGGCTTGTGATCCTCAGCAACTGATATTCAGAGGCACAGTGCCACCAACACGGAGTAAAATAACCATCACGACTAGTAGACATTGACAGCCTAATCCTCCATGAATTTATTAGTAAAGAAACACATTATTGTTTGGGTTGTTCTTTGTCAGACTAAAACTGGCACAGGCTACAGTAGAACATTCACCAGAACAGAATACGGGGATTAAAATAATATTCAGGGGTTAAAAAGGAGCTTGAACACATACAAATGAAAGCTGCTCCAAACTTATTGTACTTACATCCCACACCTTCAGCAAATTTATACAGTCGTACCTTGGTTTTCAAACAGAACGCGTTCCAGAAGTCCATTCGACTTCTGAAACATTCAGAAACGAAGGCATGGCTTCCGATTGGCTGCAGGAACATCCTGCAGCCAATCAGAAGCTGCGCGGGACGTTCGGCTTCCAAGGCAAAGTTCGCATACTGGAACACCTACTTCTAGGTTTCTGACGTTCGTTCCAAGTTGTTTGTGAACTAAGCTGTTCAAAAACCAAAATACGACTGTACTCCCTGGGAGGATAAGAATAAAAGTGCAACAGAAATAAATAAGAAAATAAAGTATACAAAGCAACATGAACTAAAACAGCAACAAATGGTTAAACTAAGCGCTAAAATAAAACTGCTCCAAGTTAAAATGAGCTAAAATTAGCGGTCCTTAAAAGCATGGGGAAAGAGAAGTGATTTTGCTTGGTGCCTAAATTATGAGAGAATGCCAGGTGGATCTCCATGAAGAGGGCATTGCAGAAGCAACCATGTTCATTGCAGCTACTTAAATTCTCCTGCTAGCAAGCATATGGTGTGAATGACAGGTGCTGTTTCTAAACAATGCAGATGGGCCAAGGACCCATGGCCAAATGGGATTCCTTGGCAAGCATACCCTGCATCTTTAGAAACATGCGCCTGCCATTCCACTTTATGGTTTCCTATAGGAAATACATAAAGCAACCCTCGAAGGGATTCTACAAGAAGAATGGTGTAGGGATGCAAAACAACTACAGTTTTGAAATAATATGTCTCTGGAAACAAACAAAAAAAGTAATGAAGTATTTCCAATATGCATTCTTCAAGCCTCGCTGCAGCTCACCATTTTGTCAGTCAACAACAAAATTCACACAATATGCTGCAGAAGAGGACAACACTGTCGTGCATTCCTAAAAAGGTGATATATCACCTTTTATTAGAGTGAACTAAATCATCACAAAGCAGCCAATAAGCTTTCCAGTTCTTTCCCCCATGTTCCTTCAAAATTGTCTTCTGGAGAAGACGAGGGATGTTTCAAGGCATTAATATCTAGTTTTAAGAGTGCTGTAGAACTCTAAAGCTTCCAATTTTGTGACTTTTAGTTGATCTTAATGAAGTGTTTTATACCACTGTCGTTTGGGGATATTTTTAATGGCTACTCCATCGTTGTCTATATTCTGAAAGAGTAATTTACCAAATATCTTTGTAGCTCTTCTACATGGGGTTTTACCTTGTATTTTTATACTGCCAACAGCAGCCTGGACAAGAAACAACTGAAGTAAAATCCTGGCTCCATCAGTATCAGAACAAGCAAATATAAAAAGGAATGATAGAAGCACAAGGATAGCTGTAGAAGAAGATTCTATTTTAGAAAATTACAAACATATGGAAGTCTATTCCATCACCACATGAGATCTGCACTTGCATGAAGAATCAGTTCACCGTTCTCTATTTGTAGTACAAAACAAATAACCATTATCCTGAAGCTGCAAGTAAAAAACACACTGGGAAGGAAAAGGGGGAGGAAAATGCACAAGGTATCCTACCTTTTATTTATAGGTTTCTCATCTTTCTCGTAAGGCTTCACAAACCATTTCCCGATGCGCACAAAGTTCCGGTTCATTAGACATCTTTCCACCAGGTTGTGAATTGCTTTGAATAGCAGAGTGCGACATTCGTAGGAAAGCCCATTCTCCCATACACCGTCTTCCTCATCTGCAAGCATGGGAGGGGGAAAAAAAGTTAACAGCCAGCTTTCAGTGGAGGTGCAAAGAAAAAAGAACGCCACCAACAATAACAGCAATAACATTAGTGCTGACTAAAAGGTCACTTCATACATTACATTTAAGAGTACCCCATAGGCCTCTTCAACATAAACATATTGAAGAGTCTTACAGAAAGACAGAAAATGGCCCATCAAGCCAAATACAGGCCACCCAATTAGGAGCTCTCTGTTGTCTCAGACAGAGGCCTCATGCTGCTCTTAAAAGACCTTTCTATTTAACCACAGATGCCAGGGACAGGACCTGGGTTTTTCGGCATGCCAGTCATTTGCTCTGTCAATGAACTATAAGAGCGCTCCTGCTGTCAAAGTTTAGTATGCATTATCTTTGGGAAAAGGACCTGTCTTCTTAATTTTTATTATTACAGGCACCATCTAGCCCAAGCTGGGCACTTTGGTTTTAATGGAACATACGCGACACTCCCATCAAACTCAACCAGAGGCTTAGACATATTTGCCACACACAGGCTCAGGCCCCATATAAATCAAACAAGTGGGTCCTGTCACACTAGAACATGACTGTGATATTCCAGGAATCCCTTAAAAAGGCCTGGCCCCGGTAGTCACTAGGTCACTTCCTCAGACACTTCACTGAAGCCTGACTTCCCTTAAAATACCTGCTACTGGTAGCACCTTACTTAAGAGGAACAAAGCTCTCTTCATATATTCATTCACACAAGGTAGGTAGGAGCGGGGGGTGGAAAATTAACTCTTAGAATCTACCCAGATCAGAACACAGGCAGTTGAAACATTAACCCATATTTAATTAAGGAACATTACATGAAGACCAAGAAGCCATTTCATATTATTATTATTATTATTATTATCATCATTATCATTATCATCATCCCGTCCATCTGGCTGGGTTTCCCCAGCCACTCTGCGCGTCTTACAAGAGTTCTATCCTAATACCCCTTAATAAATATGCAAACTATTTTACATATGTTTTTATTATCCTGCTCATCTAATTCCTTCTTTCTTTCCATCCTTTCAACCACTCTCTTCTTCAGTGATAATTTCCAACACTCACTTCCTCACATTCTACTCCACTCCCCTATTGACAATCATTCTATTCCATTCACTCTTCTGCCACGATGACCAAGAAATACAATTGGGGGACAGAGTTTGACAGCACATCCTTGCCATAATACTTCCAATAATGCCTGTTTGGCTTTCTTTCATAGGAATGAATGGTTGCTATACACTCTTATGAGTAAAAGTACTGCCCTTGGGAGTAGTTTTGAGGTGAGGTCACAACCTAACACACCCTGACTTGATCCTCACTGAACTGACTGCACTGCTGAAGCAGGAGTTGTGCTCCCCCCACCCACTCCAACAGTCCATCTGATATGCGAGCCAGTGTGGTGTAGTGGTTAAGAGCGGTAGTCTCGTAATCTGGGGAACCGGGTTCGCGTCTCCGCTCCTCCACATGCAGCTGCTGGGTGACCTTGGGCCAGTCACACTTCTTTGAAGTCTCTCAGCCCCACTCACCTTACAGAGTGTTTGTTGTGGGGGAGGAAGGGAAAGGAGAATGTTAGCCACTTTGAGACTCCTTAAAGGGAGAGAAAGGCGGGATATCAAATCCAAACTCTTCTTCTTCTTCTTCTTCTTCTTCCACTCCCAATAATTTACAGTAATAAAGAAGATGACTAGACAGAATGTGGTTCTGACCCAGTTAAGCCTACAAGTCTGTATCCAGAAACACATAAATGTCAGCCTTGGGGAGAAAAACTACTGGGCTGGGGAACAGTGGTGAGCAGAGGTCACAACCTGACCCACCTCAACACCAAGCAACTCAGGAATTATAGAGAATTGTAGGGCATGACACACAAGCATGGTGAACCTTTGCTACAGCCAGAAATACAAATGAGATAGGCATCAAAACACTAGAGGTTTGAGAGTTGTCGCCTGTCATTACTGTCCAGTTCATTCCAATATACCTACACAAACTCAGCTTTCACCAAGAGTAGACAATGACATCAGCTAAAGTCTCTTTAATGTTTGCACATGTCCACTCAGACAACAGGGAAGATGTGTCTGTCCTAAGGTTTCCAGGAGTACAGGTGCCCACATCAAGATCTACATTTAGGAGCAAATGGCATGGACTTTCTAGAATCTCTAGACAGAAGCAAAACTTGCATTTCCCCAGAACACATAATGCCAATTTTGAATCCATTTGATGTATTCCCCAGACCAAAAAAAAAAAGTTTAACCTGACAGAAACTTCCACAATGTGTTTTTATCATGCACATCAGATATTGTTTCCATGTTAACAGACTTCTTTCAGTCAGATTGCAGCACTACAGTTAAATGCCTTGTTCCTTTTCCACATAAGCACTTTAAAAAGGTGGCTGGCTGCCATCTGAAGAATTTTGAGCTCAATGTCTATTACATGAATTTACCAGCACCAACTTTAGAAGGCGGATGTCTGGCTGAAAAGGCAACCAATAAGTCAATCAGGATTTCTTTCTACCCATTTTATTGCCTCCAGGTTGGATAATAAAGGTCACTAAAGACAGTGCTTGTTTAATCAGTTTCCAAGCTCTCACCTCAAAAAAGGGTCTTGCACTTCTTTGGGAAAAGATACTGAAACTCCAAATTTTTCTATCCATGTTGATCAACACTTATCGATGTACCAAGGAGTGGGATGAACTTGGCAACACTGATAAGTACTACCAGAATCCAGTAATGAAGCCTGTCGGATTTATATGGGGGTAAGCTCACATGAGGTTATTAAGAGAGCACGGATCATCATACGAACACCTAAACACACACTCACAAAAAATGTCAGCCAGTTTTCAAAAAGCTTCTTCAGAATAAAATCCTGATTCATCACTCAGTCCCATGCAAGGTTGTATGCCCCAATTCAGAAGGTGCATAGAAAAGAATACAGGAAGGCAGCTCCTGGGGATCACTAATGGAAGAGGTATACTGCCTTCAAGCCTTACTAATGAGAATCTGTTCACCACTACAAAGACACAAGATGCTGGACTAGATAGGCTAGAGGTGGGGAGCCTCAGGCCCAGGAACCAAATGCAGCCCTCCAGGTCTTTCTTGCTCTCCAGATTCTTCCTCGACCATGCCTCCTCCCCAGCCCACACCCCTCAGCAGCCATGCTCTGCAACTTCTTTGAGTGCTTTTGCTTGACTGGAATGTGTTTTTAAATTATGATAATGCCTCTTCCTTGCCTGGATGGAAAATGAAGCAGAATGTGGGTGTGGCTGGAATGTAGCCTACAGTACAAAGGAAAGAGTCATATCCATTGCTCCACCCACTTTTGCCTCTGGTCCTGTCAACTACTGCTATGTGGCCCTCGGGCTGAAAAAGGATTTCCATCCCTGACACATGACTATCGGTCTGACCCAACAGAGCTCTTCTTGCACAAGATTCTGCTTTCATATAATTTTCAATGCAGGTTGTACAGCCCAGTCACCTGCCAGCATAGTCCATTTTTATAATAGGGCTACTCCTGACTTGTCTCTGTTCTGACTCACGTTTTAAGTATGTTCAGGAAGTGACCACAAAGAGCTAAAGTGGTGTGCCTCTGCAACATCATTAAGGCTCAAATAATAAAGGCATGCAAACCAACAGATACTGTGTCCTAGGATTTTTGCAGCTACACTGGTTCCATTTGATTATGGGGCAGTACTATAAACCAGACAACAAACAAAAAAACCCATGAACTCACAAAGCCCAATTATAATACAGACTTAACTTTCCAAGGATGAAAGAGATGTACAATATGGGCAGGATCCCTGGAGATGTTCCTCCTGTCTTAACTGTTTGTTTTCCATTGATACTTAAGACACCTGTTTTGTCTTTTTCCTTCAAGAACAGCTGCAAATGATTCAAAGATCCACAATCTTCGATACCTCCCTCTCCATGGAGGCGTAGATTGCAGCTATAACAAAGGCGGCATTTTTTCATCTCCACCAAGCTAAGCAGTTGGCTCCTTACCTCTCTCGCCCTGACCTAGCCACTGTGATCCACGCGACGGTCACCTCCAGACTGGATTATTGTAACTCGCTCTACGTGGGGCTGCCCTTGAGACTGACCCAGAAACTCCAGCGGGTGCAGAATGCCGCGGCGAGACTCCTTACGGGGTCCTCGCTGCGAGATCACATTCACCCGGTGCTATACCAGCTGCACTGGCTCCCGGTGGAGTACAGGATCAGGTTTAAGGTGCTGGTTTTAACCCTCAAAGCCCTATACGGCTTAGGACCCTCATACCTACGGGACCGCCTCTCCTGGTATGTCCCACAGAGGAACTTACGGTCTTCAAATAAAAACATCTTGAAGGTCCCAGGCCACAGAGAGGTTAGGCTGGCCTCAACTAGAGCCAGGGCTTTTTCGGCTGCGGCTCCAATCTGGTGCAACGCTCTGTCACAAGAGACTAGGGCCCTGCAGGACTTGACATCTTTCCGCAGGGCCTGCAAGACAGAGCTGTTCCACCAGGCCTTTGGTCAGGGCGCAGCCTGATCCCCTCTTTTGGCAATCTTTACAGAACTTTAGTTTATGGTTGCCATCAATTTTGATTTTAATTAATTTTTATAATGTTTTTAGAATGTTGCACTATTAGTGTTGTTAGCCGCCCTGAGCCCGGCTTTGGCTGCGGAGGGCGGGATATAAATAAATTTTATTATTATTATTATTATAACAATGCCTTAAAACTTATCATAGTAGACCTCTAAGACAACCTCAGCCATAGGGCATCAAGAGGCCATTTGACCATTCAGCATTCAGGGTCAAAGACCCTTGTGCATCCAAATGTGAGGACAAATACCCCAGTGATGCAAAACACCAAACAGCACACAGATGCTCCTTCTCCAAAAAAGAAAGAAAGCAAGAAAACAAAATGAGATCCTCATCTCATATCAAGCTTCAGAGCAGGCACAGGTTCTGCTTTTTTTGAACAAAGCAACAGAATCTACTTTCTGTAGCGCTGAGTTCTGCAGCAGGCCAAAGAAGAAGAGAACTAAACTAATACTGCCTATTCTGGAGCTCAACCTCTCCCCCCCTCCTCTCTCTCTCTCTCTCTCTCTCACACACACACACACCCAAGTCATCTGGCATCTTCAGAGTCAGAGTCAACAGAGATAACAAATAATGTATGGCTTCTGTGCCAAACAAGAGATTTGTTGTCAAGGGAGACTCTGCATTCAAGTAAAAGGTAAAATCACATATTCACTTCTTACACACAGCCAGGAAGTTTACACTGCAGACTTCTCACTGCATAGAGAGATAAAGCAGAACTAGCAGCCCCCCACCAAAAAAAAAAAAAAAAAAAAACCATAAAAGGAATGCATGATATTAACAGCAAAATTTGTAACGATCCAAAACACAAGTTGGATTAAGGGATCAATTCTACGTAAAATATTTAGCAGAAAGTAAATTGCATTGAACTCAGCGGGAGATGCTTCCTATTTAGAATTCATGTTTAGAATGTGGACTTGAGCAATTCAAGTGGACTTACTAGGCAAGACACTCCCTGGTGATAATTGCAACCTACCAAGCAGGGACATCACAGGGATAAACATGATTGTGACACCACAAGTTTAAAATGTGTCAACCTGAAATCATGAAACCATATCCTGGAGTACTAAATCATTAATCCAGTTGCTGTCTTTGACCACCATTCACCCTAAAAAGGGTTCAGTTAGTCTTCAAGAGAAAGGCGTCCTTCATGAGAAAGCAGTGCAGTCAGCCCTACATAAGCTCTTTATTTGCCCTAACTAGCTGTCCATAGGAACATGCTTTTCAGCAAACCACTGCACAACTATAATTATCTGGAGGACACAAGCAAAACTTGATGCTTTCTGTGGGGGTCTATTCAGCCCCTGATGAGTACACAGCTCTCCATAATAACAGAGAGCAACATACACAAAGGAAACACAAACTCCTCGCCATTAAAGAATCAGGAGACAGACTCAAAACGTAACTACAAGATAATGATCAGATGGAAGAAGTACCCATCTTGCAAAATAAAAAAAGAGAATTACTTCACCTTCAAGGCACAGAATAGATCTAATGAGATTAAGTTGAAATGAACCTTCAGAAGCGCCTTCAGGAATGATTTAATACACCATTAGTTGGGAAGAGGGGGTGTCACATGTTTGAAAAAATTGTGCCAAGTTCCCTTGTGGTGCACACATGTGTATACGAGAACATAGCTTTGCAAAACTCATGTTTTCTGGAAAGAGATTAGAACATTTAATATATGTTTTCTGGACAAGCAATTGCAGAGGTTTTAGTTATGTTCCAGAAGGCTTTTTCTCCACTCCCTAATCCAGAAGAATGAAACACATACACACATACCTGTTCTTAGAAGTTACAGCATTTATTTATTACTGTCCAGATTGGTTGTCAGGACATGCTATAAAATAGTATTTAACAGAGTACCTTGAGATTCTGGATAAAGACAAGGGTTGCTAAATGGAAATCAAGTGACAACTTGTTCATAATCATATTTTTTTCAATAGGTGGCAGAATATTGAATTCCTGTTGCCAATAGATTACTTTTTTCTAATTAAAAAAAAGAAGTCAGTACTATTGATACTGTTACAAATTCTTTAGTGTTTAACACACTGTTTTTGACGATTGTATCACATCAAGCACAACACAGCAAGACAAGGAATACTGCCCATTTGACCAAACAACAGAAACCTATTTCCTTCCCTAAAAACCCACTGAAAATGAGAGCAGTGGGAGGACTTAACGTGCTTGCCCTTGGCGATGTCAACACACAGACAATCTCATCCTCAGGATCTCAATTGCCTGGGATCACACAGGGGAGATAAAATTCTAAAGATGTCAAAATAGCAACAGCTCAGAGCTCCACATGGGCACATACACGTGAAAGCTCACTAACACACACAAGGGGTCTTGTACCCCTTAAAAGCTTACATTTCATTAAAAAACCAAGCCACACACAAATTTGCTACAAAACTAGAGTTCAACAGCTGCTCTTGTGTGTTTATGCATGTGCACACACTCACACACTATCAAGAACAGTCCAATAAGGAGAAATTCACACAAGCATTTTTATTTTCTGAACTCACCCTTTCAGACCACTTTTGGAAACGCAGCAAGCCACAATGACATGGCATGCTTTTTTAAACTGTTAATATGCTACAATCCCATTCAATTCAGATATATTTGCAAAGGATTCTAGACACTTGGTGGGCCAATAAGCTGTGACAGTGGCAAGGAACCTGCTACTTGATAAATGCCTGAACAGTCCGCAGTTATTGCAATCCAGCTCTGCAAGGATAACAAGAAGACTGACCTAGTCTGTGCAGCATGAGAGGCCTTGAAGAAGCATATGTAGCAGTTCTGGGTGTCAAGCTCAGTTGGCTGGAACCACTCAACTAGCAAGAATGGCATGGAGTGCTGACTTCATTCAAGGTACCGTACTTTTCCATGTATAAGACTAGGGTTTTTTAACTTTAAAATAAGGTTAAAAATCTGGGGGCATCTTATACACGGATAGTACATATGCCCATTTTCTGAATTTGGGGTCCCCAAAAGTAGGGGGTGTCTTATACATGGAAAAATACAGTATGTGGTGGACTCCCATGAACATGGCATATGCTTTGTGCTCACCTTGGGTAGTAGGGCCATCTATTTCAACATTACACAGCTGCCCAAAACTGCACTGGGCAAGCAGAAGGAACTGCTCGCCTTCAGTGGTGCTTTGACAATGGGCTGAGGCTGTGCCATGGTGGCACAGAGTGGGGCTCCTCACAACACTTCCACACAAGGGAGTCAGAACTTTGGGCAACAGCCAATTCCACTGCAGATATGATTAGTTACCTCTGCATTCAAATTTGGGGTTTCTTTTTTGGTGGGGTGAAGAATACGGTTGTAGGATCAGTCCACATAACCTGTAGCCACAAGCCCATCTTTTCTCCAATGGTTACTCAGGAGTTGGCCTGGCAGCTCATCTTGTCAACATCAACCACTTCATCCTGCCTTCTTTACACTAACAGTCAGAAGTTTCAATGGAATAAAGCTGTGGCCTATTTTATACCCAGCTCTATCTCCATCTCCTCTCTCTGTTGGGTTACAGGTGCAGACACAAATTCTGTTAAGATGTGTCTGCAGCAACTTCTAGTCAAAATATGGCAGGCAACAGTTCCTGGAAATCAGATCCCGAAGAAATATACAGGGGTGGGTGGAAGTAAATAGGAAGCCTTAAATGCAGCTCCTTTAAGCTGCAAAAAGAATAGAGAACTATATATCCAAGATTCTTAGCTTACCCTAGACAGGTGCAACAAGTCCCTTGGAGAGAGAAGCACACATTTTTCTCCCGTTTCACTTATCCCCAACCAGATCTTGCTGATATCTTTGCTGGGCTGGCAACAACCAATCAAGTAACTGGGACCAAGATCACTGCATCAGGGAGTGCTCAGTTCCTTAGTAGGGTTGGTTGACAGTGATACAACTTGCCAGTCAACATTTTTAGCTACAACCCAGGAAGGCTCAAACCATTCTCCTCAGCTTAGGGAAGGCTTATGGCAGTTGGACAAGCTCTTAAGTAAATAGAAGCCCCTGGTACTCCATCATAAACTAGTGTCTAAAAGAAAGGGGCCAACAGAGCTCAGAATAAGAGACAACATGTTTTGCATCAAGAGTTACTGGCAAAGAGCCCAGCAGGCAATAGCCTGCCAGATCCCTTCATGCAACTCAGTTCCATGTGGATCTCATGACACAGTGATTGACATATTGGTTGTCCAAACGCTAGCTAAGGTTGCAGCATGATAAACTGAGAATATTCCTGATCTTGCGAAAGTTTTGCTTAAATAAATAATGAATATAAGCCTGTTCCTGGCTTCTCTTTGAAACGTATTTGTGTGACCAAGAAACTGAATGAACTCATCCCTTAATGAATCCATCTGAGAGAAATACAAGGAAAAGCTGGGATGAAGCTGAAGGGTAAGAAACTTAACTGCTATGCCAGACCTTGGGCTTATAAGGCAAAAGTTTGTCTTCTACTTTTTCTCATAAGAGTATTTTGCTAATATATTCACCCTAATGAGAAAAACTTGAGAATGCCATTATGAGGCAGGCAAAACCTGCCCACCGAACCTCACTCTCTTGAGTAATGTAGCCTATACCAATATGAGGCTGATGAGGAAATGCAGTGTGTGTGTACACACACACACACACACACACACACACACAAAAACACAGCTGTTCCAAGAGACCATTCAAGGGTTCTTCCTTCTACCGGCATCTATCATAATGCCAGACAGATATTTTACTAATATTCCAGTAAAATGGGAAGGCAGAAAAGAGATGAAAACATTTTATTACCAAATGTAATATTGTCCATTGTTTTGTTTAGCAGCAGCAGGTACAGTACCAAGCACAAGCAAAGAACATTTGATAAAGGAGAGAGTGAAATGTGTGTTTAAAAAGGAGCCTCTTGATGTTTATTATTGCCCACATACATAGACACACTTCTAGCATGCTAATACCTGCTTCAGTATTCCAGACATTCTGCAGCCAACGATCTGATTTTTCTGCTGAATGTGAAGAAAACTGATTCTACAGGAGAATTTGCAGCAGTAAAACGTACAGTATAGAGGTTGTTGTTTTTTAAAAAAATGCTGTAAACTCTTAATAGGGAAGAGGAGGTAACATTTTTTCCTGCCTTCCTATTATGGCTCCTGCAAATACTCAACGTATGTAACTCCGACAAATAACAGACATACAGCTTATTATAATAACCAAGGAGAATTACATAAAGATCTCACTTCAAATGCTCCAACAGCATCCCACAGTACTCAAATTGCTGCAAGGACTGCTGAGTGCTTTCTTCACTAGATCATAGAGAGGGGAAATGTGGTAACTTACAAGATGTACAGTATCAATACTGCAGTTCAGTGGATGATTTATGGATAAAAGGTTTAAGACTCAATTCTCCACTCAAAAGGACCTCAGGTAACAAAAATAGAACAATGTCAGCCTGACATTCCTGAAAAATTGCTGCCTGTCAGAGTAGGTCATCCTATCCTAGGCAGACCACATGGTTTCATGTGATCGAACTGGACTGACAGGAAAGGTTTTAAAAGTTAGGGCTAGGAAAATCCCAGATGTCTTAAAATTTTGATGCCGAAAACCCTGGTGCCCAATTTCCCACACAGCCCTCCAGCCCTGTGCATAGTTAGCACTACCTGACATATAGGCACACATACCGTATCCCCCCCCACACACACACTATAAACCACACACCACAACCTAACAAGGTTATGCACTCACTTGTTTGTGTTTTTTGCTTTTTTGCAATCTCCTTCTCATTATTCTTTACACCATGTATACTGTAATTTACTTGGGAGTTAAAGCAGTGGCATTCAAACTTTCTAACGTGATTGAACCCATTCCACAATGACCTGTTGGCCCAGAAGTTCCATGTTTTAAAAACAGGGCCAGTCCAAATATGAGACAGAGTGAGACAACTGCCTTAGATGGTAGGTACTTGGAGGGGGGGCAGTAGTGAGAGCTCCACAGCTGCTCTTCCTGAGTACCCTAGCCTTATATGGAGAATGAAGTTACCAATGCCATGTGGTCTGACTCCTGCACCCCCAAAGCTAACCTGCTGCTCTGAGTTCCAGTGGATGAAATCATCCCACTGGCAGTATTGTCATTCATCTTCCATGCTTTGAATCTTCTTAACCTTAGGCAGCAAATGTCCTGGGCAGGCTGCAGTCAGTGCACTGACCAGGCCTACTGAGGCTTCATGAATTCAGGGTATACCTAGAATGTACTCACCATTTGCTTGTGGCTGCCAAAGCAGGGGAAAGTTGCAGTGGTGGTTTTGTTATTTGGGTGAAGACAAAAGGAATATGATTGAAACCAAGTGAAACATGCCTTTTAAATAGTTTGAAAATTACTATAAATGCTACAAGCCACTTGCTTGTAGCAGCACCTTGCTAAGCATTACAAGAAAAATTACAAAACTAGAGTAGCTGACAAGCTTAAATGTAAACTATCAAAAACAAAAAACTCTGCTTAACAAGCTCAAGTCAAATATTGAGCTCCAAACTTATTACTTCATAGAAGATGGCATCAAACAAGGAAATGTTTCCAAGAAATATGACAATTTCTTTCCTTCAATTTTCTTTAACATCAGAAAAAGCATAAAAACCATAGCTGTATGATTAACCTAGAAAGGAGTAATAAACAAATAAATGTTCGGGGGTGGGGAGGGAAATTATGCCATTTTCAACAGACTGCCAAACATAGTCCAAGTGTTTTGAGCAACAGCAAACACACACATTAAAAGATGGCAAAGTCCAAACTGCACTTTGTACTCTAACTTCCACATCCTACAACAGCACACGGAGTTATCTCTGAAGAGATTTAAACCTATCAGCTTCTCCAAACTTACACAGCTGGAAACTCTCATTTGATAACAAATCAAGAATTAGATATAAATCCAGGTTCTTATTTCATCACTTTTATTGTTTATGAACTGGAACCTTCCCTTTTTGGACGGGTGGATTGATAAACTGTTCCAGCATAATGGCTATGCAGTTGCCGTTGTGTATAACACAAACCTGGTATACATATAAAAGTTGCTCCATTTCCAAACCACCATTGGGAAATAAAGAACAACTCAGAAGCTTGAGTGCTCCATCTCCCTAGCTTACTGTATCCCCCCCCAAAAAAACCTGTGCTTTTGTTTCCAGAGGCTGCACATCTGCACTGCCATTCTCACAGACCATTGCTAGCTCAAGACTATACTTTGCAAACTGAATTCAATCTAGCCATAACAGCAAACTACAGTTTACAATTAACCAGGCTAAGCACACACACCAGTGCAGACACTGACTACTTTAAAGAACAAAAGGCAAAGTTGAACTCCTGGGAGAACATGAAGAGAGAAGTAGAATACAAGCTTGGAAGGTGCTTCCAATCTCTTAAACATTGCTGAAATAGAGCAAAGGCTGTGACGTGATGCAGACACTAAGTGCATCAGTTAAAAACCATGTCCTAAGAGTGTGTAGTATAAATTCTTTCCTTTCATTAAAGACACATTAATTTAAAGACATGTACCTCCTGAGGTAGTGTGATTAGCTTATTGAGGTAGCAAAATTAGTTTACCTTGGGGAGGGGGGGGGAGTGTTAAGATTTCTGAAGCCTAGAAACTGAAAGACACTTTTGATTAGAGAAATGATAGAAGAATGTCATTTGTTTATTGTGGAAAATGGTAATTATTAACCAAGCCACATGATGTAGGAAAATCTGTGTAACAGTGAGTCTTGAGCCAAAACGTCTATTTGGAAATAATTAACATTAACTAATATTTTTACTGTTATGTGAAGAGGAGGTGTGTGTGTGGAAAAGGGTTCCTTAAACCATCTCCTTGCTGAATATTCAGATGTTGTAACTCCCACCCTAAGAATGAGCCTATATACAAAATATTATTCCAGGAAGGAACCTGTTCTGCGACCCTGACACTACAGCAGCTACCACTTACTTTCCAAAGGCAGTTTTGAAAGTGTTAAATGCAAAGCTGTTGGAAAGCGACCAAGTTAAAGTTATGGCAGTGAAAACAGGCATTAAGAGTGCTTCAGTTTCATGACGGAGAGGATCAAGCCTCACTTCTCAAGCTCCAGCATTGCACTGACCCTATTCTTGCCATGAATGGCAAAAAGCAGTGTGCATTTAACCTCATCTAGCCTCAGGATTTGTGCATAGTTAAATTTTCTTTTTTAAAAAAGTGATCTAGAAAATTAAATCGCACATAAATAACCAAGGGATCTCAGGACAAGTTCCTGGGGAGAAAATAAATCCATTACACTTTACTGGACTTGTCTCATCCCTTGAGCCTTTAGGATATGGCAAGCAGTGTGTCTAACTTACAGTATTTTTCGCTCTATAGGACGCACTTTTTCCCCTTCAAAAATGAAGGGAAAATGTGTGTGCGTCCTATGGAGCGAAGACGCCATAGCCCCGCGACCCTCTCCCGGCTGGAGCCTCTATAGCCGCGCGTCACCTCCCCCGCCGGTAGAGGGTCGCGGGGGGCTGCTTTAGCCCCGCGCGCGCTCTCCCGGCGGGAGAGGTGACGTGCGGCTATGGCAGGAGCCTCTATAGCCGCGCATCACCTCTCCAGCCGGGAGAGCGCGCGCGGGGCTAAAGAAGCCATAGCCTCGCGACCCTCTCCCGGCTGGAGAGGTGACGCACGGCTATGGCAGGAGCCTCTCCGCTGCGCCTTTCCGCTGCTCCCTGACCTGCTCTTTGGGGCTGGTGGTGGGCTTCCCCGTCAGCCCCAAAGAGCAGGTCGAGGAACCTGAAGCCTGGAGAACGAGAGGGGTCAGTGCACACCGACCCCTCTCGCTCTCCAGGCTTCCAAGGTAGCCGCCTGAACGCACCTTAAACGGCACCTTGTTTTAGAGCGGGAAAACAAGAGGGGGAAAGTTCCCCCCCTCTCTGCACAGCACCTCCTGCCACTTCGCTGAAGGGGCGCTTGGCAGAGAGGGGGAGAATTTTTTTTTCTTGTTCTCCCCCCTCTAAAACAAAGTGCATCCTATTGTCCGGTGCGTCCTATGGTGCGAAAAATACGGTACCATATTCCTAGTCATCAAAAGCGAGTTTGCGGGGTGGGGGAGGAAATCGTGCCTCACGCTGCTCCCAAAAGACACACAGGCTCAAGCTTTGGGGGCTTCCCATAGGAAAATAATTCCAAAAGAGGCGGCCAAAAGGGGCACATGCCAGCCACTGCAGTCTTAAGTATGTTTACTCAGAAGCAGGGTTTGAAATTAGCGGGATGCAAGGTGTATTTTGTGCCTAAAGATTATCCATTTGTGAGCACCTCAAGGAGTCGGGTTCCATTTTTGCACCTGGCTGACATTCAAGGATTACTGAAATGTATGTGCTTTGGAGCCTCAAAGTATATATTAAGGATAGACTATATGTTAAGAAGTTTAACAATAAAGGGTTGAGTGCTTTGAAAACGGAAGTATGGTACCAATATTATTATTGTAAGCACCAAATGAAACATGTATTAATAATTTCTGCTAAAAATACGATATTAACAATGTGTCATTTATGTGAATTGTGTATTAGTTCATTCTTATTAATAAATAAAAAGTGTTGCTGACACCACCCCCCAAAAGGTGACTAGACATTCTGTTTTGATGCTCACAACCCAGGCGTCCCAGGAGCCATTTGGCTCCTAGCTTTTCTATCTCAGTTTCTAACACTGCTCAGAAGCAAGCCCCCATTGAAATAAAAAAAAGAGTTGTAAAGGGGCTTAGGGTTCCAGCCTAACATGCATTTTTGTCTAGCAAATTATACATGAGCAGAGTAAAATCTTAACAGAATATTTTGTCAGCCAAAGCCTCCATTTACATACACACATGTAACACTGTTCACATGTACCAGTACTTAGGGAAGAGGCTCGAGGAAAAACACACACACACACATACACCTTATTAAGCCAGCTTGCATTGGCAACAAGATTATCAAGCCCGAAGTCCATGTTTGCCATCTTGCACCCATTCACCGCCCCCTTCTGTGGAGATATGAACCACGGACAAGTTATTGCTGGCACAGCAAAGGCCTGGAAGGTGCTGTTGATTAAACCTTTCCAGCTTTTACGCATATCAAGTACCAAGATAAAAACCGCAAATGAAGAAACACACTGAGGGGTTGCGCAAAAGGCACTGAGGCAATTGCTTTGAAAAGGAACCATTCCGATGAACAGAACATGTCTCCACATGTATCCAAAAGGTTGCCAAAGAACACGATACCATGAACTTTTTGTTTTTTTCTAAACAGATTCAAGAGGCTGAGAAATAAGGCTTCGCACTCCCAGCTGAGCAGCCCCGATCTTTCTCCTGCTAGCAGGAAAAGGATTTGGGCTCCCTCAGGTAGGGAGCGGGAGGCTTTGCGCTCCCCGGCTGAGAGGGCCATGCCAGCAAAAGAACCTGTCAGGCTCCGTTTGCAGGGATCCCTCCGTCTTTACCAGCAAGGGGTTGGGGGAGCAAGTAACCTCTTTCTTCTAGGAAAAGGAGGCTGTTTCCTCGCCCCTCACCCCTTGACAGGGAAGGTGAAGGATCCCTGTGATTGCAGCTGTCAGTCTCCATTCTCAGGGATCCCTCCGTCTCCACTGGTGGTGGTGGGGAGACAAGCAAGCAACATCTTTCTCCCAAGAAAAGGAGGCCACTTGCCCACCCCTTCTACCTTGCCAGAGAAGGGAGCCGTGCAAACGGAGCCTGTCACACTTTGTCACAGGGCTCCCTCCGTCTGAGCAGCAGGCTGGGCCTGCTGCATTGGCCACAACCTGTGAGGCGCTGGGGTGAAAGCACCTCAGTTCCCACGCAGTGAGAGCTGAAGCAGTCTCACCCAGGGCTTCGCAGGCTGGGGCCAATGCAGCTCTTTGTATATCGCCAAACTGCCGTGTCTGGCTGGTGATATACTGCGATGCTCAAAACCTAATATCGCCCAGCCCTAATCTGTATATTGTGATATTTAGCTGATGATATAACACAACGCAGGTAACAAGATATCGCCCAATCCTAATAAACAGCATAGGCTTCCACTTCTCCCTGTCCTTCATCACTTGCTATTCCACCCATTGAAAGAATGCCTAAACCATGGGTAGGCAAACTAAGGCCCGGGGGCTGGATCCAGTCCAATCGCCTTCTAAATCTGGCCGACGGACAGTCCGGGAATCAGCGTGTTTTTACATGAGTAGAATGTGTCCTTTTATTTAAAATGCATCTCTGGGTTATTTGTGGGGCATAGGAATTCATTCATTATTATTTTTTCCAAAATATAATCAGCCCCCCCACAAGGTCTGAGGGACAGTGGACTGCCCCCTGATGAAAAAGTTTGTTGACCCCTGGCCTAAACCATTTCCAAAATCCAGGAATTCAACTACATTATACATGCACACACAATTCTATCTGCATGGTTTATCACTAGCACAGAATATGCACAGTCCTGTTTATCTGTTGGGGTGGGGGAGAGAGAAAGAGAGAGGCAGACACAACCACTATTGCTCCTATCAGGACAGACTGTTGCTTTCCTAGCAAGCTGCAAGCAATGGAGATGTCCTACTTTAAGCCCTGCAGGGGAGGAATTACAATAATCGAGCTTCTATTGTCACTGGGGACATGTGTCACTGTTGTGAGGCTGTCATAAGATAAAAATAATACCACAGCCAAGAGCTGGCTGCACAGCTGAAGGGGTAATTTTCATATTACATCTGGTAAATGGTATCAAGATTCTTCACCCAATACCCTGGCTTCAGAAACAAATCCCTTCAAGCCAATGCAGGAAGAAGGCTCTGTGGAGAGCAGGAAAAAAAGAGAAAAAAGAGCAGCAGTTATCCCAGGCTTGATGCCGATAGCCAATGCAGCCAGCTGGCAGAGTCATCCAAGCATTCCCTTCCAGGCAAAATAACAAGGTCCAGGGCCTGAAGAACAAGGAAGCATACAGCTAGATGGCAGAAAACATCACCAATTCTGTACTGTTTGGTTTAAGGAAGATCCAAGAAAACCAACAAAATGATGAGAAGCCTCTTGAAGGAGCCTGCATTCAGTTCCTTCAGCGACACTATGCAAGGCAGAACACTTCCAGATCCAAGTAGTATCCTTCAATCTGGTGATTTTTAAACTATGCTCCATCAAACCCTGTTTTTCAGTGGTTTATCGAAGAGAAAAATAAGTTGCAGTAGACAAGCTTCTGTGAAAGACAACCTGTCCACTAGTGCAATGTTCTGCTACGTGCAACCACAAACAAATGCCAGGTATATTTTTGGGTGCACTTTCAGTTCCCACAGAACAACAACAAGGCCCAAATGGACTGGCTACCTAGCACTACATGCAAACTGGCTATGTACCCTCAGGATCTTCTGCATAACACAAAGGTGTTCTGTGGCAGAAAAGCCAATGTGGAAATGGTTCCCTGGAGGTAGAAAGCTTGAAAACTGCTGCTTTAAATCAATTACTAAAAAGCTCCAGCCAATAGACTTGCACAAAGGGCCACTGCCAAAAACTCCTAATGCAGCCAAGGACCTGCAGCCGCAGAAACACCATTTCATGCTCCGAAGCAAAGCCAGAACCCAGTAAGTGTCCAAGAAGGTCTGAGAACGTATAATCATTCCTTTTCATAAGCTTGCCCAATATCACTGCACAACTTTCTAAGAATTTTCACTCAAGTCATTCTCCTCCTTCTCATGCTAAGATGCCCAATACTACATTATATTGCCCACAGTTGTTTTCAGCCAGAGAGACATAGCACAGAAGTTTCAGAATTCAGAAAAATTGCATTATCCACAGTCAAAGCTTTCCAGCTAATGAAGCACAAAACCTAGTCAATTAATTTTAGGAAGTTTCAGTATATTACACATAAAGGGAAATGTGATAATAAAAACGGGCCAGCGAAATAACAGAATTGGTAGCGAACATTTTTTTTTTAAAAAATGAACATGTAAATCAAAACATTCAGCAAGTTAACTAAGCCTTAATAAACAGCAAAGGCTCATACTACCAAGGTGGCACAAGAAAAAAGGATCAGCAGAAAAATTCTCTTATGGCTTATCAAGTGTGCAAAACATGTAACAAAGGCTAAACCACAGTATGCACTGTTGAACTATATCTGAAGCATAAGCTCAGTTAAATCCCATATAATTGCATGTTCAGCTATAAGAGGGGTCAGCTACATGAGCAACCCAGCCCAACTTTTCCCCTCTACAGTACCTACTGGGAACAACAAATCTGAGGCTACAGAACCTTGGACCTCACTCTTTACTCCACTCTTAAAAGTAGCCCTCCAAGAAAAACAAGCATATATAAGGGTCTGAAAGCAGCTTCTCTCTTTCAGATGTATCCCAGGTGCCTTCTTAGAAAATGGTGTTGCATAACTCCTTCTGAATGCATTAATATAGAAAACTATGAAAAAGCCCATTGAAGCTAACAGCCAACAGCAACTTTTCACTAGGCTGCAGGTCAGGTATTCCTGAACACAAAGTCAAAAGTCACAAGATTTAAGAGTTGTGGACAATGTGGGGAAACCAGTACAAATAAGTGCATTGTATCTCTGCAATGGAATGCACTGACAAGATGGAACATTTATGTAAAAAGAACAAAATATAAAAAGAAAGCATTTAGGCCAGGGATAGGCAAACTATGGCCCGGGGGCCGGATGCGGCCCCCCAGGCTTGTAAATACGGCCGGCAGGCCCTGCCGCCCACTCGGTCAGTCCCCACGTGCTATGGACACTTCACCATATGGGGACTGTCTTCCGTGATGCTGGCACAGCTTCTGGGTGGGCAGCAACACTGGCGGGGCTTCAGATTGGTTGCAGGAAGCCTTGCCACCTGCAGCTGAGGTAAAACCGGTGTGGCCATGGACAGAGAAGCCAGCAGGCAGGCAGCGGGTCTGGGCTGCACCATGGGCGTTCTGCGTGCGCGGCCTGCCCGCCAGCCTTGGACAATGGACCACAGTGCATGGTGCACACCGCCTGTGAGCTCTGCAGGGACAGGCCAATGGAACGGCTGCTGCTCGTCAACACCGGTGAGCGGGCGCCACCGAGACGCACTCCTGAGTGTGTGCAGAGTGTGTTCCTCCTCCATGTTCAGAGGCAGCTGCAGGACCAGCTTGCAGGGTATCTATATTTTTCAAAATATAGTCCAACCCCCACAAGGTCTGAGGGACAGTGGGCCGGCCCCCTGCTGAAAAAGTTTGCTGACCCCTGATTTAGACTACTGCTGCAAGATATTGCAAGCAAGACTACGGTCAATATTCTCTGGCAATAATGTCCTATTTCAACTTAAAATGTACCACACTTTCGAAGGTACATTTGCAAGGCTACATTCACCCCTGCAGTCAATCAAACTTGAAAGCTATTGCTCCATTTTTATTAAAAGCTCCCATAACTCGTGGATACACACAACAATGGTTCCACTGTGATTCTAGGAATAGGACAATTTACAAGCTTTGTTTCAAAAGGCTGAAATAGATTTCTGGCTCAATGAGATGTTATGACCAGTATCCAAAGGACTGTGCACTACCTACCACGCATGCATGCATGCATACATGCATGCGGGGATGGTTTTTCAGTTTTTACCACATTCCCCTTTTTGAAGGGCCAATTCCAGCAGGAAGCTGGACCCTCTGCAACAGCATTCCATGAGGGCTAAGCTGCTGCTCCCAGGAAGGAAATTACCGTAGATTCCTCAGCCAGGTATGCAAGCTCATGTCTGTGTCACTCATTCCAAATCAGTGAAGGGTTATGGGTTGGTGGTAGAGGACAGGCTTCATATGCAAAAGGTCCCAAACCAAAATCCCTAGCATGAATAGTTACATGGACAAAACAGGCTGAGACAGTCACACTTTCTTACAACTGAATGCTAAAAGCTTAGATTACTATCAGTATTTGCATTCCTATACAACCTTGCAAACAGCCTCTTGTGTGCGTACATCTATCACATAAATATATTAAATCAGATTTGTTTGTTTTGCTGCCTTTCCATCCTTTCAGATGGTGTTCTGAGTAAAATGAAAATTTGAATATCCCCAAAATACAAAAAGTGTCCCGGTAAGAAAGACATCTCCCTTTCCCATCTTGAATGCCTTAATGCACCAAGCTTAAACAGATACTCCTGCAAATCTACTGGCCTTTGCTCGGAAGCAGCCCAGGACAAAAATAGGTTTATGGTCTAAGTTACAGCTCAGCTTTACAGAAGACAGTCTGTGCAAGTTATGACTGAGGTAACTCACAGGGCAAAATAAGGAAGCTATAGATGTACTACCAGAATGCCCAAGTATCTCATCTGCAAGTGACCCCTTTTTTGCAAAAGCCTCTCCATTCTAGGACTACTGGCTTTAACCACGTCCTGCTCCCACTAACTCAAGTACTTAAAACACATCTGCGATTTTAACAATAAAATCCTTCTCTAGTATATAATATGCCACTGTTGGGTTAAGTTTTCCTATAGAAGAGTGGTATGTATGGAGATTCAATAAGATTATGCTAATAAAACGAGTGCAATTGTTTCAAGTCGACTGGCACCATGGCAACGATAACTGCTTCCCCTCTTTATAATGTACACAGAAAACTATATGTAGTGTAAATGCTAGCAAACAGAGGTACAAATGAGGAATCTCCCTCTTCAGATCTCCTCTTTGCCTTAGGCAAGCCACTTTAGAGTTAATCATACAGCTGATACACATAGAATTGTAGAGTTGGAAATGACCACGAGGGTCATCTACTCCAACCCCCTGCAATGCAGGAATCTTTTGCCCAACATGAGGCTCAAACCCACAACCCTGAGATTAAGAGTCTCATGCTCTACCAACTGAGTTATCTCAAATGAACCATCTGTTTGCACCCAGGAGGTGCCAGGACCAATCCCTGGTACCTCAATTTAAAAAGGAGCAGGGAACAAGGGATGGTAAAGACCTTCTGCATGAGAAGCTGGAGAGCTGCTGCTAGCCAGAGTAGGTGACACTAGGTAAAAAGAACATGAACTGGTATACAGCAGCTTCTTGCATTCTGACACACACACTCAGACTCAGCCACATGAAGAGATTAACTACATTGCAGGGCTGCTGCAAAGATGACTGAAATGCTGTACACGAAGTGCTTTAAGCAAGTGTTAATTACCATAATCACCTGAAATAAATAAGATATTTGTGAAAGTGGATATAGGCTAGAGCTAGAGGTCTGCATTCTTTTTAGAACAGAGAGGACTGTAACTCTTTACTGCCAACATGATCCAGCCAAAGTTGAGGCTTCTCAAGTGCATCTTGAATGAACCCACTGAATCAATGGGGCTTTAAAATATTTGTCATGGTTGCTAGTTCTCTATAGAACACTCCATAAACAAGCAAAATATTTTAGACCAGGTGCAATTTAGAACCAGAAGCAATTACCCCTTTCATAGCATATTTTCTATATGTCTTGTAATAGAACAGTACAGTACATGATTACGTTGTTCTATCATTATTTATATCACATGTTTAGTATTTTTCCAATTTTGTATGTTTAATATCAAATATTAAAAATCAGCCTCAGTGCAGCCACCAAGCACTACAGTCTTAAGAGGCATTCCTTAATAAAAACACTCTCCATTCCCCAATACACAAACAGGCAAATTACGAGCATAAGGAAGGAAATGGGCACTTTTTTCTGGGCACCAAGTTCCACAATGGGTGCCATAACCACAAAAACGCTCCAATCTACATCTTCAGTGTCCCAGAGGTACTGTAGTTTCATCTGGGTTATGCTTTAGAGCTCAAAAGCAAGCTTAGGATAAAAATACATAATAAAAAAGAAATTGCCAACACGGCTTTATAATTTGGCACTTGCCTGGTTACCTGCAACAGGTAAGACAATGGCTCCCAGATGACCCAAAAGTCCCACTGCTGCCATAGAGATCACTGGCATTTGAAGACAACACCACCCATTAAGCATTGTTAGTGACACAGTTTCATATAGATCAGCTGCAGTCATAAAGCTCTCCTTCCTCCCCATCTAGCATGGAGGAAATCACGCAGCACTATATTGAGGCCGCTCCTGCAGCTTCACCCTCGATGCCAGTCGTGAGTTGGGACAAGAATGCCAGAAATATGGGAGAGCAAACTGTCAGAAGCATCACCATGAAGCTAGGAGGAAAAGGAGTAATATGGGCAACTACCTACTGAACAGTTATTGCCAAGACTACAACAGTACCATGTCTATATTTAGTGACTATCTCTGCCTGCAGACAGTTTAAACATGACCTGCCATGCGATCTCACATATTTCAAGCGTTCAAAATGGCCTCATGTGTACTCTCACAGTTATCTTTACAACAGCCCTTTCAGGAAGGACACTGCTATTATTCCCATGATCTGATTTAAGAAAAACAATTGTATTTTTATACTACTCAGATGTTCACAGACTTGAGAAAGAAGCTTGTCTGAGGCCACCTAGTGAGTTCATGGCTGAGTCATGATCGGGGACTTCTGATTCACAGCTCAAATGTCCTAGAAACCACACTACACAGAATTTAAACAGGAAGTAGTAGTGTGACAGAAAGGCTGCTTAATGTACCTGAATGACTATTAAGCATTTAGGAATTTTCAATATAGCACAGAGAGTGTGCTAGGTGTACATAAGAGTAAGAGATTATAGTGTTTAAATAGGACATTTAAAGATTTAAGTGCATCTTCAGGCTCATAAAACCAGATTGCTGCCAAGGCAGAGCGGAGAGAGAAAACAGTCCAAACTAGGAATAGTTTTATATAGATAATCCTACTGCAATCAACATGTACTCAAATTTCAAGTGTCAATTCATACTAAAAAAGCATCAGGCTGCTTTATACAGCTAAGTCACAATAGCAGGTCATAACTGGTGAGAAGACAATGTGGGTCAGAGTCAATAACAGCATGTAGCAGGTAATTCAGATTTGCCAGCTTCCTCCCCCACTTTAAACCTTTCCTCAAGATCTACTTCTACAAAGCTACCTCAGTCTCAACTTTCAAAAAAAAACCCAACCCACAAAACTGCTGTCATTTTACATACAACACCCCCCCAGCTTGGAGCAGCATCTCTCGCCATGCTCTGCATGAACACTCAAAACAGCTGACAAATAAGCACCACACAGCAGCCAAAGCGCAAGAATAAGGCTGCACACACACCATATCTTTAAAGCACATTTGAAACACATTTTTTCACTTGTGAATGGTTGCTGGGAATTTTAACTCTGTGAGGGCAGTGCCCATAATTCTTTAAGGGGGGGGGGGGGAAGTTGCTTTAAATGTATAGTGTGTACACAGCCTAAGTGACACCTGTGGGGTCTATCAAATGCTGCCGATTCTGAAACCACCAGTTTAATTATACACAACTGCCTTATAACATGCTGCCTTATATCAGGTCAGGCCCATCTAGCCCACTACAGTGTATTTTGACTGGAAGTGGTTCTCCAGAATCTCTAGAAGTCCTCGACTACAACTTGATATTTTAACTGGAGATGCCAAGGATTCAACCTGGGACCTTCTACATGCAAAGCATGTGTTCTGCCGCTGAACTATAGCCCCTCCCCATCACCTATACTTCAAGATGGTGGTTTAAAACAGCCAATGCGGCCTCCACATCCAAGCCTCCTTTTCCTAACAAAAGCCAGCTGTACCTCTGGCTTTAGCAACATACCTAACAAAAAATATACCCTACAGAACAAAATTACCTAGACACAGCATGACTTACAGAAGCACATGACTCCACACCTGCCTCACTATCACAGATGTTTACATTCAACACAAATACTTGTGTTCTATACATTCAAACTTATATTCCACCCACTTTTCCAAATGTGTTAACATATCTTGAGAGAGAGAGAAACAAAGCAATCCCACAAGATGTCCTCCAAGATTTCTCCCACACAATCAGAAGACCAGTTTGCACTTCTGTGTATTTGCTATTTATTTGGCACCACAAGGGCACATGACATTTTATGGAATAACATTAGCTGGAGAAGTCCCTGACCAAAGGAGGTTCCAATATAATAATTATTTCTTAACAAGCAGAGTAAAAAAAGGTGAATTATTCCAATAATGTGTACTTCATCTCTCAATTCTCAATAAATCCAAGCTTATTAGAGCAGCAAACTAGCAAAATAAAATTGTATATCTGAAGAATGATACCACCACATAAAGTGTCCAAGACTTCTCTGCCATACCTGTTAGGTCATGATGAATTAGGTCAGTAAAATTGGGGTCATCGCCCCACCAGAATATCCACAATTCTCTGCGCCCAGGCCTCTGGTCTCGCCGCCACACACTCAAGACGTCAGCTTTGAGACAACGACTGTAGCTGCTTAGGATAGGGTCTTCTTCGGTCACTGGGAACAGGATTGGTGCAGATGTTGGACCCTGCCATACGTAGCGTTTCCATTTAATTCCTGTTAAATCGGCCTGAAAGAAAATTGTAACAGTAATTAGACTAGAGGGGACTGGAAGGTTTCATTGTAAAATTGCAGCAGTTACCGAAGACAGATATTTCTATTCACTTCCCAGCAGGTCTTTCTCCCATTTCACTAAGCACATATGCATTTTGGACTTAAAAAAATGCATTTTCCCTACCACCTCCTTATGACAACTTTCGGTCAATAAGCCAGTGGCAATGACTTCAATCCCTTCAAATCAGTGGGAGTTTTGTTATTCAAACAGAGCATCCTAGGATGTTAGAATATCATAAAATCAAGTGCTTGTTTTGAACTATACCATCACTTTTGCAAATCCTGCTGAATCTCCAAATATAGAGAACTCGCATTTCCTGAGAGAGAATCTACATCTGTTACAAATGCAAATAAACACCTCACTAATAACCCTCTCCTTAGCCACTTAGCACTAGAAGCACTGCAACAAAACAACCTAATCATTTTGAAAGGCAGAGGCTTTACTGAAAATACTGACTATCCCCATGGGTAGACAAATGGGGAGGGGGGGGGAACCAACAAAGAAAAAAACCATTCCAAACTTTTAATGGATTCCAGTACAATTCAAGGAAACTTTCAACAGTTCTTTCTCCACTCCTTTTCCCAGAAGGAGGTTTTTTTTAATGACCAGTGTTTCAACAGCAGCTGAAGGGGGGGGGCTAAGAGAAATGGTAGGCACTGACACAGGGTTCACTTTCCAGCTGTTGATAAAGAGGGTGCTCTTTCCACTCAACACAAAATTCACTTGCTTCCCCAGTATATAGATACAATAAAGGTTCTCCTGGCCTATTTAATTCCAACAAGGAAGGTTCCAGCACCTCTGTCAAGTGACAGAATTTGCAACAGTTGGTGATCTTGGAAAGAGAAATGGAGAAGAGGGAAGACATGCTTTAAAGAGACACTGGCACTCATGAGCAGCAGGCCAGCTCAGCCAGTAACCTGTGATCCTGCAGAGATAGACTGCTTGGATTCCTTACACCCAACTACGCATCAGCACAATAGCTTTGGCATAGATTTTTTTTTTTAACTTTCAGGATTAAATAACACCAGCTGGTCGAGTCTGCTGCCAATTTGCATTGAAATAAATCCAGAGTGAGAAAGTGGTCAGCAAAACCCACGCTGGGATCTTAACTGAATGAAGGTTTAACTGAATTCCACGGCAGCAATTAAATAAGGCAAGGTTACAAAACAGTGGAGGGATCCGTTTACACACACACACACACTTTAAAAAATAAACAAATAATGTGTAACCTGCGAATAGCAATACAGTGGAGCCTCCTCCACCCGGACTTTTGTTGCCAGTTTTAGTAGGGTGACACTTTTAGAGAACTGGGGGGAGAGTGAGGGGAGGGTTTCACCAAAGTTAGCTTGGGAAGCAGAAAAAGGAGGGTGGGAGAGAGAAGAGATAAGCTAAAACTAGGCTGAAATTGAACTGCAATAAAATAGGCGTAAGTAATCATGTCACCTACAACAACAGATTAGAGAGAAATCGAAAGTTAGTGGAGAATCGGAGGAAGAAAAACAAAAGAGGGTGAAGAATGATTTGGAGAAAAAGCAAGCAGGAGCAGGGGAGCCGTAGGCATAAAGTCTTTGGAGGAAGGGAGGGAGACAGAGAGGGGAATATATATACAGGAGAGCTAGTTGATTCCTGGCAAGGCCTGCTCCAGAAGACTCCTCTAGCAGATGCAATGCTAAAAATGGCTGCTTTGCTTCCATTCCTCTCTCTTCTTCCCTCCCCCCCCCCCACTTTCCTTTCCTCTTCCCTCCCCTCTCCTGGCGATCTCGTCTCCCTCCCCCCTCCAACCTTTCCTTGCATGATTATCTCCGGCGATCTGCACACCTCCCCTCCTAAAAAAAAAAGTAGCCACTTACCAAACAGAATAGGTTGGAATGGCAATCCTCAAGGCTGGCCCCGTTCGGCACGAAGCAGGAACTCATCCTCACAGCCACAACCCACACGCCATTATCCCACAGCCTCCGACAAGAAAGAAAAGAGACAGACAGAGCGAGCGAGCGAGAGACACACACACGCCGACCGAGAGGGGAGGGAGAAACACAACCGAGGGAAAACGGCCCTTTCCCTCCCCCCTTTAAAAAAAAGAATCACACACACATTGCGGGGAGAGGAGATATCAAGGGGAGGGAGAGCGCACAAGTAAGGCAAAGGAATAAATAACCCGGGGAGGTTAAAAGGAAGGAAGAGGCAATTTAAAAAAAAAAAGTGCAAAAGAAAAATCTTCGTGGAGAGGGATCAGTTTTCACAGCCTCCTGGGCAAAAGGCGGCGGCGGGGGAGAAAGATTGGGGGTACTTGATCCAAAGGGATTGCAAAAATAGAAAGATTTACGATCTTCAATCTGCAAACGCGGGTGGGGCGGGGGCAGAAGGAAGATACACAAATAATCCAGTGGCTGTAGGGTGTGTGGGAAATAATCCAGGAATTTCTCTTGCGCCTTGTCCCCCCCGCCTCGTCACACCGGATTTATAGAGTGAAGAAAAGACCGGGGGGGGGGGCGGAGATAGAGAAGAGACGGTGCGAAGTCCTTTCCTCGTTTCTTCTCAAGAGTTGGAGATGCAAAAAGGTCGTTTTTGCTTCTATTTCCACTCCAGAAATAAGAATAAAAAATCAAGCCATTGGAAGGGGAGGAGGAAGGGAAACTTTCTGGTCTCCAGGAGGTGGTGGTTTGTCCCAAGAAGGTGGTGTTATCCTTGACTGGCCAACCTCCCCTTCCCCAAATACAAATTTTCCCTTCTTCCTGCTGGAGGTGGGGGGAAAGGGAGGGGGGAAAGAGTTTAAGCGGAGTCTTCCAAGTTCCCTCAAGAGCTCCAAGGATCCTCCTCTAAAATCCTCGGCATCGAAGTGGAGGGAAACCCAGACGCGTATTTTCTTCCAGATGTGATTTCCAGTTGCTAAATTTGATTTTTTTTGGAAGAGGCCAGGAGTGATGTTGATAATGGAGGGTGGATATGTATAGATCTTCTTCCCTGTTTTTTTTTTCTTCCCCAAACAGATGGGTGAAAAACAAGCACACTTTAGGAGGTGAGGAGATGAACTTCAAGATGAACTCATCCACACACACACCCCAAAAAGCCCTCTCCCAAACAACCTTTTCTTTCTTACGCACAGAGAGGTTCCAAGCAGGAACCACTTAGAGCTGAGTGAGCAAAAAAACCCTTTTCCAAACTGCCTGCCTCCAAAAAGAAAAAATCTTCATCCAAGCACTCAAGTGCACTGAAGTGTCCTTTTTGCTGCTGATGGGTAAAAAGAGAGGGAAAGGAATGGATGACCTCCTTGTGCCCCCCTCCAAAAAGCCCTTTAAAAAAACAAAATTAATTCCTCAGGTCAATCCTTCGTATTTGCGGATGGCGGTTGGTTTGTTGGTTTTTAAGGGAGTAAAGTAGCAAACCTTTTCCCCACCTTCAAACAGGTATAAGGAACCTCTTTTTCAGCCACTGAAAGGGGAAAGGGCAGAGAAAAACCAGGGCTATTCCTCCAAAAGTAATTATGATTTTTTTTTAATAAACAATTGAATTATCTGTGAAGGGTTGAGGGTATTAAGAACTGAAAAGTCCCCTTTCCAAAAAAATGAAGGGAGAATTATTCCTCAGGTTAATCTTCTAGGCCACAAATATTTGCAGAGAGGATAGGTTTTTTTTCTTTATGGTAAGCAGCAACTGAAAAGGCTTTTTCTCCCTTCTTTCCTTTGGGCAAGAAGAAAGAGTGTCCCCTTTTCCTTCTTCAGACACTGGAGAAACGAGATGATGAAGTTGACGGAAGAGCTTTTCCTTTTTAAAAAAAAGGTAGTAAAAAGTGTCTATGGGATGAGACGTGAACTGAAATATGTTTTCCCTCCCTCATAAAGAAACGAGTCTCTTCTTCTTCCACGTCTTCGAAGAAACTGGAGAGAGGAGAAGAAATGACTTTCCTCTCAGAATATATATATATATATATATATAGAACGAAGTGTCTGGAGGGAGGCGAAACTTTCTTTTTTTTAAAAAAAACCCAAAACCCTTTTAAATATAAATATATAGCGTCGCCACGTTAGGTGGAGAGAAACCAAAACTCTCTTCCTTCCCTTCCTTTTTTTTTCTTCTCCCCCCCTTCCAATTTTCGCCGTGAGGGAATTTCCGCTTCTTTTCTTCTTGGGGCCCCCACCTCCCCTCAGGAGACGGTGACAGGTGAAGGCGGCCGAAGAAGGGCTGGAGGCGGCGGCGGGGTCGGGCCGCTGCTTCACGGGGTCGGCGCGCCACGAGCAGCCCCCTCGGCGATGCCGGCCTCTCTCCTCCTCCTCCTCGCCCTGGTCTCCCTTCCCTCAGCGGTGTCTCTGTCGGCGGCTGCCCAGCCGCGGCATCCTGAGGGCTGGAGTCCCCGCGCCGCCGCCTTCCTCCTCCTCTTCCTCCTCCGTCTCCGCTCGCCTCCTCAGCTGCTCTCGGAGCCCATGACGCCGCCGCCGCTGCCGCCGCCGCTCCAGAAACCGAGGCGCGCCGCCGCTTCTCCTTCCCCTCGGCGCCTTTGGGTTCTATTCTCCCTCCCTCCCTCTTCCCTCGCTTCTCTAATGGCGGCCGCAGCAGACGAGCAGCGTCGGGAGGGTAGGAACCTGCCCCTCTCGCTCTCCTCCTCCTCCTCCTCTGGCTCCCGCCGCCATTGGCCGCCCACTTTTCCTTTTTCTTTTTTCAACCCCAGTCCGCCGCCGCTGATTGGCCGCCAGCGCGTCACGTGGAGGGGCTCCCCGGCTGCGGCCCAGCAGCCACTGGCTCCTGGGCGAGAAACCTCGGGCGGTGGAAGGAGCCGGAGGAAGAGGAGGAAGGGGATTGGTCGGAAGCGGAGTGAGAGAAAAAGGAGAGACGAGGCGGCGTCCGGCCGCTAGAGGCGCCAGGGAGCAAACGGAGGCGGGGTAGGGAAGACGCGGCGGGGGGAGAAGCGGAGGGGAACCGAAAAGTTTCAGGCGGAGGGTGGCTGTTGAGCAGGCGCCACCTAGTGATGCGGTGGAGACACTGCAAGGGGAGGCTCGAGCAAAGCGGCTGGGAATATTGGCGTTTCGGGGATTTGGGTTTTTTTGGCTTTTCAAATCGCACAGCAAAACAGTTACAGATCTCCCACGCGTAATTGTCGCAGCATATGACTGCAAAGAAGCGGTAAGCATTAAGATCAGAGAAGCAAATTAAGTCAGGCAACTGTCCGCTCCCGCCCCTCCCAAACCCAGTGTGGGAAGGTGGAGGTCGTGAAATGTCAAAGAGAAGTCTTTAGGAAAAGTTGGAAATGGAAACCATATCGTGTAAAAACTGATCGGATGCCGTTTGGCCCCCTCTGTTGCTGTTATTACTACTGCACGTCCCCTGCACTGTCCATTATTATTATTATCAACATTATTGTCATAATGGTATAATCATCATTATTACAGACAGGAATTGAGCGAGCCTGCTCTTATTAGCAGCAGCAATAGTATTACTACTTTTACATTTTCCCTGCTCCTCCCATCATTGTCGTCGTCAGCATGATAAACACTTTCTTATATTATTGTCATCCACACCAACATCATATAACTAAATTTGCTTATGTGTTAACAGTAAACACTGAGCAATCCAGACTTCACCAATTATGCATTTTATCTAAATAAGCACAAGTACCGGTAACCATTTTTTTATAATTCTATCATTTATATCCCACCTTTCGGGGCATAGCCCACCACAGGTGACTCGTTTTCTGTGACTGACAATCTTGTTGTTTATTTTATTTTTATCCTGTACTTCCAAGCTGGTCCAGGGGCAACAAAACAGCAGTTGTGAGGGACACAGTTGCAGCTAAACAGGAAGAGGGGGGCAACAGGACCCAACATGGTTGATATTGAGGGAGGTTATATTTTAGGCATTTGGGCCCCTAGCCATTTAGGGCTTTGCCTGCTAGTATTTAACACCTTGAATTGTGACCCATTCCCAACTGCTCAGGTGAGTGCATCAGATTTATGTTGATGTCCCCCCACTGACATCAACTTATGTTGTGAACCTGAGATGTGCAGATGAAGGGTGGTATACAAATTTAGTAATAAATAATAATAATCAATATGAAGTGGGAAACAGCTTTCAATAAAAATAATCATGTTTAATAAGCTCTCATTTGATCATCATTCCTGCTAACCTGCTCTGATGGAAAATCTTCACTGGATTTTATTGTTGCTATTATTATTTGGTGATGGTGGTGGTATTTTAATATTTCAAACAGGACCTGCAACAAATGTGTGGAATATTCCCGTTTGAGGTTTCAGCCAGCCAGCCATGCATGCCCTTTCTCATGTTTCCGTTCCATTCCATTCTATCCCCTCACCTCCAACAGAAGTGTAGCATTAAATGTAGCAAGCATGCAGCTAGTTGCCTCTTGTTTCTCAGTTTTAGCAACAATGCTGGTGACACTCCATCACCCAAGTTTGCTATTAGAAGGAATCATTAGTGGTAATATTTTAAAAGAAACAGTGTCCAGTGGAGCTTAGGAAAGGAAACAGTTGCTCCGACTGTTTGGGTTTCTGTATCATTAACTTGTCTAAAATAAATTTCAGCACGGTGGTGGTGGTGAGGTCTTAAAAGTTGCACCTACCAACCTTTCCTCATCTACTGAACTATGGAAGGCACAGGAGCCCTAATAAAAAAAGCTGGCTGTTAGGGTTTTTATTTAGATCATGTCTGCTGGATATTTTGCTCATTGCTGTTCCCTGCCACCCCCGCGAGCCCATTAAATAAAGTTAATTATGGATATTTTTAATAATCATTTCACTCTATTCCATAAGGGGCAGCCCTGTTAAATCTGTTGTAGCAAACACAGCAAAGAATCGTGTGGCACGATCAAAAGCATATTTCGGCTGCGATCCTATCCATGTTTGCCTGAGAGTAAGTTTCATAGCTCTCTAAAGGTCTTACATCTGAGCAGACGGGCATACAATTGTCAATGACTTCTGTGGATCAGGGCCCATTTAGTTCCACTTAAATCCCATTTAGACAGCCAGTGTGGTGCAGTGGTTAGAAAGTTAGACTAGGACTTCTTTTCATAATCTTTACTCAACCCTGTGAGTATGTCATAATGTCAACATAAAGAGGGCATAAGGAGGTTGTAACCAATGCTATTCCTACTCGGAGGAGACCCATTTGAATGAATGGGCATGAGAAAGTTAGGCCCACTAATTCCAATGGCTCTTACTTACAGCATAACTTGGTGTAAGCAAACTTCCACTTGTCCCCCAGCTTCCCCCTGATCCTTACCGCTGAATCGGAACAGATGTCAATTGGGTTTTCTCTGCTCCGACTCAGCACTAAACAGTGGGTTTTCCTGGGTAAAACAGAAAATGCTCAGACCAGTCTGAAGCTAGGGACAAGCAGAAGTGTGGACGAGCCCTTAGTTGAATACAACCCAAAATATTTACTTATTTAGATATTTGGGACCCTGATCTTCGAGGGAAGATTTCCAGAACAGCTTACAACACACGACTTTGAAAAGGTGAGAGCAAGACAGACTGGCGAAATTCCAAGTGGTTTCAAGGTGGCTCCTGGATAACAGCTTCCTGAGGACTGGGATATGATTAGAACTCAGAGCACAGGCCCATTATGTTGATTTGTATACATTTTTCACGTGCAACCACACACACCCCACCCTGTGTTTCAGATCACATATGATTTGGGAACTATAGCTCCCTGGTAGAGCACCTGCTTTGCATGCAGGTCCAGTCCCTGGCATCTCCAGGTATGGCTTGGAAATGCTCCCTGCCTGAAATTCTGGAGAGCTGCTGCTAATCAATGCAGCCAATACTGAGCTAAATTGACCACCAAAGGTCTGGCTTGGTGCAAGGCAGCTTCCTATGTTCCTGAGGCCACTATCTCACTCTGTCTAACGGTAGAGCCTGCCCTGATATATACACACAAGTAAAAAAAAATAATCCATGTGTGTCCTAATTAGAAATGAATTTAGAGCATGGTGTTTTTGTTTTATTTTATTTTTAACCTGAGAGATGGATTCCTTAATTGCTTGTCTATGTATGGCAGCTGGGGATGGAGACAGGGTGTTGTGGAAGGGGGAGGGGGTTTGGAACACAAGCTCCTTTCCAAGAAACTTGAAGCAGATGGTTTTCTCCATGGTGACCGAAATGAGGACACACAGCTAGCAGGGGATATTCTGCAGCAGCCAGTCCTCCAGAGCGACGGCTTTGAGGACTCTGATGCGCAAGCGCGGGCGGCCGCACACGCACTCACACAAGGCATCCCAAAGTTTCCATTGTGGCACTTTGGTCGTTAAGAGTAATTATCTCCCTGCACTGAGATAAAGACTTGTTTGCAGTGTTATTAAGTCCCACGTCCCAGAGGAGAAATTCAACACTTTTGCAAAGAGATCGCCGAAAGCAGCCGACTTCAGCGAGAATGCCGGTGGGATGATTTTTCTATTACCAAAAAATAAAATAAAAAAGTCACAGAGCATAGAACTTGGAAAGATGGTGGAGCTGAAACAAACCCGCAGGCCCCAAAATCTGGATGGGTGAATTTTCATCGCAAGAGTTCTTTCATGCCAACGATTTTGGTTGCATTCAGGCTGGCAATGACATCATGATACTACAGGCAAAAAAGCAGTGGTATCCTTTGCCTGCTGATGCAACAAAATAAACCGGAGTATAATCCACAAACAGACACGTGTTTCTTTTATTCCTCACATGCACCTATATTTCTGAGCAATTAACATGTCGTGACTACAGTCAGAAAGGGCCCTGGGCATGTCTGCTTGAGGCACAAATCCTTCTTCTATAAAGGGGGGGGGAAGTACTTGTCTGATAAACAACGTGACTGATGCCCATTGGGACTGGTAGGGCAAAAGGCAGGGAGACCAAGAGCAGATGGAGCCAGAGGTCAAAGCAGGCAGATCCATACCCCCCACCACCACCATTAGCTGCAAGCAGAAAGACAGAGCGATGTGGGGCTGGCTGAGGCAGACTGAGGATGATGGGGCAATGCCCCACTTACCCTAATGGCTAGTCACAACTGCCTATGACCATTATAACTATTAAGATACATATAGATATAGATAGAGATAGAGATAGATCTAGATCTAGATGAGATATAGATATAGATATAGATATAGATATAGATATAGATATAGATATAGATATAGATGAAGACAGGAAAGCCTGATGTGCTCTGGTCCATGGGGTCACGAAGTGTCGGACGGACATAACTAAACAACAACAAATAGATGTAGATGTAGATGTAGATACACACACCCCTATTACAAAATTTCCACGCCAAGCAAACCCCTTTTTAATTCTCACAGGTCTTTCAAATCTGATCCTTTTGAACCTGAAATGTTTTGTGCCCAGCATGGGGAACCTGTGGCCCCCTGAACTACAGCTCCCATCAGCCCCAGCCAGCATTGCCCACAGTCAAAGTTGATGGGAGTTGGAGTCCAGCAACTTCTGAAGGGATGCAGGTTCCCCATCCCTGTTTCTGAGCCGTGATTACAGTGGTACCTTGGGTTACAGATGCTTCAGGTTACAGACACTTCAGGTTACAGACTCCGCTAACCCAGAAATAGTACCTTGGGTTAAGAACTTTGCTTCAGGATGAGAACAGAAATCGTGTGGCGGCTGCAGCGGGAGGCCCCATTAACTAAAGTGGTACCTCAGGTTAAGAACAGTTTCAGGTTAAGAACGGACCTCCAGAACGAATTAAATTCTTAACCCGAGGTACCACTGTATATGCCTTGGATAGGGTTTATTCTGTTTTATATTTATGGCTTCAACGCTATTTAGAATTATTTTGTTGTTGTTTTATTTATTCTATGCTTTACGTCACCAGAGGATGTTAGTTCTTGACTAACTAATAAACACAGCAAATAAATACATGCATAAATCTATCAACTGTTCTTGCAATGCACAGCTCTATTGCAATTTAATATTTAATGCAGGAATGGTGAACCTGTGACCCTGTGGATATTTTTGTCTAACTATAGCTCTCATCTGCCCCAGTTTGCTTGGCCAGCGGTCAAAGATTATGGGAGTTATAGTTGTGACAGCATATGAAAGGCCACAGATTAGCCACTCGTTTTAACATATCCATGAGCATATCGTCTTATTTTCTTATGATCGGTGACAACAGCAAGTCCCTCTGAAGTTGTTACCTGACATCATAATGATGTCCGATCGCTGACACGTAAGCACCTGCACCAACTGTCAAGGATGGCCCACAGAGGATGGGCCAGTTCTTTATCTGGCTCTCAGGCTGTAAAAGGTTCCCCGTGCTACTATAAGCTGTGCAAAATTTGCAAAATGTTTCCTGTATTGCAGGAGCGTCTGCACGGTACAGAAAAGTATTCACATACTGAGTGCTCCGCTTGACACAGATCAATTAGCCTTGGAGCCTAGGAGTCATTTCGGACTCACAGCTGTCCATGGAGGCACCGGTTAATTCTGTGTCCAGGGCGGCTGTCTACCAGCTCCACCTGGTACGCAGGCTAAGACCCTACCTGCCCGCAGACTGTCTTGCCAGAGTGGTGCATGCTCTAGTTACCTCCCGCTTGGACTACTGCAGCGCGCTCTACGTGGGGCTACCTTTGAAGGTGACCCGGAAACTTCAATTAATCCAGAATGCGGCAGCTAGACTGGTGACTGGGACTGGCTGCCGGGACCACATAACCCCGGTCCTGAGAGATCTGCATTGGCTCCCAGTATGTTTCCGAGCACAATTAAAAGTGCTGGTGCTGACCTTTAAAGCCCTAAACAGCCTCGGTCCAGTAGACCTGAAGGAGCGTCTCCACCCCCATTGTTCAGCCCGGACACTGAGATCCAGCGCTGAGGGCCTTCTGGCGGTTCCCTCATTGCGATAAGTGAGGTTACAGGGAACCAGGCAGAGGGCCTTCTTGGTAGTGGCGCCCGCCCTGTGGAACACCCTCCCTTCAGATGTGAAGGAAATAAGCAGCTGTCCTATCTTTAAAAGACATCTGAAGGTAGCCCTGTTCAGGGAAGTTTTTTATATTTAATGCTGTACTGTTTTTAACATTTGATTGGGAGCCGCCCAGAGTGGTTGGGGAAACTCATTATTATTATTAATTATTATTAATTAACTGAGATTGTAGCAGAGGTAAGGACATCAGAAGAACATGGCTGGGTCAGGCTAAAGGGGATCCATCTAGTCTAGCATCCTATTTACACAGTAGCCCCCCAGATGCCCCAAAGGGGTGCCCCACGGCAGGACACGAGAACAGCAGCACTCTTCCCATTTGTGACTCCCAGCAGCCAGCATTCAGAGGGACCCTGTGTTTGATAACTTTGGACACGGCACGAAATAATGGCAAGCGAATCCATTAACTCTGAGGCAGATAACCTACTATATTCAGAACTGATGAGGTCATTATATAGGGGTGGTTCCTATTTGCATAAAGGTATATAACTTTTCAAGTTTCACATGTCCTCAGAAGGAGGAGGAGGAGGAGGAGAGCCAGGCATATTACTCAAAAGTAATTTGCATTTTTGTTGCTGACTTTTCTGATCTGCCTGGTGAAGATTTCTGTCCAACTGAAAAATCAACCCATGTTCACTCTCTCACACAGAGAGAGTACTGAAAACTGGAACACATGCCCACATCACAATGGATTTTTTTGTTTATAACTCCATCACACCCCAACATGCAGTTCATGTAGAATAGTAGAATAATATAATGGTAGAGTTTTGGAAGGGACCCTGAGGATCATCTAATCCACCCCCCTGCAATGCGGCAATATGCAGCTGTCCCATACGGGGATCGAACCTGCAACCTTGGTGTCACCAGCACCACATTCTATCCAACTGAGCTACCCAGTCATCCTCTCAGGAAGAGGAAGCAATGCTTACACTAGGGCTGGGGACCTGTGGCCCCCAAGATATTGCTGTCCAAATATGTCCTTCCAGGCAACCAGAGAATTACCTACAAGCTCATATACCAGCATCTTCCTTGCCCCACCATCAGATAACAATGTTGATTTGTTTGACGCGAAAGATTTTTCCTTTTTTCAGAAAAGACAACAACACACATTTAATATTTGAGGTGCAGCAGATGGCCTTGTAGGAAGGGAATGCAGACTGGCAGACAATACATTTGTGATTCTGCAAGCCTGGAATGTCTCCGGTGAGTCAAATGTTCTAGTAGCAGGAGGAAAGGTTGGGGGGGGGGATTAAACAATTGGCAGCGCTGATCTGTTATATGAAGACAAATGTTCTCCTCACCCCCTCCCCACCTCTGATGTTGGTTCTGAAGGATGATGGCAGGCAGGTTTCAAAGAACAGCCTTTCCCAAATTGTTTTCCCTCCAGATGTTGTTGGCATGGCTGCTGGTCAGGGCATTTAGAATTCATTCATTTGTTCAACTTTTAATATGCCTTTCCTTAGTTAGCATCCTGGGTCAGTTTACAAAAATACAGTGAAAACAATACTTTCTATGTATATTTCCTCTTAAAATAAACCTTAATAATGACTTAAAAATATTACTCCAAGCCACCACATCACTACAGTAGAAAGCAACATCAGTACGTCTGGCTCAAAGCACAGTAGTCTCTCCCAAAGACTGTCACTGAATGACAGCCGCTGTGGTATAGTGGTTAGAGTGTTGGACTAGGACCTGGGATATGCAGGTTCAAATCCCCACTCGGCCATAATACTCACAGTGTGACCTTGGGCCAGTCTCAATCTCTCAGCCAAACCTACCACATCAGGGTTGTTGTGAGGAAAAAATGGGAAGAGAACTATGTAATAATAATATTTTTTTATTTCTACCCCGCCCTTCCGGGTTCAGAAAACCAGGCTCAGGGCAGCTAACAACAAATTTAAAACACTTAATTGATGCAACAAAAAACAGCATAAAAAACAGTATAAAATGTGAATAACAATAAATTCAGAATTCAAAAATCAATTTAGGGGGAAAATCCATCCAATAAACTTTAGATGTATACCACATTTGCTTCTTGGCTGAAAGGTAGGATAGAAATGAAATGAAATAAATAAGAGATGTAATTAGACATCTTTTTGGGGGGGACAATAACGAAGAAATGAGGGTGATGAAATTAGTTAATATGGAAGAGATGGTCCTCTTCCATAGTAACTAATATGGAATATCCCAGAAAACCCTGCCACACATACAAGGTCCCATAACAGTGCTTTAGGGGGTCCTAGAAAAATAAACTGACGGAAAAATGAGAGGAACCAAAAGGGATAGATTTCCCCATCCCCAATTCGTACAGCAACATATTCATGTAATATATTTACACCCCATCTTATTAAAAAATCAAGGGAAGTTTACACATCAACACCACCAATAAAAACAATGAACCACAGGCAAACTGCTCAGTCCCTGCTCCTGCCAACCTAGCAGTTCAAAAGCACGTCAAAGTGCAAGTAGAAAAATAGGTACCGCTCCGGCGGAAAGGTAAACAGCATTTCCGTGTGCTGCTCTGGTTTGCCAGAAGCTGCTTAGTCATGCTGGCCACATAATCTGGAAGCTGTACGCCGGCTCCCTCGGCCAGTAAAGCGAGATGAGCACCGCAATCCCAGAGTCGGTCACAACTGGACCTAATGGTCAGGGGTCCCTTTACCCTTAAAACCAAAGGGGGGGGGAATCCAAAGGAATGAAAAGAAAAGAAAAACATAGTAGCCAGAGGAAGTTAAAATAACAATCCACTGAAAACTCTAAAAACCATAAATTTAAGAAAAACTCCATTTGAGCCTGTTTCTTTACCTGAGGGCTAAAGGTCACTGGCAGGTGTGTCCGTGCTCAGAGGCCATTCCAGAGTCGAGGCCAGACTTCATGAAGAAGACCCAATCATCGCCTCACCTCCATAAATCCCAGCTGAGTTTCTGACCACCACAGGGAAATCCTTGTCACCAACGGCCCTGCGGCGGAGGACTGAAGGAGGGCCTGGCCGGCAGGTGAAGGTGAACACCTGAGGGCTGGATCCAACTGCCATTCCCACCCCTGGCCATTCTACTACCAACTGCCCTGAGGGAAAGATTCCACGAGAGATCCCTGCTGCTCTAGCTGCCTGTAAGGATGGGAAAACTTGACAGTTTTGGTTTGTCTTTAGCTTCTCTTTTATTTTTCAGTCTTCAGTTCAGTTCCCCACATTTCTACATCACTTCAAAGGGTTCAGAAAAGGGCAACCCAAATGATCGAGCAGATGAAAGGAAAGGTTGCAGCGTTTGGGACTTTTTCGTTTAGAGGAAAGGCGGGTTTGAGGCGACATGATAGAAGTGCACAAAATGTATGGCATGGAGAAAGTGGATAGAAAAAAGCCTATGGACATTTCCTTGGTGGCAAGGGGGAATAAAAGCTATATAAAAAGGAGGATTCCTGGATGCCAAGATCCAGGTTTGGGGCTATTTGGAGAGAGAACCCCAGCAGAGATTTAAAATCACAAAATACACAGCACGGACCTTTATCCTTGTGAGTTTCAAAACTTCCCTCTTCCCTTAGCATAGAAAAGAGCACACATTTGGTAAGTTAAAAACAGTTTACTTACAAACCCTCCAAAGGTCAGGTTCATGTGCTTCCATACATCGCTCAGAAAACACAGGCAGTAGAACTTGGCTTAGTTACCGTGGTGAAAATGGTAGTACATAAATAAGGGATGCCTAACGGAGGGTCTCTCCCCAGATGATTTCAGGGGACAAGGAGGAGGTCTCTCACTCTTTCAGTGCGCAAAGTGCTAAACACAAATACGTGTTATCAGACACCTTTCACAACAGCCTTGTAAAGTAGGTCAGCCTCCAGACCCAGATAAAGCACTGCCTCCCCTGCTGTTCCATGCTCAGGCCCTGCTTATGGCAGATAAGATTAGACCAGGGGTTGCCAACATGGCGCCCTTCAGGTGTTCTCCTGGTGCTCACAAAGCCTTTGATCTCTGCTACCACCCTGCCACTGGTAGGAATATGAGGGGCATGTGTGGCAGAAGTAGACTGTGGGAAGCACAAAGGCAGGAAAGCAAAGTGAGGAATGGACTCACTGCCTTGCCTGCCCTGTGGCGGGGGGGAGAGTGGATACCTTTTTCTCCCTTGAAAAGTATGCAGAGCTAAAAGAGAAAGCTGGAAGTGTGACTCTCCCTCCTGGTTTTTTCAGCTCTTTCAGAGCTCAGATTAATTTGTCCAATTCCTACTTATACTCAACCACGTTGGGAAAGTGAAATATGCGCTATCTCGCTCTCTCTCTTGTGCGGGGGGCACGGGGGGGGTCTCATATGGAGGGGGGAAGATAGAAGTGACCGGAAGGGGTAAGAGTCACAAACCCCCAAAAGGATGGAAATGCCTGGATTAAACATACAGTGGTACCTCTGGATACGAATGGGATCTGTTCCAGAGCCCTGTTCGCATCTAGAACCAAACGTAACTAGCGACGGCATGTCTGCGCGCGCACACGTGCATCGCTTTTCACTGCTTCTGCGCATGCGAGTGACGTCATTTTGAGTGTTTGCGCATGTGCAAGCTGCGAAACCCGGAAGTAACACGCTCCGTTACTTCCGGGTTGCCGCGGAGCGCGACTCGAACTCGCTCAACCCAAAGCGCATTCAACCCGAGGTATGACTGTACCTCGGGTTACATATGCTTCAGGTTACAGACTCTGCTAACCCAGAAATAGTAACTTGGATTAAGAACTTTACTTCAGGATGAGAACAGAAATCGCGCCGCAGTAGCAGCAGCAGGAGGCCCCATTAGCTAAAGTGGTGCTTCAGGTTAAGAACAGTTTCAGGTTAAGAACGGACCTCCGGAATGAATTAAGTACTTAACCCGAGGTACCACTGTATTCAGATAAATAGCTGCAGCAGACTGGATTTCCCCTCCTCACACAGTCTATCACTCCTTCCTCTGATCACTTCAGGAGGTGCAGCAGCAAAACTGTGACACAAGCCTTCTTGTCTGAATAACCTACTTCTCTCTCTCTCTCTCTCTCTCTCTCTCTCTCTCCCTCCCCCGCTTTAAGATTTCCCAATGGATAGAACGTGGTTACAAGATTGACTTCAATTGATTAAATGAGATAGCTTCTCCCACCACCCCTGCTGAAACCAGAGACCTCCCATTTATCATCAGAAATGTAACAAAGGAACACGCTGAACCATTAGTAAATGAAGCACGCTGATTTTAAGTACGGGGAGTTAAGGAGGCAGAAAGAATTGCTTTTGCCGCTGGAGACCATTACTGCTACATTAAAGCCACAATCCCATACACACTTATATATGGGAGTCAGTTCCAGTGGACTTGTTGGGACTTATTTATGGGCAGACATGCAAAGGATTCTGTTGCATCTTGCAATCTTTTACAAATTGCACAGTCTGAGATTTGTGTGTGTGTGTATACACAGAGCCACACATTACATGTAAAGCATGTTCAATGCGCATTTAAAGCACATAACTCTTCCCACCAAATAATCTTGGGGACTGTAGTTTAAGGGTGCTGGAAATGTGAGGGCGAACTACTGCTATGGAAATTTTCTCTTCTTCCTCACATTCCTGGATTCACAGTTCTGCCGCACAGAATTAAGCTTCCCATACTCCTCTTTCCTTCATGGATGCTGTTGAAGATGATGAGTCACAGTGGGCCATATCCTGCATTCATGAGTGCTGTTTCCTGCAATGCAATGGACACCGTGTTCATTTCATCCAGAGATGCAGAACCAGCAGCCCTCCAGAAGTTGCTGGGCTTAAAACTCCCATCGGCCCCAGTCAGCGTGGCCAACGGTCAGAGATGTCGGGGGCTGGAGCCCAGCAAACATCTAGAAGGGAGCACATATTGGCTACCACCAGAAGAAATGATGGAAGCATCAGGATTAGGCAACCCTAGCCCAGGGGATCAGAACCAGATGCATTGAAAGGGCACCTAAGGCAAGGCCAGGGAAGCTTACTCAGCCCCAGGGGGCCACATGCCATCATGGGAAACCTTATGGGGGCCGAATTCCAAAGGTGGGTGGGGCAAGAGGCAAATGTGGGTCCATGTGTGACCTTTAGGCAGCCAGCTACATTCCAGCTGATATAAGAAAAAATCCACTCCTTTTCCCTTATAGGGTACCCAAGAGCCCATATAGAGTCCTTTTGTAGGTTCTCTATTGGTAGGAGAAAATAACAGAGACCAACCAGAGAATATTGAGAAGCAAAGCAGCTAGTAAGCCTGATCTTTATTAACTGTTGTGACATGGTGCTCCCCCAAACACAGGAGGGAGGAGGAGGACCCAGAACAAAGGTGTGCCCGCCCTTATATAGACATTTTAAATTGCCCGCCCTGGAGTCCAAGACCACCCCAGAAACATCATACATACATCACAGAAGGGGTGTAGCCCAAGACCACCCCCCAGATACATCATACCTACATCACTGAAAAGGCGGTTTACAACAGAAATCTGAGTGCATTGTCTATCTCCTGTCTGGCAAGTTACCTGATTGCATTATTTGGGTTTTGGCCACTCTTTTGTTATTATAACTACTTAATTCCTGAATCTAGGTCACTGGTCACAGGCTTAGACCAAGTTCATATTTTGAATGTGCCCTTAAGACAGGATTTGTGAGAACAGGATTTGTGAGGAAAGAGACAATGGGGAGGTTTCCCACTTTAACCTTGCAGAGAAATATTTGAGGTAAATTTGTTCAGGACCTTTTCTATGGGGTTTCAGACATGTAGTTTATATATACAGTTACGAACATTTATTTATTTTATATATGACCTTAAAATTCTTATAACACAGCCACGTAAAAGCCAACGCTTTACACATCCACACAGTCATCCCTGGGAGCTACTAAATAACTGCAACCCCCAAAGAAATGGGGGTGAGGGGGGGAAAGGCTCCTCAAAATGTGGGTAAGCATTTGGGAGCAGAACTGTGATGCAGCAGCCCCAAATAACTGCAGAATATAGGCTCACTTTGGCTGAAGGCAAGGCATTGTGGGGAGCGGGGAGTTAAGTCTTTCCATCCCCATGCAGTCCCAAATAAAATCCTAACTCTGGAACTGTGTTAAGAGGAACATCCTCCACTGGCACAAATGGGGGTGGGGTTCCTCCTTCAAATGCAAACTACAGCTTCCTGAGTGGGCCGACTTTCCCAGAAGACTGCAACAGAGGAAGGTGTTAAGCTCTGTCACCTTTTCAGCAGTGATCCAGATAATGATCAGCCCTATTTGCATGACACACACCACACATCACTTCCACATTTACAGCACATGGCTTCCCCCAAAGGATCATGGGAACTCCCAGCACCCCAATGCAGGACAGTTCCCAGGAATCTTTGGGAGAAACCACGTGCATGAAATGTCCTTTGAATGTTTGTTGTGGATGAGTCCAAATATTTATTTTGTTGTTTGAACCCCTAAGACCTCCAGAGCTGCTGAAACACCTCCATATGCTATATATAAAATAAGTGTTGAATGCTTTGCACTGTATTATATGCTTTTTACATTTTCCATTTCTGCACTTACCACAACATTGTAAAAAAGGGCCCCCATTGTTTGCTTGTAAAAATGCTCTTGCTGCAGATATTCAAGGCTGGTGCAACCCAGTTTTTTTGTTTTTTTATCCAGGGTTTTCAGAACAAGCTGTGACATTTCCTTGCCCCTCTTGCTGGCTTGAGCTGCCAAAAATTTCCTTGTTTTGTCGACAGATAGGAGGTCATTGAGAACCTACATTAAAGCGATTTTTCAAAGACAAAACTTCATGAGAGGGTTGCGAGAAACTAAATTCAAAAGGCCCTGAAGCCCAAATAACCAACCCCCAGGGGAGGATGCTTTCCAAATATCTGTATGATTAACTGATCTTCAGAGCTCTGAGCTTACATCTTCTTTCAATCAGCCTCCACTGAAGACAGGCAGTATTGCACCTGCTGCCTTTGGACCATTTGGTCACTCCCAAGTGATGGAAAGGAAGGACCTCATCTCAAAGGGGGCTACCTGTCGTGTCCCTGCCTGAGTCACTGCTCTGACCTTGCCTCCTTCAAACACCTCTGCCAAGGGTGCATAATCCTGCTGAGTCTCTATACCAGGTGTGTGTGTGAATCATTCACGACTCGGTAGGTTTACCTGACCTCAGAGGAGGCTGACTGCTGAATTTCTTCATGAGTCACTGCCTTCAGCTTGCCTCCCATTCAGCCTCTGCTGAGGGCAGCTGCTCATGCCATATGTCTACACAGACTGCGACTGGATCAATTGGATCTAGAGACTGGATCTAGAGAGGCAGCAGAATTACCGCACCTCAGAGGAAGCATGGCTGGACCACTGATTCCTGCAGAAACAGGGAGGTGGGCAGGAAGCCCTTAATCATCCGCAATAGGCAATGCTGAGCTCAATGGACCAAGTATCTCAGTATATGGCAGCTTCCTAAGATTCTTATGTTTATTTTTGTTATTCCAATAGGGAACAAAAAGATCCTGCTCCTGAAGCAATTCTTTAATAGCATTTGTTTTTCCTGCTGCATGCAACTGCAGTTAATTTGTCCAGGGTCTCAGTGCCCCATATATTATAAAGGAGGAGTTTTCATAGACCTCCAGTTTAACTGGCAAACACTTAACTGTTGCCGCACACCGTTTTGTTATAGTAATTCATAGGCTTTAATTTGAAGCTGGGGTGCCTGAGTGGGTGGGTGGGGAGAGGCAAAACAACGACCCCAACAACTCCCCCTCTATCCTCTGTGGACTGGCAATAAGTTAAGGACCAAAGTGTGAGGGTTTGCTGGCTGCTGGTGCAGTCAAACAACCCTTGCCGGATGCCAGAAGCCGCTCGATTTAAGCATCCTTTTTAAGACACCCAAAAGCACCATCTACAAAAAGAAATCGAACTCTTACATACTAAGTAGCCTAGATTTTCTCTAATCCAAAAGCCGCTTTCTTGGACCCTTGAGCCCAATAAGGGTTTGTCTTTTTTTAAAATCCACCACTCCACTCCATTCCCAGCCGTGTCCTGAACTTCTTGTGTAATTAAGCTTGGCTTGTAAGAACCTCTACACATCTCTTCTCTGCAAACCAGAAAAGGGTAGTGGTCAGAGCCACCTTCCTCAACTTGGTGCCCTCCAGATTTTTTGGACTACAGTTCCCAGTGTCCCTGACCATTGGGCCTAATGGCTGGGGCTGTTGGGGCCAGATCTGAAGAGCGTTGCATTAAAAATATCCAACAGGATGCTCTGAAGCACTAAGGGGACTGCTTAAACCAATGGATTTTGTTGCCATTGTTGCCATTTAGAGTACGTTTGTGATACATGAATAAACATTGCATCAAGCCACTCATTTCCCCTCAGCTGCACTACAAATTGAAAGTAGCATCATACCACTTTAAACAGTCATGGCTTCTTTCCCCAAAGAATCCTGGGAGTTGTAGTTTGTTAAGGGTGCTAAGAGTTGTTAGGAGGTCCCTCTTCCCCCTTACAGAGCTACAATTCTCAGACTAGTTTAAGAATCATTTCCTCTTCTTCCCAGGGACCTTTGGGAATTGTAGCTTGGCGGGAATAGGGGGGTCTCCTAACAAAAGGGGGCCTCCTAACTCAGCACCCTTAACAAACCACAGTTCACACAATGGAGAAAGCCATGTCTGTTAAGGTGGTATAACAGAGCTTTTAATGTATGGTACGGATGCAGCCCCAGGGAAGCATGACTTTATTTGGCAATACCTATGAGGCAGACGACTTTGTTTGACGGATTGGTCCAAATCTTGCCCCCTTCACACAGCCCTGCTTAACAAGGCAATGCGTCTCCTTTTCATTCAGTTCCCATCATCCCTGACTGTTGGGCATGCTGGTTGGGAATGGTAAGAGTTGCAATGCAAAAACCTCTTGAGCTGATGGAAGATGGAGTCCCAAATCTCTGGAGCACACCAGAATGGGACAGGCTGGGTTAGGGTGTTGGACTAGGACCCCAGAGATGAAAACTGTGGTCTCCATTTAGCCACAAAGCTCACTGGGTGACCTTGGGACAAACTGTTACCTCTCAGCTTAACCTACCTCACAGAGCTGTTGTGAGGATAAAGGCTTCTTAGTCACCCTGAGAGCAACTGTTTTTAATATTATGCTTTAATGTTGTTATCTGCACTGGGATCTTAGGGGGAAAGATGGATCACAAACAAACAAACAATACCAACAAGAAGAAGTCTTGCTGAAGGTTGGGACTGAAAATCGCTCTAAAACAATGGAAAGTAAATAAATACCTACACATAAGGGACAGATGGAGGATCTGTGAGAAGCTACACAGTGAAAGGAATGTCTGTTATGGATTTATAATTACATGAGTGTTCAACTTACCGGCAACTCCTGCCGGTCATCGTCAAAGTAATGGCCATCCCACACCTCGGTAACAAGACTGCCGTACGTGGCTAGAAGCCGGAGCCTCTTTTTCTGCAAACCTTCAGACATGACATCCTTCACAGGTCGGGTGGTTATGCCCTGTAGAAATTCCTTGCGAACACATCGTATCAAAAACATTATGTCTTCCAGAAGCACAACCCAAACACTCATTAAGAAGGGGGGATATTTTGAGATAATCTCCATTGTTATGACTCACAGGCCTTGATGACCAGATTGTACATCAACACCACATTCCCACCAAGAGATGTATTTACATCACGGCTTCTCCAGCTACACCATTCCTGTCCTTTCTTCCCTAGTTTCTATTCTATTCTTTAAGACACACACACACAGAGAAAGAGAAAGAGAGAGAGAGAGATCCAGCCCAGTTATTAGGCAAAGTGAGGCTGCTGCCTCAGGCAGCAGAAGCCCCTGTGGTGGCGTCTTTGTGGGCACCCCGCCTGCCCTGCTGCTTCCACCAGCGGCGGCGAAGTGCTGCCACCATTGGCACTGATTTCAGGTCAGATCGCCTCCATTTTGGGTGATATCAAGTAGGTGTCTTCTCCACTGTACTCTTTTCGGCACCTGCTAAAAACGTTCTTGTTTAGACAAACCTACCCAGAAACTTCGAAAGTTGAGGTAATTTTAATCAATGTTAGTAATTGTATGTTTTGAGGTATGGCTGCAAGTTTTTCTTGATTTTACTGTTTTATCTTTTGTAAACTGCCTTGAAGCATCTTTTTTACAATCAAGTGGTATTTAGATTTTTATGAATAAATGAATAAATACGACGACAACAACAACAACAACTTTTTAAAAAAGCTGCTTTGCTGATACTGTGTGCTTTTGTTTTGTTTTTAAACCCCACACAAGGGGCAGATCTATACATTTCAAGCACATTCTTGCCCCAAACCTGGATCTTGGCATCCAGGGAATTCTCCTTTTATATCCCTATTTCTTCTTGCCAACCAACGTATTCAATACACATTTAAAGCAGATGACTCCCCACCGCCAAAGAATTCTGTGAACTGTCATCTCCCCCTCCCAGAGCTACAACTTCCAGCACCCTTAACTAACTACACTTCCCAGGATGGCTTGTGGAGAAACTCTGTGCTTTACATGTGCGTTGAATGTGTTTGAAATGAATGGCATGAATCTGCTGTACAGTTAGGAGTGCAGCCTAGGTGAGTAATTGATATTCACTTCTATTGGTGGAAAGCAAAGCACTATTAAAGGGTGACCACGGCCAAATCCCACCTATTACTGATGACAGGTAGCATGGCAATGTGCCCATTTCACAGACACAGAGACTCAGTCCACACAGGGATCCCTGAAGTGTGCAGGCTCTCTCACTTCCCCACACAGCCCCTGTCATAACGACAGTCATTTTGGTTGTGTAAAAGAACCACCTCTCTCTGCTCTCTTTGTCCGTGAAAAAAAAAATAATAAAAGGCTAACGTGAACCCAGGGAGGTTTAAAAGCAGACAACTGAAAAACTGCAATATTGCAGTTACAATATCCTGTTTGTGCCATCAACAGCCAGGAGGTCGTGCACACACACACAAAAAAAAAAGGAAGAGAAAAAAACAAAGCAAGCCAATCGCAGATAGGAGCATTCCACAATTTGACATATGGATCCTGCAAATGCCAACTGCAGGATTACATCACGGAGAAAAGGACAAAAGAGAATAAAATTGAATAAAATTAGTTCTGTCAGCTCTACAAGGAACCAGTGCCAAAAGAGGCAGAGAGGACATCTCTCTCTCTCTCTCTCTCTCTCTCTCTCTCTCTCTCTCCCCCCCCCCCCAAATAAATGGTGTGGGGAGATTTTAACAAAAAGGGTTCGGACAGGGATACTGGTCTGCCTCCAAGCCAAAGAAACAGAAGCACCAAATTAATTCTGCAAATCACATTAAAAACTGACCTAGTAACTAACGGCTCCAAGTTTTAATTAGTTCAATGGCTAGATCAACCAGTTAAAGATTCTGGCTCCACTGGTACTTCAGGCCAAATGCAGCCTTCCAGTCCTCTCTATCTGGCTCTCAGGACTCCCCACCCCCATCACACACCCTCCCCAGCCACACCCTCTCTGCCCAGGCCACGCCCTCCTTCACACCCTCAAGTGTTTTTGCCTGGCTAGAATGTGCCCTTGAATTCTGGCAATGCCTCTATGCTTGCCTGGATGAAGGACGGAATCATAGAATCATGGACTTATAGAGTGGGAAGGAACCACGAAGGCCATCTAGTCCAACCCCCAGCCATGCAGGAATCTTTTGGCCTGCATGGGACTCGGACCACAACCCTCAGACGAAGAGCCTCGTGCTCTACCTACTGAGCTATCCCAGAGATGTGACCTTCAAGAGAGGAGTGTGTGACTGGCCTGATGTGCAAAGTTTACATTTGTTGTTCTGCCCACGACTGGCATGTGGCCCCTGAAAGGTTGCCCACAAAAGAATGTGGCCCTCAGGCTGAAAAAGATCCCCCATGCCTCTAGGCTTTTGGCCCTGGAGGTCAATCAACAAAAGCTTTGGTTGATTAACCACCAGAGCCTAAAGTCCCACTTGTCTAGCTCAGTACTTATTTTTCACATCTGTATTTTGCCTTTAATGAAGATCCTCAGGCTAGGACTTTGACCAACCTCCCCTTCCCAAGAGAGCTTCTAACAAGAACCCCCCTCTCCCACCTAAACACGGGCCATTCTCAAAAATGATGTCACTCAGAAGCTTCCCCCCAGTGTATATTTTCCATCCAGTTCCTCATCTAAAACAATAAGGTAATTTTGTTCAGTACTCACAGGACTCGGCACCCCTTGAAATAAAGGCGTGTTGTGCACCCCACTTCCTACGCAGTTTCTGCAAAAGAGAGGGCAGATTAATCCAACAGGTAATCTCTGTTCCCTGTCTTTTCCTCTGAAATTTACTATTAATACAATTCCCCCTAATACTGCATGCACTGAATTGGAGTTTAATTAGATGCTAACCAGAGGGGTTTTGTGCTTATGAGGTAATAAATACTCCTCGAGCTAATAAACTCCAAGGCAGAAGGAGTGGTTATTAATCTCCTGAAAAAACACACACAAACTTAGCAAGAAGAGCCCCTCAAGTTATTACTGCTATACGTGGACAACTATTGATTCAATAACATGGGTGAAACATTGAATGTTTTTCCTCAGGCCCAGGTGAACGAAAGGTCTGCAGGGAGCTGGATTTGGGGTAGAAATGGGAAAAATCTGTCAGCTTCAGTTTCTCTCAGTTTCCCCATCTTAAATTCAGCTGCCCATATTTCCACTCCAGCTTGTTGGTTTGTTTTTAAGGTCCTTATGGAAATTCTTCACCATTTCAGTGCGAATCTCATTTCTGTACATCATACTGCTGCTTAGAAACGGTAATGATAAACCAGTACTTAAATGACTAAAGTATATCAAGCATTGGTCTGCAGAGTTTGATTTCAAACCACGCGGGAAAGGAAAAGGGGACACCCGGTGTCAGGTGTCCTGACAAAGGGGTGGCCCCGCCCACTTATCAAACTTGGCCCCACCCCTTGGGTGGGGAAAGGCTTAGCCCTGCAGGCTCAAAGTCAGGCAGACACAAAACTGGACACACTGTAAGAACTTTGAGAGATGGAGGCAGAGTTATAGACATGTCCAATCTGCTTTTAAAGCCATTCAAGATGGTGGGCATCCCTGCCTCCTGTGGCAGTGAGTTCCATAGTTTAACAATGTGTACTAGATTGGGCTCAGGAGGGGGGGAGAGTTATGTTGCATTTGTTATATGACCACACATTGCTGTCAGGCTCATCTCTCTCCCACGGGCTTCAAGAACCGCATAATGAAAAGCAAGCATATATTGTTTCTTTTTTTAAAAAGCCCTTGCATAATGCATTTCAGTGTGCATAGTCAAGGCCAAGCCGTGGCATTTTGCCACTCCAACATGGCTGCACCACATAATCCAATTCAGTTCAACCCCCAGGATTCTTTAGTGCATCGCAGAGGTTGCTGGCGCCCCAGCGGCAGCCAAAGGTTTTCAAGCATCATTGAGGGAGACCGACAGATGCTGCTGAGGTTTGGACCAGCTCTGGTCCATGGTAGTGAAATTGCCTTCTGCCCACTCAGGCTGACCATTGGCTCTTCTCAACAGGGAAGTCATTAAGAGCTTCCCACCCAGGTGGCATTTTGCCTGGAGAATTCAGTTTTGGCTGAAGGTCAGGCTGATCTGACCACACTCCTGCACAACCCTCACCAAAACGAATGGGGTCTGCACAACACCAGTGGCACTCCCTTTCCCCCTGTGATAATGACCACTGGGAGGAGCGCAAAGAGAAGAAACGCCATGGCACATTTGAGCAGCCTTCCTCTGCCCCGACTGCAACAAAACATGTCTCTCCCACTTTGGTCTCTACAGCCACAGCAGGCGCTGTAACCTTCCAACAGTTTGACCTCACCCCCAAAGGCAAAATCCTCCATTCTTTCCTGAGACAGACGGATGCCAACAAAAAAACAGCAGAGAGGAGCAATGCCATTGAGACTCTCCACCTCAGGCACCTCCTCTTTTGCACGTGTCTGGGACTTGCTTTGGGGAAAGCTTGGCTTTTGGCATCACATTAGGGGTTGTTTCAGTAGGCAGACGCTCCTCAGGGCTAAATCACAGGGTGTACGATTTTGGGTAGCCGGATCAGCAGCTTTGAAAGCTTCCAGGAAGTCTCCATAGACTGGGGTTTCTTTCTTTAACCAGGCAACACGGGGAGATGTTGCCACAGCAAGGAGCTCCTTCTCCTTCTCTGGGTTTAATGGCGTATAGAAAGACCAAGGAAAGACCCCATTACCACCACCTACCGGTGACAATGCAATCATGTTGCAGCTACAGCCTTTCATAGAGTCTCAAATTCTTCACAAACTCTCCCAGAGAGTCTTAACCCGGAGAGGAGTCCCCAGGGCCGTCTTACCCATAGGCGCAAGGGGTGCGGGGCACCTGGGAGCCAGGCCGAGAGTCTGGGGCCCGAGAGTTGAGTCTGGGGAAGAACCCGCCCGTTGGTTGGAGCGCCGCAGCGGGCTCTTCTGCTGTGGGCAGCTCTGTGCCGCGAGTTCGGGGGCGACCGAGCCAGTGAGACACTGAGGCGGCCCGCTGGCTCCGCCCTCCTGCGTGCCTGGGATGGGGCAACCTGGGGGGGGTGCACCGAGCGGATCTTTGCACCCCGGCGCCGCATATGCTTAAGACAGCCCTGGCAGTCTCCAAACTAGAAAGGAGCAGAAGTCAACTGATACCATTATAAAGGCAGGCAAGGTGTGTTCTGTGATTGGCCCCACCCTCTGAGAAGAGCTGGCAGTCCTCCTTAGAGGGATCTTGTCCGATTTCATATTTGTGACCATTTGCAATGCTGAGGACAGGGCTCTGTGACTGGGGCCCTCATCCTCTGGGGATGCAAACCGAGGGAGAGGCATAAGTCTATGTCCTCCAGCTGGCAGGGCCCAAAGGTGGACCTCGGAGAGTCCTCCTTGGGCATGGCAACTCAAACACCCTCTTTTGCGAAACCTCTGAGTTGCGGGGGACATGACAGACTCAAAAAAATTGCAGCTGATGATGCCTAACACTGCTCCATTGGCACCACAAAAACTCCTGCTGCCCCCCAAGTGACTTGCGTACTTGGGTTACCCCCTTTGCAGAATTCACATTTCCTTTGCTGCAGATGTCCCTTTTTAACTTCCAAGTTTGGAGCATGCACAGCTCTGGCCCACAATGCCGCTGACATCTGCAACTTTAAATACCGTAGCACCGAGAGCCAAGCCTGCTGCAGACCCTGTTACATATTCCGCCCCCACTCTCACTGCCTTTGCCACCCGGGCTGCCTTAACTGTTCCAACGGTTCTTTGCCGAGCATAGCACATCAAGGATTTAGAAACTAACCATTTCTGACTGTCAGGATTTATATCCCAAACAGCTGTGCCAGGAAAGCCATGGGAATCAAACAGCTATTTGGGGAGCACCATAATCTATTAACTTCTCAGGTCGTTTTGATTTCAGCAGCTTTGCAAATAACGGCACGGTGCACTCAAACACACCACTTCAGAGGCAACACTTGGGCCATTGTGTTCTCAGGCAATGGAGCGTCAGGTCCAAATTGTGAAGTTCTCCCAAGAGTTTTGGGGAAGGGCCACAGCTCAGGGACAGAGCGTGCGCTCTGCAGTCAGAAGGTCCCCTGTTCAGTTCCCCACACCAGGTAGAACTGGGAGGGATTTCTGTCTGAAACCCAGGAGAGCAGCTGCCTGTCAGTGTAGGCAGTACTGAGCAAGATGGACCAATAGTCTGACTCAATATAAGGCAGCTTTCTATGTGGTCTTGTATAGACATTACTTTGGGTGCTGTATCAGGGGGTACCTGCTGACCTCTGTTGTTGTCGTTTAGTCGTGTCCGACTCTTCGTGACCCCCTGGACCAGAGCACGCCAGGCACTCCTGTCTTCCACTGCCTCCCGCAGTTTGGTCAAACTCATGCTGGTAGCTTTGAGAACACTATCCAACCATCTCGTCCTCTGTCGTCCCCTTCTCCTTGTGCCCTCCATCTTTCCCAACATCAGGGTCTTTTCCAGGGAGTCTTCTCTTCTCATGAGGTGGCCAAAGTATTGGAGCCTCAGCTTCAGAATCTGTCCTTCCAGTGAGCACTCAGGGCTAATTTCCTTCAGAATGGAGAGGTTTGATCTTCTTGCAGTCCATGGGACTCTCAAGAGTCTCCTCCAGCACCATAATTCAAAAGCACCAATTCTTCGGCAATCAGCCTTCTTTATGGTCCAGCTCTCACCTCCATACATCACTACTGGGAAAACCAGAGCTTTAACGCTGACCTCTAGCTCAGTGTATGTTTGCACACAAAAGGTGCCCTGTTCAGTCCCCAGCATCTCCAGATTGAAAGACCAGGAAGTGAGTGGTGGGAAAGACTCGACACCATGAAGATCTGCTGCCAGTCAGAGTAGCTGGGCAAGATGGTCAGACCTGGTACAAGGTGGCATATTTTCCACTGAACAGGCTGGTACTAAAAACAAAAACGAGCAACAGAGAAGCCATGGCCCTCCAGATTTTGTTGAACTCCAGCTCCCATCTGCGCCAACCAGCATGGCCAATGGTTAGGGACGATAGGAGTTGTAGTCCAGACATCTGAAGGGCTGTAGCTCAGTGGCAGAGCACCTGCTCAGCATGCAGAAGACTCCTGCCGAAAACCCCCAAAAGCTGTTGCTGCTCATCAGTGTAGACAACCCTGGACTTGAAGGACCAATGGTTTCACTTGGAATAAGGCGCTTTCCTACATTCCCTACATTTCCCTTGACCTTGACCTTGGCTTCTAGGGACAATGCTGCACCTTTGAACCTTGCTCTCTTGGGTAAGTGTTCTGGTAAAAGCTTTATAGTGCTTGGACTGAGACCCCAGCTCCCTGAGGGCACCCCTCCTCGAGCTTGGCACAGACCAGCAGGCACAATGGTTAGGGATGATGGGAGTCCAGCAACATCTAGAGGGCAACAGGTTCTCCATCCTTGAGGCAGGACAGCACAGAGGAACCTGGGCTGCACCCATTTATCAACATCGCTGGGATTCTCCTTTAAAGTAGAGGAGAAAGGATAGCAATTCCAGAACAAGGGCCAAGTGTGGAAGCAACTGGTGATAACAGCCACCTGTGAAAGTGTTAGCTTTTTAAAATTCCATGGCGCATCTATTTCCTCCCAAACAAAAACAATCTAACTCCCCAATATTAAACCTCCAAGCGGAATATTGTTCACAGAGCCGATACAGATGGCTTTACCCTCTGGGTATAAAACGGCTGGATCTTTGGGGAGTGTTTTCAGGTCTTGGGACAGCTACATTAGGATATCCAGCTCTTATTACTTCATATCTGACATTTATTCCTAGTTTGGTAATGGGAAAATTACCAGATAAAATTGGCATTTGGCTTGGATTTTTTCCCCCTTCCTATGAGCCTCTGCTAATATGGAAGACTGCAAGTCGTCAAATTTATTCAAGTTTTTCTTGTCAACAATATCATTAACCAAATCCCTCAATTTCAAAGTTAATAAAAGCATCTGGGTTTTCTAGCACAGCAAGACCGGCTTGCATATTTAAAACCGCATACATAGATGAATTTGCATTGGACCAAATTTGCATATTAATGAAGGACTAATTGCTCTTTGCAGTCAGTTTCATGCATACGAATTTACTATTCTTTTTTGAATGCTTGAAAAGATCCAGCCCCCCCAACCAAAAAAAAGGCAAAAACTTTTCAAAATAAAATAAAAAGCTACAGAATATTTGAGAGGCAGAAAATGAAGGGATTCTCAGACTACATTTAAAAGCTTCAGCCAATTATTTCATTTCTTTTTTTTTATCACAATAGGAAAAAAACACAACAGGTATAATTTACAAAGGCTGTTGGAGATAAGTGGATTTTTCCTAACCTAACCAATATTTAAGAGATTTTTAAAAAAAGATTACCCATTGTTAAAATCTTGCCTCTAGCTCATTCCATTTATGTAGGGTGGTATTTAGCCCTCAAAACTCAAGAGAACCTCCAACCTGCACCTGACCTAGCCTGAAACTCTGCTCAGATCTCAAGATTTGGAAGGACTGACCAGTACCTTAGACGACTGCTATCTGATCTGGCATCCAGCTGACTGGATAATCATGCAGATAGTCCCAGATCAAGGTCTGATGACTGCTTTGCGGGGGTGGGGGGCAGTGCTAGAGCCTGTACAAGTTGCTTCACATCCCTTCCATTTGGTCCAGAGCGTGGGGATACAGCAGTTGCTCCTCCATGGATGCTGATAAGGGAGACTTGCAGAGATGCTGCAGCAGGTTTGGAGGAACCTGTAGCCCTCCAGCTGGAGCTGATGCAAGCTGGAGTCCAACCACAGCTGGAGGGCCGCAGGTTCCCTAGCCCTGCTCTACAGACCACCTCCACTTGGCCATGCCACTGAAAGGGAGCAGTAATGATTCCACCCTTGAAAATAGCCGCACTTCGTATTTCTAAAGCACTTTTCCTAAGTCCTTGAACGTGTTTTAGCTGCTATTCCTACAACAGCCTTGAGAAGATAGGCCTGCACTGTCATCCCCATGCTACAGACTGGGGAAGGGGTGTCTGTGGTTGACACAGAGAGTAAAATGGTTTGTTTAAAGCCAGCCAGGGCAATGCTAACTGAGCTGAGATTTCAGCTAGGGACCTCCCAGCTGAGAGTTCATTTGTAGGAGCACAAGGAGTTACCTTATACCGAGTCAGACTATTGGTCCATTGTATTGTCTACACTGACTGGCAGCAGCTCTCCAGACAGGAGACATTCCCAGTCCTACCAGGAGATGCTGTGGACAGAACCCAGGATCTGCTGGAAAGAGCTCTTCTAGCAAGCTATGGTCTTGTTGCTATGGTGTGAACAGAACCAGTGGAGTCCATTCTCCTCGCAAGTATATTGAAGGAATGGGCAGGTGGCATCTCATCACCTTGTCCATTCTCAAGGCAAGCAGCAGCTTTTGCAGCTGCCTTCCACGTTCTCTGCTTCCATTTCATCTGGGGGGTAATTCTGTCTCTGGGAGGGCAGTTAAGGGATCCGCTCCGGATATAAACACTGGCATTTTGCGCTCCGAAAACCGGGAAGCTGAACAGTAAATATACCTCCCTTCTCTCCCGAGATAGCTTGCTTATCCTTCAGTTGCAGATGCGGTGATAACCCATCCAGAATTTGGCACTGATCTAGAATTCATCTCCCTTTCTCCCGCTTTAAATGGGATTTGGAGCCACCAGTCGTTTTTACTACTGATGGTTTGGTTCCTATAACAGCAGGGTTTATGGCTTTAAGGCCGCCTCTCACTGATCAGGATGGTACCAAGCATTCCCAAAACAGCCACTGCCATGACTGGGACCCATGTCTCGGGTCACAGCGACACTAAACTACACTTCCCAGGATTCTCTGGGGAAAGCCATGTGCCTTAAATACATTTTCAACGTATTAGGTGGCTGTGATCAGAGTCAGGTGCATCAATTTCAATGGGTCTACTCAGAGTATGAATAACATTTGATACAACACAACAGGGCTTACATTCCAGTAAATGTGCTCAAGGCTTTGCTGTAAGTCTAAAGAGCCAAACACAGAAGCATCTACTTTTAGAGTCACCTGTCAAAGAGCGGAAGAACCGTCCACCCCAGCTGGGATTGTTCGTTGAGCTCGATGGCCTGTCCAGAACGTGGCGCTACTGTGCCTGCTCTTTGTCCACTTGGATCTGGGGTGTAAATAGCATCCAAGCCGTAGATCTGGACTAGCAGAACGCTGTGATCATCAAGATAAGGATGCAAAACCTACAATAAGGCAGAGGAAACTTAGACGCACGGCAAAGAGCTGATACAAGATCCAAGGAATGTTTTAAAAGACTGAACACAATGGCATGAGAATGTGGGAAGCCAAGAGGGGTTTCAGAAATATAAAATTCCAAGCATCTCATTTCATTTCCCCCCTCCAGGAAGAAATATTTAACGGGCTTCTTAACCGAAAGGTTGAAGATAGGCATAAGCAATTAAACAATGTTTGCAGCAGATTCTTCAGCCTGGTTGCCATTCCAGCTTTGTAACTCACTTTGCACCGGATCAGCAATAAATGTTGCCTCTTCCCCCCTGTCAGGCAGGCCGTCTCCTGTAAACAGGGCCTTCTTGGTAGTGGCGCCCGCCCTGTGGAACACCTTCCCATCATATGTCAAAGAAATAAACAACTATCTGACTTTTAGAAGACATCTGAAGGCAGCCCTCTTTTAATGTTTGATGCATTACGGTATTTTAATATTTTGCTGGAAGCCACTCAGAGTGGCTGGGGAAACCCAGTCAGATGGGCAGGGTATTATTATTCTTATTATTTTGCTTTTTTGACAGCAGGTGTGTGCTGATTGGATTATACATTCAGCTATCCTTCTCGTGGTTTAAAAAAGAGCCTCTGGAGGCAGAATAATAGTAAGAAAAGCCTGCATTAATTTTTCAAAAACAATTACATTGCTCTAATGACATGTCAGGTGGCTGTCACAGGCACTAGCCAATCAGCACCCTTAGCCAGTACTAGCCAATCAGCACCTTCTGCAGTCAATCCCAGCCAAGTGGCACCCTTGACTTTCAGCAGCTGACTTTCAAATCTGCAGAACTGTTTTTTTTTCAGAACTGGCCCCTAGAGAAGAATAGTTACGTTTGGAATGAGCAAGATGACGCCACTTCCAAACCAGCCCCACTGCTCTAAGAATGTCATGATCCTCTAATTCTAAGCTCCATAGATGGATGTTGAGGCATGTCTTGAATAGGGAAAATGAATCTCAAGTCAAAAGGAAAAAAAATATTAACAATTCTAAAAAGCAAACATAAAATATTCCCTGTCCTGGGGAAATAGTGAGACTTAAGAAGATCAGCATCCTTGCAGCATAAGAACATCAGCTGAAGATTATGATTGGGTTATGGTGCAATATTTTATTTTCATTTTGAGGTGAAGAGAGGGGAGAGGAGGGATCTGACTGAGACAGCACATTTCCAGAGTTGCTAAATGCACAAAGAGATACTTTAAACCGCCTCTTCATATCATCACTTCACAGCTAAATCTGTGTAAGGCAACTGATGGGCAATTTGATTCTCCTGCGTTGAAGGGAGCAGTTCTCAGCAGTTAACCAAGATTTCATTTCTGTGCACAACAGATGTTTGGATGTTTCAGGAGAATCGTAAATAGCAGGAACTGTGCAGTACATTTCAGAAAGCTGATCTCAGTTTAAACGCTCATTTTGCGAACGTGGGGTTTTTTTTTGGGTTCCTGTGGGAAAATGTCTGGAGGAACTTTTCATTGGCCACGAGTTCATATAAAAATGCTAGGCTTCCAAAGTGCGCAGACTAAAAGGACTACCTAACAAAGAGGGATGTCAGGGAATTCTAACGAAACCGAAAACTGCCCATGTTCGCTTTCTCATCCCATGTCCGGAAGAGAAATGAATCCATCAAATGTGATCAGGATTCGCAGTTGTTGTTGTTGTTGTTGTTGCTGTCATTCCACAAACATTACGTAATTCGTTATGTTCTCCTTCCATTTGCAATGTGTTTCCTTTGCAATGAAACTGATTGGGTGAAACAATGTAACGACAACTTAATGATGTGTTTTATGTAATTAGTTATGTAAATTATGTAAAATATGCCATTTGGCCACAGTGGACAGCGAAATGAACATCGTTTTGGGAAGAAAATGAACTGCAGCAGAATGGAAACAATGTTGTGTGTAACTAATACATGGAAATGGAACGGAATGGAACACATAATGCCTTGCGGCTGCCCTATTAACAAGCCAGGCTGATGGTTGAACCTGTGGCTGCTTTGTGGCACAACGGACAAAAAATGGAAAAGAATTCATGTAGTACAAACCAAACGAGCAAAGTAGGGCTAATGGCACATGTTTGCTAGGCTACAATGAAAAGTAGGCTGGCACCAATCCTTCTGTGATAATGGTGCCAGGCAAAGTCCAGTCCCTTTGCCCAGGCATTTATGGGACATTACCCTGTCACAAGGCAGTCACAGGAGGAAATTATGTCCTGCCATACATTTCCTTCTCTAGCTGGGAAGAAGTTCTAGACTTTGCAAGATCTGTTTTCATTGAAATCTAGTGGAATCTTCTCTTTTTAAAAGGTTTCTTAGTTGGGAACAGTAAGGAACGGCAGCTGGGATGATCAGTAAACATTGCAGAAATAGAACCAATGTAAATCCACAGTCCAGACCAGACCAAGCCTTTCCCTTCAGAATCCACTAACTTTTCCTGCCCAGGACATACCTGATGTCCCTTTCATGTGATTTTCGGGGAGGGGGGGACAAATCTGTATTATAATGAGTTTGGGAATATGTGGTCCTTGCTAATGTTTCATGTGGCCCTTGGTTAATTTTCCCTGTGGGCTGCAAGGATGGGGAAAACAGGGAAAGGGCTTGGGGGAGACGGAGAGAGAGAGAGAGCACACGCGCACACACACACACACACACACACACACACATGCCTTGCTCACTTCTGGCTCTGTTCACTGTCAAAATATGCTACCCAACAGACTTCCTGGCCCCTAAGCACCCCAAGAGATTGCAGCCCTCAACAGAACAGGCTCCCCACCTCTGATCTATCACTGGGCAACAATTTTTTACTTTTTGAATCTTGTCTAGATTTCTACAACTGGTTTAGGGTATTTTTGCACTATATCTGCAAAGTGACTCCTGGGCACTGTGGGAAAGAGGATGGACACCTGCCTTGTAAATTGTGGAAGCAACCTGCAGGAAGAAGGGCAGCAATTAGGATAATAGAACTGTAGAGTTGGAAGGTACCCCAAGAGTCATGTAGACTGCAATAGAACAGCTATAGAACCCCTAACAGGTGGCCACTTAACCTTTGTTTAAAAGTCTCCAGGGAAGGAGAGTCCATCACCTTCTGTGGAAATCCATTCCACTGTCTGTCAGCTTCCTCCTCCTTAATGACAGCCCTGTCTTTGTATAACTCAGCAGGGAGGAAGAGGGTGGGGACGAAACTAGAATTAGTTAGTTTTGCCTGTCATTGGCTCTGGCGCCACCTACTGTTCGGCTCCCTGCCTTCCACCCTACCAGTCCCAATGGGCATCTGCCACTACTGCAAGATGGCAGATCGGCGACTGCGTACCACAGATGGATCAATCCACTTGGGCGATCTCTGCAGGCTTGAAAAATCAAGTTGTTGCACCAGGAATGTTTCTTCTCCTCCCCAGCGTTGAGGCAGCTCAGGCAACTGCATGCTTGCAGCCCCTTTAAGGATTCTGGCCAGTGCATTCACATAGCAACCATCAGCTGAAAGGGGAAGAAAACACAAATCAGTAAAAATTATACATATTTAAGGGTTTGCTCACAAAAATAACTGGGAAAGGCCTTTCTACCTACAACTATACATTGTAGAGAGCAGGGAAAGGGGAATGAATATGTGCTGCTCACCTTACTCCTTTGGGATCTCGGTTACCTCTTATGCTTCCCTAAGTGCAAGTGCAAGTGTGAGCTGAATGGAATTTCTCCCCCATCCCCAGTTCAGAGAGAGGCCACTGCTTTCCCTGTTGATGGACAGTGCTTCTATGTGTTAAAGAAAGAACTGATGCCTGTCTATTGTCATCATTACAGCAATCATTTTTATTGACACATTTGTGTATATATATTCTGTATTTCTGTAACATTTGTTTCAGTTGTTTTAGTTTTCTGTTCACCATTTAGATAGATAGATAGATAGATAGATAGATAGATATAATATGGTGTATTAAGTGGCATAGAAATGATCTAAATGAATAAATAAAAACAAATGTATGAGCAAGATTTCTCTCGCTCATAAAACAAAGATAACCATCTTTCTCCCAACAACTAGAGCCTTCTTCACGACTTCCTTCTCCCCATAGAGACTGTGTATGTCTTTATCTAAGCAGCCAAGAGTTTGGCTGACACATGTCTTATATGGGCTAAGCTGCAAGAAACGCCTGAAATAATCAACCTAATTTCTATCATTGTCAGAGACTGTAAAGAAGAAGCAACAAATCCCTCTATTTAGTTCAGGCATGAGTGCCGCTGCTTATGTAGCCAAAACAGCACCACCCATGCCGCTGCTGCTGTTTATTACTGCTGTAGACCAATAAAAACACCACCCAGGCTTGAAGGAACCCCACAATTGGCAAAAATATGAAAAAAGAATTAGAGTAACACCCTTAAAATGTCTGTGGGGGGGGGGGAGAAACAGCCCACTGAGTATGCTCAGTGGATAATGAATGCTATTGAAGGAAGAAAAATGAGAAAACCAGAATAGAAAGGGAATCAATTGGAATGGAGTATCAAGGAGGCAGAACAGTGAGCAGGAACACTCAACACTGCAAAATTTTGCTGCAGGGTCCACTAGTATTTATTTATTTTATTTGCTTATTATGCTTGCATCCTGTCTTTCTGCCATGGGACTCAAGCTGGGCATAGATAGAGAACTGGCCTGCTTAGCTTCAACTGGATTGCTGCATCACATATCTTCAAGCCAAACTCTGAAACTGCTTAGTATACTTCAGTGAGGGAAACACAAATAATGTTCTTTCAGCTACCTTTAAGCCCAAACGCTTGCTTGATTCGGACACGGACTCCAGCTTCCTGCCGATAACGGACCGCACGATGTATGTCGATGCACTTCAGAGGATGCTGTGGTGACAAATGTCCTCTCTCGTTTAACTTTTCTACACACCAGGCTTTCAGCTGATCAGGCAGTACTGCATGAAACAAGGAATTAGGATATGGGAAGCAGTAGCAGCACCGCACCAGGGGGATGAGCACCACTTGGCAGTGCTTAAGATTAGGATCTCGGAGAATTCTGCCAGAAACAGAAATGGGAGCAGAAATTCTCACAATGCGCAAACCACACAAGAGAATGTGAATGGTATTTGGTATTGCTTTTTTATCCTGCAAACATCATGGAAATCACTAGGTTATCTTCTGCATGGATTTTTTTTATGTTTACCTTGCACTGAAATGCACTGGAGTGAATTATGAAACTGCTTTTGGCCACAGCAGTTAGCAAGATGAACAACATGGGTTTTTGCAGAAGCCGAACTGTAGCAGAATGAAAACAGCGCTGACTGCGATGAACACAGGGCGGAAACAGCCTCCTCCCTCCTCTCACATCCCAACTTAGAATACCCCAAGAGTGGGAAAGCACTGTGGACCTCCGACAATGCTGGACTACAACTCCCATCAGATCCCACTAGCATCGCCAATGGCCAGCAAATATGGGAGTTGGGAGTGAGTCCACAGCATCTGGAGCAAACCAGGTTCCTTGCACTAGTGTCTGCTGTGTTTCAAATGCACTAGTGTTATTCAAGGCACACTCCAATGTCTCTCAAGACAACAAGTGACTGAAATAAGCTTTAGTGTACGAAGAGGAAGCTTTTGTGATCTAGCCAACCATTTCCATACCTCTGCTTTGCTCCTTGTTCATTAACTGCAGTGCCATGTCCAGCACAAGGTTTGGGAAGCCGCTGTCCTTCTGAAAGCTTGAGATGATCTCCAGCTCTGAACCGCTGGGTTTTGCTCCGTCGGTGAAATAGTATCCTGCCAAGTAATTTGGGGGAGGTACTGGAACCTAAAGGGAAGAAAAATAAGAACACAGGCCTACAATCTAGAAGACAGGACACAAAAGGGAAAAGGGATGAGGAGGGCAGAGGAAAACAAACCAACTCCAGCCTCAACTTCTTAAGATTACAAGGTTATTATAAATAGTCAGCTTGAACTGAGACAGTTCATGGAAACAAGAAGGCCAAATGAAGTTGATCTCTCAGCACAGAGCTGTCTTTAAGGAGCTCTGGTCGATGTTATTGATAATGCTGCAAAGGATTGATATTTTTTCTATTGAGAATTCCTCAGAATTGTTATCTGCGGTGAAATTGAACAAGGCAAGGTCTGGAGAAGGGCTGAACTTGAATAGAAGAATTGCAAATATTTATACAAAAAATAACAAAGCGACTTGCCTGAGCATGTGGTAAGAGTCGAATAAGGAGAGTACAGCAAGGAATAACTGTATGGTGATTCAGCAAAGACGGGGTAAGAGGTGAGGGTCCGTCTTCCAGCAAGCCAGCTCTCAGTTTCAGTTGAAACCCTCCCACATTTAATTCTCCTTCAGCATTAAAGATGTGGATGACGCAGCTTCCTACAGTCATTCACAAAGGGGCAAGTTATTATTTGATTTTAAAAACACAAATGTCTCCTAATCCAGACCTTGCTGGATTCCCATCTGCCTTAGCTGGCATGCCTAATTTATTCATTTATTTATTAAATTTCATATACCACCTGATTGTAAACAAACAAGCAAACCTCAAAGCGGTTCACAAAAAGAACAACACAATAAATTACCGTATTTTTCGCCCTATAGAACGCACTTTTCCCCCTCCAAAAATGAAGAGGAAATGTGTGTGCGTCCTATGGGGCGAATGCAGGCTTTCGCTGAAGCCTGGAGAGCGAGAGGGGTCGGTGCGCGAGAGGGGTTGGTGCGCCTGGAGAGCGAGAGGGATCGGTGCCTGCATTCTGAAGCCTGGGGCGCGGCTCCCTAGGCTTGCGGATAGCAGGCTGTTCTGGGGGCTGGGGTCAGGGGAAGCTCGGGCTTCCCCCGCGCCAGCCCCATGCCTGGGGGAAAATTTTTTCTTCTTCTTTATTTCCCCCCCCCAAAAAAAACTAGGTGCGTCCTATGGGGCGGTGCGCCCTATGGGGCGAAAAATACGGTAATCAGTGAGACCAGTTAAAAACAACTATTTAACATATTTCTTTAACAAATTAAAACCAATGATAGGGTAAAAAGACCAGATTGAAACACATGACAACCTACATGTCTGGATTTGCCTGCCTAATCAAAAATGTTTTTAGGAGGTTCCAAAAAGAGAACAGCCTGCTGTCAATAGGCAGGGAGTCCCAAAGAACCATTGCTGCCACACACAAAAATAAATTTCTTGCAAACGGGGAACAAGTATTGTGTAGCACCCTTAGCAGTGCCAGGTCCACAGATCAAAGTGGATGAGAGGGCATATATGGGTGTTAAGGTGACAGGAGTTGTAGCTCAACAACATCTGGAAGGCCCCAGATTCAGGAAGCAGGCTGGCCTGAGTCATCTCTCGGTCCCCAGAATCGGCGGGTCCACTCTTGTGAGGATCGGTGTGCTCCATCTTGTTGGCATTCTAGTATTTTGTGTCTTGCTCATTCTTCCTTTTTTAAAAAAACCCCAAAGAAACCTGCTGCTGTATCCTAGACTGATGGTTTCAATTACTTCTTCCACACAACGGCCTTGAAAAATGCTTCTCTTCTTGATCAGTAAACTGGATGATGACTCCCTCTATCACGTATTCCCTAGCCGGAGTGCCTTGTTTATGTGCCTAAGTTAAAACTGCATTTGCCATCTGCCAGTCCAATTTGTGTCTAAAACGATTCCAACTCCTTCCCCCCACCCCATCCAATGGCAAAGTAAAAATGTAGAATCGCAGATCTGCGACGCTTTCACATTCAAATGTTCATCTGCAGTTCGGTGCCCAGGACGTTTGGGCTGAGCCTGTTGCAGATGAATGGCTTAAAAATACCAACAACAACGCAATGTAATGTTCTCCCATGTGTGAGGCGAACTGGACTCCTCTAAGATCTCGGCAGCTGCCGAAGACGGAATCTATTACGTAATTATTTATTTAACTAACAGCGCTTATACATCACTTAATAATAATAAAATTGCCTAAACGCTTCGTATTTGCTAGAAAACGCCGATAAAAATCAACAGACTTCCTAAACAAGCAGGCATAATAAAAATATGAGAAGAGATCAAATCAATAGCTTTAAAAACATACATGATGAAATTAAATGTGTGGGCAGCCTTGCCTAAGCAAAAGAGGTTTTTATCAGGCGTTGAAAAACAGTACAATGGTGGTACCGGCCTAATATCAATAGGCAGGGAGTTCTACACTAACGGGTTGCCACACTAAGAGGCTGATTCCTCACAAATGCAGAACATTATACAGTGCTTGAAGAAATGCCAGTTCAGCAGACTGAAGTGGCTGAGTGATCAAATGTGGGGTAAGGCTATTCTTCAAGCAAAGTGGTCTAAGGCAGTGGTGGTGAACCTTTTAGAGACCGAGTGCCCAAACTGCAACCCAAAACCCGCCTATTTATCGCAAAGTGCCAACATGGCAATTTGTGCCCCCGTGTATAAGACGCCCCCTATTTTGGGGGACTCAAATTTAAGAGAATGGGGAGAGATGGCCCAGAGGAGAGGGTAGAGCAAAGTTGTTCAGCTTTTATGCACAGCCTACAGAAACTCACTAACCCCACTGAGAAACGCTGAAAATGGCTTGCGTCACCGCAACTGACATGCCCCTCCAGCTCACCAACAGCAGACTGCCAGCTGCTTGGCGGGCACGCAACTCCCCCAAATATCACTGTGGGCGGAGCGCGCTCTAGGGAGAGTTTCCCACATGCGCTGGTGGGGTGGGGTGGCTGGAAACTTTGTCAGCTGCGCGTGCCCGCAGAGAGGGCTTGGAGTGTCCACTCTGGCATGTGTGCCATAGGTTCGCCACCACTGGTCCACGGGACATCAGGTGGGCATTCTGTGCTGCTACTGAGCTCTTGCCAAAAGAGGGAGTGCCAGGGATTTCAGCCCACCAATAAGGAAGCTTCTTAACAGCAATAGGCTACGGCAAGTCAGGTGATACTCTCTGCTCTCAATAAAAGCTTGCAGATTTTGCTTACTCGCTGGCCTCAGCGCCTAAGATTTTTCTCCTGGTACTGTCTACACATGAGCTAGATCTGTAAAGAAGTGACTTAGCTACAACACTCCATCTTCAAGCAAACGCTGTCAGGAGGAAATGCAATGTTTTGGAAAAGGATAAATTTTTTTAAAGGGGGGGAATGGCTTCTAGGTCCCGTTACCTAGTAGAACGAGGTCTCCAGAATCCATGTCAACTGTATGAACTTGAAACAGAAGCCAAGTGTTGATATCCATCCCACTTGAAATGCCTCCATCTATTGCTGCTCGGTACTGGAATTCTGGATTTCGAGACGGGCTCTCGAGAACAGGAAATGCTACAAAAGGGTGCAGATTGCTGAAGCCCGTATTCTTGAAATGACCTGTTACCTAATGAGGTAGAGAACATTAATTTATATATTATTTTACATATGCACACATACAATCTCTACAGAGTTGTAGAGATTTATTCATCTCTGTTCCAGACCTTTTTTGTTCTGTGTTCTTGGGGCAAAAAGCAATATTGACTACGCCTTCCTAGACCTCCATGAATTTCCCATTGATTTATGCTTCCTTCTAGCCTAAATCAGACACTGAGGGGAGTCCAATCGCCCTTTCCTCCCCACTCTCACGTTTCAATGCAAAGTTGTCACGAAGGTAGAACAGCATCACACACTCGATAATAAATAATATACCCAAATTTCAGCCACATATCATTTACAGGTAAGTGTGTTTTTCTGTATGCAGAAGGCACCATGAGAAAAAATGGAGTCCAACTGGATTCTTGTATATGGGGTTGTTGTTGTTGTTTTTACATCACCCAACATGACCTACTGGGATAAATAATTTCCAGCAAAACTGGTCTCGGAAAGCAGATTTAAGGGCCAGCGCAGAGTTCCCTTTCTGAAAAGAGAGACTCGGACAAAAACAAGGATGGGTGAATCTGTATATGGCAGCTTCTCTCTTTATGTAAAGCAAGCAGCTCACAGCAGAAGCCTCCCTGCCGGGCATAGCAGCCCACTGCCCTTTTCCCAGACCACCCCAGGAGCTACGCAATATGGAATGCTAATAAGGGCGCATTGACTGAAGTGGGGAGCCGCAGGAGTATTCTGAAGCTTACCTTTGTGATGGTTGCATTATCAGGTATATAATGAAGGGCATCTATATACAGATCAAATGGCTGGCTGATCCTCGGAGGATTTGGTAGCATGATGCTGGGATCATGCGGGACCCAAGGAGCATAGAGAAAAGAGGGTCCTTGGAGCCTGATCAATACAAACAAGCACAGGAAATATCAATCAAACAGGTTTAAATGGTTTAAATCAGAGGTTTTCAACCTTTTTGAGTCCACGGCTCCCTTGACCAACTACATTCTTTCTGCGGCACCCCTGTGGGGCCCCTGTGGGGCTCAGGAGCCCAGTTATGTCACCCCCTTGCCTGCAGAGCTGGCAGCCCCTCACCCCTTTTCAAACGCCCTCCCTGTTGAGTTTTCCCTCAGCCTCCTCTCTTCTCCCCTCTCCCCTCTCCTTGGGAGTCCTCTGGGCAGCTGCAGCTGCCACCCCTGGTCTATTAGCTGCCCTCCTGCCCCAAAGAGAGGTGCCTCCTCCCATTGCCCCACAGGGGCCTGAAAGCACACCCTGGCCAGCCCCAGAGGCACCATTTGCCTGGGGAGCTTATAGCCAGGGCTGCTGCAACAAACAGCTCTGCAAGCCTTTGGGAGGCAGAGACACAAGCAGATACCAGAGGAGGGAGGAAAGGAAAGAGCGACAGAGGCCAGTGTTGCTCGTGGCACCCCTGACCATCATCCAAGCCACCCCTGTGGAACGCCCTCCCATCAGATGCCAAGGAAATACAGTGGTACCTCGGGTTAAGAACTTAATTCATTCTGGAGGTCTGTTCTTAACCTGAAACTGTTCTTAACCTGAGGTACCACTTTAGCTAATGGGGCCTCCTGCTGCCGCTGCGCGATTTCTGTTCTCATCCTGAAGCAAAGTTCTTAATCCGAGGTACTATTTCTGGGTTAGCGGAGTCTGTAACCTGAAGCGTCTGCAACCTGAAGCGTCTGTAACCCGAGGTACCACTGTAAACAACTATCTGACTTTTAGAAGACATAGGAAGGCAGCCCTGTTTAATTCTGTTGGGAGCCGCCCAGAGTGGCTAGGGAAACCCAGCCAGATGGGTAGGGTATGTATGTATAAATAAATAAATAAATAAATAAATAAATAAATAAATATTATACAAGGTCTTTTCTGGCACCACTCCCCAGAATCCTGCAACTGGATTGAACCTGGGACCTCCTGCATGAAAGGGGTGGGATGTGAGGGCGATCTGGCTGCGACATCTGTCACCCCCATTGATGAAAGGGGTGTGCTCTCCACCACTGAGCCACTGCCCTTCCCCTGGTGCAGAGGTGCAGTTTCCAGTTGGGGCCCAAGAGATAGGAAACTTGCTAATTTTCTCAGCCGTTAAACTTTACCAACTTTTCCATTTATAGCATGTGGTGCGGCAGGAACCATTTCCTCCTGCCAATCTGTTTTGCTTGCAGACGACTGACTGACACCGGCAAATAAAATAAAAATAAAACTTCGTGCAGCTGCCGGCTTCACTTTTGAGGCTCCCAAGCTGCACAGTCCCACCCCTCTTGCTGGTATGTGCCGTAAAAGCATCGCCTTGGCTTCCCACTTCAAAGCTGCCGGGGTTTTGGAGAACGAGGCGGTTTCTGTGCATTAAACACTCACTTTTGTGTTTTCATTTATACACGTTAGCGCCCCTTTTCAAGGCAGGCCCTGTGCCAGACGCAACGTCTTGCAAAATAATTTACAGTAAAATCATCTTACGTTTTATACGCCGTATTGATTTTGGCGTTAATTTTCAAACCTGCGAAAGTCAGGGGGGCCGTAAATCTGCAGATAAATTGGCAGAAATGACAGGACAGAAAATGTTCAACGAGGGAGAGTTGTGTGTGTCGGCTGTGAGCTATTTAGCTAGTTAGATGAGAAATATATCAAGAGAGGCCCCGTAAATCCCAAGATGAGTCATAAATATAACAATGCATGGCAAGATATGGTTTCGGTAGGAAAGAACAAGGATCTTAGGGCAGAGACAGGGAACTAGTTTTGGGTTCTTTTGCTTTTTAGAAACCAGAAGGTGGCTTTAAAAAGGGATTGCTGCTTGCAGCACAGAAGCTTGCCAAATAAAAAGCAGTACTGTCTCGCATGAATAATAACATATTAAATATTTTGGAAATTTGTTTGCTCGCTTTGCATTTTGACAGCTCTTGAGATACCATACACAATCAAATTTTGCAGGCTGGTTCGTGAGATCAAGGTGCAGGTTTTCATCTATGTGTGGATACAATAGTTTTGAATCAAGATGGCAGACGGAACTTTTAAAAACTGCACAGATTTGAACCACTGATTTCAAAACTGCACAGATTTTTTGGTTTCTTAGAATTCCAGAGCAACACTGGGTAGGAGCCTTCTAGAAAAATAAAATGCAGCCAGTATTTTCCCATCCAAGCCATGTTCCCCCCAAGTTTCAGTGGTTACCTTTCTTCCCCCAAGCGGTGGCTTTGCAGTCTCCGTCTTTCGTTGGCAAGATCATACACTGTCAGCTGGATCGTTGAACGGCCCTCTGCAAAATCTGGAAACATATGTGATTTACTGCAATGCACCTCTACTTTCTAGTACAATTAAACACACACACACTGTACTCTTCACACAGAAAAAGAATTATTGTCAGAAGGTCAAGTCCGGCACAGCTACAGTTATCACTCAGGCAAATTTAAATAGACGGCAGCAGCACAAGATCAATTAAGAAAATTAAATGAAAACCTATTCTTCTCTAAGTGAGAAATTGGCTCCCCCTTTACAGACCCTTTGGCAGCTGCCTCAAAGGAATTATCCGTTCTCTGGAAAGAGACCCAGAGGGGCATTTATTGGCTGAGACTCCAGAGCAAAGTGTGTGGCCGTCATGATTGTACTGAGACTCAGATCTAGCATGCTACAAGGGGCTCTACCTAGGTGGGTTCAATCCCAGATTTAAAAGCGTGGGAACACTCTGCAGTATAGGTGTCCTCTGGGTGTCAGGCGTAGAACACTACACTGCAAGGCTGGGCAAACCTCTGCCCCGTCTTGAGGGCACCCAGGGCCAGCCCAAGACATTTTGTTGCCTGAAGTCAAGTTCAATATATGCCTTCCCCGTGCTTCTATTCCACATGCAGAAGCCAGCTAGACCAGCAGCCAAATCTTAGATCGCACCTGGACAACCTGTTTTTATTTAGCGTTGAACCTGATTTGCTTTCAGGGAGATCAGACGGCTATTTAATGAGCATTCATTTTGATTTGTTTGAGGGGAGATCAGATGACCATTGTGTCAGGGCAAGTGTTGTCCCACACTTCCCCATGCATTTGCAAAAAAGGTTTGACCTTTGGAGAGAAGTGAATTTATTGCACAAGAACTCCCAACCAGCTGCAATTGTGCAACCTGGATTTTCCAGTATATGACTGAATCTTACCTGTAAATATTGACAGTCAGGAAATGACCTCGCTTTGATACTGGCATGAGAACAACACCCTCCACTGCACCCGTAGCAGGTTATTTTAGGAGGTACAGGGGAGGCTGTTAGCACAAACACCTCATCATTTCCTGTGCCCCAAGCATATGCCACCTGAGGCAACTGCTTCACTCTGCCCAATGACAGGGCTAGCCCCAAGCACCACATTCCCTTAGAGGTAATCTGCTAGGGGCCACATACTGGAGCCAGATACAAAAAAGTTCTGGATTAAATAATCCAGAATAAGACTACCCTGCTTCAATGTTTACTTTGCTCCCATCAGATTAGAATTCCCAATCCTATAGGTCCACTCAGAAGTTAGGTCCCACCAGGTTTTCTCTCAAATAGCACCTTCTTAGCAACATCTCTCTGTAGTGTGATGGAATGTGCTGGTCAGGTCAACCAAACCAGTGCTCTGCAACTGTCCACCCCCCGGCCCTTTCATTCATTTCCACAATCCCAACACTAGTTGTCCAGGCCAATAGTGGCTAGAGGCAGAAGTATGGCCACAGGGAATCCCCCAGACCTGTCTGTTGCTGGGCAAGTTCCTACACATCCTCAGCTCTGATGCCAGAATGATGTCATTGCCCGTATAAGGAGGACTAAAAGAAGTGGTAGGGAACAGGGCCCCCACCTGGAGCCCCACATTTGGATGTTTTGGATTTATGGTTGCAGCCCCAGCACCAACATTATTGGTTGCCATGAGGCCAGGTTTGTATGATCAGTTTTAACTATGGTTAGCTAAAAAGTGGTTAGCTGCCAACAAATGTCCGTATAGTAAAAGCTATGGTTTTCCCAGTAGCGATGTATGGAAGTGAAAGTTGGACCATAAAGAAGGCTGATCGCCAAAGAATTGATGCTTTTGAATTATGGTGCTGGAGGAGACTCTTGAGAGTCCCATGGACTGCAAGAAGATCAAACCTATCCATTCTGAAGGAAATCAGCCCTGAGTGTTCACTGGAAGGACAGATCGTGAAGCTGAGGCTCCAATACTTTGGCCACCTCATGAGAAGAGAAGACTCCCTGGAAAAGACCCTGATGTTGGGAAAGATGGAGGGCACAAGGAGAAGGGGACAACAGAGGACGAGATGGTTGGATAGTGTTCTCGAAGCTACCAGCATGAGTTTGACCAAACTGCAGGAGGCAGTGGAAGACAGAAGGGCCTGGCGTGCTCTGGTCCAGGGGGTCACGAAGAGTCGGACACGACTAAACGACTAAACAACAACAGCAGCTAAAAAGTGTGGTTTATAAACCATAGCTTCACCCATTACCCACGACTCTGTTACCTTTGGGAAGCTCTCTGAAAGGACACTCCATTATAGCATCAGGCACTTCCCCAGGATTCAGAGGCACGCACGGTGAGAATTCCCTAGGGGCCCAGATCATTCCAGAACCTGTAGTTTCTTGCTGGAACACATCCACTTTCTGCCACCCAAGAGCCAGTGAATCTGTAAAGCAGGAAAACGAGGTTCTTAGTCGGTTGGCATCTCTTCTGGGGGTAACCAAACCAGGCAGCAGCAGCAGCTCTGAAGACAGGAGTACCAGAGAGGGCAAGTGGCTTTTTCTCAACCAAGGGCTAAATGCAATTCTTTTGTGGGCTATTTTGTATGCAAGTGTGATGATAGTTAAGACTGCTGCACTAGGGGGAATGGGGTGCTAACCTACCAGCCTCACTCTGCCCTCAGCCAGACCCCACCTTACCTGTCTCCTTACTTACAGCCAACAGAGGAGGTGGCACTGCTGATACTCACAACTACTAAGAATTAACAACAACAGCAACAACAATAAACTTGCCCTTCACACTAAGATCCCAGGGTTAAAACTGTTAAAATGCAACAGTCCAAAACAAGATAAAATCACAGAAATAAGGTGGGTCCTAAAATTTAGATATCAATGATGAGAGTACAGAACTTAATTCGTTCTGGAGGTCCATTCTTAACCTGAAACTGTTCTTAGCCTGAAGCACCACTTTAGCTAATGGGGCCTCCCGCCGCCGCCGCCACACGATTTCTGTTCTCATCCTGAAGCAAAGTTCTTAACCCAAGGTACTATTTCTGGGTTAGCGGAGTTTGTAACCTGAAGCGTCTGTAACCCAGGGTACCACTGCAAAGGAGTTTTGTATTCAGTGGTGCACTCTCCTTCCTTGGAGGTTTTTAAGCAGAGATTGGATGGCCATCAGCCATGGATGCTTTAGCTGATATTTCTGCATTGCAGGGGGTTGGACTAGATGACCCCCGGGTTCTCTTCCAACTTGAAGATTCTATGAAGGCTATACAATGAAGGGGCCAGATGCACCACTGTGGGGAGGGAGTTCCACTGCTCAGGAGCTGCCCCAAACAACCCTCTGTTCAGATATCATGCGTGGAGAGAATGCGAACTGCGCCCACCAAAGAAGACGTTACCTGTTCCTTTAGGACTGTACGTGACCTTCAACAAGATGTAAGGTTTTGCGTCTTGCACGCCTACGAATGCTGTTGGGTCCAGGGAATCAAATGCAAACGATTCTTGACAACAAGAACAACAAAAGACAAGGGACAGTATTTGATCATTGTGTTACTTCGTTTTAGAAACGATTTTCGTAGCAAATAGAGATTTTTGTTTTTCAGTCCAGGGATTATGGTGGCTAATTTTGAAGAGACAGAATTCACTGAAATATATACCAAGTCAGACCATCTAGCACAGTATTGCCAACACTGGCTGGCAGCAGCTCTCTAGGGTTTCAGGCAACAAAATCCCCCCCCTTGAATAAACATTCACAAACTTTTTATTGATAATAATCGGCTAAATAGTTTGAGGATCTATACAACTTTGTAACATGCAGAAAACAGCAGTCTCAGAGAAACCAAAGACTGGAACTGAGGGAAGTCGGGGGGTGGGGGGAGGGAGGAAAAATGGGGGGGGGGAATAAGGATGATATGTTTCTGGATAATATGTTTTGTTTTAATTTTGAATAAAATAAATAAATAAAAATTCCTCCAGCCCTACCTGGAGATGCAAGGAATTGAACCTGGAACCTGTGGGAATTGTAGTTCAACAACATATGGAGGGCCGCAGGTTAGTCACCCCTGTTTCAGAAGCCGGACTTAATGGTTTTACTAACCTCACGTCTTTAGATGGTCATATGCATTATTTAATGGTAAGCCAACCCTGCTGGATTTCTGGGGTTGGTGTGGGGAGCTGCTGGGTGTGGCCCTAGACCTCTCCTAATCCTCATCCAGTACCTACAGAAATTCATGGATTCTCCCCAAGGCCACAGTGACTTCAGAAGCACAGGAGAGCAGAAAGGGCTCTCCCTGGTACTGTGCTGAGCAAGGAAACACTTGGAAAGCAATGAAGCTTCTTGCCAATTTCTGATTGTTTATAGCTTATTTGTAACTTGAGAAACAATCTTTGCCCTTATATAGGTGATATAAGGGCATATATCACTGAGGCCCATGAGAAGGCTTCTCCTGAAAAATCCAAAGATATCAGAAGACTGCTTGCCCCACCAGAACCAGGAGCAGGGCTTTCCTTATGTAGTAGCCGCTGTTTGAGATACGACAGGCACCCACTACCTGCACTTTCCAGGAAAAACTGAAGACATTGATATTCAGCTTTCCCAGTTGGATGAATGGGTCTCTGCCATCAGTGTCTATTTTGCTTTTTTAATATATATATATATCTGCTGGGTTTTGCTGTGGTTTTTAAGTTGCTCTTATTGTACATCGCCTTGAGATGTCTCCCAGAAGGCAATAAATAAATTAAGCAGAGGAAGAGGGCAGAATTCCTGCATTGCAGGGGTTGGACCAGATGATCCTTGACGTCCCTCCCAACTCTACAATTCTGTGAAGAATGATGGGGACCAAAGTCAGGCTGCTTTGTGGGCTGCTTTGCATGCAGAAAGTCTCTGTTTCTGGCATTTCAAGTTAGAAGGCAGCAAGTGATTTGAAAGACCCCTCTGCTTGAGACCTTGAAGAGCTACTGCCTCTCAAAGTAGACAAGACTGGACTAGGTAAAGCAATGGCTTGAGATAGCATAAAGGCAGCTCCCTACGTTCTGGATTAGCCTGTTATATAAATACTAAGAACCTTTGCTTGGTCAAAAACATACTTCAGGGGTAAAAGCTTCCCACTCCAGAAACTGGGGAACCAGTGGCCCTCCAGATTTTGGCTGGACTCCAGCTCCCATTAGACCAAGTCAGCATGGCTAACAGTCAGGGATGATGGGAGTTGTAGTCCAACAATGTCTGCATCCCTGGCCTACAGCTTAGCTCCCACATTGGGCTTCAGTTCTAAGTTGGCTGTGACCTTCCTTTAGTCAGTTTCTCATCTTAAGTACTTCCTACCGACAAAAACTGCAAACGGCGTAACATTTCCAATTCCTCAGCAGGACTCGTTTGGGAGGGAAGGGGGAAGGAGGGAAAAAAAGATATTTTATGTACTGCCTGGTTGTATAACAGCAGTACTCTCTATTGATTTGCAGTATTCTCACAATAAATAGCTTTTGAGCTTTAATTAAACCTCTCAATTTGTTTCCAGCCATTAGTCAATCTCAGCAGCAACTTATTGTTCTGCACAGTATATTACAAAAAGCAGGGAGAAATTAGCTCATAATTTATTCAGCAGACAGATTTTCTGGGGATAACTTAATTCTTTTGGGGCGGACCTACATGTCAGAAAGAACACGGGACTGCTGCCAGGAATGACAGACTGCAACTCCCATCATCATTAGTGGTTTTTTATTATTTATTAAATTTGTATGCTGACCTCCATCCGAAGACCACAGGGCGGTTCACAACAGAATGAGAACACAAAATACATAATAAAACAAAAACAAAACAATAACCTCCTCTCCAAGCGGGAGATAACCAGAGCATGTACCATTCTGGTGAGACAGTGTGCGGACAGGTACGGTCTCAGCTGGCATACCAGATGGAGCTGGTAGACAGCCGTCCTGGACACAGATTTGACCTGCATATGCTTCCATGGACAGCTGTGAGTCCAAAATGACTCCCGGACTGCGCACCTGGTCTTTTATGGGCACGGTTACCTGGTTCAGGACCAGGGGATCCCTCACACCTGGCTGCTCTCCCAGAAACAGGTTCATTCTCAACCTGTGGACCACCATCCACTGGAGAGCTGATGTTCCCTGGCTGAGCACCAGCTTGGGGAAGGGCAAGCTATTTATTGTGTTTCAGCTGATAATGGCCTTCCATCATTAAAAATACTCAGCAACCAACTGGTTCGTTTTCATACCACTGAACTGAAGAGTAAATCCTGTTTCTGTTTTTCCTTGGGTTTTCCGTAGAAGGGAGGAGCTGAAAGAGCTTGTCTTGGAACGCAGCATTTCAGGGCCACAATACACCGAAACTGTTAACTTCACAGCAGAAGGATCAAATTTTTTAAAGAGAGACTCCTATGAGAAGGGAGCGGGGCGGGGGTGGGTGTTAAAAAAAGGAACAAGACATATTATTCTACATTACGATGAATGGGTCACTGTGCAGATCAATTTAATTAATCGCAGGGGAAAAACATTACTTTTCCAATGCCTACCTGTGATTGTATTACTGAAAGGGCACAAGTCTTCAGTCCACCCTGCTATAACGTATGATACAGTCAGCAAACAAAGGAAAATATATCATGGGTCGTAACTGGCGTGATCCATTACAATAGAGCAGTGGCTTTCAAACCCTGTTTCAGTGGCATATGGGAGGGTGGAATGGTGATATGGGGCAAGGTTAGCAGGGAGGGGCTCTGGGGTGGCAACATACAACCTATGGGCTCTCTCTTCCACTTGCACTACAAATGGATCTGGTTGAGACAACAGGTGTAGCATTTTGCAAAATCATGCTGTGTTTTCTATCCCTTCGCCTAGGGGATTGAGGACACGATTTAAGAATGATAGTCCTTTGATACTGGATATAAATGTATTTCTTAATCTGTATCATGGTACTGCTTTTGTGTACTCCCTTTTTCAGTTCTGCATTTTATGCTTTATATTGAGTCATGGTGCTATTGTTTTGGTTTATATTAAAATGAATAAAAATTGAAAGAAAAAATAATTGAATGAATTAGAAACATTAGAAGATAGCAATTGCAGAGTAATGAGTAATGTGATTTCATCCGGGTGGGGCTCCAGATGTGGTGGGACTCCATCTCCCATCATCCCTGACTGGGGCTGATGAGATTTGGAGTTCAACAACATCAAGGTGGGCCCCAGGTGCCTCACCCCTGCCATGGGTTTTGCTCAAAACAAGTTATCTACACCCACAACTCTCTTCACTTGACTTCTCTCTTTGGTAAATTAAAGATTATTGCCATGCCCATATAATTAATTTACTACTTACACTGTGGCGAGTCTCAGCCCGAGGAACTGGTAAAACTACCGTCAATAAAATATCCTTCACGCCAGTTGGCGAGATTTCCCCCGGGTCCAGACACATTTTTCCAGCTGTGAAAACAAATTGTCAAAAGATCATCATTAACCAATTTCCAGAGGGGCAGCAAAAGCAATAAAGTGTGTTTTGGCACCTTAAAAACAAAAGCCCTTCCCCCCATGTCCTTTTCATTGTCCATTCATGATGATTTGCGTTCATGAGGGTATCGGGGTGGTTATCTGCAATCCCGCTTGAGACGCTGTTTGTGTCCTGGGGCGGATATATTGCTCTGTTTCCAATTGGTGCATGTTGCATAACACCCCCATCGTTCTACCCGGACACTGAGGTCCAGCTCCGAGGGCCTTCTGGCGGTTCCCTCACTGCGAGAGGCCAAGTTACAGGGAACCAGGCAGAGGGCCTTCTCGGTAGTGGCGCCCGCCCTGTGGAACACCCTCCCATCAGATGTCAAAGCGATAAACAACTACCTGACATTCAGAAGACATCTGAAGGCAGCCCTGTTCAGGGAAGTTTTTAATATGTGACATTTTAGTGTATTTTTCATCTTTGTTGGAAGCCGCCCAGAGTGGCTGGGGAAACCCAGCCAGATGGGCGGGGTACAAATAATAAATTATTATTATTATTATTCCTGCTGAAATCCTGTAACTTTTTATAACATGCATGCTCTGGGGCGGCAGGGGCGGTTCTCCCACTTTTGTGGCCCTTCGTCAAAAGATCTCAAGGTGATTCACAAGACAAGACAACTGTTGCACCCGTGACCCACAAGCAACAACCACAGCCCACCAGCTTGGCCCAGTAATTGCAGAATACCAGGCCTGGAGGGGGTGAGAAGAAGCAGGCACCCACTGTCACAAAAAGCATGGCTTATTCTACCAGGCACTGCAGTTTCTTGAATGAGTCTAAAACCCTTTTTTCAGAGGAAATCTAATAATGATTGCGGAGTGCTTTAGAAAGGCTCAATACACAGTAGAGTAAGTCATGATTGTTGTGGTAGCTGAGATCTCTGCTAAGACATGCCAGCTATTGTGATCTGCAGGGACTTTTAACCTTTACGCTCTCTCTTTTGTGTTCTTCAGTATTAGCATCAACCTAGAACAGGGCGGGTTGCGGGGGGGAGTTACGTACCTTCTGCTGAGCCATGCCTCGGAGGAGACAGATCCACAAGCGGCCTGCACATGCAAATAGTGCTAATTAGTGGGTTTTCATAATTTAGTTCCTCCTCTCAGTACACAGAGGAAGAGGAGGGAGCAGTAGGCAACAATCAGAGCTAAATTCTCATTTTAATTACTTTTGCTCATTAAAGTTATTCTGCAGTCTGCTGTGAAAAACACACACATCCCAGAAAAACAAAAGCAGGAACAACAGAGTCCAGCATTTGTACTTGAAAACAACCACCAAAAACCACAACTACACACATGAGCATCGCAAAACTATTTCTGCACACAGCACAGACAGGCATGCATAATTTCCCAGTATAAAATATTCATTGTGGCTGAAGGATTTAGAATTGCTCTCCTTAATTTATAAGTCAAATGAGAGAATGGCTGCACCGCAGTGTTTTCTCAGCAAGAGGAGGAAGATCGAGTGGGCAGAAAGTGTGGCTTTAGAGTGCTGCAGCCAGCACAAAAAATGGAATGCCAAAATTAGGAGTGTGCGACTCCAGAAGTCATCTAGTCCAAGCCAGTGTCCTTTAACACAGGAAGAGCCACCTGTGACTATGATGCAATGGGCGGTATCCATTGCATCCATTTTTGTAGGTGGAAGTCGCTAAATGCCTATGGGTTCACTTTATTTTTGCCCTACTCAGCGTAGACCCACTGAAATAGACATGACTAACAAGTCGATTAATTTCTGCGGGTCTACTCTGAGTAGAAGAAACTATAACAACAGCAGCAGCAGCAACTATCATGGCTAGGGTTGTTCCCCATCCCTGGTGTACAGTGGTACCTCGAAAGTCAAACGGAATCCGTTCCGGAAGTCCGTTCGACTTCCAAAACATTCAGAAACCAAGGTGCGGCTTCCGATTGGCCGCAGGAAGCTCCTGCGGCCCATCAGAAGCTGCGGAAGTCATGTCGGACGTTTGGGTTCCAAAGAACGTTCGCAAACCGGAACACTCACTTCCGGGTTTGCGGTGTTCGGGAGCCAAGGCATTTGGGATCCAAGGTACAACTGTTATTTAGTTACCAACTGGCCTTGTAGGTATTTTTGAGCCAGGGTGTGGTCCTCTACCTTTGATTCAGTCTATTAAGCCCAGGAACATCAGCAGGCAAGCCCCCTTGCTGTAAGTGAATCCAAGCCCTTTGAATGTCAGCTGTGAGAAGCTGGGAGGCTGAAGACAGAAACACCTGAGAGGGAGAAGGAGGGAGGAATTCAACACTCTGCATGATACAGATTGGGTCATCAGTATTTCATAGACATCAAGGCCACTTTCTGCTGGAAATAAAGGCATTTCCCCTCTCCCTTAAAAGGACACCTGAAAAATATGATTTGTTTCTGCAAACTCACCTTATTGTTCCGCTCTCCCCCTCCCCCCCGCAATATTCATTATGAAAGGCTGAATTGTTTTTGTCTATGGGTTTATTTCCTAACAGGTTTATTTCTTATTCTTTTTAACATAAATGATGCTATCAAGCTCATGATGACATTATCATCGCTGGATCGGATTGTTATAATAGGTGTGATACTTGTTGTATATTTTGTCATTTCTATGGATTCTAAACTGCTTTGTGTATAAAAAGGCAGCTGCTTAAATTAAAAATGAAATGAAATAAACCTCATTTTATCCACAAATGCTCTGTGAAGGTAAGTTAGCCAGAGAGAGGGGGGAGGGGAGAGAGACTGGCCCAAGGCTATCCAGTGAGCTTCCAGTCCAAACTGTGATTTGAACCCAGGTCTCCCAAATCCTCATATGACACAGAAACATAGTAAACTGTCTTATAATAAGTCAGACCATTGGGTTCACCTAGACCAGTACTGCCTACACAGACAGGCAGCAGTTTTCTGGGGTTTCAGCCAGCCTTACCTGGAGATGTCAGGAATTGAACTTGCGACCTTCTGCATGCAAAGCAGATGATCTGCTATTGAGCGACAGCTCAGTCGGTAGAGCATGAGACACTTAAATCTCAGGGTTGTGAGTTCAAGCCCCACATGGGGTGAAATATTCGCGAATTGCAGGGAGTTGGTCAAATCATTGCCTTGGTCCTTTCTAACTCTACAGTTCTATGATTCTATGGGAGACAGCCCTTCCCCAGGGCTGTAACTCCAGCAGGAGCCCACGAGGCTGGCAGATCCAGCCGAATCGCACTGGAGCCTTCAGGACCTCAGACAGCTCCAAGTTGGCAACTGGCTCCAAGGAAGATCTTTTGTCTCCTTTGAGCCAGACTACCCCTCTTAAGCTCCACTCTCCTTGATGAAGTGTCTCTGGCCCAGAACTTAGCACCCCCTTGCCTCCCCATCCATTTCCACTTTGTGCATTGTCAGCAATGAGGAGCAGGCACTGGGGAGCCCAAGACCCCTGGTGTAGAGGGGGTAGCTCTTTGGAGGTATAATAATAATAATAATAAATTTTTATTTATACCCCACCCTTCCCGGTTCAAAAACCAGGCTCAGGGTGGCTAACAACAAATTTAAAACACTTAATTGTAAAAGCAGCATAAAATACAGTATAAAAGCATGAACAACAATAAAATTCAAAGTTCAAAAATCAATTTGGGGGAAATCCATCCAATAAACATTAGATGGTCACCCAGGCTAGCTGGCTGAATTAGTCCTACTTGGGCCAGCGAGGAGGCCAGGGGAGAATTAGCTGTGGGGTCCCCTTCATAAAAGGGGAGGGGAAGGGAAGAGAAGGGAAATAAAAGATCAGGCTGAATTCAAATTAAAGGCCAGGCGGAATAGCTCTGTCTTACAGGCCCGGCGGAAGGAGGTTAAATCCGGAAGGGCCTTAGTCTCATGGGACAGAGCATTCCACCAGGTCGGAGCCATCACTGAAAAGGCCCTGGCCCTGGTGGAGGATAGTCTGACTTCCTTAGGGCCCGGGACCTCTAAAATATGGTTATTAATTGACCTTAAGGTCCTCTGCGGGGCATACCAGGAGAGGCGGTCCCGTAAAAAAATCTGGCTCATGAAGTGCTGCTGCCTCATGGCATCCTAGTTTGAGGTCTCTGTCTCCAAGGGCTCCCAATTTGGGGGCCTGTACTCAGCACCTCTGTAGCTCAATAACACAGGAAGAGCCTGTGGCCCATCTAGTCCAGCATCCTTGAAGTCCCAACCAGAAGTGCAAGTAGGACCTGAGCACAAGACTTCTGCTCCAAAGACCTGCCTGGATGGTGCACCGCCTCTGTGTCAGACCCGAGTCCTGGCTGATGCTTGAGGTTGTGGCACATGGATAAAAGAGAATACTTCTCCATGCAGCACCTATCAGTGGCTACGGGCCATGATGGCTATGTTCTATGATGCTTCTGAATACCAGTTGCTGGAAGCCTCAAGAGAGGACAGTGCTCTTGCGCTCAGATCCTGTTTGTGGGTTTCCCACAGGCATCTGGGGAGCCACTGTGAGAGCAGGAGGCTGGACTAGGTGGTCCATTGGCTGTTCTTTTGTTTTATATTATTGCAATGTATAGAGAGAAGAAAGGAAGGGGAGGGCAGGGAGAAGTGAAGCCAGTAAGAGGAAGAATATGAGCAAGAAATCAAAATTCCAGTTTCTTTCCCTCCCCCCGCCCCATCCAACTGCAGCCCCCAAATAGAAAGCAAGCTAATACACACTTGTTGAACTGCTGGGTAGTCATCAGCTGCCATGAACGACTCCTTTAATAACAGAAGGATGGAGACACAGAAATTCTGCATCACATCTAGACTCCAGTCTTTCATGAATAACTGGTCCCAGATCAACAAGACAGCAGGCAAGTTCAGAACACCGACAAACCCCTATGCGAGACAGGAAAGCCAGTTTTACGTTGGTGCCAGTGTCTCCCCAATGTGTGATAGCCAAGGCACCATTTTCTTTCTAAAGCTACATTGGAAGAGGGCATTGCAAAAGAGGTTTCTTTTCAGAATGTGAGAGCACAAAAATGACCCATCCGAACAGGAGGCAATCCCACTCTGCGTAAGTCATTCTTCAGGATCTGCCTCCTCCAAAGGCAATTAACTCCCCTGCTTCTCTGCAAGAGCAAGATGGACATTAACACTCCAAGTTGCATATGATGTTAAGATAGGATGGAATCACACAATTCCAGCGGAAGCTGATTGGGAACCAGAGCGGTGATTCTTACAGAGACACAACAGGCAGCTTCTTCAAAAGGCAAGTAATTCTGCTGTCCTGTGATCCAATCACAACTGATGCAAAGTCAGGGCACAGTTACCTTCACCTAACAAAGGCAAATTGGAAGGAGGGGAGGCTAGAGGAATGAATCACGCAGAGATGCACTGGGAAGACCCCTCTGCAGCTGGGTAATTTCTTCTGTGTTTGCGTATGAGGAGTGACTCGCTGATCCAATCACACAAAATGCTGAGAGGTAGCAGGATTAGCTGTTCCTCAGCAGTGGCCACTAGCATGAGTCAACAGCTGCTGAGGCAAGCGAGGCTTAAACAAGAGAGGCTTATCTCACTGCAGGTAGAGAGAGCCACCCAAACTGAGCTGCGGTTCTATTTAAAGCAGAGTCTGGTGCTGAAGCAACATTTGAACCCTGCCCCTGTGAGGCTCCAGCTTGAACATCTTACCTTGCCAGAGCAGTGAATCATGCAGAGACACAGCGAGCAGCCTCCCTCTGGTGGAGGAGCCTCACAGGAGCCTTTAATGATTTATTTCATTTTTCATGACATTAGCCACTTTCTGTAAGCACAATGGATATTGCTGCCATAGAATCTGTCCTTTCTGCAGGTGGGGGCTCCTTGACAGGCTGGTCAAGGTGGGAAGGAGTTTCTCCCCTCTTCTTCCATAACACTAGCTGAAGAACGGGAATTTGGAATCCACTGAGCCAGAGCACACATTGGACACAGCAGTGTGGCTGTAGCTGCAGGACAGCCCCCTTGTGGCTGCAAGCTGGTGCTGCAGACAAACTCCAGAAACATTACACAACTTCACTCTTAGGAGAAATCTCCTCCACGGGGTCTAAAATCTGGCGGCTAACAGGATTCTGTGACATATTCTGACCACCTCAGTAAAGTTTTCAGTTGTAAAGGGTGGTCAGGCAAACAATTTATTTGACAAGCTCCCCACTCTACCAAAAAAGGATTTGCTGGCTTCTTCGTTTTTACCTCTCCCATCCACTTCCTAAGGAAAACCACGGGGCTTGCCAGTATTTCTTTGGTTCCGTTTTGTCTTGATGGGAATCCATTTTCAAATGCGCAGATCCCTTGAGCTCTCCCTCTTTCTTGAAGTATCAATTCCACCAGGAAATCCTTAAAAAAAGGGGGGGGAGGAACCATAGCATTTGTAGGGGAATAATAGCGGGTCCTCCCCATTCTTTACTTCCTACAAGCATGGGGCACTTTCCATTCCAATTTGCCTCTTGAATCTGAGGCATAATATAGGAGTGGGGAACTTAAGGCCCTCTGGGATTCCCTGTCTGGCCCTCCCTAGACCACACTAGGCCTGTTCCTTCTTTTGTTCTTCTTCAGTAGGATGTGTCCTTGAACTGTGATACCCCACCCCTTTCTTACCTGATGGACCCAGGACTCCCCTGCTGAGTGCCTGGGGGCCCCAGTCCTGCCACTCACTACCTGGCCTAGGCCGGGCCTGGCAGGCTCCATAAAGAACTGCTGCCACTGCTGCTGGGCAGAGAGGGCTCCGTTTTTTGTTGTGGTTTTTTTGTTTTAAATTGCTGTTATTTTTTAGCTATGTCATTTTAAGGGACCCCTGACCATTAGGTCCAGTCGTGACCGACTCTGGGGTTGCGGCGCTCATCTCGCTTTATTGGCCGAGGGAGCCGGCGTACAGCTTCCGGGTCATGTGGCCAGCATGACTAAACCGCTCTGGTGAAATCAGAGCAGTGCACAGAAACACCGTTTACCTTCCCGCCGGAGCGGTACCTCTTTATCTACTTGCACTTTGACGTGCTTTCGAACTGCTAGGTTGGCAGGAGCTGGGTCTGAGCAACGGCAGCTCACTCCGTTGCGGGGATTCGAACCTCTGCCCTTCCCATCGGCAAACCCTAGGCTCAGTGGTTTAGACTACAGAGCCACCTGCGTCCCTTACTTCAAAACTGTATTTTTATCTAATTTTATTCATGCTTTTGTACACTCCTCCAGAATCTTCTGGTGAAGAGCAGCAAACGAATATCTTAAATAAATAAATAAATAAATAAATAGGTACTTCAGGGTCAACTGTGACATTCTTTTTGAAAGCGCGATGAAGGTGAGCAAAGAATTCAGCATCTTCTCTCTCCAGAAGGCTCATCACTGACTCCGCAGTTACAAAGAGTTCCCCCCAAGTTGGGAATAGGTTCTGGTGCAGAGAATGCAGGTACATGGCTAATTCATAGGGGTGTTCTGCTACAATGAAAATCAAAGCAATCATGTTAACCTTTATATATTATAAGATACTCCCCCCCCCCATGGTAGCTCATTTCAATCACCAAGTTGGGTGGGAGCGAAAAGGCTGTTGCAGACAGAGAAAAGGGGTGGCAGAAAAGAGAATGTGAAAAGGGGGTTGAGAGAGAGAAAGAGACAGACAGACAGACAGACAGACAGAGACAGAAAATGGGTGTCAAAAAGTATGAAAAAGGGGTGGCACAAAGAGAAAGAGAGAACAAGAGAAAGGAAGAGAGAGGGACTGTCAAAAAAGAGTGTGGAAAAAGGAGTGGCACAAAGAGAGAAAATGCTGGCACAAAGAGAGAGAAAAGGAAAGATGCTCTCACTTTTGGCTTGTGTCCCAACTACCACCAATTCTAACCCCCCCCCACCTGCCAACAGGAAAAATATTCCCCAATTCCTGCTCTAGCAGGTTTCTGTAATTCTTGTATTACCTAGCCATTCTATGTCAGCCTAACCTAGGTGCTAAAAGTATTCAATTAGAATTAAATACTTCCAAGCCCAGGAATTAGTTTTGAGTACCCAAACTGAACTGAGATCACAATCCTTCCATACGAAAACCTACCCCAGAAATACTCCGCCTCCCAGATTCCAACGCCATGGCTTTCTTTATTTCAGAAGTATAATTTTAGAGGACATTCATGTTGTTGTTGCCATTGCTAAACTTTTGGGATCCTCCCTGATCTACTTAAATCCCTCCCCTTGAATAGGAGACAGGCAACATCCCTGTTGTCCTTCTGGCACCTACTGAAGACCTTCCTCTTTCAACAGGCCTTTTGGGGATCTTTCCAAGTCTGCATTCTATTTAAGATTTTTTTGTTTATCATTTTCTCTCTTGTTGTTTGCCACGCTGGACTTCCTTGGGAGGAAGAGTGGGATATAAATTTAATTAATAATGTAACGCTTCAAATCACCCAAGAGACCTACCAACAGATGCAGGCATAACACCTGCACACAGAGAAACAGAAATCCTGCAGTCATTTTGGGCGGTAAATGATTTACCTCTTGGTGCTATTTGCTTAAATGCCATTTGCAGAGGGAAAAGCCAGTAGATGAGGTAGGGGTCATAGGTGCCGTTGAAAACATACAAGACGTTTAAGCTTTTGCTGGTCTCCAAAATCACCTGCTCGTTTGTAGCAAAGGAACACATGCAGGGAACGCTTCTGTATTTCTGTTGGAAGAAATTAGGTGGGTGGCAGGGGGGGAAATGCTGTATTTTTGGCATGTAGCAGTGAGAACAGCATGGGAGTGAAAATACTCAAGTTAATATGGGACAAAACTTCTCAGTTTTAACAGCTGAAAGTGTGTTTGGGGTTGTAACACAGTCCTTCTAAATAAGCCCATAGCAGGAACTAAGGGGCCATAACTAGGATTTTAGCAGTTGTCGCTTTATATGTAAGCCACCTTGAGTAAATATAATAATAACGACAGCAACTCCACGGTAGAGCGTAGATTTCATATGCAGAAGATGCCAGGTTCAATTATCCCAGGTTATACACAACTTATATATATATATATTTTAAAGTGGTTTTTCAATGTTTTTAAATCAATTATTTATCCCCAGCAAGTCAAGGTATTTACTTAAATTACAAAATTTATATGCCACTTGCCGATTAAAAAAAAAAAGCATCAAAGCAAAAAGAACAATAAAATTATCAGTATAAACAGTTTAAACCAGCTATAGTGGTACCTCGGGTTAAGTACTTAATTCGTTCCGGAAGTCCGTTCTTAACCTGAAACTGTTCTTAACCTGAAGCACCACTTTAGCTAATGAGTCCGTAACCTGGAACGTATGTAACCTGAAGCGTATGTAACCTGAGGTACCACTGTATTTGAAACAATCCCAAAAATAATATTTAAAATCAACAGTAAACAACAACCAGATAAAAAAAACCACCAACATTCTACATGTCTGGATAGGCTTTGCCTAAACAAAAAAAGCCTTAAGCCGGCATCAAAAGCACTATGGTGAGGCTGCCTGCCTGATAGGCAGGGGGTTCCAAAGTGAGTGTCCTGCCACACTAAAAGACTGACTTAACAAATGCAGAATGAGTATCACGGCATCTGTAACAGTGCTGGTCAGCAGACTGAAGTGGTTAAATGGACACATATGGGGTACGGTGATCTTGCAGGTAAACTGGTCCCAAGCCATTATGAGCTCTATATACGAATAGTAGCACCAGGTCAGGCTACTGCTGAAAACACTTCTACTTCCAGAGACAGGTGTAGGCAGAAACTGCAAGTCCATTCCGGCCTTTTTATTCTGCCTGCATCTCTCTCTGTCTGCTTCCTCCCCCACCCCCACCCCACAGCTTCCCATTGAGTCATGGAAGTTGAGGGAACTGGGTTGCTGCTCCGTACCCTCTTCCTCCTCACCACAACCCCACGTTTTTTGAAATATTAGGGAGTGCCTGCCTGTAACTGTCGGGGTCCTTCAACTCACCTCAACAACTGCATTTTCAATAAGACCTGAAAGAGGTGACCTTGTGGCACTTCGGAGATTCAGTTCCGCCATCCGCCACGCTACAGTTTGCCCAAAGTCCTCTCTGGCCTCTCTCTCAGTAGCCCTAGGATGGATTTTATAGTTTTGAGGGCTTTTAAAAATAGGTCTCAGGACTAATTTCTTTTTAATTGAAAGGAGCCAGAAGCAGAGTTCAAAGTGCCAGAAAGCAGAAGCAATGATCAAATCTTCAAGACAGATTATTCAACCCTACCAACAGGAAGAACTTTCTGACAGTTAGAGCTGTTTGACAGTGGAATGGACTCCCTCAGGAGGCTGTGGGCGCTTCTTCCTTGGAGGCCTTTAAGTTGAAGAGGTTGGGTGACCATCTGTCATGGAAACTGTCACAGTCCGGTTCACGGGCAAGCAAAGTCCCGGCAGGGGACGTCAGGACCTGGGGCAAGATGGTGGGGTGGGAGGAGGAACGGGAGTCCAGAAGCCAGGAGTCAGGAAGCCAAGAGTCCAAGGGTCATAGAGCCGGGAGTCAAGAAGCCAAGGGTCCAAGGATCAAGAAGCAGGGAGTCAAGAAGCCGAGGTTCAAGGATCAGGAAGCAAGAAGCCAAATGCAGCAAGGCAGGTAATGGGTTGCTGTGGCAAAGAGCTGAAGGGAAATGCTGACCTTATAAACCTTCCCAGCTCTTGCCACCAGGTGCTGTGAGTTACCAATCGGCCTCTCCTGTGAGGCTGCGACTTGCCTCTTCAGAACTAACTTAGGAAGGTCCCAGTCCTGCAAAGTCCTATTGGTCACAGGGCCTGGCTCCTGCACGCATACCTGACAGAAACTTTAGCTGAGATTCCTGCGTTGCAGGGGGTTGGACTAAATGACCCTCGAGGTCCCTTCCAACTCTATGATTCTTCCAACTCCCAGAGGAACCTCCCTGACCACTAGGGCTTATAGGGCCAGAGTCTGGGCCCTCATGGACACCTTACCCTGAACATAAAGAACTAGGCGCTTCCCCTTGCACATCACCAGTCTGACAGGGGCAGCGGAGCACCAGGAGGAAGGCTGTGGAAAGAAGGGGTGCCCACCTTCAGGCTAGAGGATTGGCTCTTTAAGATGACACTCTCTCAAGGGTGTGGAGACTGGAAGAGGCAGTCTGGGGAGGTAGAGGCACAAAAGGCCTAAGCCTGCTGCCTGTCTCTGTTGGAGCAAGTTGGTCACTCAGAGCTGTCCATGGTTCTGCAGAATTCAACCAGACTTCCTGCTTTCCCCCCATGGGATCTCGCATCAAACCAGAACACATCTATGCCTTCACAGCACCAGCAATGGCCGACTCTACTGCTGTGACAAGCCTTGTCTCACAGGTTTGGTCACCGCCATGGATGGCTCTTCTCACAGCCCCTGCTGAGAGCGTTTGCAGCCAGGAGCCATTCCGGGACACAGACGTCTTTCCTAGCGTAATACTCAGGCTCCTTTGGTGAGGATTGGGTCTGGGGCCTTCTACACGCTAAGCACGTGCTCCGCTGCTGAATTACGGCCCCTGCTTCATCAACATAGGGAGGGGAGCGGTCAGGAACTTGTCTTCCCCCTCTTCAGCTGCACTCCCGGAGATACTTACATGAGTTCTTTGGTTTGCGGGCTTCCAGAGCTGGCTCTCAGGAGTTTATCAATCCAAATGAACTGCCGGAGTGTCCTTGGAAGCAGTTTCCCACTAAGACTTTCACACGCCACTGACATGTTCTCGGAACCTCGAGAGACTATGGCACAGAGCAAATCGCCTAATAAATCGCTCTCTGGGCAGCTAAGAACAGGGGGGTGTAGCTCAGGTCTGATATGCAACTGCAAGTCTGAAAAGAACAGATGTAATTTTTAAAAAGTGACTCCTAAGCCGTCAAGGAAAGGAAAGGAAACCTTCCACCCCAGCTCATCATTTGGGAGCAGCCACTCCAGCAAGTCGGGGAGCGGGGAGGCAGAGATCTGCTCTACTGTGGTAGACCTGCCCCACCAGGCCTCCTCTCCTCTCAGCTGTCACCCAGGGGCAGCTATTCCACCAGGCTGCCTCCGTGGGAGAGATGGGAAGCCATAGGACACATTCCATCAGGTCTGCTGGAAGCCCAGCTCCGTCAGACACCTCCTGCCCCTGATCTGGGCCAGCTGGTCATTATAGAAACAAACGGTTTACAAAATGGTGCCTGAGTTTTGGTTCTGGTTTTCCACTTCCCTCTCCCTGTCCCTTCTCCCTTGTGTATCTATCTCTCTATTGACTGTAGGGACTGTCTTGTTTGGCTGGTATGCAAGTCGCTCCAAGACTGCTTTTGGCTGAAGAGCAGGGTTACAACTGCTATAAATAAATAATAAACACAAAACCAAAGAGATAAACTGAACAAAAAAAGGCATTGATTTTGGACCTACAGTTTAAACATGGCTGGAAATCAATGCATGCCAATAAGGACCCATGAGCCTTATTTATTTGGATCCACCAAGATCGCACATACAAATGATGGACTAAATTTTGTCGCGAGTCCAGGATTCTAAAAATGCGTCCGTCTTTAAAGTGTCACATGACTGTTCTTTAATGTGTCACATGACTCTATGTAACGCCTCCAGTGTTGGGGGCTGTGTGCTTCTGAGAACCAGTTGCTGGGAATCACAAGTAGGGAGAATACCCTTGGCCTGATCCAGCAGCCAGGCTCTGCTTATGTTCTTATGTTTTGCTCTGATAGCTGTATACCCGTATATCTGTGTGTCAGCCAGGATCTAAAGAACCGAGTCAGAGCAGCCGCATGATACCACACAGCAAACCACTTCTGAAACTGCATAAAGTATCAAAAGTGGTTTGGAACATGTTGGAGAGAAGGAGCGTCAAGAGAGGAAGAAGAAAGTCAAAATGCCCACTGGCTGCTAGCACATCAGAAGTGGCTCTCTGAATTGCAGGCATTCCATTAGGATGTTGAAATTATTTTTCCAATGCAAGAGACTTTGGAGAGCTTTCTGTTTTCTTAGGTGCTTATTTGTTACCTGTTCTCCCACCAACCCACCCACCCTGCTCAGCCGCTTTCTCCCAGTTTTTAATACAACTTGTGCATACTTCACAACTGAACTATCCGGCTTCCGATTCAAAATATTTAAAATACTCCAGCGCTGCGGAGCTAAAAAGGCTCATGGGACTATGCTGAAAACAAGCTGGCAGAGGGGCATTATTTTGGAAAGTGACACATACGCCACAGTAAATTAAGCCTCGCTTACAGCGCGCTTGGGTGGGTGCACTAGTGTACCGAATTGCTTTTAGTCTGAATGGATAAAAGATGAAGACACTCTGTATCAGCTGAAGGGAGGAGGGGAATAACCTCTATTAGCTCTTAGTGCTATGAAAGCAAACACTTGTGGGTGCCTTTGAAGTGGAGGGCTTTTTATGTTTCTTATGTCTCTGTAAAGGGGGGGGGGACAAACCTTTCAAAGCGGATCTGGCTTCTTTCTTTCAGTGGAAGGGAAGACAAACAAACGCGCACACACAGCAGATGTTGTGTGAATTAATCAATGATATCCGATTTGGAGATGACTCGCTCATTCAGAGTTTTTAGGTGTGTACACCTAATGGTTTTGAAGTTAACACATGTAACGTGTGTACAATGACCAAACTACTAAAAATGATAGGGACCCATAATGCCCGGCTCTCCCATTCCTCTACATTTGGTGGGGAAAGCACTAGTGACCTCTCCCTGCCCCCGATTTGGATGGGGACCATGGAGCTGGAGGGGGAATTTTCATCAGGAAAATAGCACCAGTGGAGAAAGGGTTAACTCCCCAATGCTGTGGTCCCAAACCAAATCTTTCCCCCTGCTATATAGCCCAAGTCACTGGTGGTGGCTGTTCCCCACCTACATTTTTTTAAAAAGGAGATCAAATCGCAGCTCTCCATCATCTCACCTGATCTGGCCCTTGTTTTCACATTATGATCCCATCTACACCATAGGTCTAAATTGGATTTAAGGCTCATAGCTTCCCCCAGAGAATCCTGGGAAATGTAGCTGTGTGAGGCATAAACTACAACTCCCAGTTACCCTTAAGAAACCACAGTTGCCAGGATTAAATGGGGGGTGGGGCAGTGTGCTTTAAATGTATGGTATGGATGCGACCATTCTATATACTACGTGAAATGTCCCAAATTCAATCCCTGGCATCTCCTGGGAGGAGATGGAAATACTGGAGTGTTATTGCTTGTCAGCTAGATGGACTGATGTTGATATGACTTGATACAAGGCAGCTTCCAGAGATTTTTAATGAAGCATGTTGGGCTGAACAAATTTTTCATACACAGGTTTAAGCCTCACTTTTAGAATTTCGAATGCAAAGCTGGTACCTTTTCCATTTCCACTGACTTGAGAAGCTGGTCTTTTAGATAAGACTAGACAAATGTCTTTACTCTCAATGGATTTAGGCCTCTGCAGAACCATGGAAGTTTCTCCCGAGACCCTTGATGACTGGGGCAGTTTCCATAAAGCTTCACCTCCTTGCGCACTTCCTTCGAGATGTGCCTATGAAGATAGAATTTGCTGTCAATCATTGTAGTTTGGTGAGGCTACTAACTAAGGCTGTAGCCATGCCAAACAGTTAAAGCAGACTTTTTAAAAACTGTCAAACATGCCTAGTATTTACAGTGATACCTGGGGTTAAGTACTCAATTCGTTCCGGAGGTCCGTTCTTAACCTGAAACTGTTCTTAACCTGAAGCACCACTTTAGCTAATGGGGCCTCCTGCTGCTGCCGCGCCACCACAGCACGATTTCTGTTCTCATCCTGAAGCAAAGTTCTTAACCTGAAGCACTATTTCTGGGTTAGCGGAGTCTGTAAGCTGAAGCGTATGTAACCTGAAGCGTATGTAACCCGAGGTACCACTGTATTTGCAGTTGACACCCATTCATTGTTATTAAATAACTTATAAAACAGAATATTTTCCACAGAAAAAATTGGAAATTTTCCAAAAAACAGATTTCCCCCCACCAAGTATCACTGATGACACACACTGTCATTGTGATGAGTCAAGCCAACTTCTTTCATCTGCTCTGTGTATTAATGTTTTACTTTTACTTTTAATGATCTATTGCTTTATAGCTCATCATCATTTATTTTTATCGCAAGCCACTTTATTCTTTTATTAGAAAACTGGGATAAAAATGAACTACACCATTATGGAAAGAATGTTTATTAACAGGCCAAGGTTACTATTATTTCTTTGTTTTCATAGGATCATTAAACACACTTAAAGCTAGGTAAAGGGAGCTAGGGGTTTTTTGGGGGGTGGGGGTGGGAATAAGCTCAGTTAGGATTTTAATGAGAACCTACCTTGGGATAAATGGGGCAATCCCATGGGACCATGTGACACCGGTCCTGAAAGCACTGGCCTGGCTATGCTCCTGGGCTAAATTAGTACTAGCATATAAAGCCCTAAATGGCTTGAGACCCAAGTACCCAAAAGAGTGCCTTCCTCAATACCAAATGTTTTGGACAGTACGACTGGCAGGTGAGGCCTAGTTGATGCTGCCGCCATCAGAGGCTGCCCAGTTGATGCTGACGCATGGCAGGGCCTTTTCAGTGGTGGTTCATTGGTTGTGGAACGCCTTCCTTAATGAGGTACACTTATCTCCATCTCTATTAACTTTCAGGAGGAGTTTGAAAGCATTCCTGTTTAACCAGGCATTTGGTGGCTAGAGAATATTGTTCCCAGCAACCTCAAGATCACTGGATGGAATAATGCTTTCAATTGTAATCGTTTTTGGATCATCTTAACCTGCTTTAGAATCTTTCTGCTTATTGTTTTTTATTTCTATATCTCTTCCTCCTTGGAGGGGAAGGGCGAGATGTAAATTCAATCAATCAAAAATAATTCTCACTCTCCAAAACAATATGAGGACCAAAAGAGAGCTATCTTTCAAAATTCACATTTTCCTGAATTTTGTGATTCAATTCTGCAACCAATGTGTACCAAAAAAAAAAAAAAAGGCTGCATGAGGGGAAAGAATAAAAATGCATATATTAGTGAAAGTAATGAATAAAATGTGTTACATCAAGGGAAGTCGCTTGCCAAGAAAAACGTGTGTGTTGGGCAACATTTCATACAGGAGAAATTTGCGCTACAATACAAATGATTTTTTGCAAGGTCTTATAATAATAACAATGAACAGAAGCTTGGAGAAATGAGAAGCTGAGAGCAGAGGAATCAGTCAGATATATCTATTTCTATTTAGGTTCCATTGGGGCTTACTTTCTTCCACAGAAGTGGAGGGATGCAGCAATTGGAGACCACAGGGCAATAGGGGGCAAACCTGCCCCCCCAGCACTGACCCAGGGTAGCCCAGCCCTCACTGATAAACAGCCCTGGGTGGTGGAGAACATTGTAATTTTCTCGTGAGATACAAGCCCCTCCTTTCACAAATACCCCACTTGTCATAACTCTGGGATTTTAGCAATGCTTCATACGTTTTAAAAGCAGTATCATCAGCAGAACAGGGAAAATGCATTTATTACCTTGCGACGGGCTCCACAGGTGGCCAACAGCAACTCCATCTCGGCTATTACAACACTGTAGACGTCGTCAAGAAAATGAACCATCTCAGGAGCCAGACTGGCTGCCTCAGCACCTGCTCCACAGAAAGTTAAAATCTCTACTCATTTATGAAACGGGGGGTGTGACTGTGATAACCTCCTTCCATCCAGCTTACCTGCTTGTTGTAGAACACAAGTGGGGCAACCTGTGGCTCCAACTCCCATTACCCCTGACCATTGGGCCATGCTGTCGGGGGCTGATGGGAACTGGAGCACCCAAACATCTAGACAACCACAGATTCCCTACCCCCTGCTCTAGAAAGAAGTGGAAGCACTTGCCTTTCATGGCTGGTGGCTACTAGCTGTGGAAATCTGGGACAGTGACACACCTCAGCTGCTTGGGCACAATTTGACAGGAACAGGCTGGCTGATCTGAATGCAGGCAAGCGAATAAAGCAGAACTGCCTAGGTTTGGCAGGTGGATGAGAATGAGAAGCCATCAAGGAGCCTGCTCCAAGAGCAAATGGCTTGCTTTTTAGCTGACTTGATGCTGATTTCGCTTGCACCACCTGGATGTCCACTTGCTCTCCATTCCTCATCCTGTTGCAATTTGTGGCATTTGCAAATGACTGCATACTTGGGACTGTGTGTTATAGGGATGTTAAGTTTTTTGTGTCATTGTGTTTGTGTGTTAAGGGTGTGTAATTGCAGCTACTCAGGAGAGGGTATTCTTCATTCCAGCATCCTGACTATGTGATACCCTCTCCCTCAGATATGGTTGGCTAGTAGAATGGAAAGCATGGAGCCCAATAGCTTGTTGGGCCACTCTTACTTTGGGGTCTGGCCCTGCCCACTTTTGGGCTCCACCCACTGATGGAATGTTCCCACTGGGCCCCCGTAGTTTTCACCCTGGACTGCAGATAATGGAGGCATATAATTCGGACAAGAAAATTGGCTTCCAGGTGGAAAAATCAAAATTAGAAACAGAACTGTTAGAACCCAAAACTAAGATTTTGTCAAAGATGTATAACTTGCTGTTGAAATGGAATACTCAGGATGAAACGGTGAAATCTGCTATGATTAAATGGGCACAAGACGTTGGACACAATATAATGATGGCTGACTGGGAACAGTTATGGACCACAGGTATGAAGTTTACGGCATGTAATGCCTTAAGAGAGAATATTATGAAAATGGTATACAGGTGGTACATGACCCCAGTCAAGCTTGCAAAAATCTATCATTTGCCCGATAATAAATGTTGGAAATGTAAAGAAACTGAAGGTACATTCTTCCACCTTTGGTGGACGTGCCCAAGGATTAAGGCTTTCTGGGAGATGATCTATAATGAACTGAAAAGGTAGTTAAATATACTTTCTTGAAGAAACCAGAGGCCTTTCTCCTGGGCATAGTCGGCCAATTGGTGCCAAAGAAGGATAGAACTTTTTTCATGTATGCCACAACAGCAGCAAGAATACTCATTGCAAAGTATTGGAAGACACAAGATCTACCCACTCTGGAAGAATGGCAGATGAAGGTGATCGACTATATGGAACTGGCGGAAATGACTGGCAGAATCCGAGACCAGGGAGAAGAGTTGGTGGAAGAAGATTGGAAGAAATTTAAAGACTATTTACAGAAATATTGTAAAATTAATGAATGTTAGAATGATGTTGGATAGAAATTAAGTGGTTTTTAGCTGCAATACTATAAGGGAATATGAAAAATGGATTATTAATAGGTAAAAATTTAATGTTACAATATTTTAAGATTAAAGATTAGGATAAACAAAGAGGGAAGGATTTGCTGAACCAACAAACTGAACTGGAATACAAAAAAGGGAGGCGTGAGGAGGTCCGGGAAACAAGCTAATGAAAAATAAGTAATGGAAAGATTGTGTTGTTTTTAATTATTTTTATTTTGTATTTTTCTTTTTTTTATTTTATTTTTTTTATTTTGTAATATTTTGAAAACCTTAATAAATATCTTATATATATATAAAAAAAGTTTTCACCCTGGACTGAAAAGAGGTTTCCCAGTCTTGCTGTAAATCAAGAACCATAACGAAACACACATGTCACAAGTCTCCTGTTCTCTCTCTTTCAAAAGACACTGACTGCATACCTTCCAATTGCTCAAGGAGGAAAAAAAATACATTTACAAAACTAGTATTGACCCACTCTGCCTTTTAAATCCTTCCAAGCCTCCTTTTGGAACTCTCAGTAAAGCAAATGGGAAGTTTTCAGTGTGTCAAGAATACAGAACTGATCTTTCGACTTTTTTTAAAGCATCCCCCCCACCTCCTTTGAAAACAGCGATATTATTAACATGAAAGGAAACAGATGTCTTTTTCACATGCAAACTAATCTGAGGCGATACGCTGAAAAAATAATAATAAAAAAGACGACGGGCTGTGCAATCATCTAATTTTTTTATTCTATTTTTTTGCTCTCTGGCAGAACTAGACGGTGCAATATTTTTCAGGTTTCCCACAATGCAAAGTCAATTTGGAAGCAGCGGGACTTCTTCCAGTACAAATTGTAATTACTTCAAAGCTCACGCAGCAAGGATATTGCAAGTCAAATAGGTTTCCCTGTCCATTTCCCGCCCCCCCCGCCCCCTTTCATTGACTCATTTTTAAAAATTAAACCACACAATAACATCGCCACGAGGGAAAAGAATTTGCGGGAAGACAGCAGTCATAACAGACTGGGTTCAAAATCACTCCTCATAAAGGATATTGGCTTGATGGCTCTCTGAGTAAGGTGCATTTATAACTCATCCTGAGCCCTAGGTATAGAGTGGGAAATAATATGTGTACACACACACACACACACACACACACACACACACACGCAGTTGCAATAATCCAGGCAGGAAGTATACAGACACTCACAGCACAATCCTAACCTTGCTGAGTTCAATGCCTACGGCTGCGGTCCGACACACCTACTTATTTGGGAGTATGCCACATTGAGCTCGATGTGGGGGACTAATTTTGGAATAGACATGGATAGGATGGCACTCTAAATCAAGATTCCACTCACAAACACCTAGCTGGATTAGGAACTGCATGAAAAGCCCACGCCACATAATAGGCAATCATGCTAATCAGCTGTTTCAGAAGGGGAGCAATGGGCTAGATTTAATTCCCTCTTCACTTCTCTCCCACCAAACAGCTGATCAGGATGACTGACAATTCTCTGGCCAGGAGGCATGCAGCCCTGGTGTGCTGTGTATAGGGGTGGGAGAATCAAGGCCACGGTCTCTACTAAGTGACACTGAATATGGATGAAGCCCCACTGTGGAAGTGTTTGCCAATCTGGACTTTTTCTATGGTTTATTTCTGTAAACTTCCGGAGGCGGCGCCAACAAGCAATGGCGATCTTCTCCTAATCCCGGAGGAGAGGCTCCGCGAAAATCGGGTCGATCCGCTACGGCGCAGCGGAGACCCTTTCGAAACCCGCAGGCGGAAGAAGCCTGCGGTCGTGGGACTCGGCGGGTGCCTGGAGCGCGCCCCTAAGCGGCAAAGGAACCCCGCGAGGGGCTCCGAAGCAGGACGGGGGTGGCGCGGCACTATGAGTCTTCTGCTACTTTCGCGGAGTGAAGCCGTGCGGCTGTTGCTGGAGAGCGCTGACCTTTCTTCCTTGACAATTTGGCTGTCAAAACTACAACCCGTGAGTAGGTTTGACGTTATAGAAGGACCAACTAAAATTTTGAATAAATTTGGCTGAAGCGGGAAGGTGTAAAAAGGAAGTCCACCTCCCGGTTTGTATAAAGGATTAAAGCAAAGACTGTGTGAGTTCGATACCAAAGACTGTCAAAAGAGACTGAAACACAGACGTCAAATTTAAAAATTTTCCCTCCCATAATTGGAGAAGGGGGGGAAGAAGGGACAGTATTTCTTGTTATTTTTGTGTAAAATAAAGAGTGATAAGGAAACGAAGACCACCTCTCAATCCCTGGGGACAGACTGCCAGGTTTGGAAAGATTGGATATTTTGTTAGCACTCTAAATGGACAATGTATCTTCTTGCCTATTAACTTCACAAAATTGAAACTTTGGGAAAAAAAGTTGCCTCTTTGGCTGAAGGGGTTCTTAAAAAGTTTTTAAGAGTTTTTATTCTTGTTACTTTATTACTTGTGTCCCCTGGAGGCCAAAGGGGAAAAGTTTCTAACTGACTGAGGAATTTTCCACTCAACAGCAGCCTGGGAAAGCTTAACAGCAAAACAACTCCAACTGTGAGAGTGACCTTGATTTCTAGATAAAGTGCCATGGATGAAAGAACCTTGAGGTCCGGGAAAGGCAGGCAACAGAGCAACATTGCTCAACAGCAACAGCGCAGGCCATCCATCGCTGGGCCACAAGGAGATGATCCAATGCAAACAAAGGGGAAGAAGGACTTGCCAGTTTATTTAAAATTGTTAATGAAGGTTTTGAAAAATTGGGTCAACAGAATGCCGAGGCACTAGAAGCTATTAGACAAAACTCTGCAAGTATTGATAAGCTGACTCGACAGACTAATGAAAATACAGATGCGATCAAAAAATTACTGGAACAATCTGCTGAAACTCAAAAAATAGCTTTGGAAGCTAGAGAAAAGGCGGTAGCTGCTGAAGAAAAATTACCACCTTTAATTAAACAAGTTGACTTTTTCTATGGTTTATTTCTGTAGATCACGGCATCAGTAAAGTTGGCCTTACTTGATATGAAGTGTATCCCCACAATTAACTATTTTAACCCCGCCTTGATGTAAAGATGAACACAATAATACGACGCTTTCAGCAAGCTTAAACTATCACCTCCTGTAGGGGTTCTGCAAAGAAAACCGAATTGTCCTTTGACAGTAAACTCAGGATTCAGGAAACAAACAAGATAACGGTTTAGTTGTTTCTCACAAGTGCCATGTCTTATCACTGCAAAATGGGCAAGGCAAAGGACTCCCTGTCTGAAACCCAGGAGAGCCATGTGAATCAATGGTCTGACTCTGTGTAAGATAGCTCCCTAGGTTCCTATGCTCTTTCGGGGGGGGGTGTAGCTCAGTGGTAGAGCATCTGTCTTGCACACAGAAGGCCCTGGGTTCAATCCTCAGCATCTCCCGGTAGGGCGGGGAGAAACCCCTGTCCTGAATCTTTGGATAGCTGCTGTCAGTCAATGCAGACAATACTGAGCTAGGTGGGACCAAGGGTCACAATGATTATTAAGCCAACTTTTCAACATTTCTTATAAAGTCATGAGCTTCATGGAAGGTCAGAGCCCGTAGAAAATAAATAATGGATTTCCAGCCAAGAAAGTTAAAGGTAGGTTTCTGCCTATAATCAAACAGCAGATAATATGGCTTTGCTTTATATTTTGAAAGGAGAACCTTAAGTGGGCTTGGAAAAGACTGAGTTTTATCTATTCTCTTGGTGATTGTTTCTATTGCCTTAGTTTGTGTGCAGGCTCTGAAAGAACATCTTGACTCACCTGAATGAAAATGACAGTGAATACTTTCTGCCGCTTTCAAACACTGATTCTGTAGCCAGACTCTTGTAGCTTCTTCCAGCTTTGTGTTGTTGATCTCACTTATGGCTGTGGAGGACTAAGTGGAGAAAGTCATTTTTAACAATTAGCTTTCTGCTGTAACTCACAGGAACAAAGGAAACTGCCTTAAAACCATGTCAGACCACTGGATCCATCTAGCTCAGAACTGTCAACATTTGGCGGCAGCTCTCCAGTGGTTCAGAGAAGGATCTCTCCATCCCTACTTGGAGTTGTCAGGGACTGAAGCCAGGACATCCTGCATGCAAAGCAGATGTTGTGTCACTGAGCTATGCTCCACTCTATAGAGTGGAACCAAAGGAATAATTAGCTTAATTATCAAGAGGTGTTTCCCAGAAAACTTGAGTTTTTTCAGCATAGATGCAGTAAATACCCAAGTTTTCTCAATAGTAAAATGCCAGCTCTTTCTAGTTAAATAGATTTGGGCTCAATTTAGCCATTTGGTCACCAGGGGAGGGGGCACAGCTCAGTAGTGTAGACCCTGCTTTACATGCAGAAATTCAGTCACCAGCACCTCTGGTTAAAAGGAGAAATTGGCATGTGATGGGGAAGACCTCCATTTCAGATCTTTGAACAGGCATAGGCAAACCTGGCCCTCCAGATGTTTTTGACCTACAACTCCCATGATCCCATGAAACTTTTAGAAGACATCTGAAGGCAGCCCTGTTTAGGGAAGCTTTTAATGTTTAATAGACTACTGCATTTTTATATTTTGCTGGAAGCCGCCCAGAGCAGCTGGGGAAACCCAGCCAGATGGGTGGGGTATAGATAATAAATTATTATTATTAATATCCCTAGTTAACAGGACCAATAGTCAGGGATGATGGGAATTGTAGTCTCAAAACATCTGGAGAGCCGTGTTTGCCTATGCCTGTCTTAGAAGGAAGCTGCCAGACAGACTAATGGTGTCTGTCCTGGTATAAAGCAGTTTCATGTGTTCCATTAAACCAGGGTTGAAGAACTTTTTTCAGCCCAAGGACTGCATTCCCTTCTGGACAAAATTGCAAGGGTCACATTCCAGTGGTGGGTGTGGCCAGAGGCAACAAATGTAATGTTATTGGATTGATGGGTTGGTCTGGATGTTTGTGGGTCCCCTCCAACTGTGTGGTTTTGTATTTGTAAGATGGGAGTTGGTAGTAGAAGGGATTGTAGAAGTGGCCAAACCTAGAATCTAGAGTTGGAAAGACCCAAGCCCTGCAATGCAGGAATTGAAGGATGGGCCATTCAACTTCTGCTTAAAAACCTACAAGAAGAGAGAGTCCACAACCTCCCAAGGGAGACAGTTCCACTGTAGAACAGATCTTACTGTCAGAACTCAATGGCCGCAGCTGGGCCTGTTAAGCACCCTATTTACATGTCTAAGGAGTTGACCAAGTACAGATGTGTTGGGGAACCCTCCTCTAAAAACCTACAGTAATGGGGAAGCAAACTATGTTGGAATGTAAATGCTGTTTACTTATATGTGTAAATATAACCAAATATCCTCAAGACACCAGAGATTCCAGGGACTTTCATTCCAAGGAAAACAAACCCTGGGTAGGCTCTGGAGCCCTGGAGCTCATTCTGGCTCTTGGTGTGGTGGGGCAGAGATGCAGAGCTGCCCTTCTGACCCTGGTACCACTATAGTTCACCTGGACGGGGCTGGGTTTGGTAAAGCAGCAGCGAAGTTGTGGCTGGGCAGATGCCCACAGTGGCTTTGCTGGTGTGACTGCACAGTCCTGACCTTGTCACTGCCTTGCATTGGCCAGCAATTGGTAAGCTGTGGCAACACTGGTATCAGGAGGGCAGCTCTGCCGTTCTGCCCCAGCACACTAGCCACGACTAGAATCTATACCAACAAGTCATTGTTTTAATGTGACCTTATTAGCCTTTAGTTTTTATAACACACTTACGAGTGAATCAGGCTGAACAGGGCAGTCACTAAAATATCTTTTGACAAAGCTCTGGCCAAGGAGATTGAAAACCATTTTTCTTTGCTTTGGGTCTCTTATCTTGTCCTTTATTTCATCGGCGAAGGCAGTTTCCAATCTCTCTAAAACCTAGAAGAATCATCAGTTATTTTGCATGTGCACTGACACCACACACACACAATAGTTATTAGGAATTACTTGCAATCCAATTTATTATTTCCATTTGCCTATATTGAGCTCCAATGCAGTTTAGTGGTTCAATTGTCAAACAAGGGCCAGCTCTCTCCCTGCTCCCATCCCAACCCTCATTCAGTGGTAAAGCCGCCTGAATGACCTTGGGCTAGTCTCCCCCTTCACTAGGGGCTGTTATGAGCATATATTCCTTGAAAGGAGGGGCAAGAGGAAAAAATGTCACTAATTAACAAACTCTGAAGCTAAGGATAGTCCATGCAGTTGTCACAACAACCCTGTGAGGTTAGTTTGGCTGACAGACAGTGATTGGGCCTAGCAAATTAAGTTTGGCTGAGGGGTGAAGACCCAGCGAGCTTCAGTGTGTGATGTTGTGGTGAGTGTTGGACTAAGACTTGGGTGACCAGCATTCAAATCCTCACTCACCCATGAAGTTCACTAGGTGACTTTGGGCCAGTTACTTTCTTACAGCCTAATGAACCTCATAAGGATGGGGAGAACCGTGTTCCTTGAGCTTCTTGGAGGAAAGCTAGAATATAAATGCAACAATAATAATAACAATTATAATAATGAGGCCCCTGCAGAAATTTGAAACTGGACCTAAAATAAAGGCTAAGAAACGTATTTTGGAACATCCTAGGTGCCATATAAATGGTAAGTGGTGTTGCAGTTGTTGGAGGAGGAAAGGAGGAGCAAAGGAAGAAAAATAAGAGGGTGCAAGCTTTACAGCAAAGATTAGTACCTTATGCCATGGCTTTCCAGGCAATAGCGTTTCCTGTAGACAGGCACTGAACCAAGAGATACTGCAAGTCTGGTTTTGGTTGTCTAATTTTGTTCTTGGGTGTCCAGATATTTCTCCAGTTTCTTTCTCCATTTCATGCAGTATCCCCCCCCCAAGTGATATACAATCACTTCTAGTTTTCCAGTTAGAAGGTCTTCATGACATGACACCGGAGGGGGAAAGCTGCAACACAGACAAAAGAGCTGAGGTCCAAATTATTACAAGCACAATCCCAAGCACTGGATAAAAAGGACTTTGCCAGGTAAAAAAAAGTTAACACACAGGTGTAAAGATGCATTTGAAGACTTTCAACGTAGCACCTACAGACACCATGGTGCCTCATAGCACCCGCACCAATTTTAAAAAACTTTAAATTGAGATTTTGGCTATATTGTTTCATTAGGAGTGTTGCCTGTTTATTTTTTTTGGAGGGATGTCTACTTACTTTCATCTGGGTTATTTGGAGGAGGTACCTGTTTGGAGGTATCTGGGTTATTTGGGGGAGGTACCTGTTTGCCTGGCGTGCTCTGGTCCATGGGATCACAAAGAGTCGGACACGACTAAACGACTAAACAACAACAACCTGTTTGGAAGGGGGTTCTGAACACCAGCAGTTTTTCTTCCATTAAATGGGTGTTTGGTGGCACCTAGGCCAGTTTCTTAGTCTTCCAAATGTGCCTTTTGGGCTCCAAAAAGGTGTGTGTGGGGGGGAACCCTTGTTGTATGTTATGAAGATGGACACCAATGCAACTAAGAGGGTCCATGTGCCTAAGCAGAGGCGCATACAGCAAATCTAGGAACCATCACCAGAGATTGCTTCGGACAGGATGTGCATTCAACCTGACTTGTTTTTTACAGGATGTTGACTGCAATACCCCAATACTGTACTGTAACTAATTTCACATCTACACCATACATGGAAAGCACTCTTATAGCACTTCCAACAGCCATAGATCATCCCACAAAGAATGCTGGGAAGTGTAGTTTGTTCAGGGTGCTGACCTACCAGAGCTACAATTCCCAGCACCCTTAGCAAACTACACTTCCCAGCACTCTCCATGGGTGTTGAATCAGTAAAGAGTAGAGTACTTTAAATGTATGCCAGGGGTGTAGAATAATCAATAAGGTTTAGTGTCCAACATCAGTCAAGCTCAGAGTAGACCCACTGAAATAAGCGGACATGACCAAGTTGGTCCCATTCATTTAAATGGGTACGCTCTTGAGTTAAAACTTAGTCGGATGCAATCCTAAATCAATAATGGCAGTAAGAACAATAATTAATACAAACAAAACAATAACAATGTTGACGATGGTAATACAACAAAAAATATAATGAAGCGGACAATGACAATACAGTAATAGATCAGCAGCTGCGATAACAGCAACGAAAGGCAACAAGTGATAATAGAAATGTGCAACAGGAATAAAAACAGCAACATAATGGGCATTATAATTAACAATAAAGGGCGAATAATGGTGTTAGCCTTACTCAAGAGCAGACCCACGGAACTGAGGTTTACTGATTTCAGTGGGCTTACTCTGAGAGGAACTTAGCTGCGGACAACAAAATAGAATTATTACTCTTATTGCTATTATCAAGGAAGCCGCGCTCAGCTTCTCCTCCGCCTCGCAGGCCCGGCTCTCCCGTTGCCATGGCGACCGGGCCCTCCGGGCCTAGCTCTCCTCCTCCCTCCTCCTCCGGCCACTCCTCTTCCTCCCCGGGCCGGTAGTTGGAACCTGCCCGGCCGGCCCCCCCGCCCCCTTCGGAGCCTGCCTGTTTACTCGCCGGCGGGGATGGAGGCTGACGGGAGGCCGCGGCGTCAAGAGCGGCGCTCGCCATGAAGCACCGGCCGCCGCGCTATGAGAGGTAGGTGGGTGAGGAGGGAGAGAGAGACGCTGCCGCGGACCCCGAAGAAACCCGAGCAGATCCCTTCCCCTTGACTCGCCGCCTCTCGCTCCCTTTCCCCCTTCCTTCCTTTTACTATAACCCCACGGTATATAAACTCTTTCGCCGCCTCCCCCCTCTATATAATATCATTTATTAGGCCAACCAAAGCACAGCGAAGGGGGGAGACTTAATGTTGGCTTTGAAAGCTGTTTTCCGTGTCGTTTCCGTGTCCCTTGACCCAAGTATTGCCCTAATGTTACGGGTTTTGGGTTTGTTTGTTTTTTCCCTACAGGCCGACGAAGCTACCTTTTTTATTTTCTGGGACACCTTCCCTCCCCCAGGTTTCACTTTCTCAACTTCTCGTAAGAAGTTGTGGTGGTTTCAGCTTTCCTGCAAGGCCCCTTCACTCAGGCTGCAGGTGGGGGTTGGAAATAAGAGGTTTGGTTGTAATCCCCCCCCCATGCCCTCTGTAGCTGCTCAGAGAACTTGGGGTTATAATAGCTTCACACGGGGGCAGAGCTGGGCTGGGCTCCAGGATCATTTTGTTGCCCTTCTGTTGATGCTGATAACAACATTTTCCGGGACTGGAAGGAACAGGAGGCTCAGTTTGATATCCTCTTAACAGGTGTGTTTTTTAATTATTATTATTATTTAATTTTCCAAATTTTGAAATTTACAAATGATCAAAATAAAAAGAGAATTCCATAAATTCCCATGGACTTTCCTTCTCCCTTTTGTGGGTCCTTATGTTAACATTTTTTTCCTCCCGCATCTTCTCTTAGTCCAATTCTATTAAATCTCCATTACAACCATAGTCCAACTACAAGTATCGTTCCAATCCTATGAATAATTTTAATTGTTTACAATGATATATATTTATATCTATCTATCTATCTATCTATCTATATATTATTTATACTCTGCCCATCTGGCTGGGCTTCCCCAGCCACTCTGGGCGGCTTCCAACAAAATATTAAAATACCATAATGCATCAAACATTAAAAGCTTCCCTAAACAGGGCTGCCTTCAGATGTCTTCTAAAAGTCTGGTAGTAGTTGTTCTCTTTGACATCTGGTGGGAGGGCATTCCATAGGGCAGGCGCCACCACTGAGAAGGCCCTCTGCCTGGTTCCCTGTAACTTGACTTCTCGCAGTGAGGGAACAGCCAGAAGGCCCTCAGCGCTGGACCTCAGTGTCCTGCCAGAATGATGGGGGTGGAGACGCTCCTTCAGATGTACTAGGCCGAGGCCGTTTAGGGCTTTAAAGGTCAGCACCAATACTTTGAATTGTGCTCGGAAATGTATTTTCCCCATTCCTTATTAAAATTTTGGCCTTCCCAATTCTTAATTCTTCCAGTCATTTTTGCCATTTTGGCAAACCCCTGTGCGTGTTTGCTTAAGAAGCAAATCCTACAGTACTGAATGGTGCTCGCAAGCGGGACCCTAATGCTCCTCCCTTCAAATATGCTGTGGTTTAGAATGGGTTCTGGGACCCATTTGGATGGGCAGTGAACAAGGGCAGAGACCATTTAGACGACTCCCTCCTCTCCACCCGGAGGGGCAGTTGTACCTGGGGCCCACTGCAACTGGTAGGGGGAAAAGGTGGGGAAACCAACTGCAGGTGGTGTCTGGAAGCAATGGCAGCCAGAGTCAGGCTAACAGGTGGTTGAGGGTAGACTGAGGTAGGTGGGGTCGTGCCTTGATCACCTGAGTGAACCAGGTGCCACTGCTTGAGGGCTCTAGATTCAGGTAGGTAGCTGTGTTGGTCTGACGCAGTCGACCAACTTGAGGGCTTTCTGCTATCCACCAGAAAACAGTCTGGGGTCAAGGAACCCATTCCTTTACTACTGGCCTCTATTTTTTATCTGACACTCTGTTATCCCTCCCTTCCTCCAAGGAGCTTACAATGTCATATACATCAGTGATTCCCAATGGGTGGTCCGCAGACCCCAGGGAGTCAGCACAACTCACCCAGGGGGTCCGCAGCACCACTCACACAACAAAAAACTACCATAGAAATATCAAGATTTTCAAAAGTATGGAGTTCATGGCTTGGCTTTTGAAAAACAGGGGGTCTGCTATACATAACTAATTGGGAACCACTGTTGTATTCCCCCCCCCTTTTGCACCCCCATTTTATCCTTGCGACAGGGCTAGGCCGACAAGTAGTGACTGGCCCAAGGTTACCCAGGTTGTTATTATTTTTAATTGGATTTCTTAACCAGCCTTCATCATAAGGTCTCAGGGTTGGTTGAAACAATTTTAAAAGACAAGATTAAAATCAGTTGGAACTATTTGCAATCAAGAGAATATGGTGGGTTCTAAAATATATATATCTTGGACATCAAATGCCACACTAAAGAGGTGCATTTGCCACATTCAATGAAAGTTACAGAGTGAAGGTCAAACCTCCCTGGGGAGGTAATTCTACAGATTTGGGGCTGCCACAGTGAATGCCCTTTCTTGGCCACTGCACCCCCACACCATCATATGTTCGAAAGTGGTGTAACTTCTAAAAGGCCTTATGACTGAGTGGAGATTCGAACCCAGGTCTCCCTCACGCTCCAACCACCACACCACACTAGTTTGCCACCTCTGCTTGTTGAGATATGGATTTCTGTCTATGAAACAGGAAGACCCTGTTACTTTTGGACAGGTGTGGAGAACCTTTGGCCCTCCAGATGATGCTGAACTACAGCTCCTATCATCCCTGACCATTGGTCATGCTTGCTGGGGCTGGTGGGAGCTATAGTACAGCAACACCTGGCGGGCCAAAGGTTCCCCACCCTTGCACTAGGAGCAGGGTGATAGGAGACTTAAGGTTGGATACATGCCATACTTGATTTCCCCAAAGCATCATTAACTGTATTTTGGCAAGGGTGTTGGGAGTTATAACTCTGAACCACAGCTCCAGGATTCTGGGAGAGAAGCCATGTGCTTTAAATGTATGGTGTATGGTAAAGGTAAAGGTACCCCTGCCCATACGGGCCAGTCTTGACAGACTCTAGGGTTGTGCGCTCATCTCACTCTAGAGGCCGGGAGCCAGCGCTGTCCGCAGACACTTCCGGGTCACGTGGCCAGCGTGACAAGCTGCATCTGGCGAGCCAGCACAGCACACGGAACACCGTTTACCTTCTCGCTGGTAAGCGGTCCCTATTTATCTACTTGCACCCGGGGGTGCTTTCAAACAGCTAGGTTGGCAGGCGCTGGGACCTAACGACGGGAGCGCACCTCGCCACGGGGATTCGAACCGCCGACCATGCGATCGGCAAGTCCTAGGCGCTGAGATTTTACCCACAGCGCCACCCGCTTCCCAATGGTGTATACATAGCCTAAATATTAAGGTAAAGGTAAAGGTACCCCTGCCCGTACGGGCCAGTCTTGACAGACTCTAGGGTTGTGCGCTCATCTCACTCTAGAGGCCGGGAGCCAGCGCTGTCCGCAGACACTTCTGGGTCACGTGGCCAGCGTGACAAGCTGCATCTGGCGAGCCAGCACAGCACACGGAACGCCGTTTACCTTCCCGCTGGTAAGCGGTCCCTATTTATCTGCTTGCACCCGGGGGTGCTTTCAAACTGCTAGGTTGGCAGGCGCTGGGACCGAACGCCGGGAGGGCACCCCGCCGCGGGGATTCAAACCGCCGACCATGCGATTGGCAAGTCCTAGGTGCTGAGGTTTTACCCACAGCACCACCCGCGCCCCTGCCTAAATATTATTTAACTGCAATTTTAAGTTTTTTTTGAGTTAGTTTCCAGAATTTGATCTCCAAATGAATAGTTATGATTCAAGGGATCTAAGAGGACGATCCCTTGTGACCATTCAAATTGGAGAATTACAAGGATTCTCTTGCTGACAGAGTTGCCATCTGTCATTTCCTGTGTACTTTGTGAGATGACTTTAATAACAGATATTTGCAGCGCTTGGGCTGGGGACTTTTAAGGGCTATTCTGTGCAAATGTTCCTGAATAAGTGTAAAATTTTAACCACCTCCATGCAGTTCCTTCAGCTTTCACAAATCTACACCTGCCTCGTAATTCTTTTGAAGGCTGAACGTACCACAGACAGAGTCATTTAATCTGTGTTTGAGAACCACACAGGGCCAGCTTCTGGCTAGCTAAGGTTCTAATGGACCCCTATATGCCCAGACTCAGCAGACAGCTGAAGATCTATCAGAAGCTGCTGTATACAGACTAGTAGTCCATCTAGGTCTGTATTGTCTATGTCAGGGGGTCAACAAACTTTTTCCTCATGGGGCCGGTCCACTGTCCCTCATACCTTGTGGGGGGCTGGACTATATTTTGAACCCCCCCCCGACTCTCTCCTCCCTTCTCCACAGCACCAGACGAGCCCTGGTGGCTGCTTACCTGTGCCTTGCAAGTGGCAGAGGCTGGTGGCGGTGGCAGAGGGACTATGACCCATGGTCTACGTTGACTGGCAGGGGCTTTCCAGGGTTTCAGATAGAGGTCTAACCCAGCCCTTGTTGTTGTTTAGTCGTGTCCAACTCTTCATGAACCCCTGGACCAGAGCACGCCAGACACTCCTGTCTTCCACTGCCTCCCGCAGTTTGGTCAGACTCATGTTTGTAGCTTCGAGAACACTATCTAGCCATCTCGTCCTCTGTCGTCCCCTTCTCCTTGTGCCCTCCATCTTTCCCAACATCAGGGTCTTTTCCAGGGAGTCTTCTCTTCTCATGAGGTGGCCAAAGTATTGGAGCCTCAGCTTCAGGATCTGTCCTTCCAGTGAGCACTCAGGGCTGATTTCCTTCAGAATGGAGAGGTTTGATCTTCTTGCAGCCCACGGGACTCTCAAGAGTCTCCTCCAGCACCATAATTCAAAAGCATCCATTCTTCGGTGATCAGCCGAAGAATGGATGCTTTATGGTCCAGCTCTCACTTCCATACATCACTACTAGGAAAACCATGGCTTTAACTATACGGACCTTTGTTGGCAAGGTGATGTCTCTGCTTTTTAAGATGCTGTCTAGATTTGTCATCGCCTTTCTCCCAAGCCCTACTTGGGGTTAAATCTGGAACCTTCTTCATGCAAACGTATGCTCTACTGCTAAGCTACAGCACTTCCCCTAATAACAGATGAAGATTCCGGTCCTCATGGTTCTAAAACAAGGGCTGATTCAATTAGAAACCATTTTAAAATTGCTTCTTTGTTCCTCCTTAGGAATCATCTTGTCAAAACCGAGCAATTTGGAGCAGATCACCTCCAACGTGCTGCCATGCAGCCCCACTCAAATAATCGCCACGGCGCGGCAGGAAACAGCAACGGTACCTCAGCCTCTCAGTGCACTCACGGAGCAAGGTCACCAGGAGAAGGATCTTGCCAGCATGGAGGGGACGTCCACATCCAGCTGAGCTCTGCTCTGGGAGAGGCAGGCGAAGACGCTGGCTCCAGGCAGCACCTGCAGTCCGGGACTCAGAGCCATTCCCGCTCCCACTCCCACGGCGAAGCTCGACGGCCTCAAGATGGCGGCTCGGATTTGGAGGAGCAGAGCGGCAGCTCCCTTTCTGAGCTCAGATACCTCCTCCACTGGCTACACAAGAGTCTCCCGTACATCTTGATCCTGTCCCTCAAACTCCTCATGCAGCACATAATGGGTAGAGTACAAGACATTGCGCGCTCTGGAGACAACTGCATTTATTTGGGTTTGAGGTTGAAAGAGAAGCAGCAGGTTGTGCTTCCAGGCCAGGGGATTGAAACAGTTTTAGCGCCATCTTGAAAACTAGTTTGCCTATTTCTGGTTTCCCTCTTAGCCTTGATCACTGGAAAACTTTCTTGGCCAGTTTCTGGCTTCTGAGATTTCACCAGACACCACCCGTATGATTCCATGATTTGCAATAATAAGGACTAGAAGGTGGTGGTGGTGTTTTTTTAAAAAAAGAAAAACAGTTAAAGCTGAAATTTTCAAAGGGTGGTAGAATTTTGCCCTCAGTGCCACATATTATGTGCGTTATCTGTGCTTCTGGAACTGAAACACAATTCAGGCTGGCTTTAAACCTGTTGCTGCTTTTACTACCCACAATACCCAGGATGAAGACTTATTTCTGCCTCCTTTGGGATTTTAAATTGAAAACGGGCAGCTTTATTCCTCCTTATCCTTTTTACAGGTTGAAATTAGGAGTGGGGAACCTCAAGCCTGGGGGCCAAATGTGGCCCTCCAGGCAATCGCACCCTGCTCACAGGGTCCTGCAGATCTATCATGTGCTTTTAAGTTTCAGGCCCAAAAAGGGGGAGGAAGAACCTCAGGATGCTGCTTGAAATTGAAAAGTTTGTTGGAAAAATTACAGTTGCCCTGTGCATTTCATTGCCTTGCCTTCAGGTCCACTGTAAAACAAAAACAGCAACGACACAAGGTTCAGATTCAACAGCATTACACCAGTTGGTTTAAACTGGGGCTAGGGAACTTGTGGCCCTGCAGATGCTGTTGGACTACGACTCCCATCATCCCTAATCATTGACCATGCTGGCTGAGGCTGATGGGATCTGTAGTCCAAGAACATCCGCAGGGCCACAGCTTCCTCATCCCTCCTGTAAATGAAAGAACTGATTAAAATTATTTATTTATTCAACAAATCTTTATGACACTTTTAAGGAACACAATCAAGATAACAATATAACAAATTGCAATTCAGAACTTAAGACCAACAGCTGTCTAAAAGCTTGCAAGCACAACATGCTTATGAAACACAATATCTTATTTATATTTGTATGTTCATGGTTTTATTAATTTCACTGGGACTATTCTGAGTAGGTAGGATGCAGCCCCTCTTAGCTTGGCTACCAAGGCTTGGCAAAAATTGAGAATCCCTGATCATAAGCCCCTGTACTACTATGGCCTTATGTACAGAGTTAGTTATCACTGTACCATTCCCAAGGTCTTCCTGAGAGTCCTTCTCCCTCCTCTTCTCTTGGGGCTTTCCATTCTCCTTTCCTGCTTTCTGAAATTCCGCTTCTGAGAAGCTGCTAAAATTCATTTTAGCTTTTTCAGTTTATTCTTTTGTGGTCATATACTCGGGGACCCTTGGCTTACTGCAAAACTAAAATTTTGAAACACCAGGTGTCAAAATCTGCAGCTCCCTTCAGACAGATTAAAAATATTCCTGAAATGTACCCATTCTTTTTTCCATCACTGGAGAAAGGTTCCACGATGGCTAAAGATTTCTAAGCAACAGAATGGTTTTAAAATTGCCAACTTGTCTTACAAGTCCTGAAACGTTACTGGCCCATCAAAATGACTAGCCAACAGATCTGGGCTAGCCATCTGTTGCACACAGGATGCAGTCCTTGGAATTTTTCCTGAATAAAAGACCCAGTTGACATAATCCTCCTGCCTTAGTCATTTGGAAGCGATTTTTATTCACCGTGGGTGTGGCTGTTTCCCATTGGGACTGATAGGGCGTAAGGCAGGGAGCCCAACAGTAGGTGGAGCTAGAGCAAATGTCTGGCCCAATGACTACAGCCAATGACTAGCTTCGCCCCCATTCTTCTCCTTGCTGAGTTATGCAAGGGGCAACATTGAGACTAAGGAAGACAAAGCTGACAGCCAAGGCCACCTGCTGGACTGGTTGTAAGAGGCAGACGGGTGGTGGCTGGTTGAAGTTAGACTGAGGTTTATGGGGCTGTGCCCCATTTGTACTAATAGGCCAGCTGCCACTGCAACAAGTGACCAGGTGAGTGGGTATTTATCGGCCTGGTGCAAACATATATAAAAAGACCTCAAGGCGCTGCTGAGTTAATGCAAATGTAAACAACGATGCAAGTGTTGTTTGTTTGATCTAATTTATTCCAGCTTGATTTATTAGATGCAAACTCTCCCCAGTGTGGTAAATAGCTTGAGATTTTTTCCAGCCAGCCAGCACTATGCCCTAATTGCATAATAGCGAGGAGGATGGGGTGGAATATCGATGAGCAGGGAAACGGGAGAGATGGCAGTAAAGGTGAGAGAAGGTCTACTGCAAGAACATTTTTTCCAGCTAGTAGAAGCCCCTCAAATTTTGGCCTTTAGCAGGTACTGCTGTGCCGTGTTTAGACCTCTCCCTTCAGCGATGAGAGCTAGAAGCATGCTCATTGCTATTTAATTCATTGGAATTCTCACTAATCTGATGATTTGTAAAGGGTACAGTCAGAGCCGTGCAGTTCAGCAGTGCCCCTGAGTATATAGTGACTAATTATTTTTGTTCTGTTGTCTAAAACAGTTACAAGATAGACTATGCAATGCCCTTTTTGATTTTGCTGCTTTGTTTTAAAAAACAAAAATTAGTTTGATGCATTTTTTGGTTCTTTTTCTTTTTCTTTTTTTCCGTTTTGTAATTTACCCTTTTTTCCTAATAGGCATTTCTCTGGGAGTTGGGCTGCTAACAACTTATATGTATGCAAACAAAAGCATTGTAAATCAGGTTTTCCTAAGAGTAAGTATTGACCTCTCCGGCGAGGTTGTAAGTATTTTTTTAAAGCTTCACTTTACCCAGGAGATAGATGCGTTCTTGACAGAAAAGTGGAACAGAGTGTTAATTTGACAACACACACATTCCGTCGCTTAAAATAAAAAGGTTGATTTAAGAACAGCTGCAAAAATAGAATATAGTTATAATGAACCATTTACATAATATTTTTTCCCGCCTACTTTGATGCAACCTGAACATTTCTGCTGCGCTCAGCACAAACTGACTCACTACTTAAAGTTGCACACAGGCCTCCGCCATACTTTTCCCTCCCTCCCTCCAAGTCTAGCCTGGGGAAAAATTCTGTGAAACTCGCAAACTAGCTCGCTACTTTGTGGCTGTGCTGATCTCATTGTAGCTGCCATTATAGATAATTGTCTTCAGTCTGGCTCAGCTATCTTAATATTTTTGCCAGCTAGCAAAGGTCTTTCTCTTAAACTAGGGCTTTTGAGGGGGAATGAAGTGATTGACCATCAGAGCTTGCAACAAAAATATTGCAGTGTGAAATGCTCCTTTTCTGAATGCCAGCCAGTCATGCCCTTTCACAGGATACTCCATTCCATTCCCCTCTTGTTTCCCCTACTCCGCCATTCCCTGCAGTCAGTCAGCATTCCATATCCACCGAGCATGCTCAGTTCTCACTAAGCTCTTTTGGGCTCCCTGCCTGTTTGCAGGGGCAGGTTTGTACTTGTGCAAATTGTGAGATCTTCCTAAGCCTTCTGAGACATCCCATTTGGTGCATGGATGGCACTGTTCTGGTTACACAGCAATCCACACAGTCAGATAATGGGTCCGCTCTTAGTATATAGGTCTTTACATCTTGCCTTGCTGCTATTTGTATCTCATGTGGCATTATTTTTCTCCCATTATATTTTATTGGCATTGCTTTGATTTGGGTTATAAGCCATACCTCATCCTACTTGTTTGAAAGGCAAAGTATAAATACTGTGAGCAAACAGCTTGTCATGTTGTAATAAAAGTAGTCATCTTTCCATCTTTGAATAGAGGTTGAAAACAAGAATCCTGAGTATGGTTGTTCTGAAGAGGCAGTTTCCCTTAAGGCTCTTGAGAACCATAAACCAAGTAGTTATGATCGCAAAATGTTTTGAAAAATCAGTCCCTTTAGCAAGGGATTTCCTGCAGAATTTTTTGTTTGTTTGAAAGATTGCATGTGGCATCTTCTCTCACTCCTCGCCTAGCACTGAAAATCTGTTGTTTAAAGCAGGTGTGGGGAGTCTTTGGCCCTCCAGATGTTGTTGAATTACAACCCCCAACAGCCTCAGCAAGCATCAAATCAAATCAAATCAAATTTATTAAACGGTCACAGACCAGATTAACTCGTACAGCTAGTCAGCGAAGCATAACACCGGAAAAAACAAAGGACAATTTCAATACATAACTGCAATTTAAAATTAGACAGCATAAATAAAAAATTAAGTATTTGCCTTCGCCTGCGTAATGACATTGGAAAGCTCTTGTTTCCTGCGCCTAATAGCGGCTACACAGCATGGCCAATGCCAAGGGATGATGGGAATTGTAGTTCAACAGCATCTGAAGAGACAGACGTTCCCCACACCTGGTTCAGTGGGATAAACTGCTCAAAGTGTTGGGGTAATAACTACCCATGTGGCTGTCTTTTTGTGTATTTGTCTACAGCTGTTCTTTATCCTCTTTTTGGGGGGGGGGCGAGGGGGACTGCTCACTGTCTCATTCCAAAGGTGGTTCAGGGTGGGCTGTCAGCTTTGTAATCAAGTTGGGGCCGATTCCCAGTAGGGGCTTCTTAGTAACATAGGCTCCAGCGTAGCATCACATACAAATATGTACATTTGCATTTTGCATACGAAATCCCCCCTGAAAAGAAATGTGGAATTTCTCTGCTTTCCTGCAGCTTCTAAAGGTGTTTGGCAGGAACATTAGGAGGAATGTCATGCCCACAGGTCCATAAGGATATGGCTCCCAGTGGTGCTACCAAGAATCTTTAAAAACCTTCCCATTGAATTCAGTGGGGCTTAATCCCAGGTAAATGGTATTAGGACTGCAGCCTTAGATTGCAGAAGTAGCAGTCCGGCCAATTAAGTGGAGGGCACATTGCATCTGCCACTTGTTGAACTTCATCTCCCATCACCCCTAATCAATGGCCCTACTGTCTGGGTCTGGTTTATTTGGAGTCCCATCCCTAGGCCTGTACTCCGAAAACTCGCTTACAAAGCCCTCTGAGCTCAACAGCCTCTTAAATGGAGAATGAATGGCAAAATCACAGCAGCCTAGCATCTTGTAACTAGAAAATGCAGTCATTTGAATTAACCATTTGAAAACTCTTATTGTTGCAGGAAAGGTGTTCCAGACTGGAGTGTGTCTGGTTACTGGCATTCCTAACAGGATCCTCTCTCCTTCTGTATTATACGTTCTACCCTCAGTCTCTTCATTACAGGTAATTCAGTGCAGGTTAGAATTTTTTCCCTTCTGAACGGCAGTAAAAACAGTCTTCCTTGATGTGTAATACATCCAGACCACATCTATACCATACATTTACAGCACATGACTCCCCCCGCAAAGAATAATGGGAACAGTTTTTTGTTAAGGGTGCTGGGAATTATAGCTCTATGAAGGTTAAACTATAGTTCCCAGGATTCTTTTTTGGGGAACAATGCTTTAAATGCATGGTGTGGGTGTGACCTTACTCCCCAAATGTGCTGATGATGGACACAAGGTGCCTTTAAAAAATGGGTGGGTAATTTCTTTATTTCACTACTGTTTATTTCAACAGCTTGTATCCTGCTTAACACTGTTGCTTCTAAGCGGTGTGCAATAAACTTACCCCCCCCAAAAAAGATACAACTGAGATAAAATGGGTTAAAATGAACCATAAAATTGGAAAAGCTTACTCAGAATGCCAGATTTAAGTTGTTACCAGCTGTGGTGAACCAGTTACCAGGGGACCAAACTGCAGGTGTCACAACCCCTTACGTCTTGTTTGTGGGCTTCTTCAGAGCATTTTTCTGTTCATGGTTGGAAACAGGATACTGGTCTGGGTGGTTCATTCCAGGAGGGCTTTTTATATGTTGGATAACATACTTGGATGGATGGAAGGAAGGGAATTATAATCCAGTCTTGAAAAGTCCTATTGAAGAATTAGTCATATAAAAAGTGAACGACTGGCTTGGTTTTTGCTTGCTATTCTAAACACCCCATAGGAAAAATAAATTTGTAAAAGGTGATTTCTTGAGAACCTGCTAGAGTAGATGCAAGGCCAGATGAAGGCTGCTAGAGGACCGCCCCTCCCCCAAGATAGTCATCCTTTTGTTCAACCTTTGAAGTGTGGCAGTTTCACCAGACACATCTTAAACAAGTCTCCTCTGGCTGACGGATCTGTGTTCCGGGTCGTTTTCTGCCTCTTTCTCCATTCCACAGGGCCTACAAATCAACAGGCTTATCTCCCAAGTGTCTCAACAGCAATTGCTGTTGGAAATGGCAGCCCTGTGTTGAGATCTCCAGCCTGTGCTGCTACGGCAGATGTGTTGCATTCCCATTGCTACCTAGTAATGTGGGGGAATGTCTCTGTGCAGCAACAGCCCCATGTTTTTGAACTGGGTAAGTCTTCATTTTGAGTAAGACTTCACGCCTGCCAGCTCTTCCCTGACAGTATTATTCTAAACTGGGTGCTCTGGTTAATGGCAAATGTGTAATAATCCAACATAAAATAAGTAAGTATGTGGGGGAAAGGCTCTCATGCCTGGGAACTAGTAGAGGGGGCGCGAGCAGTGTCTGAGCTCTGGGCGCAGTACTGCGCCTAAGATTTCAGATTAAAACTGCAGAGTAGAAGGAAAGGAGGACCTTTTTCAGCCTCCCCACTTCCAGCCACTCTGAAGACTGGAGAAGAGACCCTCTTAAGAATATTAGGGGGGTGGGCAGGGGAAGCGTGGCCTTGTGTGTGTTTTTTGCAGTCTTCAGATGAGGCAATGTGAAAAATGAATATGAGATTTTAACTGCAGTTCATTCATTTCCAGCTTTGTATTCTTGTTATTAAAAAAGTGTGCCTAGACATTCCATTGTTGTGCTCATAACCTAGGTTTAAGGTGTCATTTAGCTCCGAGCTTTCATATCTCTGTTTCTAACACTGCTTGCTAATGGGGAAAAAAAGCTTTTGGCCGTAGCATTCTGCTTGAAACGAGAAAGTCTTTTTGCATTTCCATTTCAAGGGTGCTAAAATACTTTCTGTGAAAAAAAGTCTTCAACTTACAGTCTCCTTTGCCTTTATTTTGTTTTTTTAAAAGCTTGATCCTTTTAAGTCCTGCTGTGGATTACACAAACTTCTGGGAGGTACTTTGGATCGTGGGGATCACAGACTTCATTCTGAAGTTTCTCTTCATGGGCTTCAAATGCATCGTTCTCTTGCTGCCTTCTTTTATCATGTCTTTTAAGTCCAAGGTAAGAAAATTTTGTTGTTTTTGTTGCTATTTTTTTAAAAAAACCTATTTTTAATATGAGTTATAAATACCCAGTTGTATCACTGTCACACGCTTAACTTCAGCTTGTACCGTATTTCATTGCAATGAGAGAAGCACTTAGGTTTGCTAATTCCTAGGAAAGGCTTCCTTCCCATCAGAGCAAGAAGGCTGAGCTTTCAGAAGGGCTGAACTGGAAGGGAAGGCATTTGTCGTAAGAGCATGAGCAGAGCCCTGCTGGACCAGGCCGGTGGCCCATCTAGTCCAGCATCCTTTTCTCACAGTGGCCAATCAGATGCCTGTGGGAAACCCGCAAGACATCTCGAGCACAATAGCCCTCTCCCCTCCTGTGGCTTCCAGTAACTAGTACAGTGGTACTTTGGGTTACAGATGCTTCAGGTTACAGACTCCGCTAACCCAGAAATTGTACCTCGGGTTAAGAACTTTGCTTCAGGATGAGAACAGAAATCACGCAGCAGCGGTGTGGCGGCAGCAGGAGGCCCCATTAGCTAAAGTGATACCTCAGGTTAAGAACAGTTTCAGGTTAAGAACGGACCTCCAGAACTAATTAAGTTCTTAACCCAAGGTACCACTGTATTCAGAAGCAACCCTGCCTCTAATTGTGGAGGCAGAGCCTAGCTATGGTGTGGTGTAGTGGTTAAGAGCGGTGGACTTGTAATCTGGGGAACCGGGTTCGCGTCTCCGCTCCTCCACATGCAGCTGCCGGGTGACCTTGGGCCAGTCACACTTCTTTGAAGTCTCTCAGCCCCACTCACCTCACAGAGTGTGTTGTGGGGGAGGAAGGGAAAGGAGAATGTTAGCCGCTTTGAGACTTCTTAAAGGGAGTGAAAGGCGGGATATCAAATCCAAACTCTTCTTCTTCTTCAAAAAGTGTTGGATGCTTAGAGGTCCCCGATTGCTTTAAAATAAAAAATTAATAAAAAATAGAGGTCCCTGATTGCTTCAGTGCCTATGTGACTAGTTCAGCAAGCCGTTCCATTTGTGCTAGAGAGGCTTCCTTTTCCCTTAGTGCCCTTAGCACATAGCCAAATCCGACTCAAGGGGAGTGAAGTTTGAGCCATCAGCAGAGGTGGGAAAGCAGTGGCTGTGAACAGCCACAAAGGAACGTAGGGTGAAGAAGTCTTGAGTCAGCTCTCCTTAAATAGTTTTCATAGCATGAGAATAAAAACATTGAAGTGAAGTGGGGCTAACACCTATCTTATTAATGAATGGCAGCTTGCATTGGCCGAAGTGGTCTTGAACTGTCACTAGCAAGAAGTTAAGCATTACCCTTTAAAAAGAAAAATGCACACCCTAAGATGCATATATATAGTAATTAGTGGTGGAAGGTACTTGACAAAGTAATGATGTCTCAACATTAATGCTGACTTCTCATAACACTTTAATGTACGATGAAAGAACAGCGGGCCCTTCATCTGGCTTAAACTGTTTAGGTGAGAGGAGAAGGGCTTAATGACTGAATAAAATCTGGTTTGCTTTCAGACATGGGCAACTGGACAAAAATAAATCATTAAATATTATCTTGTTAGAGGTGAATAATGAAAATCCTGCCAGTTCAGCAGAGATCTGAGTTATTAATTTGGTAAAAAGAATGTCTGGGAAGCTTTGCCAAGCAGAGATTCCTGGCACTGCTGCAATTTTATTTATTATGCTAGAAAGCTGAACTCCTAAGAGCTGCCTGTGTCCATTTGTATGATGGGTTTTTTTTAATTACAAAAAAATAGATATACCTCTTCACGGGCTTCAACAGCTGTTAACCCCATGGGTTGTGTCCAGTGTTAGTCATGCTCAGTGTAGGCCCATGGAAATAAATGGATATGATTTACATAGGTCTGTTGATTTCAGTGGGTCCACTCTTGAGTAGAACTTAGCTGGCTACAACCTTATATTTGGTCCAGGCTTCTGGCATTAAGCATGATCTGCAAGAGCAACAGTGGGGAAGCTCTGGACCCCGGGTTTAATCTGAGCTGCCGGGCCCTACCCCATTTGGCTCACGAGCCATGCCTACCCGCCCTGCCCCTGACATCAGGTGGCAGGTTAAAGACATGGCTTCTCTGCCCAAAATAGGACTTGCTTTTGGCATGGGTAAGAACCCCAGTGAGAATGAAAACAAAGCTCACTGGGTGACCTTGGTGTAGTCACTACCTAGCCTACATCAAAGGGCTGTTGTGAGGATAAAATGGGGGATTGAGGAGGGATGAATTCATGTATGCCATCACAAGCTCCTTGGAGAATGGCATGGTAGCAGTTTATGGAAGCTTGCAGTGATGGGCGGGTAAGAAATAAGTAACAACGATCTTCTTTGTATGTTGTAAACTAGGGTTATTGGTACATGCTCTTGGAAGAGCTCTGCCAGTTTTACCGCAAGATCGTCCCTGTGCCAGTCTGGTTCCGGTACTTTGTTGGCTTGAGGGAGCTGGACAGCGCATTGGGGTGGAGTCTCGGAGTCTTGATGGCCCTGCTCTATCTCATCCTAAAGGTAAACTCTGATCTGCTGCTAAACCCTCTTTTCTTAAAAACAGCGTGGCAAGAGGCAGCCTAGGTGTAAACACAGCAGCAACACATTGCTGTGTGTGTGAGATTGCATGCACCTTGTCTTTCTAGGCCTTGGTTTCTTCAGCTAACAAATGGCGAAAACTATTTTTCTGTGTTAACCTTGAGCAGCTAGAGCCATGCTTGGCTGGGGCAAGGTGCCCAGCTGGGTTCCATAATATCAAGTTCTCCCTGCACGGGAACCTCCCATCTCTCCCTCTAATAGAGAATGTGGATGGTAAGTCGTGACAGCCAGCCAGTGTGGAGCCGCCAAGCAGGAGTGTTGGCATGCTCTGGGGAACCGTTTTGTTTGTGTGTGTGTGTGCGCGCACACCCACCCACATACCCACATCCATCTTAGTAGCTATTGAATGCTGAGTGTAACTTGGAAAAGATGAATGAAAAGCCAGGATGTGGGGGGCATAGCTGGCCGGCACACAGAGCAAGAACAGCCTTTGACTAAGATATAGGTTGTAAATCACTGAACAAGATGGCAATTCTGGGACCAGTATACCTTAAGAACCTATCAAATTTCCAAGATTGTTATTCAAGGGGGACCCTCCTCTCTGCCCCATCACCCCCTAGATATATGGTGGGTGGTATGCTGTTGTGTCTGTCTTAATACATTGTATTTACTGTAAACTGACCTGACTACCCCTTGACAGAAAATCAGGGTAGAAATCTTTTGAAATAAAACAAGTCTTGATTGTGTTAGCTTGCAGTTCTAACCTCACTTGGCTGAGAGGAAGCCTCACTGAATTGAGGAAGGCTTACTTCTGAGTAAGCATGCTTAGGATAGCAGCAGTCTTTTGGGATTTGTTTTCTCAGCCTCTAGTGTTTTAACTTTTTGTCTTTTTTGTGAGCATCTCTTATTTTGACTTTAGCTTCATTCTATCTGCTCTAGGCTTATAGGAGAAAGCCCACAACTTTTAATTGTTGTTACATGACACTTAAGACCCCTTCAGTGTTGTTTTTTTAAAGCTTAAAGTAAAGGTAAAGGGACCACTGACCATTAGGTCCAGTCGTGGCCGACTCTGGGGTTGCCGCGCTCAAGCTACTTTACTGTTAAAAGCTAGTTTACATCTATTTCCTCTCATGTTATCTTAACTTTTCAGCTTTTGAGCTTCTTTGGACATCTGAAAAATTTCAGACGAGTCTTGCGGATATTTTATGCACGACCAGTGAGTATTTGTACCCTCTTAAGAACATTTTTCTTTTCTGTTTAAACAAACCACAGTTCCCTGTGACATTCAAATTTGGAGCTGTGATTTAAAAAACAAAATGGGAGGCAAAGGTCTGGCCATGCTGCTGTAGTTGGACTACAGCTCCCATCAGTCACAGCTGGCATGGCCAACGGTGAGGGATGGCAGGAGCTGTAGTTGGACATCTGGAGAACACTAGGGTGAAGGCTGATGTACTTTCATATAGAAGCAGCCTGTGAACCAGGAAGTCCACACCGGTGTCATAAATACACCAGACACCTTGTCTGCAATATATGGATAACACTACTACTCTACCAGAGGGGACTGCTGCAATGATTATTTAAACTGTACATACCTGTGTATCTGGTGCCACTACCTTCCTTGCTAGAAACCAAGTATTTGAGCCTGTTCTGTACCTTCTCTCTCTTTGCAGAACTTCGGCATCGCAGCCAGCAAGAGGCAGTGTGCGGAAGCGGAAGACATTTGCTCCATCTGCCAAGCTGAATTTCAGAAGCCTGTTCTTCTCATCTGCCAGGTAACTCACCAGTGTTATTCTCCTCCCGCTGTCCCAACATTGTTCTGAACAGCCAAACAATTCCTTAGACGCTTACCCAGAGTTCCTCAGTGCATATGTTCAGCAATCAATGGTGGACAAGGTTCTTTGATAGGACAACCTTCCACCCACCTTCGCTGCTCTTTCCTGGAGTGAAGAAAGTCTGCAACTCATTGCCCTCCACCAGGGATGGGGAGTTTCAGGTCTGGAGGTCAAATGGAACCCTCCAAAACTGTTTGACCCTTCGGACACCCCTCACCAGCCCTGCTTGGCGCTTGAGTGTTTTTGCCTTGCTGGGATGCATCCTTAAACTCTGATCATGCCTTTAGCTTGCCTGGATCAAGGATGGAGGGGTGTGTTTGTGTGCAAAGGTGTACTTTACATTCGTTGCTCCACCCACTTTTGCCTCTGGCCTCATTATTATTATTATTAAATTTATATACCGCCCTTCATCTGAAGATCTCAGCGGTTCACAAGATAAAAATACAGAATAAAAGCACAAGAGAGGGATTGCTGCCCTTGAGCCGAGCCCTACACCAGTTAAGGGATTTAAAAGTATGCTGAATGTTATTGAGTTGCTGAGCTCCTTTGCACCCCATTGTGCTCAAAGCAGCCTTTCTCGTTTCAGCACATATTTTGTGAAGAATGCATAGCTCTGTGGTTCAACAGAGAGAGAACGTGCCCCCTGTGCAGAACCATCATCTCGGACCACATCAACAAGTGGAAAGATGGGGCAACTTCCGCACAACTACAGGTCTATTAAAAACCCTGTCGGACACAAGAACTACAGTTTGAATGCTGGTCTTTACCGTTTAAGGGGGTTGGGTGGAAAGGAGGTGTTAGAAGAAAAAGGTACTCAGGGGGTTAAGTCTACATACGTCCATCTCTCAGCTGCTGCAGGACTTGAGTCCATTCAGACACAAAGCAACTTGCTTGAAAGCTGCTTTTTCGTGTTGAAGTCACCCTCCAGTTGCTGGTTGTGTGTAAAACACGCCAGAGCTCTGTTCTTCAACCTTGGTTCCCCTGGTGCTGTTGCACCAGAACGCCCATCATCCCTGACCATTACTGGCAGGGGCTGCTGAGAGTTGTAGTCTTGTAGTCCAATTTCATGAGGGGAACCAAGGCTGAATAACATTGGTTGAGACGTGCTCAAAACTTTTGGCAATGCTGTAGGAGCAATAGCCTCAAATTCAGTTCCATGCAGATGTCTAAACCAGCCTGTTACCAGAGCACGAATAGGATCAGTATTGCACGTGATATGCTAAAAATCCAGTTTGCACAAATCTTGAGATTCTATGAGAGTTACCACTTTTATGCCACTTGGCTCCTGTAGAAGCTGCTGGTTCCTTATCCCTCCTGCCATTACAGCAGTAGCTACTTATATTCATGCAAGAAAGTCAGGAATGAATTTTTTGCTTCAATTATGCACACATAATTTTTCTACTTTTGTACGCCTGGATTTTTAAAAAGCAAAATCTTATACTATATTTTGTCATAAACAACTACATTTTATTACAAAGGGGAAGAGATCTATTTTAGTGATACTTAAGACAACAACCTGTGGTATACCTAAAGATTGGTGAGAATAAAAGCAGTTTTAATCTATTGGTCTGGGATTTCTCTTACTACCTCTTCTGCACGTATACGTTTTCCAACATATCAGTAAAACGGCTTATAAAAGTAACCAGTAAAGCTTGCAAAAAATTTAAAAAAACCACTTCATTTCTCAGACGGTGACCATTTTGCCCGGGGGTTCTGTTCCTGGCCCCCACATGCATCTGCGGAGTCTGCAGAAGCACATTCCACCCCCATTCTGCCCTTGTCCGGGTCCAAAAGGACCAGTGCGTCAGTGGTCACACATCAATTGGATGTGTGCAAAATGGTCACCGTGTCTATAACATAAAGGCCTACAAGCCAAGGTAGAAACATGGCACTAGATGCTGGATTCCCAACTGTCATCATTCTCAGCCACTAGCAGGCCACAAGTTGCCCATCTATCTTAAGTTAAGAAATTAAGGTATAAGCACAACACTTGGCTGGACAGCACATCAATACATGTTTTCTGAAAAACAAGTCTGTTAACTTGGAACTAGATCCACGTCATGACTATCCCTGTTGACTGAAGAGTTGTGACTGACTTCTGTGTCATTGAGCAGTTAATTTCACTGTATAGTGAAGTTATGCGGTAGAAGCGGTGTGTATGTTGTTTCTTTTAAAAAACCAAACTCCAAATTAAGTCTACATTTGGTTTGAAAAGCCCATCAACTGCCCCTTGATCTGCAAACTTCGTAGCAACAGGAACTGCAAGCCGAGATTCTCAAAGAGGGTGCACAATAAATAAATAATCAATATTCATACATTCATTCAAAGTTGCATTTAATTGCTATTTACATCCATTTGTTTTGAAATAAAGTATATATTATTACAGTAAATAATACAGAATGAAATGCAGGGAGGGAGTTTCGACCCCTCATACCATTCTTAGTAAGGCAGCTGTAGAATCTGATTCTTAACAGATGGTTTACAAAGCCAGCTAACGTCTAGCAGAATGAACACTTCCTTAAAGCATACAGATGAAAATTCAAAACCACCAAACCTTGAAGCCCTTATGCAGCTTTCTCCCGCTTCCTTTCCTTCCCCAAAGGCTCACAGACACCATGATGTAAACATGTTAATTTCTGAAGATGCCTGCACAGTTCAAGACACCAGAGGTGATGAAACCTAGATCCCCATTTGCTCCTCTTCCAAGAGCTTAGGGACAGCTGCTCACACCCTCAAATATACTAAGCTGTCTTTGAGAAGAGACCAGGGATCACTCTAGCACTGCTGCTGCCCAGATTTGATTCATATCAGTAGGGCTCAGAAGGGTTTGCTGAGCAGATGTGTGTGGCTCAGCAATGTTTGGTGGGTTGATTAGCATCCTCTTGCCAGAGAGGACAAGGTAATAATATGGCAGCTGGGGTTCTCTTTTTCCCTTCCAGGTTCAGACCACCTTTCCTCTTCCGATATACATACCCAAGAGTGGGGAAGCAGTGGCACTCCAAAGGCTGCTGGTCTCCCAGCAATCTCAGCCAGCATGTGGAGAGCCACAAGTGTCGCCAACCCTGTCTTAAGACTCCCAAAACAGGAAGAAAAGAGGAACCAGTTCATGCATAAACCTGGGCAAGGATTCTTAACACACTTCCCTTCCGTGATAATAGGAGCTACACATAAAATTGGGCTGACGGTGCATAGCACCCAGACCATCTACGTGATTGGGGGGGGGGGGAGGTGATAAGCCACACAAGCCCACTTTGGCCGGCTGAGTGTTATCAATTAGGAGAATGCAAACCCTGTTGCCCATTAAACGGTATACAGATCCCAACTAGCTACTATTTCTTGGCAATTCTGGGAACCTTCACTTTCATAAACAAGAACAAGAGCAGTAAATGGGAAGGGGTGGCTCCACCAGACACAGCAACACTGTAGATCCGGTGTGGGCAACTGTTGGCCCTCCAGATGTTGCTGCGCCACAAGTTGCATCATGCTTGGCCTTTGGCTGTGTTTGCTAAGGCTGATGGGAGTTGTAGTCCAGCAACACCTGGAGAGCTAAAGGTTACCCACACAGGCTCTAGAAAAGATGTCCTTCCATCAAGTAGGTTAGAGCACAGGGGTTGTAATGAGAGTCAAACACTCGAATGCTGTCTAATCTCACCCCAAATTCCCATGGGTTGCAAAAATTCAAATGCACCACGTATTCAACAGGGAATGGCAATAGTTGAGATTTTAACACACCCACCCATAGATCTCTTGGGATGGGAGGGCTCTCAGGCCAGCTGACCTATTCACTTCTCTGTTCCTCAAAGTGAACAGTGGAATACAACGAGCACTGCTTACATTTCACTATCATGGATCTCTAGTGGAAATAATACATGGTTCAAGTTTAATGCTTAAATATGTGGTTAGCCTCAGCAGGTATTAATCCCATTTTTTTTAATAATATAATGGTACAAAAATCTATAAAAATCAAATTATAGCAAAATCCCAAGATTATAATTAAAAAAGCACATCTTGTACAAAATAAATCTTAATTCCTATACCTCAATGAAAACTTTTAAGACTTTTTTTTAAAAAAGAAAGCACTTAAGTTCTCTGACAGTCACGGCATTTCACACACTAGCATTCTTTCTGAAGTCATACAGGAGTAAGAATCCCACTCCTTTTCAAAGTCTTGTGACTAATATAATATTGATACTATAACAGCTATATACAAAGAGAGAGACAGAGAGAGAAATCAAGGTTTGGATATCTATTTATACAAATAAATACAGGATAACCCCATATTGCATAGTGTGTGCTTGCTGTCCCAAGTCAAGATTCAAGAGTTTCACAGTTCAAAGATGATGAACACAGTTTAGGAAGTGAAATGATTAAACTGGAAAACAGATTCAAAACACTTTTGCCACCTTCTGCTGACCCTATTAGCCAACCCGATGGTTATATTTACCCAGAGCAGGACCACACACAAGATCACCAGAGATCTCTCATTTTAGAGAAGAGGTAGGGCTAACCCACTACCAAATGGGGCTCATTCTAAATTCGGCTCTCGTATGACTCCTGGCCATTTCCGTGGGGCCTGCCAACGTCATGGTTTCCAGATGTTGTGGGGCTAAATTTCCATCAGCCTTAAGCCAGAATGGCCAAAGGGCAATGAAAGCTATGGTACACAACATCTGGGTGGAACCATGTTTGGCTACTCAACATAATCTGTCACACCCCATGGAATTGTGCCTAACAGAACACTCCTACTACTCAGAAGTAAGTCCAATGAGTTAACAGGACATACCCTGAGGCAATGGCACACGGGATTCTAGCACAACTGATTTCTGGCTTTCACAAAGCACAAGCCATCATCCACAACTATACTGCCTCCAATACATAAAACGTGAGTGAACGGCAAAGTCAGCTTCACTGCATACTAGAGAAGCGATAAACATTTGGTTGGCTATAGAGTCACGGAAGTTGCCTTGACGCAGAAGTGGGGCAACTTTGGCCCTTCAGAGTCTACACTCCAACTCCCATCATCCCTGACTGGCCACGCTGGCTTTGGCTGATGGAAGTTGGGAATCCAAAAACAACTGGAGGGCCACCACCCCCTGCCTTAGCCGGATTTCCCTTGTAAAACCAAAATGTGGAAAAACAGGTCAGCCCGAATAGCTCTTCAAAGCCAGCAAAAGCACCCAGGAACTGCCAAGTCGTGCCCAAGGCCTGGTTGAGACGTTTATGCAGGTAGAGAACGTCTTGACAAAAAGCCAAGCACTTCCCACCTTCCACCAGTTACCTGTGACGCAGGCACCACATAGGACCCTCCCCGCTGCCGCTCTCAAACGTGCAATTAGTTTCCCCGATACGAAGATTACATAACCGAAGCGCTCGCACTTCTGGCAGCATGGCGTTGCTAGAATCATGTGTTTCCTGGGCAACCTGCATCCACCACAGAAAAATGTCGTCTAACCTTAAGCCGGGCTCAACTCTGCTTTGAAGTTAATACCTGTACTTCCGCAAGACATGGAGTTAAAAGTGTGTCCAGGAGTGGAAAGGCAGTGGGCTCAACCCAAAGCAATTCCATCTCCCCACCTCCATGCTTCAGAGATGTGAACATTTAGTGGAATGGAGTGACTCTGGGCCCTGGGAGGATGCTACGCCCCTCAAGACTTCATCTGTCCATCTCTCCCCCCCCCCCCAAAGTCCCACTGAAATTAGTAGGGGTTTTTAAACCACTGTTCAATGCTACTCTACTACTTGAATTTTGCTGCTCCAAAGAACGGGGACTACAGCCCCCAACATTCCTGACCACTGCCATGTTGGCTGTAGGGGCTCATGGGAGCAATGTCCAGAGGGCCACCAATGCCCCACCACTGGTGACGGCTTGAAGCCAGACAACTGCAGGCAGCACCCACACACAGACTTCCCCCGCTGTTCCCATTGCAGCCACATGTAGCCTGCACCCTGTGAAACCATCGGAGGACCCTCTGGAATAGCACCGGAGAGAGAGAGCAGGGGCTGTAAGCTGGCAGGGTGTGTGGAATCCACAGATGGTGGAGATCCAAAGGAGGATCTAATCCACTAGGGCTTAGGAGCAGCCATTGTTTCGCTCCATGCTATACTGTACTGCAAAAGGTGGATCCTCTGACCGGATTCAGTTATTTTTCTTTTTTGGAAGAGTTATGGCTTGGATCCTATGGCTCAAGAGAAGAATCAAAATAAAGCAAAAAAGAGAGATCTATTTCCTACAATGGCAGAATTTGCACAGAAAGAGTTAGAAACCGCACCATTACACAAAGATCCACACACACCTACTCACGCATACCCACCCACTCTCTACACTAGCGTAAAGCTCTGCAGACCATTATTCACCCCCTTTCGCCAGCTACGTACATGGAAATGTTTTATTTAAGGCAGGAAGTATTAAGTTAAGGTGAAGATACCTTTATTTAATTCTTTGTACCTGTAAAGTCACTTTTGTACAGATTTTATTTTTTCAACAACAATTGCAGAAAACATAAATAGTAAACCTTTTGAACGTTTCCTAAAATTAAGTTGCAAAAGTTCTCTGGAAGACATTCGTTGAAGGCCATCTTAATAATACTTGTTGTGTTTTGCTTTGTGTCTGTGTGTGGTTTTCTTCAATACAATCAGTAGATAGATCGCCTCAGCACAAAGGAAAAAAAACAAGGGTTTTTTTTGTAATTCATAATAGAAATGGAGCAAAGATGGCAGAAAACCATCTCTCCAAAGCATTACCACTTAAGCTGCAAGACCAGCATAAATGTAAATTGTAAAAAAATAAAAAAAAAATAAAAAGATACTGTGGTTGTATTCCTTTCTAACATCCTTTACTTTTCTCTCTTTTTTTGATGGCTTAAACGATCTTAACATATTCCTGGTATCTCTTAAAACAAATTATAGAGGTGAAACTTTAGCCAGCAGGTTCCTGCTTAGAATGATGGAGGACAGTACTATAAACCCACGGCAAAGAAGGGGGTGGGTAGGTGACAACTTTGATGGATGTGTGGAGCTCTCTGTACTGGCAGGGAGAGACCCCCCCCCTCCACACTTGCTTGGAGCTGTATGGGTTGTACCAAACTAAATTCAGTTAAGAGCAGAACCACTGAAACGAAGAGACCCAAGTCTGTCACGCCCTTTAATGTCAATGAAGCTACTCTAGGGTAGGCTTAGCACTGGAGACAACCCAATGCAAACGGAGGGGCTGAGTTGGAGGGCCTTCCATGCCCGCTAGGGTTTTACGCGGGGGGGGGGGGCGACACCTGATCTGATCCTGTAGAAAGAGGCATTTTAAATAAGACAAGGCAGGGTGAACTCTCTCACCCACCCCATTCCAATAACAACAGTGATTTCAATTTCATCTTTTTTATATAAAAAAAACCCCAAACCAGTTCCATTATTTCACTAGGAGAGCAAACAAATTCTTAAGCCTTCTTCCCCCTCCGACTTCAGCTCCATCTAACCAATAATTCTGCATATAATTCAAAGTCCGGGATACTTTCCATAATGAACCATCTTGGGCAAAAAAGTGGGGGAGGGACTCTATTTGAAAAATATATATATATATATTTATACTTTTAAAAAAAAGTTTGTTTTTTTGCAGATGGAACGACCAAGGGTTGGAGTTTGCTTCGGATCCCCAATTTCACACAACCGCAGGAAGCCACCTGAAATACGCCTACAGGCGAACAAATCCGTGGGGGCGGGGAGGGAGGTCAAGCCCGAGAGGTGACACTCTGCACACGTTTGGCTCAGTGACCCAGGCTAACCCTTCAGACTGTATGGCGCAGAAGCCACACCCCACCCTCAATACTGTCCGGCCTGAAGCTATCGACCTGAAAAATCCTTGATAAGAGAGCTGAAAGAATGGCACGTGCCCACAGGACACGCTGCACGGCTGTGCTTTAAGAGTCACACAATACTATTTTGCTCAAGTCCTCTCTTAATGCACCATTGATTCGGAGGAGAGGCAAAAGGGGGCGAGGAGGAGGAGGAGGAGAGAAGGATCCACGGGTTTTTTTGCCCTCTTCTTTCCCAGTTCATTCCGTGCGATGGCCGACTTTGATACTGTCGCTGAGAAAGAAGCCGCAGGAGCCCTCGTTTACAGCGTGATGAGAGCGGACGCCCCTCAGAGGAGGAGGAGCAGGAGGTTCATCCTTCGCGTTCGGTTGCTGCTACCCAGAAGCAAGTTTTTGGAAATGATTGCTGCTGATTTCATCATAGATTCATGCGCAAGTGCTCTGGCCGCTTGGAGATCATAGGGAAGGCTTGTTTCTTGTAGGGCCCGGTGTTTGGCTGTCGGATAGGGAGTGGAGCTGAGGCCTCCCCACAGACCGACACGTCCATTTGCTCTATCCCACCCGTCTGCATTGGGTACTCCACGGGCGCCTGAGCGTTTCCCACGCCAGAGGAAGTACCTCGCCCCCAGTAGTCCCCAGGAGAGAACTTGATAGGGCTTTAAAGAGAGAGAAGAAACGTTGGTTGAAAGAAGTTTTGCAGAAAAAACACACAGAAACATGCTAGCTCTTGCACTACACCTAGCAGAAGCACCTGATTCAACAGGTTTAATTGGGCTACTGTTTCTGACTTTGGAACTCCACAGCAACATCCAGGAAACTTCAAGGGATTTCCGAGCCTTGTGCCTTTCAGATCATGCGAGAACCCTGCTGGGTCAGGACAAAGGCCAAGAAAGCATCCTGTTCTCAGAGCTAGGTGCCCCTAGGAAGCCAGCGAGAACCAGAATGCAACAGCACCCACCACACTTGCTATTCTCAGCAACGGGCATTCAGAGGCCTCCGACAGTGGCGGCAGAAGAGAGCCATGAGCCGCACAGCCAAATCTCAGAGAGAAATGCAGTCCACAACATCTAGAGGGCACCATTTTAGCTGTTTGGCAGCAGCTCTCCTGGGTTCCAGGCAGGGAACCTTTCCCACCCTTACATGGAGGCATCGAAAACTGAATTCTTGACCTTCTGCATGCAAAACAAAAGCTCTACCACTGAGCTATGCCCCTTCCCTAGTGAGACAGAGCACTATAAATGGTAAAATTAACCATTTATATTCTCTCTCACCACCCTGGAAAGGCCCAGACCCTCAACACCTCAATGACCCTCTTGCTGCTACTCACCAAAACTAGGGGTGGGGGAAGGGAAAGAGAAATACCTGACTGGTGTCCGTGGGCTGCCAATGAATCTGCGAGGTGATCGGATTTTTGGTTCAAAGGAAAACTTCTCCTTCACACTTTCAAGTACAGATGGAGCCACGTATGTGAAACCCTAGATGGTGGGAAATAATTGTTGCCAAGTACACCCCCCCCCAAAGAATTTGAATGAATGTTCTGTGTTATGACAGGAGCAGAACGTGAAAGAACCAGTACCCCCCCCCACAAAAAATCCTAGCCATCTAAAGGTAAAGGTAAATTGACCCCTGACCATTAGGTCCAGTCGTGGCCGACTCTGGGGTTGCGACGCTCATCTCGCTTTATTGGCCGAGGGAGCCGGCGTACAGCTTCCGGGTCATGTGGCCAGCATGACTAAGCCACTTCTGGCGAACCAGAGCAGTGCACGGAAACGCCGTTTACCTTCCCGCTAGAGCGGTACCTATTTGTCTACTTGCACTTTGACGTGCTTTTGAACTGCTAGGTTGGCAGGACCTAGCCATCTAGATAGAGCCAATATGTGGGTTGTTAACAGGAACATGCATGAACATCAAAACTGCCTTTGGTCAGAGCAGTTTTCAACCAGTGTGCCATGGCCCCCAGAGGTGCCTTGAAGGATGCTCAGGGGTGCCATGGGCAACACTGGTCTCTGTCCCTCTTTCCTTCCCTCCCTCCCTCCTCTGATGCTCTCTCATGTCTCTGCCTCCCAAAGGCTTGCACAGCTGTTTATTGCAGCAGCCCTGGCTATAAACTCTGAATTTGCTCCATTGTGCCTATGTGTACTTTCAGAAGCTCTCAGACAGCTGTTGCCCAAATCCCTGTATTAATTTCAACTCCCATCAGCTCCTGCAGCCAACATGGCCAATGGTCAAGAATGATGGAAGGAGTCCAACACCATCCACAGGCTCCTTATCCCTGGCCTATGCCACTACATAAAACCAGCTGCAGACCAGAATAAGGAACAAGAAGCAATGGATATTGGGAAACTGAGCCTACTAAGTAGTCATGGGAGATGCAGAGCGTGCCCAAGCTTCAGAAAGGAGGCCTGGCAGTGGCAGAGAGCATCTTCCAGAATGTCTGCACCCTCAACAGGCCTTCTGACATTCCCTGCAGCCTGAAGACCAGGATTCTGCTGGTTTTCAACAATCCAGTACTTAGCCCCACTCCTACTTACCACAAAGACCTGGTTGGCACTTTCACTGAGAGTCGAGTCGTCGGGGCTGTCGACAGGAGTCTGACGGGTAAATTTTGCATCAAACTGGCTCACATCCTCTTCGGATTGCTTTGCAAAATATATATATATGGATGAAGGTCAACAGATTATCAAGCAAAACTCCTTTAATAGCAGATGACTGAAATCGTCAGAATGGCAGATAAAAGAAACTGCAGGAAAACTCCCTGATGACAAATCACTGTTTGAAGAGGTCACCCCTTTTGGGGCAGTCCATTGACAGCACTCTTTTCACCCCTTTGGGGTCACTACTTCAGTGTCTCCAAAGGCCTGGAGTGAGCAGCCCCAGGGGAGAGATGGAGTGGGAACTGCTGCTAGACCATCTGGTTGTTTCAGTTGTCATGTGTCCTGTTTTCTTTACCCAGGAATTTGGTTTAAATGGAAATTATAATTGTTGTGCTCACTACAGCTTACCTTTGCTTTGATTAGTGATGGCCCCCCTTTTTTTTTCTTTTCAGACTTGTTTCTACTGAGTCTGAATTTTTTGTATACTATACTTTCCCCCTGTGCATTTTTCATTTTATTTTTATGTCACCATTCCCTGCTCTTGAAATATTCAATGAAGAGCTAGGTATAAATACTTAGAGGAGAAATGGGGTGTGCCTCCGAACAATTATTTAGGGGGAAAGCCTGGGCACTTTGGGATCCACAAAGCAAATACTAAGTTTATATGTGAAATATTATCCAGCACCAAAGGAAGCATTACCAATACATACCAATAACGGTTTAAATGGGGGTTCCACCTTCCGAGCCAATAGCTCTTCCCAGTTGATGTGTCTGAAGAAAGGATGAGCCTAAGGACCATTATTAGACAACAGTCAGAATCCAACCCGGAAGAGAAAAAGATCTCAAAGTGGAAGCTTCCTAAGCTATACACAAACCTAAAAGGGGACAACTTGTCTGGTGTGCTGAAGGTGATAAGAATGAATACAGGCAAGGAGGAAAGCCATGTTCGTTTCTTTCCTCAGTTTGGATTCAAGTCGTGCTTACAACTGGTAATGAAATAATAGGGCTCTCTTTAGCTGTTATACATCCCACTGACCCTAGAATTGCTCTGAGAGGCAGCCAGCATTTTCTCCCTCTCCCCCTCTCACACATAGCCCTAAACCACTAGTTTCCCAAACTCCTTGAAGGAAGCCAGGATGGCAAACCAGTTCAAAACAATTTGGATTGTAATTTAAAAAGTAAGAGATGCCCACCGTTTCTTTCAAATAGTATACAAACACTGTCTCTATGGAACATGCTCCAGATCACAACACAGATGTCCTTCAAAAAAGAAAGAAAGAAAGAAAGAAAGAAAGAAAGAAAGAAAGAAACCAGGAGAAAGTCTAGCCTTGTGTTTCAGTTGAGCAAAAGCATTAAGCAAAAATTACCTGAACTTCTCCAGCATCTCCAGGACCAGCTCCTAGACGTGAGGCAGCATTTCTCTTTAGCAGCTTAGGAAAGGGGAAATATGTTTAAGAAAAAGTGAGGGACCCTGAAAGCCTGGGTTGCATACTGAAGCAGACTGCTGGAACTAAAGATGCCAAAGGCAGAACATTGGATCATCTACGGACCAAACTCACCCGCAACATTCCAGCTCCTTACTGAAGTACCTCCTTCCTAAGAAAATAGACTGCAAGCATTTCCTTCAGCTACCCTTTCTTTTAAAGGACTTGTGACTTAAATGCAACGAGCAGCATCCAGGGTTAGTCATACAGGAAAACCATAAATTGTGTTTGCTTTACTTACATGATTGCAACCTTACGTGGGTGGGAGTAAAATAAGCAGATAAACGGAAAGCCAAGGAAACTCATTGCTTTCCACTCTCCATTTATTTACCCGCACCTCACTTACAGGGCTTTGAGGAGGGAGTGGGAGGGCTCTGACAGCGTCCCAGAAGCCTCACATGGCCAGGTAACCAAGGTGACTAGCTTTGGGAAGGAGGCGCAGCAGGTATGGTGATGCCTTCCTTCCTGATAAGGTGTGAGGGTTCTGGGATCATCCCAGAAGCCAGTAAAGAAAGTGCTTCTTCTTAGTGCTTCGCTTATCAGGGTCTGGGAAGGTTGCCCATGGCCCTCCTGCAATGTTCCCAGATGCAGGTAAGCAGCCCTCTGCCTTGCAGGGTGTGGTTCCAGGGGTTCCTGGCTTTGCACGCAGACCCTCAGAACCAAATCCTCGTGTAAGTGGCAGGCCCTCTGTATTCACAAGTACATGACTAACTTAGAGCCATTAATTGCAATGGGTCTACTTAAGTAAGGTTTTAGTTGGACGCAACCCAAAGTCATTTAATTGGGGAAGCGCTGGTCTGTGACTCGCTTTAAGATAAAACCCCCAAATTTCCCTGTTAAGATCCCCACCTTTTTAAGCAGATCTCTGGCTTCTTGCGTGAGGTAGGGAGGCAAGTTGAGTTTACACTTGAGAATCTTGTCAATGGTTTTCTTTCGATTCTCCCCAGTGAATGGGGGCTATGGAATGTGGGAGACAGAGGAGAGGAGGTAGAAAAGAGAGAGAGGAGGCCATAAGGAACTATGCACCACAATTATGCAATTTCATATAAAAATAGATACTCCTGCTTTAACATATTTTTATTTTGAAAAGCAAACACACAGTCCCAATTAAAGCTATTTCCACACAATGCTATTCTGAAGAAAGCTTTGGAAGTACAGCAAGAAAACCAGTCCCAATTCCTGGGCTGCAAAAACAATGGGAAGAGCACTGGGTTTGGTTTTTAACATAGGCAACCCAAGGCTAAATGGTAGCTCTGGGTGGATCATTTACATGTCAAGGTGAAGCAGCCAATGAAGGGGAACTGGGGCAGGGGAGAACCAGGAGTGATGACGTCACATATGCTATTTAATAAAATGGCTGGGATGAGCAGACAACACACACCGGGCTGAAGTATTCAGTAAGGAGGGCAATTCTACAATTCTGTGAACACTTAAAAGCCCATCCATCTCATTAGAGATGGTATCATTGTTTTCATTTGCTTTACTTCTTTCTTTACGTTTTCTGATTCTTAGCAACGGTGATCGATAAATGCTGCTTATAAGCTCATCAAGAGAGGCTAGTGAACTCAGAGGTTTGGAAAACCCTGCTCTATGAAATGAAAAAAATGCATGCAGTTTATAAATGTGCACCTACTGCTCCAGTCAGCATGTCATACATTAATGCCCCCAAACTCCACCAGTCCACAGCACGGTTGTGCCCACTCCGCATCAAGATTTCAGGAGCCCTAGAAAGACAAGAAAAATCAAAGCAAAAAAGTTTTGAACAGGCAGATAGCACTAGCCTGCCCTCAAAGAAACAGAATGAAGATGCAAAGATGCCCCATATACGGCTTAAGTTGTATTGCTGTACAATTCTTACACACCCCTGCCTCCCCAAACCCTATCCAGAAAGGCTTGTAAATAGCCACTCACCTGTGGTGAGTAAAAACAGCCTCCAGGCAACCAGACAAGAAAGTTCTTTTTCACTGCTGTGTATGGATCCACATTTACTACAAGCCTCTCCTACAACATAGAACTGACCTGTTGCTAAAATAACCTGCAACTGACTTCAAGGAAATGAAAACCAGGTACTTGGCTTGAATCTAGGGATTTGGAGTCACCCTATCATTGTAAGCTTGTAGCAGATGGATGAATTTCATGACGTGGATCAGCACATAGCTGCTACATGCTTTGTGCCCCATAAATTAAAAGATAGCTGTTACAGCATGGCTGTGTAGTATAGTGGGATGTACGTACCTCATATCACAAAATCAGATCAAGGGAAGTTTCTAAAATATGCGGAGCTTTGTTCTGTGGGTCATAAAATGTTTATCAGCCATCTTTTGCTCCACTGGGCATGAAGAGTGTAATGCTCATAAACCTGGTTCAGCCTTACAATGGTACAACCTTCCAATGGTACATGAATCCCCAGCGATTCCAGATTCCAAAATTCATGATTCCTAACAAGCAACTGTCAATGATCTGAGCTCAGCTGCAAGTTATCACACCACCAAAGCAGCATAATTTAATTAACTTAAGAATATGCAGGTGGCTAAGCTAGAAACGAGTTTTAAGGGCAAAAAAGTTTTAGTTTCATTTACAAAGTTATGTATAAAATCTAGCTCCTTTCAAATATACGTGGTTTAGATAAAGCCCTTTGGCTGTGGTGGGGAACCTGTGTCCCTCTGCATGCTACTGGACTCCAGCTCCCATCAGCCACACCAACAAAATTCACTCGTCAGGGATGAAGGGGACTGCAGGCTGGCAGGGAGACTTCTCTACATACAGTGTCTCAAATATTTATGGAAGTAGTCCTGAGCTCTATAGACAGCCTAGCCCCTTGCCCCTCACCCAAGAAAAGCCCATCATATATTGAGCTAAGTTTTTAAAAGGTAAAATTTAGCCATTACCCCCAGACCAGAGAAATACTTTTCTGTTTCATCATGCGGGCTCACATGTATTCTATTGTTCCACAGAATGTATGCGTGACAGTTCCATCATGAATGGATTCTTTACACAGTCCAAAATCTGTCAGCTTAACATGACCTAAAAGGAAACAGGGGGGGAAAAGTGGGAATGAAACACTAACGTGTCATTCTAACAAGTCGTATCTGAGACCAAAACCCCAACTTGGGCATTTTTAAATTTTAACATACAGTACTTAATTTATAAACTGTTTTTCAGCAAAAGCCCCTCAAGGCAGATAAAGTAAGTCAATTAAAAAGCTGTAACCTTAGAACTATACCGATTCCCAACAGGAAAAACACACAAGCCCCACTCCATATGCCCCACAGGTTGAGATCCAATGTTAGTCATAACACAAAACGTACTCACTAAAATCAATGGACTAAGAAATGTTAAGACCACTGAAATCAGCAGACTTTCTCAGAGAAAGACTTAACAGGGTATTACTCTGGAGACTTCAAATGCTTGGTGGCATACAGCTTGCTTTCAAAAAATTGAAATAACATATATAACCATGCAGTATCTTGAGGGTGGCGTGAAGAGCAGTGTCCTTTTTTGCCCTAACAGATAATCTAGATTTCCGACTGCCTCAGGAGAAGCATTAAGCATAGGGGAAGCATTAAGCCACTCTGGGAGCCTTTCTGGCTGAGCAGCAGGGTAACATGTTCTAAATAAACAAAACAGACTTCACAAATGGCTGGATTCAGTCTGAGAAAATGGGGCAGGGGGGGACAGCTCAAACAAGAGAAGCGCGTCAAAGACACCCAATCCCTTTTCCATTTCTCTTCTGCGTTTTTTTTTTTAGATTTGAAGCCTGGAGGCAGGAACGGTCTTAGCGCAGAGATGCAAGCTTTTTCTGGCTGGAGAGAAATGCTTTAAATCCTCCTCACCAACCTGCCACCCTTCAGATGATTTTGGACTGCAACTGCCAGCCTAGATAGGGCTGATGGGGAAAGGCGGCAACCTTTGAGGGTCACATGCCTTTGGTAGGCAAAAGTGGGCAGGGCACCAATTGTGACCCCTCTCTATCCTTGATTCAGGCAACCAAGAGGCATTATAAAAGTTCAAGGACACACCCCAGCCTGCCAAAAACACTCAGTGAGGCTGCAGAGGAGGGCCAGGGAGGGATGTGGCTGGGAAAGGTGTATGATGGGGGAGAATCCCAAAGGCCAGGCAGAGAGACCAGCGTTTGGCCACTGGGCCTGAGGGTTTCCCACCCTTCTTTCAGAACTATAAAGCTATGGCACGAGCCAACACACGAGCTCACTGTCGTACCACTAACCTTGGTGGTTGAGCATGATGTTTTCTGGCTTTAGATCTCGATAGATGATCCCCTTCTGATGCAGGTGCCCCAAAGCCATTGAAATTTCAGCCAAGTAGAAGCTGAAATGCAAGAATTTCATTAACAAATAAATGCCAATAGCAACGCATCATATCTGAGTACAAAAATTCTGTGGCTGAATATTAAGATACCGCACCAAACTGTGGTTTGCACTAATCATAATTTTAGAATGTGAACCAATCCAAGATCAGGCTAGCCAAGATACCTAAATGGTTTATTTCTCCATCCACTTCATACCCCAGGCCCTAGGTGGGACAGCCTTCAGAGGGGGAGAAACAGCCATATGGTTCGTCAATTCAGACATCACACCAAACCACACTCAGTACAAACCACAGCCTGCACACTCAATTTAAACACCATTTCCAGTTCTGCCTTGTCAGATATGACAAACAATGGTTTTTCAATTCAGACGTCACACCAAATCATAGTTTTGAGATAAGTCTGCAATTTCACTGCCAGCGTAAGTTAGTTCTGCTCCTCAGGAGCTGGAGGGTGAGTACTCAAGCCACTAAGCTGAAGAATTGAATCTCTTTACTTCACTTCCCTCCTGGCCGAAACAAGTGCATTCTGGCAGATTCTCCCAGCATCCCAGAGTGTACACAGAAAATACCGCATTTTTTGCTCTATAAGACACACCTTTCCCCTCCTAAAAAGTAAGGGGAAATGTGTGTGCGTCTTATGGAGCGAATGCAGGCTGCACAGCTATCCCAGAAGCCAGAACAGCAAGAGGGATTGCTGTTCTGGCTTCTGGGATTCAAAATATCTTTTTTTTTGTTTTCCTCCTCCAAAAACTAGGTGCGTCTAATGGTCTGGTGCATCTTATAGAGTGAAAAATACGGTACTTACTATTCCACAGTTCCAAACAGGGGATCCATGCACTGTTTTGTTAAATCTGGGTATTTTCCACAGGAACATAGGTTCATATAAAATACCCAAACTTGCCAGTTTGTTCAAAATGGGCAACAATTATTCAACTCTGAAAAGGTTAACACTTTCCCAGAAACTTCCTTATGTAGGAACACAGGAAGCTGCCTGGTTGTTGAGGCTTGGAAATTGGAACTTGTTTGTCTTACCAAGCTGTGTCTTCCATAAATATCCCCTCTCTCTCCAACTGCATGAACAGTTCTCCTCCTGCAATGAAATGGGCATGGGGTGGAGGGAGAAAGGTAAGAAACAATAAGTCATCTTTCTGCTATATACGGTATGTGAAAAAGCTTCCACCCCACACTGCTGGCTGGCTACAATACCAGAATTCACATTCTGACCATCAGTTGCATCCTTACCACTAAGATACTCAAGGATGAGGTAGAGTTTTCCACCAGTCTGAAAGGCATAAATCAAGTCTACAATGAACGAATGCTTGACTTCCTCCAAGATGTTCCGCTCTGCTTTCGTGTGAGCTGTATCTTTTGCATTTCGCACAATCATTGCCTAGAGAACAGAGACTTCAACAGTAAAGACCATGTTCTAAAGACTACACCAGAAACCAACTGTCAGCAATCCCATGATACACAGCCACCGATTGCTGGCATCATGATGGAACATGAAGGACTTATTCACACATAACTCTCAAACCATGGTTTGAAGAGGGGAGAGCAAGCCTTGGGCTCACACACTCTGCCCCTGCCCCCTGGCTTTGATTCAATCCCTGCTTCACTACAAGCCAAAGTTTCCCACTATATTCAAACCAATCAAGCAAGCTACCATAAGCACTAACAAATGTGCCTTCAAATCATGGTTTGAAGTGGGTTTCCGGTTCTTGTTTACATGGGGTTAACAGTAAACCGTAGACTTATACAAATAAATGCAAGTGTGTTATCAGGAGTCTTGGCTTGGGTATAACGCTTGAGCTGAGCCAAGAGAGTAAACTTCTGGGCCAAGGGTTGCCACCAGCAAGTCAATGTCAGCTCTTAATAAAAAGTGCTAGAGTCTTCTCACTGGTACTTGACAACACACTGGACACCTCTTCTTGCTCTTCCAATTGTTCTCTCATTTAGCTGGACTTTGCATTCATTGTTACAAGAAACATGTTGTGAAGAGATCAATGATTCCTCACACAGTTAAAAGTGCATCTGAATTTCTTCTACCTCAAATAAATGGGACTAAGTGGTATGCCTCAGTTGGATCATGTCCAGAGTAATTTAGGTTTCAACAGACCAATATGCACTCAGCAACCTTTTAAAAAATGTAAGTCAAAGGGCTCTGCAAAGTATGCTATGCTAATATACTGCGATAAGCCATAAATAAGAATACTGGCTTGCAAAACAGACCTCCCCCTGCATAACTTGCTCTCAAAACAAAACAGAGTTCCAAAAGTTTATGCGCAAACCTTTAAAGAATTTCGGAGTCATTAAAGAAACAGTTGATTCCAATTCATAAAACAAGTGGTAGCCAATGTGGTGGCCTCGAGACATTTTGGACTACAACTGCCATCATTCCCAAACAATATGGCCAATAGTCAGGAATGATGGGAATTGTTGGCCAGCAAAAACAGATAGGTAGATACCCAGACGCACCATTTTGCCAACCTTGGCATTAACAAATAAGAACATAAGAAGAGCCTGCTGGATCAGGACATGGCCAACATCCTCTTCTCACAGTGGTCCATGTTCCCACAAGCGTGACCTGAGAACAACAGAACTCCCCACACCCCTGCAGTTCCCAGGAACTGGCACACTAGTTACTGGTTTCTATTCTAGAAGCGAGTGCAGCAGTTTTGATTATAGGAAGCTGCCTTACACCATTTCGGACTAGTTGTTGATATTGTCTACTCTGACCAGTGGAGGCTCTCTGGTCTCAGAATTTCGGACTAAGAAAGAACGGCTATGCTCTGCCTCCACACTGAGGCAGCAATGCTTGTGAATAACAGTTGCTGGAAACCACAGGAGGGGAGAGTGCTCTTGTGGTCAGGTCCTCCTTGTGGGTTTCCCACAGGCATTAAGTGAGAACAGGATGCTGGACTAGAAGGGCCACTGGCCTGATCCAGCAGGCTCTTCTTCCATCTCATCAGCCTCTCTCTGGTCTGTTTTTTTAAAAAAGAAAAACAGAACAAAACCTGGAGATGCCAGGGATTAAAACCAGAACTCTCTGCCAGTGACATGAGCTCTTGTTGCTGAACTATGATCTCTTCCCCTCAAGACAGCCCCTCTTATTTAATAGCTAAATGTCAAAAGCCAACTCACCTTTTTAAGCACCTTCATGGCAAATATCTTACCAGTATTGGCTCCCGTTACTTTTCGAACTTGGAAAACCTGTCCAAGACAATGGAGATTAATTAGATGCCTTTTTAAAAGAGAGTTAGCAGACACTGCAAGGTCTGCTGTTTGAAGCTCTTCCACTACCAGGGAGCGGTAGAGAGAAGTCTTTTGACTTCAAACCAGCCAGAAAACTTCTGTTTTAGATCATCTTATAGATAACATGCATATATTTATTTGTTATTTTTTCCAATATTTACAGCATCTCTCACCAAGCTCACACATCTCATACTTCTTACCTTTCCATAGCCACCTTTTCCAAGGACACGTAGCAGCTCAAAGCACTCTGGGCGGATCTTTTCAGGGCCTCTGTTCACACTAGTTTCCGAAATCTCAAATTTTTCACAATGCTCCATGCCACTAACAAACAAAAAAGTTAATTAGGGTAACCTTTAAAACAATACTAAGTACATTAACTATTCTGTATATAACTAAAAGCCTCCCTGTGAGGTGATCAGGAAGGGATGGGGGAGAAAGTATTATTTAGAATACAAACTGGAATACAAACTCTGACTACTGCAAATATGAGTTCTAAATAATTTGAAATGTTTAATTTAAGAAATACATTTTTTCAAAGCACAGTAATTTTTTTAAAAACAACAACATGAAACGTTTCTGAAGTCAGGCAAATGAAACCATTCTAACACATGTGCATCAATCCAGACTTCCTTATATGCTTGAACAGGATGCATACATGGACCTAAGCATAGTGCTCTGAAAGCACTAGTTTTAAAGGGGAGAGAGAAGCAAACTACTAGAGGCCAATGCCAACTGCAGAGGATAGAATACCTTCATATACAAGGGAAGGGAGACCCCCACAGCCCCCTGCCCACAAAGGTTGTTTCCTCATTGCAACTGCGGCAAGTAGGACACAATACAGGAAACCTCTTTTTGCATCTGAAACAGCTCTTGCTGGATTAAGACAATAAATTATTGATACTGGCCTGTTTAGGTTTACAGCCTACTCCAGGGATTGACAATGTGGTGTCTGTGGCTGCAAGGCAGCCCTAAGGTCTTCCCCTGTGCCCACAAAGCCTTTGAGTCTCCCTGATCATTAAGTAGTGAGAGTGGGCAACATTTGCTCTCTTAAAAAGTAAATAGAGCTGAAGGAGGAAATTGACAGAATGACACTCTTTCCAACTTCCTTTTTCAAGGTTTAGTTTAATACTACCGGGTTCAACTTTTAACCAGATTCCTTGGAAAATCTGTGTGTGTGTGTGTGTGTGTGTGTGTGTGTGTGCTTTTTCTCATTCTGTCTCTTGGAGGGGGAGATCTCCTTCCAACAAGCAATCCGAACACAGAGGTAGTTACCAGCTGGGAGATATAACTGTTGAAACTGAATATAGGCACAGAAACAAGCAGACTGAGACAAAAAGTTGTTTCAAGGCCCCTCAGAATATTGCATGGTTCACTCTCGAGCTGCCTGCCTGCACAAGGAGCAATTTCATAGGCAGGAACAGCTAATTAAACATGATGGCATTGCTACCTAGACTCTAGCACTGACTTAGGACAGGACTGTTTCCTCCCCAACTCTTCCATTGACAAGGATCCATTTCCAGTTAAAAACTTACAGCTCATATGGGACGACTCCCCCATGGTCCATGCTTTCACTTAAGTGACCCTAAAACAAGATAAGCGGGGAGGAGAGAGAGAGAATCAGAAAAGTAAACAGTGTATGTTTAGAAAGAACTATGAATTTTTGCTTAAACATTAACCCAGGATTTAGGACTGACAGCACTGCAAGACTGCATTCAGCTCTTACATAAGCACAGTCAGCAGCAGGGTATGGTAATTCCTATGCTGGGTTTTTGTGGAACATCCACAGAGTTCGACAGGAGCGCTGCCAAATCCTCCAAAGCACAGCACAGGGACTCAGCACTCTTTACCCAACTACACTGCTACCCAATTTCGTACAACGCTGACAGTCACTAATTTAGCTCTTAAAACATGGGTCTTTTCTGGACACTACAGATCAGAACTGTTTTTACCACTGAGAACTTACTGCATTGGGGAAAAGCAGGATCTGCTTTACTATACGAAATGAAGACAACGCCTAGGTCCCCAACACCTGGGCTGCTGGAGACTTAATGGGTTGGAGCCAGAGTTATGCAAACAGAACTCTATCCAGGCAACTGCCCTCTCATCCCCACTGCAGCCCTCTCCCCTCAAAACTTCCACTTGTTCGGCTCCCTGAAGCTCAGCTTAGAGAGCTTATAGAAATATTGCATGGAGGATGGAGCATACTTATTTTCTCTGGCCCCAGAGGGTAGGACCCAAACCAATGGCTTCAAGTTACAAGAAAGGAGGTTCCAACTAAACATCAGGATGAACTGGATCCTGATGGTAAGAGCAGTTCAATGGTGGAACAGACTCCCTTGGACGGTGGTGGGCTGGCCTTCATTAGAGGATTTTAAGCAGAGGTTGGAAGGCCATCTGTTATGGATGCTTTTGCTGAGATCCCCACATAGCAGGGGTTGGACTAAATGACCCTCAGGATGCTTTGCAACTATACAATTCTCTGTTTCTATGACTGCAGCCTATTTTTCTTTTAAACTGCATGGAGAAGCATCTTTTCAGCCTGACGTTCTATACTTCAAACAAGTTTATAATCTGCTGTTGGTGAAAACTAAACCTGTGTCACATATGAAGGACAGACCATAGGAAAAGTTAGCCTTAAAAAGCTACTAATATTATTTGCCCACCACCACCACAATCCATGCTTGGCGTAGCTCACATGGGATTGATTTTATTCATTTACAGAGTCTGAAGCTAGACATCACCACCACTTCACCAAGGGTAACAGGACTGTTTCCAGTCCTCTCAAAAATTAAAATACAGTCGTACCTTGGTTTTGAACGCCTTGTGACTTGAACGTTTTGGCTCCCGAAAGCTGCAAACCTGAAAGTGAGTGTTTCAGTTTGCGAACTTTTTTTGGAAGCCGAACGTCCAATGCGGCTTCCGATTGAGTGCAGGAAGCTCCTGCAGCCAATCAGAAGCCACACCTTGGTTTTCGAAAGTTGAACGGACTTCCGGAACAGATTCTGTTCGAGAACCAGGGTACGACTGTCTTTCTTCGCATCATTCTACTGCCTTATCACCAGCAGTTACAACTAATGTCAGGAGTACAAAAATCCAAGCACTTAAGGGAGGGTGTGTGTGGACTGGTAATTGACTCCTGGATAAAGGGAGGGGTCAAGAAGCAGGTTTCTAGCAAAACCTTGCTGGGTCCAATGTTTTGCAATACAATTTGCACCTAAGACTACTGTTAGTAAGTAGAACATTGGTCCTGTATCCACCCCAGATAGGAATAAATTACTTGTGTACAGCATTGGTGGCATAATAACAAACTGGTTGTGGATATGAAGACCTAGGAGATGAAAAGACTATTTCATCCAGGCAAGTTTGAAAAGATATACCACCATGCACAGACAGAACAGATGATTCTACAATAGCGTGCGCACACACACACAAAAATGGGACAGGCTGATGAGCATAAAACCACCTGTCATGCAACAATGGCAGGATCAAAAGCAACCTCAGAGCACATGGGTTTTGATCTACAAAATCAAAACGCTACTTAAAAGCTTTAAAATACCATTTTGAGTGTATAGTGGCACAAGTAACAGCAGATATTCTTTATTTTCAGGTAAAACACTAATTAAAAGCCTAGTCAGTGTGTGTGTGTGTGTGTATACATGCCTTTATATAATATGTGTTATATAAGCATTTTCTTTTGAAGAACATTTACCTTCAATTTGGACGCTAGCTTGCAGCACCACAAAACAGCATCAATATTTGCAGACCTTCACAAGAAGGTTAAATGAGGTCACCCCTCACTGTATTGATGCAGTTTTCTTCTGCAGAATAACCCTAGAAAAACTGGAAGCTACCTTATACAGTGGTACCTCAGGATACAGACGCTTCAGGTTACAGACTCCGCTAACCCAGAAATATTACCTTGGGTTAAGAACTTTGCTTCAGGATGAGAACAGAAATCGTGCGGTGGCGGCAGGAGGCTCCATTAGCTAAAGTGGTACCTCAGGATAAGAACAGTTTCAGGTTAAGAACGGACCTCCAGAACGAATTAAGTTCTTAACTCGAGGTACCACTGTACTGGATCACACCACTGTTCTGTCTAGTTCTGTCTAGAGTAGATCTCTGTCTAGCTCTTCTCTACATGAATAGATAGCAGCTGTTTGGGATTTCAGATGAGTCCCTCTTCCAGCCCTACCTGGAGATGCCAATGCTCTGCCAAAGAGCTACAGCCTTCTCCTAACTCTAGGAACTTGCAATATTTGTCAGGTTTCAAGGAAGCTGGATCTTTACCAGGGAAGCTGTCCTCAACTACAGCCAGTACTCATGCACTGGCTCAACAAGTCTCCTAAGACAACTACTTGCAGCCAGCAAACTAGCAGCAACACCGTTCCACAGGCCTAGAACCCTCACCGCCTGATCCTAGGCACGTTTATGCAGAACTAAGTCCAATGGAACATATCCCCAATGTATGTATGCATTAGACTTCAGTCCCAAGCACTCTAAACAAGACTTGGCAAATAACAGAATTATCTAATAAACTGGCATTCTGGAGGGAGTCTGTCTCTTGGCACACTCATGTTTAGGCAGTTGCACTAGCAGAAAAACTGATGTGTCAACTATGTGCTGCTAAGAGAAATTGGACCCATTTAACCCCAAACACATGGAGGACTCTGGAGAGACTAGATTGAAATTTCTGGCATTTTTTGTGATTTGTGCTTTTGTAATCCTTTGTATTCTTTTAATGACTTGTAAACTTTTAGCGGGACAACTTTTTTGTTCTTTAAGGCTTAAAATTTAAAAGAAAAAGTTTTTAAAAACCCAAATGGGACATAGCAAGTATTCTTTGCCCTTATCCAGAGTGTATTGCAGGGAATGAATACACCTGAATATTATTTTGTGCTCGCTTGTGCTTCAGCACCCAGTTATCAAACACAAAAGCAGTAGCCCTGTTGGAGCAAGGGGACACCCAAGCCCAGCCTTGCTTGTAACCCACTCACTTGGCTTACCACAGGCAACAAGGAATGCTAACCTGGGCTCCGCCTCCTTTCCAGAGCACTTTTGCTTCCTTCCTGCCCAGTGCTGAAACCAAGCAGGCTGTGGAAGCTTAAGAGTGCTTTGTCACTCCTCAAGCATTTCCATACTGTACGTGCAAGAGGTGATGTGCCTTCTAATGCATTCAGCATAGTAACCAAGAAGACGAATGACAAAGCTCTCCTTCCCTCTTGCTGTCAGCCAGCTATGTATCTATGGTAGACAAGCAGCAGGTCAACCTTTAGCACATTCAGCACACCACCCAGTACAGTGGTACCTTGGGTTAAGTACTTAATTCGTTCCAGAGGTCCGTTCTTAACCTGAAACTGTTCTTAACCTGAAGCACCACTTTAGCTAATGGGGCCTCCCGCTGCTGCTGCGCCGCCACCACCACGCGATTTCTGTTCTCATCCTGAAGCAAAGTTCTTAACCCGAGGTACTATTTCTGGGTTAGCGGAGTATGTAACCTGAAGCATATGTAACCTGAAGCATATGTAACCCGAGGTACCACTGTATGCTGATGGGCAATGGACAGCTCAAGACATGCTTTCTGCCACTCACCACTTCCTTTCTATGCTGGATGTGCATGACAGAACTTTAGCTCCTGTGTGCCTAACAGAGAAACACTGCAAAGGGATATAGGTCTCTGTCACAAGCCTGCTGAGTTGACACACAGGAAGCCCCATTCTATTACTCCAGCATAGAAACCATGTGAGCTGGCAGCATATATAACTTCATCCCTCCACTGCCAATCCGCTGCACTGCCTCACTGGATGAACAGGAGACAAAGTTTCTTCCTGTACAACCAAACAGGCTAAGAAGAAGAGGCACAAGGAACACTGATTTCTAGCCTGCAAAATGTTTTTACTTACCTGCTTTTAACTCATAAAAGAGGGGCAGGCAGTGCTCTGCTTGTCTTCAACAATCCCTCTTATGGGTAAAATTATTACAAGATATTAAGTGTGACCCTCAAAAGTTACAAGGCTGCTCTAATCAGGCAGAGCCACATTCATTTCCTAAACAACCCTTTCCCCGCATATAGCAGTATCTGCATGTTCTTATCACCACATACTATCTTTTGCCTCCCCTTAATACATAGAGTCAAAATAGAGCAGTTTCTGAAAATTCACTCCACAAAAATGATTATAAGCAAAAGGCAAAATAATGGGTAGTCAACTACCAGACCAAAATTAATGACCCTAGCTTAGTCACATTCATTAATTTAAATAAGTCTACTCGGAATAACTTAGCTGAATACCAACCCGTATTTCCTCACTCCCATGACTAAGCAGCATCTATTAAGATTAACTGGGTCATTAACAATAAGTGCACTAGTTCACTTATTAAAGCACTGTTATCATTAGTAATAAATTCCACAGGAGAATATGTGTTGTTGCAGCAAGAACAGTAGAAAGTCTTGTGATACTTTAAAGACCAAGGCTGCAATTCTAACCACACCTACCTGGGAATAAGCCCCATTAAATTCAGCAGAACTTACTTCTGAATAGACATGATTAGGATGGTGCCATAAAGTGCTTATAGGATTTTAGCCTATCTAAGAGTAAACCCCACTGACCTCAAAAGGACTTTCTTCTGAGGAGATGTGGAAAAGATCGAACTGCATCAGATTTATTGCAGCATCAGCTTTCATGGACTTGTGCCCACTACATCTCACTCAGATTCATTGAAATGCAACTATTACCTGACAAAGTGAGCTGCAGCCCCACCAAAGTGGATGCTGCAATAAACCAGTTAAGTTTTGAAAGGTGCCACAGGACCTTTATCACTACTGAGTTCTTAATGCAAGCTGCTTTTGCACTTTCTGTAAAAAAAGACCTTTTGCTACCACAAAATGTATTAATGGCCACCGGGAACATAGGAAGCTGTCCTATACCGAGTCAAGCTGTTGGTTCACCTAGTTCAGTAACTGCCTAATAATAATGAGAATAACCTGTGACATAATCATTAATTTATTACCGCTGGATCATCATAATCCTGAATTTAAAAATAATAATAATAACCACCTGTCGGACGCAATGCAGAAACAATCATTTAATATTGTATTATTACTAGATCTTAATAGTAGTAATAATAATCATAATAAAATGCACAGTGCAGGAACCTAAAAAATAGTAAGAACACGTGTCAAACCCAATGCAAAAACACGACCACGGATTTGTATGCATTTATTACTACTCTCGCTATTCTTCCTACTGCTCATGCCAAAGGCACAATGCGGGAAGGCCGTAATAACAGCAGCAAACGCCGTTAGTACAATGCAGGAATAGCAAGTCAGTTATAACGGAACCATCCTCGCAGCCCCCAAGAGCCGCCCGTCCGCCTCCCACCCTCGGCCACGTCCTTCCCCGAAGGCGGCCTCGCCCGGCCCGCCTCCCTCCCTCCCTCCGACCGGGGCCTCCGTCGCCTCGCCCTCCCCGCCCCCGAGGCCTGAGCTGGGCTCCCCCGAGGCGCCTCCTCCCGGCCGGGCCGCACATGGGCCGGGCCTGCCTCACCCCCTCCTCCAGCTCCTCGTCCGAGGCCGCCTCTTCGGGCTGGTCCAGGTCGATGTCGAAGACGCCCGCCATGGCCTGGGAAACGCGAGCGGCGGCGGCGGCGGCACAGCCGGAGCCGCCCTTCGCTGCCTAGTGGCGAGAGCGCGCGGGTGAGGGCCGGAGGGCCGCCTCATGGGCCCGCAGCGGCAACCCCGAGCGCCGCCATGACGGCCGCCATCGCCCAGGCTAGCCGGAGACCTTCCCCCGCCCGCTCAGCGCGCCTGCGCGGCTCTTCCCCTCCGGAGGGACTGCGCAAGCGTGGGGCGGCGCCGGGGAGGTGGGCGGCCAGGGGCACCTGGGCCCGCGGGGCTAGTGCGCAAGCGCAAAGAGCACGCGGCGGCGCTTTCCGAAAGGGGCCGTTGCTCTCTCTCGCGCGCGCTGACGTCACTCGCCACACGTAAAACGGCGCAAGCGGCGTAGCGCCATCTGTCGGCCCGCACGCGCCGTGGTAGAAATTTTACTTCTATTCTCAGGCTAGATATATCTCGACAGTTCTCTACGTCGTTGCTATTTCCCCCCCTTTTTTTCTTTGTAGCGAGCATGCGCACAGCACGTCGTGCGCCACACCACGCGGACGCCGCGCATGCGTACGGTCCGGCAGCCGGCGCACGCGCGCTGACGCAGCTGCTGTGCCCTCCTTTACCGGTTGTCCCCTTTTCACCACCAATTTTCCCGCCTAAGCCAGCGACGGAAGGGGAGCATGCGCAGAAATGCTGGCAGGACGGGGTCGAAGGTGCTGTGACAGTTGGTACAGGTGGTCAATGGATGAGGTGCAGCTGTGGAAGGGTGAGGCTACGCGCGTGCGCCTTGAGGGAGAGAAGGGTGTTAAATGGGGGAGGGGGATAAATGGGGAAAGGCGGGAAATTATGAGGTGAAACGCGCACACAGATTTAATTTATAGGTGTTTTTTTTAAAAAAATAATGCTTGTGTGTATTTGCCTGTAACTACATATGTATAAAACCATGTTCATTAATTCGCTGTTTTAAAAATATTATATATTTTTAGTTTTATTTATTATTAATCTGTTCCTATGAAACATCCTGAAGGTGTTTTTAATATAGCAGTACCTTGATCTATTAATATTACTAGTTTCAATATTTAGCCTCTATGTGGCACAGCACAATCTGACGCATCTTTACTCAGAAGTAGGTGCCACTGAACTCAGTAAGGGAGGCATAGATGTTTTGGGACTACAACTCCCATCATCCCTGACCACTGGTCCTGTTAGCTAGGGATCATGGGAGTTGTAGCCTCAAAACATTTGAAGGGCCGAGTTTGCCTATGCCTGCAGCAGGGCATTCCCCATTGTAGGTATCTTTAGGATTGCAGCCTTAATATTTGCATGGTATACACCATGCCTTTCAAGCATATGGCTTTCCCCAACAAATCATGGAAACTAGTTCTGCACCCCCACAGAGCAATAATTTCCAGCATTATTAACATACTATAGTCCCTAGTATTCTTTTGGAGAAGCTGTTCTTTACATGTATGGTTGTGTATGCAGCCTTCGATAATAGGCTACAATATTTGAATACTTTTTAACTTTGGTAGACTTATGGCAAGGCTACTCTTGTGCTGCGCATCCTTGATTTCAGTGGGAGTTAATGCACGAGCGAGTGTACATTGAATTGCAGCCTAGCAGTGCACTTCCAAACATGGCTACTCAAATGTCAGTCCTACTGAGTTTAATGGGGCTTCCTCCCAGGGACGTGAACATAGGATTACAGTCTTAACAGCTGGACATGATTTCTTTGTAGGATTGAGGCTAAACTAGAGGAGAATGTCTATCATCACAATACAACTTGGTCAGTGCGGCAACCAGATTGGTCGTGAGGTGTTTGATACCATCTGCACAGACTTCCGCAGTACACATGGCTTGTGCTCCAAAAAGGAAAATGAGTCCTTCCAGGCAGCCTGCAAAGAGCGGTTCTTCAGCGAGGAGAAACCCAGTGGTATGACACATACATACAACATACATACATACGTAACTTTATTTGTATGTTCAAACAATGTTCAAGGCAGCTTACAGCATGAAAATAATACATAACCACAACATAGCAGAAATAGTCATAAACAATAAAACAAAACATTAAAAAATACACAACCAAACTGAACAGTTTCCACATAAATGTCCAAGTATCTAAAATAAAGATACAAAAATCAACAGCAACAACTTTCCACACCAGCAAAAAGCCATAGCCCAAGAGTCTGTTCAGCAACCTCAGCTTTTTTTGTAGCTGGAGTCAGTCCGGGCCCCACCCTCCCAGGCCAGGTGGAAAAGGCCTTCAAGGCAGGGAGCAGGTCTTCCAGGACTCTCAGCCAAGACTGTCTGACACCGAGAATATGCAAATCCTTCTCGCCTCACACCAATCAAGAGGGCAAATCAACAACCAGAAATGCACCCACTTTGGGTGTGTGGAATTCTGCATATGATTGGATATTGTAATATCTCAGGGTGTTGCTCCAGGTGAAAGGTTGCACCCTTGTTGCCATTCCACACTTAAAACAAAAAACGAAGAAGCCTGGAAAAGCAATTTTGGTAAAGGGTGGACCAACAGGGGCAAAAGCTAGCCTCTGTACTACAGTGGTACCTCTGGTTGTGCACAGGATCCACAACCGGAGGTGCCTGGTCTGCGTGGTGCGGTAGAGCGCTTCTGCACATGCGGCAAAACCCGGAAAAATACTTCCAGGTTTGCCGCGTGCGTAACCCGAAGGATACGCAACCAGAGGTGTGCGTATCCAGAGCTACCACTGTATTGCAAAAATGAATAACATTGGGAAGGGCCATAGCTTTATAGCAGAGCAACAGCTTCGATTGTGCAAAGAGTCAGGTTGAATCCCTGGCTTCTTCTGGCAGGGAGAGACCCTAGCCTGAAAGCCTAGAGAACTGTTGCCAGTAAGTGTAGACAATACTGAACAAGATGGACCAGCAGTCTGATTTGATAAAAGGCAGCTTCCTGTGTTCTTTTTTTTAAGTCACAAATTAGCACCTGGGGAATTGTGCTGCTTGTCCTTGGCATCGCCGAAGTTGTCCAGTAGGTGTCAGTGGCATTCACACAGCCGCCTTCCATCAATAACAATGGGTACATTATTTGGGTGCCACCTTGATGGATCCCAAGTCTACATCATTTGACTTTTATTTTATTCCTTATTAGTGCTGGCTGCCCGGGCTGTCCTGGTTGACATGGAACCTAAAGTGATTGGTCAGACTTTATCAACGGCTTCAAGGTCTGGTACCTGGAACTATGACCATCGGTCCCACTTTTGTCAAAAGCAAGGGTCGGGAAACAACTGGGCAAATGGGTATGTTTGGTTTTATCAGTGGTGCCAAAGAAATGTATCTCTGGATTGCTAACATTTATAATCCAGCTACAAAACGCTCCAAGCTCCTTTTTGTTCTCTTCCCCACCCCAATTTGTGCCACAGCTACTGCGTTCATGGGCCCAAGCACAAAGAAACAATCATGAACTTGGTACAGAAGGAAGCTGAGAAATGTGACCGGCTAAGTGGATTCCTGACGGTTATGAGCATGGCGGGTGGGACAGGATCGGGTCTGGGGACGTTTGTGACAGAAAGCCTGAAAGACACCTATCCCACCTCATTCCTGTTAAACCACGTTATCTGGCCCTACAGAACTGGAGAGGTGAATGCCGTAACTCTGTGATGGTGGGGGTTGAACCTGGATTTGAAGCATGTGCTCTTTCATAGGAATATCAGATGCTGCCTTATGCTGTGTCATCTGTCTCAGTATTGTGTGCATTGACTGGCAGCAGCTCCCTAAGGTTTCAAATAAGGGGCCTCTCCCATTCCTTCCTGTAGAATGGTGCTGGAGATTGAACTTGCGACCATCTTAATGCAAATCAATTGCTCTACCATTGAGCTATATAGATGGAGAAACTGTTGATGAAGAGGAAAGTAGGGTGTTGGCATCCTAGGAGCACTATTCACTGCAGTTTTCTGCAACCTCCTGTATGCATGTCATGCGCTCTGCTTACCCTCCACAAAGCAGTGGTGGTTGGTGCCCATTGGACTGGTAGGGCAAAAGGCAGAGAAGCCAACAGTAGATGGAGCCAGAGCCAATGCCAACTACAGTGGTACCTTGGTTCTCGAACATAATCTGTTCTGGAAGTCCGTTTGACTTTCAAAATGTTTGAAAACCAAGGTGCAGCTTCCAATTGATGCAGGTGCCCCAGAAACAATAGCCCACAGCCGCATCGGATGTTCGGCTTCTGAAAAGCATTTAAAAACCGGAACACTTCTGGGTTTTCGGCATTTGGGAGCTGAAATGTTCGAGTACCAAAGCGTTCGAGAACCAAGTTTCCACTCTAGTTTTGACCTCACTGCTGAGCTCTACAAAGGCAATAATGAGACTAGGGAGGAGGAAGATGGCAGCCAGTGCCACTTCCTGGGCTGGAGGCAAGTAAGAAGGCAAGCAGGTGGGAACTGGCTGAGTTCAGACTCAAGTTTGTGGGGCAGCACCCCATTTGCCGTAATAGACCAACCTCAGTTGCCCCACGGACAGCAAATCCCCTCTGGTGAGATCATCTCCATGTGGAAAACTGTAACATCCACGCCCTGTTTTTCCCCTGCATTTCCAGGTTATTGTTCAAAACTACAACTCTGTCCTGACCCTCTCACACTTGTATCAGTCTTCGGATGCCCTCCTGGTTCATGAGAACGATGCCATCCACAAGATCTGTGCTCAGCTAATGAACATAAAGCAGATATCTTTTCAGGATGTAAATCGAGTCATCGCCCATCAGCTGGGGAGCGTCTTCCAGCCGGCTTACTCCTCTGAAAGCGCCGCTCACTACAGCAGAAGCCCCCTAGGTATCTGGTGTTAACTGAAGTTCTAGAGCTGTGCTCCTGCTCTTGAGGTTTTCACTGGATTGCAAAGTAGTCCATATAAGTTACTAGCCTACAAACATTCTCATTAGTCTGTCAAGTATCCATCCAAGTATACATGCTAAGATAAATGAAAAGGCCATTTTGTAAACTCATCAGACCAGAGACCTTATCTTTTCAGAGAAAAACAAAGTAGATGTTCAACATGAGCAAATGCAGTTCTCTCTCAGACACACGTTAAACCTTCATTTCTGTCTTGTCTCCTCCTCAGGAGATCTAATGGAAGCTCTAGTCCCCCACCCTGAGTTCAAGATGCTAGGTCTCCGGAACATTCCTCAGATGTCCGAAAACTCCCTTGCCTACAGCACCTTTGCGTGGCCTGGGCTTCTGAAGCACCTGAGGCAGATGCTCATTGCAAATGCCAAAATGGAGGAAGGTAAGAACTGCAGGTGAACTGCAGCTGAAGCAGGTTAAACAATGTATACCCAGAGTTGCATATGGGCAGGAGGTGGTCCTTAAGACCAGGTCTTGACTAAAATTCAGTAGGGCTGCCAGGAATTAAATAGAATTGGGGTTTTTTTTTGGGGGGGGGTTCTGGCCTAAAATTGCCTTCCCTGCTATAAACTGGAGTAGGAAATCTCAGGACTGCAGGATCGTACTCCTTTGCACAGGGCACATTCCTCATCAGCCCTGCTGTGTGCCGTCTGGCTGGACTCCCAAGTGTTGAGACATTCCTGTTCACTTTTCTGTTTGCAGGGATTGATTGGCAAGTGAGGCCTCCAGTGCCTGGACTCCCTGCATCAGAAAAACTCTCTCTAAACAGGACAGCTCGTTTTAACACCTCCATCGCCAACCTGGTTACCTTGCGAGGAAAAGACGTACAAAGCACGGATCTAGGTGAGAAATAGTTGCAGGATGGCTGCAATAGAAGATTCCTCTTTTAGGTAATGACACTGGGGGGGAGTTTTACGATAACCACAAAGAATGTCCTATCTCTTACACTTGCCTGAATGCACAGTGTATAGTGCATCACTGCTCTTGAGCTTCTTGAATGGGATGGGACAGAAGTGGAATAAGTTAGTGACTGATTTTTTTTTTAACACCTTGTTGATTATTGTAGGAGGATTCCAAGAGCCTGCCTTGTATACTTCCTGGCTAAACGCTCAAGATGCCTTGACCATCTGGAAGACACCAAGAGCTTTTAATAAATACGAGAAGTCTGCTTCTTTGGTCAGCAACAGCCAGTTTTTGCTGAAGCCTGTGGACAGCGTAGTGGGGAAGGCCTGGAAAATGTTTGCTTCAAAGTAAGTGGGAGAAGACAGGTTGTCATCTCAGACTTTGCCGTGTGCACAGGGCATGGAGTAAGTGGAAGTAAATAAACTAAACCAGAGGGAGAGATGGGAAGCAGGAGTACTTCCTCCTTCAGTTCTGTTTGAGAAAGGAACTTATTTTGGTTCCTTCTCTCCCTGAACCGTTTCCATCCCAACTGGTCATTATAAGAACTTGGAAAGTTCTTGTTTTTCTCTTCCCTCTCCTTCTCTTTTTTCCTTTTGTGTTAAGTTTTTTAGATAGTAAGCTTAAAGTAAGTACTTTTTTATTGATTTGTAATTACTTTTTAAGTGATTCATATGCTTCTCTAGGTGTACATTCGGCTGAAGAGTTTGGTAAAAATGCTATAGATAATTGAAATCTGTGGAGCAAAGTTAGTCCTGACTAACTGAACTTCTGCTGCTTTCAGTGCAATTTTGTCGCAGCTGATTTAAGCTGAATTGGTGCCCCTTGCTCACCAAAACCTCTTGTTCATTCCACACACAGGGCTTACGTGCACCAGTACACAAAGTTTGGGATTGAAGAGGAAGACTTTATGGACTGTTTCACAACTCTGGAACAAGTCATTGCTAGCTACACCAACCTCTGATTTTCAAATTCATCCTTGGCCAGGAGGGGGCAGCATTAGCTGTGCAGATCTAAAATCCTGGCAAGAGCCCTTAAAACTGGGAAATCTTGTGAAGAATTGAATGTAGCAGGAGGACTCTTTACATGCCGTCCCAGGCAAGTGCATCACTCCAGCCATCTTTCAAAGACGGGAGCTTTCCATGCAAACAGTTGCTTCTGAGGGAGTTCTAGCATTCAGTGGGGGATGTAGATTGATAACGCACATTCATTTCATCCCTTTACCAGCATAAAGACTTTGTACAATCTAAATGGCATGTGTTTTGTATATAAAGTAATTTTATTTTCTGATGATATTGTCTATATGTCATGTACTCATTCTTTGTACCTCACATTCTGTAAGTTGCTCTGGCACCTTACAAGAGGCTGTGTCATTTTATCCCTCCAGCAGCCACATGGGGTAGGTTAGGTTGAGAGATGATGACTGACCTTGCTTTGTGGCTGAAGTTGGAATCTTAACGCTTGTCCCCTGTGCAAGTTTTAACACCTCCACTACACCCGCATTAGATCTCAAGATGTGCGAGGGCCAGATTTTGGTTTGTGCGTCTGTTTGTTTAAGTTACTAGTTGTGATAGAGAGACAGGTTGGGGATAAGGAGATCCTGCTGACTTCTGCGGTTAAAAGGACCTTCATACACACTTGTGGATGTTTTCACACATGCACTCTTTAAAGAGTTTGCAACATTTGAACACACAGCACTACAAGTGGTGTCCACAGTGGTACATTAATTACCTTGTCCTTACCTGATCAGAAGTTGTGTGCAATAACTCATCTGTATGCAGAAAAGTTTGTAGGCTATGCATTTAAAAATAAACCACAAGATGGTGCTGTTGTTCAGCCTGACACCAGGCTGGGTCTACCTGACACCAAGGAATCTCCACATTTCCCAACTCATACAGGAAGCAAGCAAGCTGTGGCTGTCCAGGTGACATTGGAGTCCCAACTCCCATCTTGGGTGACTGTTGGCTCTACTGACTTAGGCTGATGGGACTTGGAAGGCCAACACCTGAAGGGTCAGAACTTGCCCACCCCGAATTACATGGTGCAAGTTTGTTGTTATTTAGTCGTGTCCGACTCTTAGTGACCCCATGGACCAGAGCACGCCAGGCACTCCTGTCTTCCACTGCCTCCCGCAGTTTGGTCAGACTCATGTTTGTAGCTTCGAGAACACTGTCCCACCATCTCGTCCTCTGTCGTCCCCTTCTCCGTGTGCCCTCCATCTTTCCCAGCATCAGGGTCTTTTCCAGGGAGTCTTCTCATGAGGTCGCCAAAGTATTGGAGTCTCAGCTTCAGGATCTGTCCTTCCAGTGAGCACTCAGGGCTGATTTCCTTCAGAATGGATAGGTTTGATCTTCTTGCAGTCCATGGGACTTCTCAAGAGTATCCTCCAATGGTGCAAGTTAGGGTTGTCATATTTTGAAGAGCAAAAAAAGAGGACACATTTGCCAACTTCTACTTTTAACTATGGATCACTATGACAACACTCATTTTACAAACCCATGAAAAAGGGTGTATCCTGGAAAAAGAGGACACATGGCAACCCTAGAAGTCTGGGTGGGGAAATTGGTCCTCCAGGTGCTGTCAGGACTACAACTCCCATCAGCCTCTGTAGTGGTGTCCCGCAGTATCTGAAGGGTTGCAGGTTCCTGGCCGCTGAAGGAAGTGATTCCACCCTGATGCTACATTTGGTGCCTGCTAAATATTTGCACAGCAGCGCCTTCTCTACTATGCGGTGCTCCAGGTGTTCTGGACTGCAACTCCAAATCATCTCTGATCATTGACCACGCTGACGGGAGTGGTAGTTTGCCAACCTGGTGCCCTCCAGATGTTGCCGAATGCTGATACAGTACATACCCATCAGTATTTTTCTGGCACTTTGAAGAGCAATGCCTTGTAAAAGGTCCTTGCCCTGAGGAGTTTACAATACACATTTCAATCAGGAGGAGGTAAAGGCAGCAGGAGGGTGCAAGAAGAAAAAAGGCTGGCGGAAAAGGGTGTTAATGTGCACAAATGCAGTTGGGTGTTAATGGGGAGTGGTGGGTGGACTGAGGACAAGGTGAAAGCTTTGGGGAAAATAAGGATTTTGAGGAGGGATTTGAAGGAAGAGGTGGGTCTTAGGCCACAGTCACACACCATATTTTTAAAGAACTATGATACCACCTTAAACTGCCATGGCTTCCCCCAAAGAATTCTGGGAGCTGCAGTTTCTTAAGGGTGCTGAGAGTTGTTAGGAGATTTTTATTCGCCCCCAGAGCTGTTTAAGAATCAGTCCTTCACAGGGAACTCTGAAAATTGTGCATCTTCATTTGAGCTACAACGTTCCAAGTTGAATCATAGCACCTTAAATGTATAGGGGAAGCGGGTGGCGCTGTGGGTTAAACCACGGAGCCTAGGACTTGCCGATCAGAAGGTCGGCTGTTCGAATCCCCGCGACGGGGTGAGCTCCTGTTGCTCAGTCCCTGCTCCTGCCAACCTAGCAGTTTGAAAGCACATCAAAGTGCAAGTAGATAAATAGGTACCGCTCCAGCGGGAAGGTAAACGGCGTTTCCATGCGCTCCTCTGGTTCGCCAGAAGCGGCTTAGTCATGCTGGCCACATGACCCGGAAGCTGTATGCCAGCTCCCTCGGCCAATAATGCGAGATGAGCACCGCAAACCCAGAGTCGGTCACGACTGGACCTAATGGTCAGGGGCCCCTTTACCTTACAGCTAAGGAATGAAGTTTTGTGCTTGCTTTAGGAAAATAACTTTGTAGTTCTGTTCTCACCTCCAGTTATTTATTCTTGCGAACAAACCTAAAGATCATTTAGCACTTTAAGGATTTTAAACATTTCTTAAATGGAATCAACCATTTGTATATTTCAATGTGGCTACAGAGCTTGGGGAGGGGTGTCCTGTGGCCCTCCAGGTGCTGTTGAACTCCAACTCCCAGCAGCCTCAGCCAACATTGCTAATGCTGAGAGATGGTGAGAGTTGTAGTCTGGAGGGCCACAAGTTCCTCACCACTGCTATAGTTGTGTATACATCAGGAAAGACCAGACCTTTTTTGTTTGTTTAAATGGTGGAAGTCCTCCAGATTTTTTCACGCAACGAAAAGTCCTCTCTCTTCATTTCAGTAGCCTAAATTAGGTGGGAAAAATAATGTTGTGGCTATTGTTCAACACACATTGAAAGCACATGGCTTCTCCCAAACAACCCTGGGAACTGTAGTTTGGAGTAGAAGCCCTATAGTGGGGACTACAGTTTCCAGGAGTCTTTGGGGAAGCCATATGAGTTAAACATGCATTGAATGCACTTTAAATGTAGGGTGTGGATCTGCCCCCAAAGCACCCAGAGATGTATTGGTAGACCATCCCAATCAACTTCCAAAGTAAAACACAGGACAGTGACCAAGGGGTAAAAGTGTGTGTGGTTAAGAACCGCTGTTTCGTGTTCTCTTCCGTCCCAATCCAAGTAGCCTGGCACTTTGACTGATGAAAGCCGCGCCCTGGGAGCAGCTGTTTACTCTTCTGGGGGAAAGGGTACCTCCGTTCTGCTGAGTCACAGATCCAAATGACGAACTTATTATGCCATTAGGAAAATGACCTGAGGGAGGGAGGGAGGGGAGCTGGATAGGCAGCAGTACCTGAATTTAAAGCAAAAAATTTGGGATGGGAAGCAAAAATCTCTTAAGAGATGAATGCAAGATAGTAACATCTTTGGTGGAACTGTGACACAGAGCCTTTGGGATAGCATGGTGGAATCACTATAGGGAATGTCAGGGAACTGATATCGGAGCTAGAGGCGGAGGGAAGGCTCTCAAATGATGCGGGAGAAGGGCCCAGCAGGGAGAGAGGCAGCTCCGCAGATGGGGAAGCAAATCAGCGCTACACCAGGGATAAGGAGGGGCTGATGGGGGAATCGGCGAGAGGGCTCCAGGACTCTTCACCGGACACCAGCAGGGAGAGCACGGGTCCCCCGCTACCCACGCCCACCCTGCGCAGAAGACTTCCGCGCAGAGAGAGTAGGAGGAGACTGGGTGTCAAACAACTTTTATGTTGGAAAAGATTTAAGAAACGCCCACTGACGGATTCTGCTAGCGACTGAGGCAGCCACGAAGTGAAGGGCTGCCCAGACAGAAAGGTTTAGCAAGGCAACAAAGCCTGGAGAGGCGGCAACTTACGCACGAGCAACCCATACACATCACAGGGAAGATATGTGAGCTCCACAGAACCATGCAGTGACCCTTTTACTGAGTCAGACTCTTGGGGCATCTAATTCATTACTATTTACACAGAGATGCAATGTGGCTTTTCAGGGTTTCAAGGCAGGGGACACTCCCAGCCCTACTTGGTTATACTAGGGATTGAAAATGAGATGTTCTGCACACCAAGCAGGTGGTTGGACTAGATGACCCCTGGGGTCCCTCCCAACTCTAGAATTCTATGATTCTGTATACCTGTATTGGGAGGGCCAAAGGTTCCCCACACCTGGTCAACAATGGCAGCGGCTCTCAAGGAGATGCATGGGATGGAACTTGGGACCTTCTGCATGCAAAGCAGATGCTCTACCACCGAGCTACAGCCCTTCATCCCAGGCATGGATGGGGTACCTGCGGCCCTCCTCATGTAGCTGATTATAGTTATACTGCAGCTCCATAAAGCCACACATTTTTATTTATTTAATGGACTCCTAGCCTACCTTTTGAGGGGGTATACCCCTCCTGCCATCAAACAAATAAAACACGTTGAAATCCAACAATTTAAACTAGCAGTAAAAACAATCAAGACTCCACAGATTAACGGTTTTTAAACAGCCACAATTTTTAAAAAAAAAAATATTTATCTTAACTGCAAGGCCATTAAAAGCTACCCCAGTTTAACACCCACCTGCCCCACGGCAGGTGGGTGCAGGAAACCTGCATGCCCACCCACACGAAAAATTTAAGCTGGTAGGCCGCTCTTCTGCCTCAAGCAATACTCCTGTTGTCACTAGAGAGGCCTATAAAAACACCTGCAAGGTCACTGTGAACCATTCCAAATCAGCACCTGTTACTCAAAAGGGAAAAAACAGCCTCGCCTCAGATTAGCACTGACCTGGAGTTTTGTTGCTTTTTTTATTGCTCAGAAATTTGCATAAAAACCGGCCTCTGTTTTCTCTCTGTGAATTATCTCTTCCTGTGACTCATTCCCCACCTAGAGTTTCTCCTGCTCATGGCTGCCTCTCCCCAGTTCTTTCTACATGAGGGGGGCACAGGCCTGGGCTGATGAAGTAAGCTAAAGGAAGAAGAGAGAGAGAGAGAGAAACTGGTTCATATGCAAACAACCAAGGATGCATAAGAAGTGATTGGGTCAATGGCTCACCTAGTCCAGCATCCTGTTTCTCACAGTGAGCAACCAGATGCCTCACTGCCTCTGACCATAGAGGCAGAGCATGACCATCTTGGCTGGTAGGCACTGAGAGCTTATCCTCCACGAATTTGTCCAATCCTTCTGCAGAAGTGACTTCCATTGTTTAACTATGCACGTTTCCTCTTTCTGCTTTCCTCCCAGCAGCTCTTCCTCCTCTGGTCACAGCTGTGGATATGCAACCTGTTTGATGGTCTCCAGGCACTGCAGTCATCTGCAAGGGATTCCCGTAAGGGTCAATGGCACCAGCCTTTGAGTCACATTTGCAAACTTCCTTGTAACACAGAGTTGGTCTGCCAATACACGTAGACATCTCCAAGGCAGTGCAGATGTCGGAGACAGGACTGCACAGTCCATGCTGGGTATGTGAGTTTGGGAGAGCGCATATTTGTTTGAGACTCTGTCCTGCCATGTGATACCCAAAAACTTCCTGGTGGAGCGCATGTGTTCCCATATCAGTCGCTACAGCCACAGCAGGCGCTGTAACTCTCCAATGATTTTCTTCACCTCCAAAGGAACACTCATCCATTGTCTTCAGAGAAAGATGGATGCCATCAAGCATGAAGACTTTCTTTTAACTGTCCTAAATCTTCAGCTCCATTGGATTTTCATGAGTGTTATGAGAGACAGTGCTATTTTTCTAGAAAAAGAGGTGCCAGAACTCACCAGGAACACCTCCCTCCTTCTCTTACAATGGCAATGGCGCCCAGCTGAGAGGTGCTGAAACTGAGCCTTGGAGAGGGAGAGCTTTTCTCTACCCTCTCCATGGCACGCCATGCATAATTTTATAAACTTCTATCAGATCACCTCTTACTTGCCTTTTCTTAAACTAAAAAGATCCCAGTTGCTTGAAGCTTTCCTCATTGTGGAGTTGCTCCATACTCACGATAATGTTGGTTGCCATTTTCTGAATATTTCCCAACTTTACAACAGCAAGTTCCGAAGTCTTCATTGGCTGCAAAGATATGCTTGGAAATGTATGGGACACGACATGCCCGTTATCGCTCAATATATCAGAAGCCAGAAAGGTGGCTAAACAAGATCCGCACAGATTAAGTGCAACAGAGGTTCAAGTAGTTGCCTCTTCTGCATGATATAATTGCTCCCAGGCTCCAAAGTAATCAGAAAAAATAATAATAAATGGCAAACAAATTGCTTTAAAAACAACCAAACAGGCAAAATTATTGGAAAAATAAGAAAATTGACACAAATTTGCTTGAATTATACAGGTCATAGAGTTCAGGCTTTTGTTGCTTAGAAATTAGGCGTGCTGGGTGCAACACTTTAATTGATGCCAGGCCCTATATTTTGTGATCAAAGCCTGTTCTTTCAGCAACGCCCTGGGGCGGCATAAAAAATTCCTTCTCACCTGACAATTCCCCAACTCTGAGGTGTGTCTCCTGAGGGCAATTACGAAAGCATCATGTAGTGAACAAGTTTCACCTTTGTCTCCTTTCAGCCCCAAAGGGAGCATTCTCAGTTTATCACCCTAGAGATAGTGGGTTGTTGGGGAAAGAGGGGGGAAAGCACACATTTATATTCCTCAAGAGATTGGGGGCGGGGGGGAGGGAGAGCGAGAAAAGCCAGATCTCTTACGCAAGGGAACGGGCTCTTAACGTCTAAACAGGGCGGGAAAGTGACGTTATCGGAAGAGGGATGGTGACCTTTGGAGCAGAGCAAAGAACGTAACTCAAGGCATTTAGAAATGGGCCATCGATTCGTGCAAAGGTCACTGTTTGCGTTGAAAGACACGGCCTGCCTGACCGTTTTTGTTATCTCGATCCCTACAAATTTGCTTACACTGTTAGCCCACCCGCTCACCAAACCCCTTGTGTTCAAGTGTTTGGGAGCATTCCCAGTTTATACATGTGTTTGGTGCCCCAGAGAGCTCTAAAAACAGTGACCACCAGGCAATGTCAGCTACGACCGAAGGGGAATGTTGTGCAAGTGTGTGCCTATTGGAAACAACATTCTCCTCCTGCCACAGCATCATTAATTTTTTTTTGCCTCAGTTGAAAGTTGTCAGTCAAGTGTGGAGAGGATTTTTTTTTTTTTAAAGTACATCCACTCATTCGAATCCACAGATCTTCAAATTGAGGAGTGGTCTCTTGACAGTCCTTATAACAGTAAATATCTATAAAGTTGGGTACTGTAAGGTTACGAGATCTTGAATGAGGGCCCTTGTTTCCATCAATATCTAACTCCATTCTCATTTTTAAAAAAGGTTTGGGAAAAGCAAAATCCACACACAAAAGGTTGCTCTGAGGATAAAATGTGTGTATGTACTTTATGTATATACAGTGCTTTTTGTGTGACCATACGCGCCAATATGGAGTAGTCAATGGCAGCCATTTTGTTCTGGAACCCATGACACTTTGAGTAAAATATGAGGACCGGCACCTTGGTTTTTTTTAAACCTTATCTATATCTGAGTGTGTGGAAAAGGTACCTGTCTACCTTTTTAAAATCATTTACAAGCTGCTTATTTATTTTTTAAAAACACACCCTTCAGATATGACTTTAAGTTCCTCAGAGGAAAGTGCATGTAAATGTTATAAATGGATAAATTAATGAACATTTGTGTTTAAAGAAATATATGCCTTTACTCCAGAACTGAGCACATCAGTTTGTACACCATGGTGCTTCTTTTCACCACAGAACTTTTATAAGAAGGAAATCTGAGGTGATTTTATGTGCTAACACAAAGGCCACACTGGCTTCATGGCTCGCAAGGGATTCTGGTGGGGGGCAGGAGTCACTTTATGACCCTTGTTGAGGAGAAAATATGGGATATATGTCACACACATTCAAGCAGTTCGAAAGACCAGCACCAAAATGTGAACTTTTCTAGACATAAGCCACATGGTTTGCCACAAATGAGCGTAAATGCAGGCGATAATGATGTCTTTCTCAAGCCCACAGGTGACCAAGTCCTAAACACATTCATAGATGGAGAGAAATTTAGCCAGGAGGAGGGGAAATTTCTGAGGTAAAACTGTGCTTCTAGTTCTTCTTATCAGTAGCGGTTTCAAAACAGTCGGAAGAAAAGCCCTTCCCTTCTAGAATCCTCAAAAACTCAATCACCAACTTCTGACTAGCAGTGCAAACCTGCATGTGTTTACTCAGATTTAAGTCTTGCTTAATTCAATTATTTCTCTTTTACCCTTTCTTCTGCTGCCCTGATTTAGATTGTAAGCTGCTTGCTGACAGGGACCTACCCGTCTGTTCAATACATGGATTTTTTGATTGCTTATTGGGGCAAAACAAATTCTGCAATGTTCCACATACAAATATATATATATATATATATCTTTCTTTTTTGAAATAAAAAATCACATGCACATGGATGCAGATATCCAACTGGAGTCATCTTCTACAGTATGGTGGACCTAGGATGAGGACTTTATCTCTGCAGCTTAATTTTGCTGTTTTAAAGCTCATAATATCTGCCCAGATAGCCTTAAACCTATATCTGGAAGCAAGCCCCTGCCAGCATATAAAGAGGGAAATGTGACCAAGAAAATAAATTAGGACAGACTGAACACAGCTATTGCCTTCAGGGCTCTTGTAGGAGGGGACACAAGTGTCTGCAGGAGAAACCTCAGGTGTGGGACCATCCCCATTTCCCTCCTCAGTTGTTTGAATCAATTTCAGCTTACCCCACAGGTTCATATTGTACCAGAGTGAGCTGTTAAAAATGGGGTGCTTTACATTTCCTTTGGAAGCCCTTAGACCCCAGTCATGGAGGATGGCAATCTGCACTTACACAGTGAAGGAAATGTATTTTTGACATGCCCTGGAGCATTTTCATTATCTTCTAAAATTCCACATAGTTTCAGGACTAAGCTTTGCCATTGTGATACCATTTAAGCCAGCGGGCAGCAACCTTTATCAGCTGTGGGCCGGTCCACCGTCCCTCAGACCATGTACTGGGCCGGACTATATTTTGGAAAAAAATAAATAAAAATGAACGAATGCCTATGCCCCACAAATAACCCAGAGATACATTTAAAATAAAAGCACACATTCTACTCATGTAAAAACACCAGGCAGGCCCTATAAATAACTCAGAGATGCATTTTAAATAAAAGGACACAATCTACTCATGTAAAAACATGCTGATTCCCGGACAGTCCACAGGCCGGATTGAGAAGGCGATTGGACCACATACGGCCCACGGGCCTTAGGTTGCCTATCCCGATATAAGCCTTGAACAAAATGGTAATTGCTTAAAAAAACAACCCGTCACACAGTTCAATCCAATCCACGTTACACTAGCTTAGAGTCTTGTGGATTTCAACGTATTATCTAGTAAAAGTCAAGCTGGTGCCAAATACAAGTTTCCTTATGATTCATAATTACCTGGAACCCTCAATTTATGCACAAAAAGCAGATCACTCTCTCATACACACACACATTAATTTGGTATTCATACATTCTTACCCCTTGACCACCTAGGATAGGGATATGCTATAAATGTAGTAAGTGTTGGGTAGCAGCCTGAATAAACAAGCATAAGGCAGACACACAAAGATTCTCAATTTACAGAGCCACAATCTAAATGTGCTTGAAATGAATCAATCTTACCACCAAAAATTAATTTTCTCTCTTTTTTTATTTGACCAACCAGCAAAGCATTTATTTGCATTTAAGAAGTTTTGAAAATCTTTCATCTTTTTACTTGGTCATTAAGTATCGGAGAAGCATCCTTCGCCCACCCAACCCTCAATCAGAAAGAGGCACGATAACCCAATATAGCATCAAATAAGATCTATACATTTTGCAGAATCTAGCAGATCTATCTTATCTGCACACAAATATACAAATGTTATACTGGCTATTCTAGAAGGTGCTGGACTCTAAAGAGCTTCGATAAAGAATGGTATACAAGAATCTTCCTGGAGGCTTGCTATATTATGAGCTGTAAAAGGGGAAGGGAAGGTATTTATTGTTGCTAACAATGTAAGTGAAGCCTTAAATTTGAAATGGCTTATCAGAGTTAATTATCTTAGTCCCATGATTTCACCGCTTTGTTCTGTGCCATCAACCCCTGCTTCATGAGACCATGAGCCAAGGTGCTGTTCCTCCTCTAGAGTTAGCTGATCCTATGTGATTCCTGAACTACATGTGGTTTCACTCTTTAAATAAGGGGGGGAAATCCTGCTACGTGATCAAAACTGACAGCTCGAGGCAATCCAGGTATAATAAACTCAAAGAGTAAGCAAACCTGAGAATAGGACATGTGGGAAATGCAAGATGGTGTAAAATGACCACGTAAAAACTATTCAACCCGCTGTGATTTCCTGACCCAGGCCAGAATGACAATTTATACCAAGCAAACAATGTCTTCCTGAACAATGGCACAGATGGGGAGAGTCTGTGGCCCTCCATGTGGGAGACTACATCTCCCATCATTCCTGACCCCAGAACCATGCTGTCTGCTGGAAGCTGAAGTCCAGCAATGTCTGTAGGGTCACAGGACCCCCATCTCTGGATTGGCAGCAGAGCAGGAAAGGACAAGATTCATGTATTTGCTGTTAGCTGTTTTCCTCTCATGCAAATTCCTCCTGCCCAGGCCTTTTCCCTCCCTGAGGTGGGCAGAAATCAGACTGGTGTGTGTGTGTGTGCTCTAGGAAGCTTTAAATCTATCGCTTTCCCCCTGCTGTTATTTGGCATATATGAGGCTGAGATTCTGTGTGTTTTGGCATAACATCTAGTTCTGGCCTCAAAAGTACCAAAGACGTAAAACAAAATGCATTAAAGCAACGAGGCGTTAAAAGGTATTCATTGTCCTTTTGTTTTGGTTTTAAAGTCTGGTTTATTGAAAGAACCAAGGCATGAAATAAGACAGATAAAAACCAACACATCAAAATTACCATATTAAGATTTCCTTCAAAATAGGCATGGTATGAAAATAATATCGCTACATGCTGTTAACTATTACTAGCACGTTGAACACAGGCCAAATGGATTGAATGGTGTTTCTTAAAGAAAATGACTGCTGGATTTTGGTTGGTGGTCTTAGAACAGGGGGGAGGCTGGGTGGCATTTCGACCAAGACAAGGTGGAAAGCCAAAGTGTTTCCTCATGAGCCTGGTGGTAGATGAGGCCATCCTTGTAGCTAATGCCATTTCTGCAGCACTGATTGCATAGTTCTCAACAGCCAGCCCCCCAGAGGGATACAGAGAGCTGCATCTCTTTGCAAACAAACCTTAAAACCAGCGGCTTAGATCCAAAATGTGGTGGCACGCAGAAATGCACACTTCCCCATGTCATGATCTGTTCTGGATCCTCATGTCTGCATTTTTCAGGGAGTGTGGTGGGACTGTAATTGTGAAGACAATTTGGGGGGGGGGAGTCCTGAGCCCTCTTCCAGCATTCTAAATATTAATTAAGCAAACATGCAACCTCTTTATTTTGGAGGGAATGGAGCCTCCTTTACTCATCAGAGGCTCCCTGTGCTTTTTAACATTTTGATTTCTGAATGGCTCTTCAAGTTTGGGAGGTTCCTTGCTTCAGAAGTTAGCTCTCCAAGGAGTTGGAAGGCAAAAAGAACAGTGACGTGGAGGAGAGCTAGCGTGATATCCACTGCCTCAATCTCACATGTTTACTTAAACAATATTTACAATTCCTGAGGAGGGATCTTGTTATGTTAGCAGAGCTCCATTTCATTCACGAAGCGGAAGTCAGGTCGGTAAGCCTTCTGGCTGAATTCAATTGAGCATGAAATGCCTCCCATGCCTTTGAGCGGAGAAAGGGTTTCTTTCCCTCCCTCCCACTTTGCTAAAAAGCCTTTGGGAAATCGTACCACACCCTCCAGTCATCCCAGCTCTTTGACTACTCTGAAAACATACCTGCAAAAAACCCACCTTGTCCCAAACATGTCCCAGGATACCGGTGACTACCTTGAAGGAGGAAGGTTTTTATTCATTACTAGAAGCTTGGTGTTGCTTGGGAACTTGACGAAAGCAAAAAAACCAAAACCCAGTGAAGTTTTGAAACCAGTGGTTAACATCAGTGAAGTTTAGAAAGGTTCAGCCTGCCACCTTGATTCAAAATAGTGTTCAGTTGTATCAAAGCACACAAAAACCTGCTCCTTGATCTTAGGAACCATCATGTAAAATTTGTTCACAGTATCTTAAGAGGGATCCAAATGCAGAGTGAACAAAGTACTCTCCAAAACATTTGGCAGATTCAAAGTACACCTTTCATTTAAACCTATCCTTTAGAAAACCTCAGACACTTCAATAAGGAAAGACAAAAAGACACCGGTGGGTATTTGTTTGACAAAGAGCTTGGAGATGGATGAATACAGTCAAGATGAAAGATACCAAAATGTCAGACAGCCTACCGACTGTTGTTGCCATGACATCCAACAGTCAACATCAGTCTGATAAGCTATCCAACAGAAAGGTACAAGGCCATGGAGGTATCACGACGGTAGGCAGACGAGCGGGAGTGATCACGACACATGACACACATACACCAAGCACAATCCACACCTTGACAAAAACGGTTAAACGCAGATGTGCAAGAAGAACGAGCTGGTATTCAAAGGTGATTGCACAGGTACGGCCTTTGTCCCAAAGAGAGCCAACTAAAGTCAACCATAATAGGACAGTCACTCTGAAACCTAGCGATGACACCCTGAAAAGGGAAAACAGGTTTCCTGGCATGGTTTGAGAAATAACGTACAAGGTCTTATATTTTGTCCCAGGAAACCCTCTTAATTGTTAAGGCAAACTAGTGATAGGCTTTTCTGTCTTATTCTACATCACAGGAATTCAGGAAGCTGCTTTCTACCGAGCTAGACCATTGGGTCAATTTAGAGTCGTATTGTCTACTGGTTCTCCAGCATTTTACATGGATATTTTCCTCCTGGAAATGCCAGGGACTGAACCCAGGGCCTTCTGCATGCCAAAAGCATGTTCTACCACGGAGCTATATGGTCCTTCCTCCAAGAGAAGAGAAAATGTGTGAATTAAGGGCCCTGGGGAAGCTTGAAAAATAAACGAAACTGAAGGCACACGGAACAATCAGAGGCCTGTCTCTGCCTTGCAATGTTGGGAAAGAGGAGGCGCAGCATTACCTCTGCATGCAAGCCAAAATAGGGTGGGCAGTCATCTAGGAGGGGGATACCTCTTTAAGGGGCCCCACCTGATATTTAGGGGAACTATCAATGTCTCCTGCTTTATAGGAAACTGAGGAAGCTGCCTGATATTG